TGACTTTCTGGGCTGTTTGGTTGTTCCATACAGTTGGGAATTGCAGAAGGTGCCTGTAGCAGTCAGTGTCTAGTGGAATATCTTTAGTGAGGAAGTCTTCTTTGGGTGCTGTCCAAATCTCCGGTAGTGGGGAAACCGCTGGTCGGTTATCACATGCGATAAGCAGCCCCTTATCTAATGTTGCCCACTAGCTTCGCGACGAGATGCACATTTGAGCAGTTCTCTGACCTCGACATCAATAACGTCATCAGAAGACTCCCGCGACATCAATTTCTCTCCAAGCAGCAAAGGCTCTTATCACGCGTTGTTCCATATCAACTTCTCGTACTCGGCTGTGCATTTCAGTTTTGCGCAGTCTGACCCCATTGCGACCGAGTCTCCCGGAAATTCCATGCAAACAGAGCCTACGAAAAGTATAGACCAAGAACCCTCGACAGACGCTCCCGCTTCCCAACAACCTACCACCCAAGATGGCTTCCGTTCTCCTGAACCGAGCTCTCTCGATGGGAGCTCCCAGCCTGGGTCTTGTGGTCTCCCGCCCGAGCCTATTCCAAATGGCGCAAGCCCAGTCGTGAAGGGCATCAATACGGACACGGCTGGCGAAGAACAACGCCGCTTGAGCGGCCATGAGGGGCATTTCGCTCTTCCCGGAGGGCGCGTTTCTGCCTATGAGCATGCTACGACACCGAGTATCCCGTCGGGCTTCAAGGTCATGAAGCGACCTGGTCCTTCGTCGGATGGGCCATCGCTGACAGACTGCCCCAACGGTGTGTACATCAAACTATGCGTGCACGAAGAATCATTTCAACTGACATGTGCTCAACAGAGATTCTGACCCAAATCCTGTCGCACCTCCATCCGGACTCGCACGGCTCCGTTGCGCTCGTGTCGAAGCGATTCTATTCCTTGGTCACCGAGCCACACGCCTGGCGTATGGCATTCCTTCGCTACTTCCCGGGTCAAGACGCCATGGACTCTACGCAGAAGAAGGCCGTACAGCAAGATACGGATTCGGAGGACGCCAACAGAGTGCGATCTGAGTTTCGTTACTTCACCCGCTTGACGTCTCTGGCCTCGTGGCGAAGCGAATACCTCCTGCGGACCCGGCTTTTGCGCAGCGTTGCCCGTGGCAAACCCGGCGCCAGGGTCGGGGCCGTCGGAGGCCTTCCGAGGTCCGGCAATTCGTCCAAGAAATCCAGCGCTGTTCTTACCTACAATACCAAGCTGCCGTGGATGATCAGCAATATACACGCGGTTTTTGAGAACAACAAAAAGGGGCCAAAGGTCATTGTTGGCACAAGAGACCTGTGCGTATCTACCGTGAGTGACCCGTCGAACGGCAAAGTCGAGAAATGGGGTCTCGACGATCCTTTCGCATTCGCTCAGTTAGACGAGCTTTTTCCGGCGTTGGAGCCATATGGCGTTGGAGACGGCCCAGCTGCTGTGTACAACGTGATGGATGTCAGCCAGCCGTACGGAATGGTGGGGGGTGAAGGTTTTCCTGGTGGCCGTCCGTACTTCCGTGCGACCAACGAGCTACGTGGAAGGTATCTAGGCGGTCAAGACAGCATCATCGACATGAGCCCTGAAGTTCCCAAGATACCGGAGTTGTTGGAATCGATCAGCAGTGTGTGGATCGCCAAGTCCTCGGCAGTTCCCTCGATCACACAGAACATGATCGGGATGATGACTGCTTCTACATTGGGCGTGGTAACTGCGTACGCTCTGGGTCACGATTTTGCGGGTCCTCACTACAAGGCCGGAGACATGACGGCACGCTGGGTTCTCAGCCCTGGGGTTCCTATTGTTGCGCTCAAGGTTGACGACAACTTCAACCAGAAGCGAAACTCTTTGGGTCGAATCTGGGCGTGCGCCCTCAATGCTCTTGGCGAATGCTTCGTTCTGACGCAAACGCCAGTTCCGCCAGTTGACGCTACAAGGAAAGAGTCTGATAGCACCAAGTCTGCTTGGATGACTGGCCGTACCGTCTACTGGGAACTCATCGAATCCACGCGCCGTCAAGCGCGCCCGGACGATCTCGACAAGAACGCAGTGCGCGGTGCATATTCGCCTCGCTCGCCTTGCGATGTCATGGCCTTGAGCAAGGATCAAATTGTCGCTGAGGCTCGGGAGATCGAAAAGTACTTCCGCTACGAGCCGGCCCACTTCAGAAAAGTCTGCGAGGGTTGGGACATGCGAAGACAGCTCGAAGTCGATTTCGCCGAGGAGATCATCCTCTCCATCTGTAGCGGACAAGATGATAACCAGCCGGCCGAGATTCTTCGTTACACCAGGTCTACTCTTGGAGAAAATGACTGCTCAAGGATTTCCACCCCGACTGTCCTCACTCCGAGCATCCTTTCTCCCACCCCTGTGAGGTCTATTTTTGGGTCTGGCGCGAATACTCCTATCCTTCTTGCAGCTCCTCAGCCTCAGAAACCAGATTCTGCAAGCATTCCAGAAACAAGAGATTGGCGAACATCGAAATTGTCTGTGAAAAGGTTGGGCAAGGCCCAGATCACTGCCGTTGCCTTGGACAATTGTGCTCCCGCGCTGCTGGCCCCTTTCGAAGATCCCCTCAATGCTGACTCTCAGCAAGCAAAAAATGGCGCCTCCACACCAACTTCAAAGCAAAATACTGGCGAGATACCTGGGCGAAGAGCTCGCTTTTTTGGCATAGGCACAGATTATGGCAAGATACTGGTTTGGAACGTGCGTGACACATCTTCCGATGTCGTTGAGCCGGTATTTGCTGCCCAGACCGAGTCTCCCGATGTCACCAGCCTAGCCATTTCGGCGTTGTATCTTGTTCATGGCGGAAGTGATGGACTGGTTCAGGCTTGGGACCCTTTAGCATCTACGGCGGAACCCATTCGAACACTGAATTCACGATCTTCTGGTCGAGCGCCGCGGCACATCTTGAATGCTAATCCAGCGCTGCGGCATGCCGACTATTCGACCTGTCCGGCCATATTCTTGGATCCCGATCCAACAGTCCTTCGAGGAATTTTATGCTTCGGAACATTCGTACGATACTGGACTTACAGCTCAACCTCGCAAACTCTCGGTCGCAGACGACGTCTGCGCCACTCAGACATCCATGGAAAACTATCAAGTCGCCGTCAGGGTGATGCCGTGATGGGTTACATCGCTGCTGAAGAAGCCGAGCTTCGTCGCGAAGAGAGGGACAGTGCGCGAGAGGACGCAAGACTCCGAAAGCGTTTCGGTGTTGGGTTGGGCGATTTGACCGAAGAGGAAGCTCTAGTATACGCACAAATGGTATCTGAGGAGGCTTTCCTGCTCGATGAGCACCGACGCACGAGCGCCAGCGATAACGGCTCCGCAGCTGACGTAGGCGAGAACACCTCGTCATTTGGAAGCCTCGATACGGTCACTCCAGATCCCAGCTCGTCTGGGTGGAGTCCACCCACCGGGATAGCCCCGGCAGCTGGCCTGAACAAGGTCGCCTCTGAAGATGACGACTATGAGCAACAGATTCAACGAGCACTAAGACTCTCTCTCATGGAGGGCGTAAACGAGACGGGGCAGTCACCTCGAGCTAGCAGCTCGACAGACTTCGAGTTCCACGTCAGATACAAGCCTACAAAAGAGAAGCGGTCCACTTCAGTTGCGGGCGCAGCAAGTCAGTCTCATTCTCCATTCCAACAAGTCAGGCGAGAGTCTGGTCAAGCCTGGGGAGCAGGTTCCTCGACGAATCCCGGCGAGGAAATGGATGACGACCTGGCACTCGCTATCCGTCTTAGTCTTGAGGAAGAGGAGCAGAAACAGCAGTCTCAGAACACCGGCTTAGGCATAGAGGTAGAAGCGTTCCCGCCCTTGGAGACAAGAGGCAAGGGCAAAGGGGTGTCTCGATATTGATAGAGTCTGATCAGACACAGAGTTGTCTCCTAGTGGTGTGGTGGGTCGGGATCTCTTTCACTTCCTCATAATTTTTAGCTAGAACGAAGAGACAAATTCGCAGATCCTTTCCCGAAAGCCTATTCAAGCCTCAACGCAAATGCTCGGTCTACGTTTCTTGTTGGTTGTACAAACACACTGGGATCGATGCCGTACGCAGTTGGGACCGGAACATGTCATCCGAGAGGGTATTGTCTCGTGCAGCCTCCATCAGATCGGACCGTGTATCGTGCTGGGTTCAGCTGCTTGGCATGCAAGTCATTGCCGGTCACAACGGATGGCCATCCCACGGCACATCAAGTCCTCTTCTTGACAGCTCAACGGCAAAATCAAGTCCGCCTGTCGCTCATTTTTGTTGTCTTGAGATGAATAACACATCTGTGCCCACTTCCCTCGCCTGCTTTCGAAACCGGGATGGCACATGAGAGGGCCTTTGGGGTCATGAACGAGCGGAGAAACTCTACATCGCTATCATCTACTCCCTGGGGTGAAACTACAGCCTTTGGCATTTTCAGAAACCTTGTCCATTGAGGTAAAAGAAACGTGGATGAGTAGCCAGTCGAACTCGTGCGCTGCTCGCAGCTCCTTACTTGATTTGTGGTAGAGTTTATCAGATGATTTATTTACCTGTGCTCCAGCCTCATGTGCATGAGTGAATGAGGAAGTGGGATTCGAGAGTACTAATTATGACGCAGTGCAGATTCCAAAGTCTGTTGACGCGTCCGATGTATGGGGAAACATGGCCTACTTTTGGATCATCAGCAGCCCACGAGTATTCGAAGAGAGTTTGGATATCGGAGTTGGTGACATGAACATGGGCTGTAAGTGCCGCGTCTAGCCTAGAAGATCTTCGCAAACCGCGTGCACATCCCCCCTGCTACGCTCACAGTTCGGTTCCATCTGTGGTGGATCATTGGGTTCGCTTAAAATACCACGCTATCAGCAAAACAAATCGAGCATGCGCCGTCCCTGGTCGTTTCACTCCTTTTTCGGGTTGTCTCCTTCATGTCTGATATGCAATGCCGCGACCGAGTGAGTGAGTTATGTGCAAAGTATGTACAGGGCAGGCCCGGTCCTCAGTATCAACACCTCGCCAACCAGCCTGCCACGCCCCTCGTCATGTAACCATCCCTGATGCCGACCGACATGTCCAAGCTTGCTTGGCAGTGCATCTCGTTCGGGCAGACGATCAGCTGCGCGTCTGGGCCGTGGGCCCTCGGGGCCTTTGCTTTTGCGTCCAATGACCCGACCCCGACCTCCCGGGCACCCATCATCTTGGCCGTGTGGCAGACGTCGTCGCGGTAGACCTCGTCCGCCCCGACGACCAGCAGCAGCTTCTCGGCGCGGAAGCCGTCCCAGAAGGCCTTGGCTGCCAGCACCGGCGCGGCCCAGACGTCCGCCTCGGGCTTCCAGCTCGCCGTGATGGCGACGAGGCTGTGCTCGCTCATGAAGTCCTTGCCCGAATTGGTGCGGAAGCTCTCGGCGGTGGCGAGGTTGGCCGTGCGCGGCGAGATGGCGACGGCGCCCCGGAACTTGTCCGACGCCGGCAGCGCCAGCGGCGTGATGCCCGGCTTGGGCTGCTGCAGGTGCGCCAGCACGGCGAGCGCCATGTTGCCGCCCGCCGACTCGCCGCCGATGATGATCTCGCTCGGCTTGCGGTACTTCAGGATCAGCCGCAGGGCGGCGACGGCCTGCGCCAGCTGGCCCGGGTACTCGCACTCGGGCACCAGCGTGTACTCGAGCAGCACGGGCGAGGCACGAGCGATGCGGGCGGACGAGACGGCGAACGCTGGCGAGTGAAGCGGCACTATGAAGCCTCCACCACTGCGATCTGGTCAGTGTTTTGCTACAGGGGGACGACCCCCTCCCGCTTCGCAGGGGCTCTGAGGAAACACTCAGACATACTGGAAGTACAGCAAGATAGGACCCTTCTGTGCCAGCTTGCAGTCGATGAAGTGCAACATCGCCGGGGGGAAGCCATCGGTGTTTTCGACCAGTATCGGCTGGTGCATGAGATCATTCGCAGCACAGTAGTCGGCCACCGTCTTGCCCGTCGTGTTGGACACGAAGACCCTGAGTTGTCTCGGCTTCAGCAGGCTGATTGCAGTCCCGAAGCTCGCCGCCGCATTCCGCCTGAGAGACCTGGCACACAATATGCCTTGCCTCCACTGCCGCCACGAGTTTGACAGGAAGAAGGACAGGATGGTGCCGGCGACGGCGGGCAGGATCCCGAGCAGGCTGGATAGCTCGCCGGCGGTGAGCTTGGGGCGGGTGTGGCTCGACATGTCTTGTCTGTCCTGTCCTGTCCTGTCCTATTCTGGTGATGGAGTGGCTCTGACAAGTCAAGTCTGGTCAAGTCAGGTCCAGTCAGGTCAGGTCGGGGCGGATCAAATATGTCCCCAAACAAGGTTAAGGAGAATATTCAGCCCATCTTTCGTTTCCTCTGGCGGGAAGAGGATTGGCAAGCAGGCGTGATATATATGCAGGCCCGTCCGATGATGCATCGAGAAGTGCTGGCCTGCCTGTTTAGGCAAACCCAGCTGAAGCTTACCGGGCCGGACGTGATGAGCCAATCGTAACCTTCGATGCCGGCAGTCATGTCCGGCCTGTCGGTAGTGCGGACATGTGCCCGAGGCCCAGTGGCCCATGTCGAGGACGGGATGCCAAGCACTGGACCACCCTGTGCCGGCTTCTCCAAGGGTGAGGCTTCTTAAGCTTTCCGCCTTGTGGGGGGACCCTGCGCAGATCTGAGCAGGCCTCACGAGCCTATCGGATCTCGACAGATCCGGGGGGCCACTTCTCTCTCGCAGGATGCCGCCTTCGGGACTGCGCTGATCTCCCTCTCCCCCTTCGAGAACATCATCTCTACGCTGACACGGTTTCACCTAGCTGTTCCCGCCATCACTCGGGCACTGGCTCAGGTCTTTGTGAAACGAGGGTCCTCCCAGAGTCTGTGCCCTCGTTATGGCGGCACACTAGACCTGTCACTGCTCTGTCAGTCAGCAAGAAGGCCGTTCTGGTCAGCCTCGTTGTCCGTTTGTTTTGGCTCCATTTCGTTTTACCATCGCACAATATCACCGCAGCATCACATCTGCACACGCACATCTGACCAGCCTATCGCCGCACGTCAGTTGTGTCCAAAGTTCGGTGACAGCTGCCATCACCGTTACTTAGCCCGCAGCAGCGTGACCGATAGGCTACTCATCTCGGGGTGGCTGATCCGACCCTTTTTTTTCTTCTTCCTTTTTTTATGCATCATCACCGACGAGTACCAAGAAAATGACTCTGATACTTTGACCGACGACTCAGTGGCAGTTCACGGTGGCACATCATGCCTTCCAGATACGAGACAGGCGGACTGCAGTCTGTCTCATCACATTTCACTCTCTTCGACTCTTTATGCCGACTTGGCGAGATTACCGGGGGGCCCAGGCCGTCTGAACTTCACCACGACAAGATGTCAGGGCAGCTAAGGGGATATCGGAACACCTCCGTCTCCAAGGACACGTCTTCTGCGGCAGACCGGCAAGCCATGTTTTGTCCGTGGCCGTGACCGCTGGGCAGCAACGGCAGCGAAACTCGATTCCTGGCCTATTGAAGGCCTTGGTATGATCGGCTCCCAAGCGGCCTGGAGTGCGACATGGCCATAAAACCCATCTAACTTCATTTACTTTTAGGCAATGTGATCAGTGTCACATATTGTGCATAAGCAAGGAGCCGCCTCTGGTGGCGATTTGCAGTTCGCTGCTCCGAGACATGTCTGTGGTCGCCTTCGTCGCTTGCCTCAATGCCTGATGGATGGGTCACAAGTCCTGCGGTCTCGTACACCCGGAGAGATAACAGTGATGCGATGTTCAAGTCCTGCAGTAATCTGTGGACCTGGAAGCAGCCGCGTCTGGTGGCAAGAGGTGCCCCTTTTGCTTGGCCATCCGCCACGATTGCCGGCGACACCAAGTTTTACATGTGCGATGCAAACATGTTCCTGTGCCCACCTCCACCATTTTTTCTCTAACTGTATGACTATGTGGTGGTATGTTGCGAGGCCTCTAAGGAGGCAGGTCATGTTTGCAAAATTCCTCTGCAGGTGCGGGCAATGTTCAAGATCACATTGGGTCGACGCAACTGCTCCCGTCTCTCCTGGTCCGTTACCATGCTTAGGACCGCATTATCTCTTGCACGAGTTTGGTCATGAATAACAACGTATCGTTCATCTCCCTGTGTCAGCATTCTGCAAGTGCTCATTAGGTCGTGGTGACGGTTCAGATACTCGGACATATTCTACACAGCTCTCATTGAATACAGGATTTGAAGGCTATCCTCAACAACGACTGCCCTCTCACTGTCTACAGTAGCCTCCTGTATATACACCATGGGGAACGAGATCAGTAGTGAAGAGCCATGGCCTCGCCAGCCCCATCGATATGACCGCCCTGAAGCGACTCCGGCTCCGGGTCCGGCTCCCGCTGTCATTGCTCGATACATCACTTCCCTTTGCGTCGGAGAAGACATCAAGAATGTCAAAGTCATTGGCAATCGGCACATAGTCACGGTAGGGACCACCAAGAATCGAGACGGTTATAGACACTTCATGGTTTGGCACGCCGGAACAGGTCAGCACATTCCCATCTATCGGAACGACATTGACTTCAACGATGTTGCCGACCGTAGTGGCGAGCAGGATAGCGAATATGATGATGGCCAACCCGGATCCTCTGATGTTCGTCGCGAGGCATATCGAGCATATCGAGCAGATCGAGCATATCGAGCATATCGAATTGCAAATTACAGAGACAGAGGAAGCGGCCTTCGACCGGGACAGCCTCAAAAGCATGGAAACAGCAAGACGGCCGGCAAAGCCTCCCAAATTCGGCCAGGCGTGACGCTTAACTATCACGTCAGTGGTGACATCGTCTTGTCGCCGAAATTTGACCACGGTTGTTCCTTCCTACGACCCGACCACAAGAGCGCCAGCATCGACAACGTCGACATACACGAACAAGCCAGCTCCAGTGGACCCGACGACCTAGGCAGTCTCTGGCTCCCTGTAGCTATCTCCCCGAATCCCGGTTCTATCCCAGGGTTCCCTGAAGTCTACGCCGGCGTACGTTACAAGCACACGACGGATTTGTGTATTGTGGGGATCTCACCGACGCGAAGGCTGGAGAGCTCCTGGAAGGTCCACGATGATGAGATCACACACCTGGCATTCACGAGCAACGGCCAGCACGTCGTCAGCTTGGCGAAGAACAAGACTTGCCGGATTACTAGCATCACCTTCGGCCCGATGTTTGAAGAGAGGCGTTTTCACACCAAATACAAAGCGAGCATGCTTCAAGTGGCCGGGGACCCCCCGATGATTGTGTCGGTTTGGGGCACTGACGTGCATATCTGGTACCCATGGGCGAACACTGAGCAGTTCTGGTCGTACAGCTTGAACGAGCCCAGGAAAACGCGAGTCGTTCCGCTATGTATTTCTGGCGACTGCCAATATCTAGCTTGCGGCACGAACGATGGCTTCGACCTCATCTATGTGGCATCCGGTGAGCCATTTGTGAAGGGCCTAGGGCGAGGGTTGGGGCTATGCGACATTCAGAAGGGGGCATTCGGCGCAGACTGCCAGTCCATCGTCGTCGCAACCGCAGACAATCGTGTTCACACCTTTGAGCTTGACGGAATGGGGCGGGATCAACATAAAAGACCATGCCCAGAAACGGAGAACAGACATCCAGGTGAAGAGCACGGGCGCCGGGTGACCTTTGCAACAGGTCAAGATAATCATCATCAGGCTGGTGCAGGACAGGAGAGGAGCATCAAGATAGAGGGCGTGTTTTGGGGTGTCACCGGCAGTCCTGGGACAGACCCGCCGCCTTATACGCGTTAGACGTCGGCGCTCCCGCAGGACCATTGGGGTTGAATATGTATCATCACGGCTTTCTTCTGTCTCAGAAAAAATAGGCCTTTCGTCTGAGTTGGCTCGCAAATTCCAGTAGCCTAGAGGACCGTCTCTTGCCCCTATGCCAAGATCATACTGAGTAGCACATACCACCTCTACATGTAATGACCCATGAAAGAGTCATAGTCTGGGCACCATTGGGCACACCTGTTCCCCTAACGGACTCTTTTTGTCCCGTCAGGGGAAACCACCAACTTTGCTTTTCACGGGTGTGGCTGGTCTCGAATACAGATCACTCGGGGTTGCCATTGCCGTTACTGTACACAAGGTGTGAGTCATGCATGCTGTTGCACCAGATAGACCAACTTATTATGCTCTTGGAGGGGGGCACCATGCTTCCAGTCAACTTCAGCGTCTCGCTTCGCACCACCACGTTGATGGGGACGAAAGCTTGCAGTTGCATCGACCATGTGATATAAGGCGAGGCGTCTATAGAGCAGGCGCTGAGTTAACCAGCAGGCCTGTGATAATCACTTCAGATTGATGCCTCTCAGAGGCGAACTTGAAAAGAGGCAGCACAGCAATCCTGCGAGAGCTTGCAACCACACCGAGTCCAGTGAGCTGGCTGGTCTGCGTCGATCCTTGAAACCACAATCGAGCTGCCAGAGCCGACCACCGGGAATTGTTGAGGAGTTTACACTCCAGAAGAAGCGATTGACGAACGCAGCCCGTACATCTGGAGGCAAGACGGACAGGCTTGTTTTTGCCCCACACATTCAGGCCGGCTGCGCACATTAGACCAAGATGAAAGTCCTCATCGGGTAGACAGGGCTGAGCAAGGGAACGCATATACAGCCACAGGCTGCGGCAGTGCGGCGGGGTGCATATTCCCTTCCCGTCGGCCTGCATTCATTTGCATCTGGGTTGGATCTGCATCCTTGTTGACCGTGATTCAAGAGGGTGTATCATGCAGCCAGAGCATGATAGCGATTCTCTTTTGCTTCCATGCCAAGGACCAAAGATCATGACCTTGGGTCACTCAATTTGAAAAAAGGAGGTAGAGAAAGACCAAAAACAGGATGGGCCCCAGGCATCGGTTTGAGACTGGTGCTTGAGGCGCAAGTATCTGCGCTGGAATATCCGTGGTTTTAGCGAGTGGAATATAATAGCTTGCTTCTTAATTCCTAAGTGTGGCCGGGTATCACGGTCGTGGACAGCAGGTCATGAAGCCAGTCCACCGGGTCCAGCGCAAGGCTGGGCGGACGTCGACCCCCATGCTCACCAAAGCCATGGTGTAAGACCCCTGATCCTGCGCGCTCCACGCGCGCACAGCCCTTGCAGTATCCCAGCAGCTCCACACACCTTTGTGGCACGATGGGCACTCGCCAACGGTCAGGTCGACCAAACGCGCATAGGCGCGCTCGGCCAGGATGATGGGAATAGACACTTCCTAGCAGCCACTAGCTGTTGTAAGGGGCGATGGCAAGATCCAAGAATGCTGTGCCATATCAGAGACTAGAAGGTCGCGGAGGAGAGTCGACCTCACAAGCCACTGGCTCCGGTCATAGAAGAGTGAGTGTTCGAGACTGTGGATCCATTAATATTGTCGTTGATCTTGACTTGATCCATGCCTCAATGAAGATCAGATCAACATTTGCGGAGTGCTCAATTCAAATTCAGCTCTCGGCAAAGGAATCCAGTGCTTATCGATCCGCATCCAGCATCCCGGCCAGGTAGAAGTGGGAAAGCGGTTGCGAGCGTGGAGAATAGTGCTTTACAGGCTAGTCGGACTTGATGGACTGGTTTTTGCCAAGACCAGAGCATGATGTCTGCGCCGTTGTTGCCGCTAGCCTGAGAAAATTGCCCAGGCCCTCAGGACTGGGACTGGGCTCAAGTGTTTGGGCGTCACTATCGGCACTAGAAGGACGAAAAACAAGTTCGGCCAGCAAACGGCTGATGCTACCCCAGGGGAATGTTGCGCAGCGTGGTGGCCGTTGATGCATCGAGGTCCTGGCCAAGCGGGACTAAATTTGCCATGACATGCTTGCGAGAGTCTCCAGGTTTGTGTGAGCTTTGACGCCGTCGCTTGCCGTCGCGATCCCCGACCCGCATTTCGAGTGCCGATTTGCGCGCGTGAAAGGGTGGTAGTGGTATTAAGACCGAGTCCTGGAGGCTAGCACACTCTTAAGGTTCTAAATGAGCGTGACGAGGTAAAAGTTTGACGGCTTGGCCGTTGACAAGATCCCTGCGCATGACATGACCTCATGTGTGTTATGGCAGCGCGATGTTGCTGAAATCAGGGGTAGAAAAACAGCCGCGCCTGGTTATCCGATGAACCCCTTCGGCAGTCCTCTGACGTCTGACAGGCGATCCTGTCGAGAAGCCCGCGTTTGCCGTGTGTGGCCTGCAAAGGGCAAAGGGCTGAAAAGATGTCGTCGATCGATGTGCGAGCAAGGTCAGGCCGCGATGGAGCTCGGGGCCTTTGATAGGGAAGGACTGTGTTTCAAGCCCTGGATATGCGCGCGGCGTGGGGATATGGAAAGGTCGAATGTTTTCCCAGTGACGGGTGTGACCTGCTGTTTGGGATCTCGAAGTTTAAACGTTGGCGTGGTCCTGGCGAAGCGAAGCGAAGCGAAGCGATGCGATGCCAGAGTCCCCACTCGTTGGGTGGGCGTGGTACTGTAGTCACTGTAGTGTAGTACTGTAGACTGTCTTGGACTGGCTGTCTGACTGTGTGGCTAACCCGCAAGAGGGCAGCTGTGTCGGGGATGCTGTTCCCACCGCCCCTTGCAGCCCTTGCAGCCCTTGCTGCCCTCACCTTATCTTCCTTCACCTCCACGCCTCATCTCGACAAAGACCCGCAAACCACATCAACCACATGGCGAGGCAGACTCGGGTGCAGCATTGGATCATTGCAGCAATCTCTGCCTTGAATCACCAATCTCCCTTGCTGACAGGCTGGCTCACCTTGCTCCTCCAGCACCACCTCACGTCCCCTCAGCTCATTTACATCCGGAGCAATTAACCACACTATCTACATTTTACATTACATTACACCACACCACACCACACTACACATCGGGCACTGAGACAAACTCAAAGCTGGGCAAAGCAAGGTCCAACCACGCCGCCCTGCACGCGCATCTTGGTAGCCAGGCCCAGGCAGGGGTCCCTTGACCCCAAGACCCGGCCGATTGAGTGTGGTCCAGCCCGCGGTCCGCTGTGTGGAACCAGCACCCATGGCCCATTTGCTTTTCCGGCCTCCCACTTCGCGACATGTACTGTACTGTATCCGTCCACCGACCAGCTTCTTCTGTCCTGCCACTCCCCGCCCTCGCCCAGGACGTCCGGTCCTTCCTCCCACTGGACTTCTAGACGACCAGCCAAACACCACCGCAACAATTTGAGCCGCACGTGGCTTAAATGCACGACACGAAATCAACACGAACCGACACAGGCTCCATAAGCACCACCCGCACGAGCATCTGTTCAGTCGTCTTGTCCAGGCAATTCGCAGCCATCCGTGCTCAGCGTACCGTCATGATACCCTGGGCATGACTCCATTCTCGTGACCCACAGCGCGACCAACCTGGAACCTTTGGCGCCCAGTCCTGGAAACGAGGAGAGAGATGATTGCGCGGCAGACACTGCGAGTTGGGGTTATTGTTGGAATCTGCATTGGAGCTCTTGGTATCCTTTGCATCGCCGCCGTTGTTCTGCGGTCTTGCTGTTGCACGGGAAGGAACTCGACACAAATGCCGCGCACAGCCACCTCAGACGACCTGAAGGACGACGTATTCGAGATGAGGGAGGAGGTCCCGAAGACTCGGATCGGGCGAGTCTTCTCCAGAATCATCTCCAGACGACGGAAACCGCGAGGCCAAGATTTCTATGAGCTGTCCAGGGACAGCTCCCATCTGGGGAAATCTCTAGGTAGCAGAGATCATGCTTTCCGCTCGCCGCACGCCGAGTTGGACGGCACCGAGGTCAATTCGATTGGCGAAGTGATGTACCGGCGCAACCAGAGCACGGATGGGTTAAGCGCGTACCAGAGGGCGCTTCAAAGGTTGGAGCCGGCAGCGAGGAAGTCTGTGCATGACATCAGCCTGGAAGGGCATCATCACCAACCTCAAGAATCGTCACCACCTGCCTCTGCGCCATATTCCGAAGTCAACTACAACTCCCTGCCTTCAATGCCTTCGCCAGCAACGCCTCGGTTTTCGACAAGGCAGTCTCGACGCTCCGAACTCCCCGCTCCACTAAACATTGCACCTCCAAAACCGTCTGCATCATTCGTGAAGAGCTCCTCTAACGCCAACTCGACCTTCATACAGTACTCACCATATGATTATCACACGCCTCACACGGTCTCGCCATTGCGGACCGACGACGTCGGCCCAGTTTCCAGAAACGGGCCTTCATCTTCACATTCATCCAGTTCAAATCAATCGAGCCGGACGTCGAATTCTCCAAGGTCTGTGTCATCACGCGGGCCGGTGTCTTCCATCAGCAGGCACAACTCAGCAGTTAAGCCGGTGGAGGCTCGGTCTCTACCCCCACCAACCCCGACATACCACCAAAGCCAAAGGGCGCCGATCGACACCGAGAACATAATTTGTCTCGGACCCATGCCCGAAAATATACAATTTCCGTCGCCATCCAACAACCATTTCAGGTCTCAGTCCCAGCAGAACCCTCGGTCACCACCCAAGCTCGTCATACCAGACGAACAGTACAGTTTACCCGCATCACCGAGCAGTCCCAGCAGCCCGGTCACCCAGGACCTATTCTTGCACGACCAGAGTCCACTGGCGCCGTATCAGAGTCCTGTCAAGTCCGTGTTCACGCGCGAACTCTCACTCCACTCGAGTCGGCAGGGGGGCGGCGAGTCCTATCACGAGGCAGAGCGGCGTGGATCAACCGATAGCTTGGGCAGCAACTTCACCGTCGAGGAAGAGGCGCGCATCCAAGCCCAGATCGTCAAGAACCTGTCCATGCTTGGCCACGAGCGTGTAGGCGGGGAGAGCGACATCGTACACGTTCCTCAGCCCTCGCCTAGGAGATACAGCTGGGAAGAGGTCTGATTGGGCCCGCGGAACCTTTCGTCGCCGACACGTTTCTTCTTTCATACATATACATACGACGTTGTAATTTCCACCCAGACTGGACTCGACGAAACTACATTCACAGCCGTTTTTTCTTTTTGATTTATCGACTATATCATTGTAACACCATCTCACAGCCTCTTCATCACTATCGACTACGGCTGAGGTATCACTGCTTTCTGAATACCACTTACGCGACGGAGTTTGGGACTTGACAGCGCGGAGCCCCGCGTTCTCAAGAGTCAGAACAAGTTAATGGATGACGTATGTGGGGTTTTCAGGCCGACAAAGGATTCGCGAGGCGTTGTGGTTTTGACTTAAGGGAATATATGTCCTGAATTTATGGGCGACATGGCTATTTCCCTGGCCTGTTCGTGAGGGGTTGGTGGTTTCTAGGAGTTAGACAAAGCCGGTGCACGGCTGCCACGGCCTGGTTGGCTATCTGTATACAAATAATGCACTGGAGCTGTACGAAGACGAAGAAAATGAGGGGCGGGTGGGTATCTGCCGATGTACTGGTAGCCATCAAGCTCAATAAACGATGATCATCAGATCGAAAAGTGTTCCTGCATACGACTGAATAAGCCCTGACCGCAACCACTGATCTTGAAAAAGATCCAGCAACAGCAGGATGAAGTCGAGCAGATTTGCTCCAGCCAAACAGGTCTAATGCTATCTGAGTCGATGTGGACAACTGTCACAGTGCGTCCTATCTGATCCGATCACCGCTGCCAGGCTCACGGTCGAGCTGCCCAAAGAATGCTGAAAGGGACTTAGGCGGTCACGACCAGGATTACCCAGACATTTCGGCTTCTTGAGGATCCCCTGATCGCCACACGGGGTAAGCGAAACCACAACCCAATAGCCTCGAATATACTTTGGTCTTCCTGCCCACTTTCATAGGTTTCGTCGCCTATGTCCCACAGCAGACTGTCCAGGCAGAAGTTCCGCCGTAGATCACAATCCCTCTACCAAGTCTCCATCCATATTCCCGCGACTTGAAGAAATCGTTTGGCTTCGTCGTTGTTCTTCGCCTTGCCCCCGATGACCAGCGCATCCTCCAACGCACGACGGACAGAAATCGGCATCCTGCCTGCGTTTCCACAGATCACGAAGATCGGCACCGCGTCAGACCGATTAATCACATGACATATATCTTCCGCAAACCGCCGTATCTGGTGCTGGATGTACATTTTCCCCCGGTCGTAGTCGACGCTCTGCAGCCACGGTGTATTCTCTGCAGTCATCCGCTCCGCCCCAGAGAAAATGTCGGGTTCGGGCTTGAACGCATTCTGCTTCTTCTTGGTGTAGGGGTCGAGGAAGGGCATATCGGACTCAACGATGGGGTCCCTTGAAAATGCCTCGATGACACGAAGCTTGTCATAAGTCTTCCATTCGGAGCCGTAATAGTAGTCCGCCTCCCTGTTACGCGCGCCGAAAAACAGCACTGTCCGCCCAAGGTCATGATAAAGGTTGCGCTCTTGGATAAGACTACGTATTGGGGCAATGCCGGTTCCTGTGCCGACGGCTATGAGTGGCCGATGCACATGGTGATCGCCGCACGGTGGAGGATGGGCATTTCTGGTAAGCCCAACAACCAACGTTGTACCTGTTTTCAGAGACTTGAGATACCTGGAGCAAAGACCCTTCAAAAGAGCCGTCAGCAACCAGTAGACAGACGATCCAGAACGTCAGGGCCAACCAGCAAGATCCTGGCCGTGATAAAACATACCTGTCTGGGCTTGCGAATAATTGTCTTGTATTCAACCATGGCCGCGAGGATTTCAATATCGTGCTGCTTTGCCTTAATGGATTCGTGGGAATTGCTGTGATTAGCGATGCTGAAAGCGCGTCCGCGGATGAAAGGAAACGTCTCCAGGGCATAGTCGATCGGTATCTTCACGCCAGGGAAGTCATGGAGCACTTCCAGAATTGTGCGCCGGGGACGTGAGGTGTAATCATAAAATTCTTGGGTATTCGACTCCGATGTAAGCTCCATCAAGCGCTCCTTCTCGCGCTCGTCCACAGTATGGCGCCGCAAGTCCTTGAGAAAAGTGCGGTTAGGGATCGCATTGAAGTCGATGTTGTGAATGAGCAGATCGCGGATGGTGGCGTTCTTGGTGGGGTGAAGCTTTCGAGGGCATCTCATACCTCCTTCCGCAAGGTTTGAGAGGCCCTTGTCCATAGAGCTGGTGCTGTACTTCCAAATGATGCGCATGTCTGCCTTGTCGTTCCAGCCCATCAAGTCGATTAATTCCTGGGCGTCAGCTGGAAAGTTCTTGGGAAAGATTGTCAGTGTGTCGCCGGGCATAAGAGACGGCAATAGGTCATCGCTCCGAGGTGTTCTGTGGACGCGTATCTTGAGCAAGCGCACATCCTGCCAGTGTGTTTCAGGAGTCACACGTTGGTTGTCGACCAATTCTGCTCGATAGACTTGGGGAACCGAGATCAGCTTTGGCGGAGGCAGTTTATCTGTGTAAGGTAGCTTGTCTTCGTTTCCGGCAGAGGGGAGATCGTAGTTTATCGGATGGTCTTTCAGGATGTTATCTTTGTCAAGATTGACAAGATCACGATCGCTGTAAGGTCTGTCGCCAAAGTCACCTCGTCGAAACGCTTGCCCAAAGCCGTCGATACGGCGAATAGTCTCGTCATCACGTTCCTCTTTGTCGCTTTTGGGGTTGTTGACGTGACTGAGCGCTGCATGCTTTTCGCGATTCGCCTCCCAACGCTCCTCATCCGACACGGAGTCCATCTCGGCCAACTCAATCGGGTACTTTGGCGGAAGAAGGACGTCGTCTGGGATCGGGTCGATGCCCTGTGGAAGTGGAAAATCGGCGGAAAGACGTGCCTTGAGGTTCTCAAACCAGGGCAAGTAAATGCTGTCAATGCTGCAACGAGGTTAGAGTCGAGATGTAAAATCAGAAACAGGTCGGACGTGTGTCCCCGCCTTGCACTGTAGCTTTCTGCCTGAGGATGACAGCCCTTCGAGTTCAGAGAATAGGAATTTGAAAACAATTTAATATTCAGGTGTCGTACTAACCCGTTGTCGTGCCTTTCGTCCCCTTCTCCAGCCGGGTAGAATTCGACGGCGCCAAGTTGTAAGAGGCGTTTGTGCAGTTTCCTCGCAGCCCAGTTGAACCTTTGTACTGTTAGTCAGCCTCTTTTTGACCGCTTAAAGGGGGCCAGGCGGGTCTCGGTCTCACTTTGGATAGGAACTATCACCAAGCCCAAAGCTGGTGAATTTAAGCTGGCTCAGGCAATCCGGAGGCAGTTTCTTTCTCAGGATGCTCTTCCAGAAGGTGGCGGCATTGGCTGGGATGTCTCCTTGACCAGTTGTCGAAGTAACAAATACTGCAAGCGAGCACTGTGCTAATTCTTTCTAAAAGCGAGCCGTCAATTTTGATTCACTTTTACCCACCTTGGTGTGATGTGGAGGTGGACAAGCTTACCAGAGGCACATCGTTCATCTCCTCGACCTGCGTCTGAAAGCGCTGACTCTCCGCAGCTCTGCCAACTTCCTGGGCAATCTCCTGGCTCTTGCCAGTCTCTGTTCCGTAGAGGACAAGCAACGACCTGTTCTCTGGGACTTCCCCGCCTGTGCCATCTGTCCTCTCCTCCGCCTCCATGGCTAACAATGGTTTGGATCGCGGAAGGCGCAGACAACCTACACCTTTCTCAATGGCCTGCCTGTGCCTCTTGCCGAAGCGACCCGTCTATCGCCTCTCTAAAACTGACGTGCTCTCTCTGTTCGTATGTTCTAGTTTAAATCTGATAGACTTGAAAAGGGACACGAGGGAATGACGTTGACTCTGCCAAGACGCCTACGGAGAGGATATGATGTTCCTTCCAGGCCACAAAGAGTTCGCTCGAGAATTGTAGCAAGGTGTTGAAGTATTCTTCAGACCTCCAAATTCTTTAAGGTGTTGGATGATTCCAACTGAGAGGTCCTGTGAGGACTCTTAACGACTTGAAGCACTACTGGTTGAAAGTGATGACAAGGTCGAGTAGACAGAAGTATCCCTGCATACGCTGCTCTGCCTGAAGATACATCCGAGCGGCATGATAAAATCTTCAGGGTACTTAGGCCAGAAAGTAGATCTTAGCAGCGGCAACGTCTGGTCAGCCGAGGTCGGACGCTGAGTCAACTTCCCCAGACCAGCCACTACAGCCTTCCAACTTCACAGTAGCCTTCAGCCCTACGAGCTCAAGCCCCCCTTCTCAGAGTGCAAGTGAAGAACCACCACTTTGCGAAATTGCGCGAACAGCGAAACACCCCAGAATGGTGATCTCACACACACTGACTACTTTGTTTTTAAGATCAGAAAAAGGAAGAGTAAATAAAAAGAAACTGAAAGAAAAGGAAAGAAAAGGCTCAGAAGTTTTTAGCAAGGCCACACTGTCTATGCGGTCCGGAGATTCTGAGGTGCTCGGCCCGTATAGGAGCCAGGTGCGGCGGATGGATCAGAAGAGCTATCAGCAGCTAGAGGATAACCACCTACATAGGTATACCATTTACCTGGGTTGGCAGACTTCTGCTCGACCATGTCTGTATTTGACGGTGCGCGGCTCATGGTTTTTAGCAATGCCAGGCCAAATGACCAACGCAAGCAGACGAGCTATCCTGCAATCGATGATGGGAGGGAGGTAAGAATAAGGGGTGCCGTCCCCCTTTTCCTGATCTTGTTGCTTCGTAAGATGCACAGTACATAGATAAAGCAGAGACAGGTACAGCATGTGGCGGTGCGCCAGAACCAATGAAGCTGCATAGAGTGTCGAGACCGGCATTGACGGGGGCCCAAGAGGCATCATCAATTGGAGCTACCTGTCCAGGTGCCCTTGACCGCTTCCCGCCCAGGTGCCGGGTCAGGGGACCTTCTAGAACAACAGGCGAGGCTGAAAGGGCCCCATTTGCCGCCGACGGCGCGGAAGCTTTGTGGATGCGATGCCACATCGAGTGGGTACCAGTGCATCACTCTGATCCTCTGCCACGGTAATCCTTCATGTTTGTTCAAGATGAACTGTAGCTAGTGACGCACTTTCTGATACTTTGGATTACCAACGCCACTAAACGACGCCTTTTTGCTTCAGACGGCCTAGGGCTGTAGATGTCAAGCCTGGCTCCGATGTTGACGTTAGCTGTGCATTGCACATGTGAGCCATGTCTCAGTCTCTTTCAAGGAGTTGCAGACCCTGGGTGGCTTTGGACTAGCATGAAGGCATCACGCTCGTGCAAGGGCAATCTTGGAGGCATGGCTGGTGGCATTAACAGGCCCTGGCATCGTCATTTCCCCGGCAATAGAACACGGAAACCTGAGAAGCAACAGTCCACACCAAACGAGCAGGAGACGCGTGACTGAGTGAGAAGTGAAGCGTGAGCGACGGTCAAAAATGACGGAATAGGGAGTCTGAATCCCGCCCCCCGAGTCTTGATCTGATTCGTCCATGGTGCAGTTGCCACCAAAGTGAAGCCCTCTCGACAAGTGAAAGGTCTTGCTTTGTGCAAACAAAAGACGGTTTGCCTCTGCTTGTTCGCCTGCATGTGAGCCTGCCTGGAGTGAAAGCCCTCGTTTTCAGGTACTCCTTCCCACCTAACCCCACTGTCTCTGGCGTTACAGCATCAATACATTAAACCAGCAGCAACCAGAAGGGCGTCGTTGATTTTCTCGCGCGCGTGCTCTCTTCCTCTGACTTCTCTCTGCATCACCGATCAAAGTCAACAATCCCATAGTCTACCTGTGTGTAAGCAACCTCCCGTCCGCCCCTTCCTTGACCCGGCCGCCAATCAATCAGTCCTCCCCTATTGAGTGACAGGCACCGTCCAAGTCGAGCCTCCCCTGACACGAACCAATCAGACAGCAGCACAGCAGGCCAGAGCAGACCCAGAGCAAGCAGAGCAGCCTCTTGAGCAGGTACGTTTGCAGGCATTTGATGCGCCACACTTTCCCACTTTGGACCTGGCTCCTCCCTCCCTTCTCCCCCACCCCTGCCCGCAACCAGCAGCTTGGGGCTGCTGGCACTGCAACTGCAGGCACCTAGACGGGCAGGCGAGCCCCAAAAAAATTATTTGACCAGCGCGACAACAAAGGGCTCCAGAGCACAACGTCGACCTCCCTCTTCTTCTTCCCTCCCTCCATCTTCACTCCCAACATCAAAGATCGATCACAGCAACGCTCACCCCACCGTCAAGCCTCCCTCCCCCCACAAGTTATCTAGGGCACTAAGCTACCCTTTTCCTCCCCCTCCTATTGAGAACAGAGTTCAATCCTTTGCACCTGACAAGTTCCTGCGCGTCGTCGACCCTCGCAACTAATTCTACTTGCCGGTCCACAACAGCAACAGCTCAGCTTGATCCAGCACAACTCTCCATCCTGACTAACACCCCTCAGACCCAAAAAGATCACCTATCCGTCAATCACCCAGATCAACCAGCCAAAATGTCTGCCCCCCAGGAGAACAACACCGCTGACGCCGCCGTCAACGACGTGACTGCCGCTCTGTCCAACACTGCCATTACTGAGAAGCCTACCGATGCCAACGCCCCCAGCCCCGCTGAGGGTTGCCGCCTCTACATCGGAAACCTGGCCTACGCGACAACCGAGGAGGGGTTGAAGGAGTTCTTCAAGGGCTACCTTGTGTGAGTCACCAACCTGTCGTGCTCGCCGAGCCAGCCCGTTTCCTCCAACAGCACGTGCCCTTGTGCGGCTAGCTTCCATATGCTGCCATGCTGTTGCTATCACCATCACGTCGACATGTCGGAACCAAGCTTAGCCACTTGCACGGATTGCTAATCTCATTCTTCTTTAGCGAGGGAGTCACCATCCCTAAGAACCCAAGAACCGAGCGCTCTGTGGGCTACGCCTTTGTCGACCTCTCCACTCCCACCGAGGCCGAGCGGGCCATTGCCGAGCTCTCTGGCAAAGAGATCCTGGAGCGCAAGGTCTCTGTCCAGCTTGCTCGCAAGCCCGAGGCCAATGCCGAGAAGACCGATGCCAACGGAGAGGGCGAGGGCAACCGTCGCCGCCAGTCGACCCGTGGCCGTGGCCGTGGCGCCCGCGCCCGCGGCGGACGGGCTGGCCGTGCCCGCGAGGTAAGATATCGCCCCGTAATAAAAGATGGAAGACGACAAGAAGCTCACAAGCTCTGTTCAGGACAAGAAGGAGGAGGGCGCCGAGAGCGCCGCTGCGGCCCCCGCAGATGCCGCAGCAGACACCGAGGTTCAACCTTTGCAAGACATCACCAACAAGACCAACAACACTGACCCTGATGGCAAGGCCAAGACCCAGGCTCGCCCTGCGCGTGAGCGGCGCGAACGCGGCCCTCCCGCCGATGGCATCGCCTCCAAGACCAAGGTCATGGTGGCTAACCTACCCTACGACCTGACTGAGGAGAAGGTATGAAAGGAAACTAGGTGACGCAGGAGCTTTATTTGCTGACTCGGCTTTTTCTCTGTAGCTCAAGGAGCTCTTTAGCGCCTACCAGCCTTCTTCCGCCAAGATCGCCCTGCGACCTATTCCCCGCTTCATGATCAAGAAGCTTCAGGCACGCGGTGAGGCCCGCAAGGGTCGTGGTTTCGGTTTCGTCACACTGGCTTCGGAGGAGTTGCAGCAGCAGGCCGTCAACGAGATGAACGGCAAGGAGATCGAGGGACGAGAGATCGCTGTCAAGGTCGCCATTGACAGCCCCGACAAGACCGACGAGGAGGCCAACGCTCCTTCCACTGAGGGTGAGAACGGCGCCGAGCAGGCTGCCGCCCCCGCCGCCCCCGCCGCTGCTTAAATGCAGCGCGGAGAACCGCACGACAAAATCGCCCAAATGGATCATCGACTAAGCAACCACGCGGGCTGTGATTTTGGAACCATCATCTTAGTCTTATCCTGGCGCGTCAACAAGGCAGATGAATATACTATGATTCGGCGTGCGGAACGGTGAACCTGGTTGGCTTGGACTGGTGTGGAAGGGGTGAGATGGTCTTCAGCGTCCAGATGTGGATCGACAGGTGATATGGACAGCGGAAGTATCATGTTCGCCTCTTTTCGCATCCATGTACAGCACAGCTTAATCTTCACGAAGCATTTCATCGCCCGTTCGCATCTCTGTATTGATAAACCATTTCTCTCATTTTCTCCCGGCCTGTACATTAGTCGCATCCGGAGAAGGGGTTGATGGGAATGGGAAAAGTTCATGCGGGAGAAATTGAATGAATGACCATTGATGATTTTCATGAATGCTGTCATCCCAATGGAATTGTGACTAGAAAGCGATGACCTTGCTAAAGAACCAGAGGTATTGCCGTACAGCACTCCGCAGTCGTAGAGATCCCAAGTGTCGGTCTATAATTTAGCCGGTCAAAGCCGTCTTTTGAGAAGGGTTTGTGATGGACGAACTACATCTTTGTAGGATATTCTACAGGATATCATAGAACTAACGCACGGTAGGTTAGTTTTTGCTTTCTTTCGATATAATGCGCCATGGAGTATATGCACTCCGGTCTACGTCCACGGTCCACCGCAACCCTTTGGCATCCCTGCGAGCTGTAGCGTGGTGCGTGGTTCGCTCTTGGCCAGCTACTGGAATGGAAAAGAGCTATTGGCTGCCATTGGGAGAATTAACCCCACACTCCCTGCCCAAGGCGGTACCCGTTAGCCCCCAAGACTCCATTCGCCTCGGACCGCTCAAACGAAATCGAAACAGCCGCGAAGAAGTACGATTGTGAGCGCAGAGGAGGCATCTCGACAGGCAGATTCTCTCGGCTCGATCCGCGGCTAACTGTGCAGAACAATATTTGGTGTCTTTCTACCGCCTTGATTGGTTTCTGTTCCTGTTTAAGTGCGCACACAAAAGGGCCACGCGAGCCACGAGCTTCATCTCGCCGATACCCAGGGACGAACTTTGTAGCGACAGGAGGACAACAATTTGCCCATCATGGCCTCGAAAGCCATGTGGGAGGTGGACCCGGAGACTCGTTCCAAGGTATGCTGCAGCTGAGAAGAAAGTGACAGCAACGCTTCCACCTGCCGACCTAGTCGCTTCTTCCACCATTTGCACGCCGGGTCCGCTGACGTGGCGTCGTTCAACAGCTCCTCGCTATCCAAAAAGAGTCTGGCAACTCCCTCTGTTGTGACTGCAACGCACCCTCGCCGCAATGGGCATCTCCAAAATTCGGCATCTTCATATGCTTGTCATGCGCAGGCGTCCACCGTGGACTGGGAGTACACATCAGCTTTGTTCGATCCATCTCCATGGACGCCTTCAAGCAGACAGAGATCGAGCGAATGAGGCTGGGCGGAAATGAGAATTGGAAAAGCTTCTTCGACAAACACGAGACTACCAAGATGACGGGCATGAGCTGGGACGATGCCACTATTGCCGAGCGATATAGCGGGGAGGTTGGTGAGGAATGGAAGGAGAGGCTGAGTGCCAAGGTGGAGGGAAGGGAATACGTGCCTGGTGAGCGCAAGGCAGCACCGGCGAAGACCAACACGGGCAGTGTCTCAAGGTCGGCGACGCCCCTGAGCGGCACCGCAAACAACAGCGGCAGCAGCAGGCCGCAAAGTCCCGGTGCAAGCGGTGGAAAGGCAAAGGTGGATGACAAATACTTTGAGGGCCTTGGGGCTGCCAATGCGGCGAGGCCAGATCATCTGCCGCCCAGCCAGGGTGGTAAATACGCTGGGTTTGGAAATACGCCTGCGCCAGCTGCCCAAGAGGAAGGGCTACCGAAATTCGATGAGCTGCAGAAGGATCCTCTAGCAGCGCTGGGCAAGGGCTTCGGCTGGTTCACATCTACGGTGACAAGAACGGCTACCACAGTGAACAAGGACTTCATACAGCCTACGGCAAAGCAGGTACGTTCCACGCCCAAGTCGTGATTTTGGTGCCTCCACTTGCGTATTCTGTTGCTGATGTACTGCACAGGTTGGAGAGTCGGATTTCGCGGCCCAGGCAAAGGTCTTTGGTGGGCGGATCGGCCAGTCTGTCCAGCAAGGTGCGAGGAGCGCGACTGAGAACTTCAACAAATTCGTCGAGGGGCCGGAAGCAGGCCATGGTGCCTCGCGTAACGCACCCTTGGATGAGAGCAAGAAGTCATTCTGGGACGATTTTGCCTCGTTGGCCGACCAGCGCAAGCCACAGAGCAGCTCGATTGGAACATCCGCGATGGGCAAGGGCAATAGCACCTCAGCGAGGCCCCCGCCAGCGAAGAAGGACGAATGGGATGATTGGTGATTGGGGCGCGCAGGAATTACACAAGCAGGCGAAAGTTTTCTGGTGTTGATTTGAGGGTGTCACACATTAGCTGCCACTTTCTGTATAATCTAGGGCTTTGTTCTCTTCTTCTTTCTAGCCAAGGTGTGCTGGGTGGATGGATAAATAAATGTTATCTTTCTAGACTATATTCCGGCTGAGGACAGAGAGAAAACGATAAGTGGTAATAAGAGAAACCACCAGTCCCAACCAAAAGCATGTGACAGTGCATTCATTTAAACTAGGTACGTGGGTATTATGGCGCCGACTACCGAGCAGGGTGCAGTGTGCAGGACTGGGTGCGGGTCCGCCGAGACCGCTGCTAACCGGCGGAGCTCCGATGCGGCTTTGAAGTCGGTTGCAATGACACTGCCATCCGCTTCTCTTCGACCCTCGCTCCCACTACGCCCTGTCATCGTCACCGTTCGTTGCCAGCATGTCTGCCCTACGTATACTCGTCCCGGTCAAGCGGGTAATTGACTATGCTGTGAGTCCGATCTCGACAAATATCGCAACCCAACTCCACCACTCCACCCCGCGCCGCACAGCGCGATGCAGCCCACAATACTGACCCAATTTGCTCTCCTCCCGTCCAGGTCAAACCCCGCGTCAACAAGGCCCAGACGGGCGTCGAGACCGCCGGCGTCAAGCACAGCATGAACCCATTCGATGAGCTCTCGGTGGAGGAGTCGGTGCGCATCCGCGAGAAGAAGTCGGCCCCCGGCGGCGTCGAGGACATCTGCGTAATCAGCGCCGGGCCGCCCAAGGCACAGGACGTGCTGCGGACGGCAATGGCGATGGGCGCCGACCGGGCGATCCACGTGGACGTCAAGGAGGGCGAGGACCTGGAGCCGCTGACGGTAGCGAAGCTACTAAAGAAGGCGGTCGAGGCCGAGAAGAGCAACCTGGTGATCCTGGGCAAGCAGAGCATCGACGACGACGCCAACCAGACGGGCCAGATGCTGGCGGGCCTGCTTGGCTGGCCGCAGGCGACGCAGGCGAGCAACGTCCAGTTCGGCGAGGGCGACTCGGTCAGCGTCACCAAGGAGGTGGACGGCGGCGTCGAGACGGTCAAGGCCAAGCTGCCCATGGTGGTGACGACGGACCTGCGACTCAACGAGCCGAGGTACGCGAGCCTGCCGAACATCATGAAGGCCAAGAAGAAGAAGCTGGACAAGAAGACGCTGGCGGACTATGGGGTCACGGCCGAGCGGAGGTTGAAGGTCCTGAAGGTCACTGGTACGTTGACACGGCGCTTCTGCCCGATCCTCACTTCTGAAAGACATGTGCTGACATTTGTGCAGAGCCGGCGCCGAGGCAGGGAGGCGGCAAGGTCGAGGATGTGGACGGCCTCGTGGCGAAGCTCAAGGAGCTAGGCGCCATCTGAGGGCGACATCATCCACGTGCAAGCTATCTGTATAACCTAGAATCGAAATATGGGATTGTGGCAGCATACAAATAGAAGCTGCGGCGGGTCAAGTCTTTATTGAAACGAGGCTAGAAGTTTACACATCGATCACCTCAGATACCCGCTTGTGATTTCTATTCTCTGAAGCTATGAACTAACCTTTAGGACAAAGCTCCCTCTGGCTTCGCAAAAATATGTGACCTGCTATATACAGATCTTGTGCTTGTGAGCCAATGTCCTCGAAGTGCGCTGGGGTAATGGATTCATCCATCAAATTCGGATCTCTGGGGCTCTGGGTAATACCTATGGGTCCGGGAATAAGACTTAAGACTTGCCCCATCTCAGGCTGCCCTCTTTCATGACCAAGGCATTACATCACGTTGAACCAGAATCCGGATACGGAGAGTCCTCAGATCATGTATCCATTGTGCAAGTGCTATTCGTATGTGTAATTTTTTATTGTTCTGTCTGTCGCGATGTTCCAATTGAGGAGCGCGTGTCGCCAGCCAAAATGCACAGGCCCGCTGGTTCAGTCTGGGAGTGAGTTGGTTTAAAATGGGGGAAATAGGACAAGAATGGTCCCTGAACTTTTTTCCCCGAGTGTGTGGTAAGCCTCATACAATACCACGGTGAGTGCAGCCTCACATCCTAGAGCAAGGTCTAGGACAGGGAATGTTGGTTTGGAAAATAGAAATGACAATGGCAATGCTACGTTTATCTTTAGCCATTGGCATCCTACCACGCCAGCACGGCTCCCTGCGAAGACTGCAGGGAGAGAGAGGGAGCAAATGCCAAGGGAGCAGAGATAGAGGAGATAGGTGCCAGGGCCAGCAGGGGTAGGCCCCCGCCGCCTGCAAAAAGAGCTCCCCGCGATCGATATCGGAGGGAATGGATACTCTGTCCCGCCCCACCCGTGCTCAGATCCAGGGGAATGACGTGCCTCCATACGGCTAGAACCAGACAAAAGGCTGGAGGTGCGTCTCTGCCCAATGGCAGTCGGCAAATTCTGCTTATCCGGACGCGGAACGCCAAAATTATACTCACTTCTGATTCACAGATTAAACCGACTGACTCTCTCTCTCTCTCCCCCTCCCACAAAACAAACTCATCGCTATTGACAGCCAAAACAAATCCTCGCCCACCTGCAGCAGCCATCCTGGACTCCTCACATCCGCAGCACCGCTGGAACTTTTCTCATAAACCCACCATTGCATCCCAGACAACAGCCCTTATGAACGGGCGCCCATCGGAGTTCACCTCTCAGGTAAGCCAGCACCAGTTTCACAGCCCAAACCTTCTCACCTCCTCCCTCCAGCCGCGTCCCTTGGCTTCGTGCAGCTCGGGGTACTTGCCAATGCGGCAGCCCGTCCATCCTGAATACCTTCTGGAGACGCAGTGGCCGTCTGTTCATTCACGTAGAACCCGCCCATCATGGCTAACACAACTCTTCTCGTAGGACTATCTCTCAGGTTTGTTGCGCAATCTCGCACATGTTTGACTCACCGCCATCCCGTACTGACCCTCTGCCTCTAGACCATCTGTGGAGGTCCCTCCAAGCTTAAAGGCACCCTATCGACCTGCTGTGATATCTACCGTATAACCCCCGACTATCATGTTCTCTCGTGTTTTCGCTACTGCCTCTAAGTCCTCGGCCGCCGGTGCCGCAGGCATGGCGTCTCGGCTCCGGCCTATGCCCTGCCAGGCTCGATACTTGAGCAAGCAGGCATACGATGGCAGCAAAGGAAGGGCCATGCCTCTCCATAGGCCTCGGGCTACTGCTCCCGTGGATAACCTTGACGCTACCTTTACTATTCGGGTAAGTAAGCCTTTACCCCATTGGGCCTCCGAGGCCATGCTGACTCGAAGGCAGGACGGCCCCGTTTTCCACGGATCTGCTTTCGGTGCCAACTCCAACATCTCAGGAGAGGCCGTCTTCACCACCTCCCTGGTTGGCTACCCTGAGTCAATGACCGATCCCTCCTACCGAGGCCAGATTCTGGTCTTCACTCAGCCTCTGATCGGCAACTATGGCGTCCCGTCCAACGTTCGCGACGAGTTCAACCTGTTGAAGTACTTCGAGTCTCCCCACATCCAGTGTGCTGGAATCGTGGTCTCCGACGTGGCGCAGAAGTACAGCCACTGGACCGCTGTGGAGAGCTTGGCCGACTGGTGTGCTCGTGAGGGCGTTCCTGCCATTTCTGGTGTCGATACCCGCGCCATTGTCACCTACCTCCGAGAGCAGGGTTCCTCGCTTGCTAGGATTTCCATCGGTGACGAGTACGATGCCGACGAAGACGAGAGTTTCATGGACCCGGCCCAGATTAACCTTGTCAAGAAAGTGAGCACCAAGGCTCCATTTGTAGTCTCTGCGCCGAACGCGACCTTCCACGTTGCCTTGATCGACTGCGGTGTTAAGGAGAACATCCTGCGAAGCCTGGTCAGCCGAGGAGCGGCTGTGACAGTGCTGCCTTATGATTTCCCCGTCCACAAGGTCGCTGCGGACTTTGACGGTGTTTTCATCTCCAACGGCCCTGGTGACCCAACTCACTGCCAGGACACCATTTACAACCTGGCCCGCTTGATTGAGACGTCGCCTGTGCCGGTTATGGGCATTTGCCTCGGCCACCAGCTCTTGGCCCTGGCAACAGGCGCTCGCACCATCAAGATGAAGTACGGCAACCGTGCACACAACATCCCAGCCCTGGACCTGACGACAGGCCAGTGCCACATCACCAGTCAAAACCATGGTTACGCTGTTGATGCCAGCACATTGCACCCTGATTTCAAGGAGTACTTCGTCAATCTCAACGACGGAAGCAACGAGGGCATGGCGCACAAGACCCGCCCCATCTTCTCGACCCAGTTCCATCCTGAGGCCAAGGGCGGCCCCATGGACAGCTCCTACCTGTTCGACAGGTACCTCCAAGACGTGCAGATGTTCAAGAACAGTCAGAATGTGTACAAGGATAACAGGCCTTCTCAGCTCATGCTAGACCTGATGTCTAAGGAGCGTGTTGGAGTGTGCGTATAATCTTCCCTCATTCTTTTCATATCAAAAAGATAAGTGCTGACATCAAACATAAAGTGAACCTACCCCTCTGGCCACTGCTCAGGCCTGAGCACCATGATGATTCTTGTTTCCTGTTTGAGCGGTTCTTATGGCGGATTGCGATCCTAGGCGGTACTTGTGTTATGATTCAAAAAGTGCTTCAGGCTTTTGTTAATGGAAAACTGAGATTGTGAATTGACATTTGGCCGAGTGACGTTCTGACGGCCTTGGGAGTGTTTCCTCGTTTTGCCTTGTTCATGCCATCATTCATGCTTCCATTGAATCTTCCATCCCAAGTGCTTGATTGACTCTTATCAACGGTCGTGATTTGTTTCTCAACTCATTCTCAGGCAGTTCTTGCATGCGTAGTGCGAGGGACTTCTTGTGAGCTAACACAACAGCACTTGATGTTTCTCTGCCATGACCCTTGGCTCAGAACAGCAGAGCGAGCTGTTTCCGTCCACAGTGGTTGCTGGCATGAGTGACGCGGAGGCCCTGCCGCAAGTCATCTATGAGGTGCCTCAAATTTATTAGCTTGGAATTCTGGCACTGTCAATATTACCTTCTCTTGGTAAAGACGGGCATACCCAGACGGCTCTCACTACGCGTTCGTCACGAACGTGAACGATGTAGCGGGAAAAGGCACAGAATGGCCGAAAGGTGTTCACTGCCGAAGCGGGCTGTGTTGAATCTGCGGAAAAGGTGTATTTGGCGGGAGACGTTCCGAATGAATCAAGTGGACAGCAAAATGTTTTGAATTTGACTGTCACAGGGAATTTGAATCCTTCGGAAGCCGCAGTATGCTTTGCAATGCATGCGCGTACTTTGGGGAATTAACTAGGTCCGATTGTCCTCATGGTATGTGGTTGATCTTCCTGACTATATTTCCATCAATCTTTGTCCTTTGTCCTGATGATTTCAGTTGGAGCTTGGTATTACAATCACAACATGGCGACCGAATGGCTATAAGTATTCATAGATCCGACATGGTAGAAAAGCATTCCCCAAGTACCATCAGGTACCCTTGGTGAAGACTGTTGTGTGATATCGGTGGGCTGGATTTTGTTGCCAAGTAGTGCTAGTCTCGACATGAACTCGTCTAGGAGAATTACACCATCAAGCGGCCGCAAAGGCGTGACGGACTCTCGGCCGGCCCCGCAAAGGTCATCCGGCTTAATTAATGCCCATCAGCGCCGGGTGCCGATATCTGTCTCCGACTGCAACTCTTCAGCTGTTTGGGTGATTGCGCCAGCCAAATCCAGTGGTAGGAGTCCGCATCTTACAGCCATCCCTCTGTTCACTCTTTTTTATCCCGAACATTGTGTCGAGTGCGGCACAGAGCATCCACAATGGCAACATTGACTGAGACTGCGCCGAGCCCGTCGTATAAACTGGAGCTGATGACGGCCTACGGGCCTGTCTACCGGGACGTGCTGAGGACGGCTCCACGAGACTGTGACCCGTCCGAGGTCCCTGTTATCGACCTCTCTGGTATCTACGGGGACCTCGAGTCCCGAAAAGCTCTCGCGGCGACTGTACGCGAGGCCGCTGAGAACACGGGCTTCTTCTACATCAAAAACTCCGGCATCCCGAAAAAATTGATCGAGGCCGCCTACAATCAGGCCAAGAACCTGTTCGCGCAGCCGGAAGAGAAGAAGCGTGAGGTGTCGACGGCGCATTCCAAGTGGTTCAACGGGTGGACAGAGAAGCATGGTAGCCATCTCTCACCGTCTGAGACACGGGACTACAGGGAGGGCTTTGGGTGGCGCTACGATCCCAAGTACGATCCGGACCCCAAGGACCTGGACGCCGTGCCCGAGGACATCAAGCCGTGGATTAGGGGGGAGGACTTTGTGTGGGAAAAGACGAGTCACATCCCTGGCTTTAAGCGGGACATGATCGCGTACTGGCAGGAGTGCCTCAAGCTCGCGCGCCGCATGATCAGGATCTTTGCCCTCGCCCTGGACTTGCCAGAGACGTACTTTGATCACATCGTCACATTCCCGGGTGCTGATGGGGTGCTCAACTACTGTAGGTATCTTCCTCATCACTTTACTGAGGCCATCCCTCTCTGAGATAACTCCCAGGGCCAGAACTAACCCGTGCCAGACCCCAAGAATGAGGACGCGGCCGATGCATCTATAGACGTCGGGCTGGGCGCCCACACAGATCTCCAGTCCTTCACCTTCCTCTGGCAGGACTCGGTAGGCGGGCTGCAGGTGCTCACCAAGGAGGGTCAGTGGATCAGGGTGCCTCCGATAGCAGACACATTCGTGGTGAACATTGGCGACTTCCTGACGAGGCTTTCGAATGACCGCTTCAAGTCGACCGTGCACAGAGTTTATAACCACGCCCCAGTCGATAGATACTCGATGCCCTTTTTCTTCGGCTTCAATTTCAACGAGAAGTGCGGCGTGCTCCCGACGTGCACGAGTGAGAGCAACCCGCCGAAATATGAGCCCATTACCTGTGGGGAGGTAAGTTATACGAACCATCCTATCTGAGCTTTCTCTGGCTGACTGTGTTGCCCGCCAGTGGTGCCAGCTGAGGTTTGAGAAGGGCAGCAGGACGAAGAGGCCAGCCTACTGAGGCATCCAAAGTGGGAACTGAAGTATATGTGAAGATGTGTGAAATAAGTGTCTCTTTGAGTCGCGATATCCTGTTTGCTGCTCATCTTGCCCATATATCCTCTTATCTTACGCCTGTTAGAGTGGAATTCGAGAGACCTTTACTTTGGTGACTATTGGAGTCTGTTGTGTTCAAAGAATCTAGGCAGGTTGTTTCAAGGCGCAATACGCATGGTACTTAGCCCTTCTGTTCATCCAATTGTAAAGGTTCTTTGCCAAAGACAAGTGGCTTTAGGGGGCCGCTGGGGAAGTTTCATATGCAAACAAGCTGGTTTTGGCAGCCAGGGGTGGCCTGGGCAAAAGCCACACTAGGGGGCACCTGCGTCAGACGCCTAGACGCAACGCGCAACTCCCATCCACTTAACCAAGAGCAGCCACGGTCCCCTTTAGCCCAAAGATTGATTCAGCCCGCGAGAGAACCGTCCACCTCACACACGCACCGAGACAAACGGCCTTCTTCCTCTACACACAAGCACACACACACACACATCCAAGCTCCAAGCCAGCCACTGTTCACTGTACCGTATTGCCTGATAGCTTGCGCCCGCCAAGATGGACTTCTCAGACAGCTTGTGAGTTGGACTCGACCCGATCCGCGCGCGGGAAAAAGCTCTGAGCTGTCTGGAGCTCTCAGCTCTCAGCTTTCCAGCTCCAGCGCTGCCAGCCTTTGCTTCCTTGCGCCATTGGAGCCCCAGCTAACAAGTCGGACCCCATCGCAGCCGCATCGTCAACCTGGTGGTTGCCGTCATCATGATACTCGGCGGAATCTCTCAGTTCTTCCCGCTCGGCTTGTACGTTACGTTGCGTTACGCTACTTTGCCCTCTCGGGCCCACCCATCGCACAGCCGCGACACCTCGCCCGGCCACTGCCCTCGATGGATGAGCCTGTGCAACGCCGGGCACTATGTACTCCTCTGAGCAAACATCTATGCGCTTGCCTCAGTGCTGACCCTCTTTCTCACAACAGCCAATCCATTATTATCGGATGCTATGTCATGATCTTCGGCCTCGGTACGCACCTCCTCCTGCTCCCCCCCCCCCCCGGGGAGCCATACGCCCCCCTTTCTTCCATGCTTCTTTCACCGTTACTAACGAGAGCAATAACCAGCCACCGGCCTCCTCGAGTTCCAGATCCCGCCGCAGGTCTCGCGCTACGCCTCCTTCCTCTTCAGCTTCATCGGCCGCGGCGCCTTCTACATCTTCGTCGGCTCCATCCTGCTCGACGGCCACGTCCTGCGCATAATCGCCGGCTCCATCGTCGGCCTCATCGGCGTCTGCTACGCCGTCCTCGAGTTCATCCCCTCCATCGAGCCCCCGGCCAACATGAGGGAGGCCGACGCCGGCTGGGGCGCCGAGCAGGTGTAGAGCACGGCGCAAACCAGAGCCCACAGGCCACGGATCCGGAGCGGGGACCCGGCCAGCTTATGCGCTGCCCTCGGCATCCGTGGCAGGAGTGGGTTTAGTGGGCTTCTCCGGAGAAAACAAATCCGGGGGCCGTACTTGGGGTTTCCGGGAGGAAGTCGGGCCAGGCTGCCTTGCAACGAAAGAATGTTCTGCTACATTTATCAGGCGGGATAGCGCGGGGGGAAACATCGGGTCGTACAAAAAGGGGTGTGTGTGTGCCTATCTGGTAGGCAGGTCTGTACGATGGTTGGGACGGGACTGCTTTTCTAAACGACCAAGACGTGCGGCATTGGGTGGGGGAGGGGGGGTTTTCTACATGAACACGGATGGCTGGCTTTGCTGGTGCTCTCTTTTTAAATGCATATTTGTACGAGTCTCCACGACGGGCGGTATCGCGCTCAGCGTCTCGGTGCGAGAAGGGTTCGGTAGAGGACGCGGCGGCGCAGAAGGACAGGCATCTGTACATGTGACTTACGTTCGTAGACCAGGAAAGACATACTTTGCATTCTAAGCTGTCTGCCTGCCTGCCTGATGCCTACCAAGGGCTATGATAAAACTCCTGTAGCCGAGTGTGCGATAACAACTTCGATGAGTTGCTCCGATGAATCTAGCGCCTCATGCACATTTAAATACATGTAAATGAGTATATCCCCTTGGTGACCCCGAGGTCTTGTTTTGAGTCTTGTAAATCAAAACCGCACACTTTCTTTGTCCTTGGATACCGCCGTCCAGAGCGGCCAAAGCCAGCTCGATGCAAAGTGAGAACGCCGCCCGTATCTGGTGAACACAATTAAGCCAGCGCGAACAGACATGGAAAACCCCCCAGTGGTTCCCCTTTTGTGTAAGCTCCCGTATGCTTGTAAGCCCTGGAACGCCGAAACAGGCACTGAATCAGGACCCATGCTCCGAGGGAAGTGCTGCCACCTAGTAATAATGCTTTTCCTATACCCTCCTCGATTTTAAGCGCCGATGACGGTTGCTTTCCTCCATTGCTCGATTAAGTAGCGCCGTACTTTAGCGACCAAAACTCCCTAAATTGACTGTGCCCTGTGTGTTAATTGCCAAACTCCGCGAGCTCTCTCTCCTTGGCTGCCAGAAGCTCTCTCATTCTCTCCGCCTCTCTCTGCAAAGCCGCCCGCCTCTCTGCCTTCGAAGGGTCACTCTCACCGCTTGCGCTTCTTGAGTGCGGATATGGCGGATCGTATGGTGCTAGAGTGGCAGTCGGGTACATGCTGGGGCTCGGAGCTGACACCGACGTGCTAGCTGGCGATCCTTGATACATTCGTTGTTGTGCTAGCTCCTCGGCCCCCCTCATTCTCGGTGACATACTTGGCGCCCTCGGTGTAGCAGCGGGGTTCAATATCGATTTGATGGATGACAGCCGCTTGTTGCTCTCGGATTCGCTTGAGCCTGGGTGACCCGCCTCGCCAAAAGAACGTTTTCTAGTTGGAGAGAGAAACGACGCTGGAGAGAGTGAGGATTGCCGACCTGAAGTCCCTGCTAGTGACGTGATTGGTGCCAGTCGGTTGTCGTCGTTCAGTGATTCCGGCGCTAGTTCGCGGTGGGGGCGTGGATGAGACGACTGGTACTGTGTCAGGTCCCCAGACGGCAAGGGCGGCGACGGTCGGTTCTGCCGGAGGACACTTTCGGGGACCAGCTGAAGTGCTTCGTGTTCATCTCTCCGCCGCATGCCAAGGTTGACCGAACCATCAGGATTCATGGAGCCGCGCGCGCTAGACATCTCCGGCGGCGGGGAGCTCGACTCAACGGATTCGACTGGAGCGCTACCCTCGTGGCCCCCTTCGTGAGAGGCTGGTATAACTCGTTTCCTCCTTTTGATGACGGACTTTTTCATCGTAACTGGTCGATGGACGCCGTGGAGTTTGTAGTAGAGACCTGGAGCATATCAGCCATACTGTTTCCTTACCTAATCCAAGACCTCGTACTTACCGCATGCATTACAAATCGTGTGGCCTTGCTCATCTCTTCTCCATAGAGGTGTGATAGTTGTTCCACAATTCTGGCAAGCAATGACCACGGTTGTGTTTTGCGCCTGGCTCTGCAACGCTGCTATGTCAATGGCATTCGAATCATCTGCAGCACTTGGCTCCACTTTGCTCGGAGCAGATTGCTGGCCCTGAAGGACGCTCAGACTGGCGCTTTTGGCAACACGGTTGTTATATGCTGGGCAACCACTGCATCCTTCCGCGCCCCCAGTGCCATTGCAACGGCCACCGCCAGGACACGTCCCCTTGGGCGTTTGGTCTGCAGCAACATACTTGGCGCCAGCGGCTTGCTGGACGGCCTGCGGGCTCGCTTCCTTGGGCGAAGTGGAGCCCGTAGTCGATTGTGGCCCGCTTGGTACTATCGTCGGCGGCCGCTTCAGGTTGGTTGGGCGCGCAGCATTTCTCGCTTTCAGGTAAAGACCACATGCGTTGCAGATGGTAGCTCCCTGGGGCGACCTCCGCCAGAGAGGGGTCCGACTTGTTCCACAATTGCTGATAGACAACGTCAGGGCGGCTCGTCCGTGGGGGAAAGGGACGCCTTACCTGCATACTTGACCAGTCTGAGTTGGAACCGGTGGGCAGCTTTGGCTCTGTGTTTCTGACATGCCGTCTGACTGCAGACGTTCATGAGAAGATGAGGCAGGACTGATCGGATGGGAGGTTTGAGCGTGGGTGATGGATGGACTCCTGTCAAGATGCCTTGGTTTCAAAGGACTTGGGGACCGGCCGGATCGGCTTCCGTCTTCAGGCGGAGGCGATGGAGCCCTCAGATTAGAGTTGTCGGCTTTGGACGCCACGGATCTAGTCGGCAGAGCGGTGCGAAGAGGTGCCGGCTCATCCTTGGGAATGTGCCTTACGGCGGCAGCTGCGTCTTCGCTCAAGGCCATTTTGGCAACCGATAAGACCGGCGGCGATTGCGCTGGTGTCGTCAGCTTATGCCTGAATATGGCAGTGACGCGCGTGGCGAGATCCCCAGGGTCTGGTGACAGTCGTCTGCTCCGGCGTTGCACAGCACTCGTACTGCGAGTTTGGTCAGGCTATCATGGGCTCGATCGCTCGGCTCGTGTTGCAAGAGTTATCGAGGCGACTATCGAGCCGTACTAGCACCAGAAGCACCTGCCTGCTGGGTTTGCAAGCGAATGTGCTCGGTCCGGCGTGATGTTCGGTCTGCTGGAGTCGAGTGGAAAGGCTTCTCCAGAGAATCGGTCGCAGGGTGGCAAGACCGGTCACGAGACAGACCCGAGACGCGGACTGGGCGCAGTCGCGAGAGAGACAGAGTGTAACACGGCGAGAGATGGATCGCTGATAAATCCGATCAGGACAACAAGAAGCCTAGCCAGCTAAGAACAGGGCCAAGCAGGAGTACTAGGCGTCACTTAGGTGTCAACAAGAACCAGGTGTGAGGATCCAGAAGCCAATCGACCAATCGATGGGTAGCAACGCCGTCGAAAGACCAAGACGCCCTGCTTGAGATGCCGGTGGGAAACAAAGGCAGCCAAGTTGGTCGAAGACTCGGTCGACTACGCGGTCTAGAGAAGTTGAATAGAGGGAAGTATGTCGCCGGTCCGCCTTGGCAGCGGGCAGGATGATGGAGAAGCGTTCTGGGTGCTGTGCTTTGGTGTTGGTGGCGGTAGTAGTAGCGGTGGTAGTGGTGGTGGTAAGAGTGGAGGAAGAAGCAGGATAGGAGGCGTCGATTGGTTGGGTGTTACCGTCCTTGGACCTTGGGGCCGTGGGCGTGTTGCAAGAGACAAGAGGTGGGAAGAGGTATTGGACGATTGTGTGTCATATGGAATGTACGGGCCACGAGGGAAGCATAGTAATGCCTTAGGACGAACGAGGAGGCTCCCTGGTGCTCCAAGGTTTGACGGGGTACTGTAGCATGCCGGGGATGGCAGCCGTTGCAGTAGCCTGGGGGAATCAGCCCTCTGGCGTGCCAGGTGGTGTGAATTGGATTTCTGGTATGGCTGCTACTCTTGCAAGCTTGGATCCTCAGCCTGAAGGGGGTGGGGAGGAGGACCAAGAAGGGGGTTAAGGCGGACAGTAGTCACGTCACCGCTCGCCGGCTCGGACTTGTCGTTTTTGCTTGGGCTTGGCCTTTTTTGTTTTTTTTCTGGGGGGGTGTTGGGGAGGGTTGGTTGGTGGTTTGTGGTGGTTTTCCCCCTTCCCTGGATGGCAATTTCCCCAAAGTTAATTCTCTTCTGCCAGTACAATCCTTGGACTCGACAGGAATCAGCAGGCGGCTGGTGGATTGATTGATTCCGACTGAGTGAGTGAGTGGCCGACCGACGGCCTGGGTTGCATAGGACATTACTCTGGTAACTCCGTACAGGTACTTTGACACATTTCAAACCAATCAGCGCAAATGGATTACTCAGGGAATGCGACCCATGCGAAGCCTAACTCAAACCAGCGACCCTGATCCTTACATCGACCACGCTAGAGGGAAAGTGTTGGCGATACCAACATCCAGGTCTCTTTTCCGTGGTGGTGTTGATGTTGAATGCCGTCACCCGTTTCCTGCCCTCTCGCTTCACCGCATAATAAGAATGCATACATACGAGGGCAGCGTGGCAGGCCATGTGGACAAGTCCGAGCACACGCCCTGCAAACCCCCCTGGCCCGTCACATCAGATGCCTCTCTGGGTTCCAAGGTTGTTATTATTATCAGATCTCCGGAGGACCCAGTTGACCGACAACGCTGACAAAACGGGGCGAGGGGGCCGACCCTCGTTTCTACATAGATCTACTGTACTGTACCGCATGTATTACTGTATGCGTACAGCAGATTACGTCGCCCAGGCTGCATCTCACCGGCTTGCCACCTCGGGAGCCCTTTGGGGGGTCTCGGCTTTTCCTGGCAAATTACCACCTTGATCTGTAGAGGGCTGCAGGTGCAGGTACCGTCCAGGTGGGCACCGCGTTTGTAGTTGCCATCATTGCCCCCATCTGCTGGCATTTCGATCCGTCAACGTCAGCGCACGCTACATGTCATCTGCCTAGCGTTGCAGTACGTTCGCTAGACTATCCGTTCGACACAGTCAATCTTGAACCACGCTATCCGGGGCCCGAACAACTCAACTTTGCAGTAGTCACAGCCTTACTGAGGTGCGGGAAGGGAGTGTAAGAAAAAGCAAGTATGACACTCCCCCGTTAGCCGAAACAACGTTGGGGGCTGCCCTCCATCTCGTGTCCGCGTATCTAATAATTATGCAATCAGCGCGGAGAATCCGAACTGGCCGGCGGCCCAATGCAAGTCATTCATCTCCGCCTCCTGAGGGGACCCAGTCGCCAAGCTTTTTTATCAGCGCCGATGGAGCCCTGATAATCGAATTAGCTCGAAGATCAGTCGAGGCTCTTCCCGGTCAGGGGTGGCCGACCGGTCGGGGTCTGGCGTGGCTGCGTGGGTGCCAGGAGCCTGGTCATACCGAGGTTGAGCACGTTTAGGTTGCTCTCGATACGACTTCTACTGCAATCCGAGATAGAGAGAAATAGAGAGTACACGCCCTCAACATATCCAATTTGTCTTGAGTTTGAGGACGAAGCCCACGTCTGCGATTGTTGCATCCCAATCAAAAGACGTGAACATGATGATCAAACAGATCAAACAGATCAAACTGCACAGCTCTCAGTGATCCTTAGGGTCTTTCGCGGCAAGCACCAGAGGCAGACGGGAAGGGGCTACGAAAGGCATCATCGTACCAAAGATCCTGCCAGACACAGCAGGTTATCGTACGGGAGGTTGTTTTACATGAAAAGCATGCTGGTCAAGTCACACACCGACGTTTGAAATCCCTGGGCTGTACAGTACTTACTGCACACCTTCGGCGCGAGCTCCACAGGCGGGGCGAGACCCTGAGTCTTGCCATCTTCCGCCACTGCCTTCTACAATCACTTCATTCGACCTGCATTGCTAGCCAATGACGATGAAATCGTTCGACGGGTGCTCGATTCAACACGGGTCAGACACTCTGGGCTTCGAGTCAGGATCTCGCGCCGGCATTCCGTCGTCGGTGCATGGCCTCGTACCCAAGACTTTGGAAAACAGCACTGTCCTGTCGTTGATGGTGCGGGGCAACTTCTCTTTGAATTGCTTCCTGGCGACAGACCCTGAAATGAATACTGTACAAGTGCCGTCTGAAACAGCATATTCATCTGCCAACACAAGCAGTGGCCTGTCACTGCCTCCAATTCAGCCAATTTTAACCCTCGACAGCTGCGTGCGACAACGTCGACGCAACTTTGTCAATGCACGCACAGTTGCCCAAGTGCACGTCTGCCTCCTCACAATTTCCCAGTAGCTCGAATTCCGTCCCGGAGAGTACGACTTCCGCAGCCCACTTCTTTTCATAAAATTCTGGAAGACGAGAAAGCCTCGCTTTCACAGGTCAGTATCGGAATCTTCCACCTCTACCTTCGGGAAATTCCAACGGTGTGCCAACAGCGATTCTTTCGCCAGGTAAATTGGGATTGCAATCGAAAATGTGCAGTTGAGCCAGTCGTTCCTTTTGGACATGTCGATACTCCTGAGAGGGTAGGGATTGCCCAACTGTTCCTCTGGAAGCTCTGTGTCAATCGCCCAGATCTGCACCGTCTGCTGAATGATCACAAAGGCATACATCACACGTGGATAGTGCTCAACTCCTCGCTGGGCCCACTGATTGTGATAGTCTTCGACGCTTCGTCGGCAGGACAGCATTGCTTGCTGATGTACCCATGTCTGGAGTTGATCCTCATCGACTTGGGCAAACTGGAGGGTGGCAAACTTGATGATCATGATAGGGCTGGAGTAGGCGTAGGAGCCAAGCAACTTGGCGTCCTTCTCGACGGCTGCGTTGTATTTCCGGATTTCCTTGTCGATCAGGTCGCCGATTTTGTCGTGAAGACCATCTTGCCGGTAGGCACAGATGCGAATGTGTAGCTCGAAAAGGTTCCTCAGAGCTCGCGTGGCTGTCATTTGCGAGTTAGCGACCGTAGGCCTACGACAGATACGAATAACACAAACCTCTAAATTGATTCGACTCTGCCCTGATGAGTGTTTTCTTTTCCTCATCTATCGGCGCGAATAACCCGGTCAGGTAAGGGTGATCAATGAGATCACACTCCCAGGATGAGGGCAACAATGAGTATTGGCCGCACAGCGTCATGAGCTTGTGCGCCTTTGCAGCATCTCTTGCCCAGTCTCTGATGTTCGCCACCCTGGTTCTCTCAAGCCGATACCAGTCGAGGTCCGCCTGGTCAACGTCGTACTCATCCTCAAAGTCCTCCTCGGATTCATAGTAATCGTCAGGGTTGGTGGGAGGTTGCTCGTAATCGTCGTCATCCTCATATTCATCCTGATTTGCATCATCGTCCTCTTCATCGCCATCGTCGCCGTCCTCAGGTACTCTGGTGCCACCACGGAGGCTAGGCGAGGCGTCCTGACTGTCCAAAATCTCATCATAGACCTCTATGCTTTGAATGGGTTTGTCCATGTCGGCTACATCACCCAGCATAGAAACTACATCCTGTGCATGTGACAAAGAATCCTCGAACATTTCTTCTTCATCAAGCTCCTCCTCTGAGTCGGCGCCCATACTGTACTCGTGGTCGTCCTCGTGAGCAGCAATTGAATAGTCGCATTGATCTTCTTCTTTCTTGATAGCACGGTCGTTTTCCTGCTTGACTTGATGCTCAGGGCCGTCCTCCTCCTCGAATGAAGAACTCCTAGATGCGAGTGCTATTGGGTCTGGGTGGATGAGCCCTAAGCTTTTGCCAGGTGGAGATGTAGTACGGCGTCGAGTTGAGGACGTTTTAGAGACCCGACCAGTCCAAACTCGACTGAGGGTGCTGCCAACGGTCCTCGCGAGCCGAGCCGAAATGCTGTAAGAGAATGAAGGCATGATGATGAGGGTGAGAGCGGTTGAAGGAGGCAAAGAAAGAAAGGCCTTTGAATTTCGGGAGCTGGGGAAAGAACGAAAGAAAACTTCAGGTCGAATGAGACGATGACGGTCAAAATGTGGTGCTTCCGGCGCGTCTGGATGCTTTCAACTCAGATGAAGTGAGGCACGTATCTTGGACAATAGAGAGAGCGTTCTCATTGTGCAGCTGGACCCCCAATTCGTCCTGCCCGTACCGCTTCCCACCGGCCGCGATGGTCCTGAAGGCAGCCTAGAAGCATGGCAGCAGGCCGAAACTGGGAGTGAGGCTTCAAAAACGACGGACGGCCCGAAAGCAGCAACGACAGTGTTCTGCAGATAAAAGGCCCCTTGGTCCAGGTGTGATCCAGGAGGTGGGCCGCTTGCGGTACCTGCTGTGATGCAGTGAGAGTCGTTCGCAGCCGCAGCGAACGGGAAGCTGCAGTAGGCCTACCGTTACCTGGGTCCCTGCCCAGCTGTCTGGCAGACCCACCTTGCAGGGACCAGGATGCCTGGGTACCTGGCCCCCACCTGCCAGGTGGGCGCGCATGCTGGCAAGCAGGGCAAGGAAGAAACCAGCGCCTGCCCTGTCGCTGGCTGCAACCTCTTTCCATCCAGCCCAACTTTGCTGCCGCGATTTGACGCGCCAGACGCAACGACGTCAGCCTCCTTTCTTTTTCCCTTGTCGCATTCGCTCCCAAAGCCGCGTTTTTGCTGCATTTGACCTCGTCGCCATTAATTCCACTCGGAGCATTACTATCGCGAACTTCAATCTACTCTCTCCTCAGTACTTGTGGGAACTGACAATGAGCCTGTTTGTGCCAATCCCACACCAAACCTAGCGAACATGTCATCCAGCGACTGGGCCAGTCTAAAGGTCGTCGACCTGAAAGCGGAGTTGCAGAGCAGAGGTCTACCTACCAAGGGCGTCAAGGCAGATCTCGTCAAGCGCTTGGTCGAAGCTGATGCCGAATCATCTCAAGACCAGGAGGCGGCGGGATCTCCTAATGGGGATATCGCCACGCCAGTCGATGATGCGCCCAAAGAAGAAGATGCCATTGCGCAGCATTTCAACGAAGAGAAGTCGCCTTTGATCGAAAGTGTTGATGCGACTATGACTGAAGACGCGCCGGATACCGTTGCTATACAGACTGAAAGCCTTGCAGAACCTGAGGCCCAGAATATCATCGCCAGAGACCCTGCCACCCTCCAGTCAGAGGCCAACAACACGTCCGTCCTGCAGGCTTCAGTGCCAGCTCCAGACGCTGCGCTCGACTTACAGAAGCGCAAACGCCGATCTTCCACGCCGCCTCCTTCCACGAAGCGAGCCAAACAGGAAGAAGAGCGTCGGGCTGAGGAGCAGGAGGACGTGGTCGATTATGAGACCGGCGATCTCTCTGGAAGTCCGGAGAAGAAGTCTCAAAATGGCACGAGAGAAACACATGGATTAGAAGAGGAGGGTACATCAGAGGTTGGGAGTCATCGCGTTGCAGCACCAGCAGCGATTGATGCACAACGCGCGCTTGAGCCCAGCGGGGTGGAGGCTGATTCGACAAGGTCGGCTGTGGCAGAGTCATCCAATGCACTTTCAGCGACACAGTCACCGGTGCGAGACCCAGTACTGGAAGTCAGTGGCGAGGACGCTTTCATGAAGAGGGTTGCCATAGGAAGGCAATCCGAGGCGCCGTCGCAGACGTCGCAGCCATCTCAGCAACCGCGCGAGGACCGATCTGAGACGAACCAAGAACCGCAAAGAGAGCCTGCAGAGGCGGATATTGCGCCTTCGGCTCCTTCGGTACACCCTCCGACTTCAGCTCTTTACATTCGGGAGCTCATGAGACCCTTGAGGTCTGAGACGGTTGAGGAGCACATCGTTGACCTGGTAACGCCACAAGGAAGCCAGCCGGACCCGAATTTCATTGAGGACTTTTATCTCGATCAAATCCGTACCCATGCTTTCGTCAAGCTGACCTCGGTCTCCGCCGCTCAACGTGTACGCGCTGCAATGCATGACCAAGTTTGGCCGAACGAGCGGAATAGGAAGCCTCTGTGGGTAGATTTCATCCCTCCTGACAGCATGAAGGAATGGATCGACCAGGAGGAGTCTGGAGCCAGAGGCAATGCACATCGCTGGGAAGTTGTTTACGAACAGGGGCACGACAGTGTCACGGCTGTTCACAGAGTAGCCGGCTCAGACACCAAGTCATTTTCGAAACCTCCTCCTACAGGTCCTGCTGCCGGCTCTGGTGCAGGTCCTGTATATCCCGGAATCGAAGCTGCACCGAGAGGTCCTCGCGGTCGAGGTGGTCCGCCGCCTCGAGTGAACAATCCAAACTTGGTTCAGACGCAAGCCAATCCCCCACTGTCATACCAACCCCAGAGTGAAGACATCGCCCAGCGCCGTGTTGAGAACATGCGTTCTTTCTACTCGGCAACCCCACCACACGACCTTGGCAAGGATTACCACCGATACACCTTTGAAAGCATCGATTCATTTGTGGACAGAGGCACTGAGGTTTTCATTGGTATCCGGCCTCCACACCGGGAGAAGGAGCACCAGGAACGTCTTCGTCTTGAACGTCTCGGAATAGCTGGCACCAGCAGTGCGACCGATTCGCAGTCTCGCAGGGAAGACTACCGACCCCCGCCTCGCCAACCTGTCCCTGACTTTGACCGATACTCAGGCGACCGCCGCTTTGGAGGTGATCGTCGGCCCCGGAACCCCCGGTTCCGAGGCGATCGAGGACCTCGATTTAGGGGAGAGGATCCTTACCGCTACAGACCAGGCTACTAAGTGCTTGCGCAAGTACTAAACACGCGAGAGACGGAGGTCATCCCGGCCACGGGATCATACATCACGGCCTCGTACCCCCTGTATCTATACTTTCCACGAAAGGCAGCACATTGTGGAATTGAACACGGCAAAAATGCACCCTGCTCCTCTGGCGTGGTTTCCAGTTATCTAGCCAGGGACAACAGCTCCAGGAATGACTTTTGACAACAGAGAACCTGATGAAAGCTCTGTCGCTCAAGGGACCGGCTACATTCTTCGGCGTTGCTCAGACTTAGTTGAGGCGGGATCTGATCAAGGACGCGAGAACGATAATGATTGGCGAATTGAAAACGTCGAGAAGATACTGTACAGCATAGAAAATGTAGATAGTGACGAGGACAGATACCCTGACAATGAAAATGAATTGATCCGTTGCGCTCTTGGGATCAATCTCCCAGTTGTGGTTTTCCTCACTGCGCGTCATGCTCCTCGCCCTGGTCGCCCCAGTCTTATCGGCTCTTATCGGCGCCCTCCAACTTGGGCTCATTGGAGGGGCAGTTTCTCAAAACTTTTGGGGACTTTTCTCTCCGTGGGCTTAACAAGTGGTTCCTGCGGATTCAACCTGGTCAGCCCAATTTCTGGCAAACATTGACTTTCAGAATGGCGAAGAAGCGCGCAAGAGACGCAGACGGCCAGTCTGAGGCGGCAACAGCTTCAGTGGACAAGATGGATGAGGACGGCAGCTCAGACGACGATGTAAATTTCACGTCCCACTCTCATGTTACTTGCGCGTCTCACTAACACCAAACGTCCAGGACTTCAACATTGTCAATGTCGATTTTGAGTGGTTCAACTTTGACCCTGAAATTGACTTCCACGGCGTCAAGCAGCTACTGCGCCAACTTTTTGATGTCGACTCTCAGCTATTTGACATTTCCGCACTCGCGGATCTAATACTGAAGAACCAGACTATTGGCTCCACCGTCAAAGTGGATGGCAAGGGCAACGACGCATATGCCTTCCTCACAGCGCTCAACCTGAAGGAGCACAAAGACAAGAAACCAGTCTCAGACCTGCTCGAGTACATTTCCACGAAAGCGTCTGAGTCCGGCAACGAGAACCTGGCTGCAGTGGTTCCAAAGGTCCTAAGTGAAAACCATGTCGGCTTGGTCCTGGGCGAGCGCCTCATCAACATGCCCCCCGAGATCTCACCACCAATGTACTCCATGCTGATCGACGAGGTCGAGGCCGCAGTTGAGGACAAGGAGCCATATGACTTCACGCACTACCTCGTGGTTTCCAAGACCTACCATGAGGTGCAGAGCATACTGGATGGCGAGACGCAGAAGCGCAAGAAGGCTAGGGAGGAGGCGCCAATGTTTCATTTCCACCCCGAGGATGAGGTGTTCCAGAAGCATGCGGTTGCATACGGTAGCTATCCGTTGACAAAGGACGACGAGAACATAGCGGACAGCAAGAGGGCATTCCAGGAGATGGGGGTTAAAAGCATGGGATTTATGGTCTTGATTGAGGCGGCCAAGTTCCCCGAGGCCGTGAAGAAGGTTACGGAGTACTTGAGCCCACAATGAACAAACGGGTTGTGTGAGCTCATCAAGGGAGCATCCAATAGATTTCCATCTCTATGTGGTGATAAGTCATCGCTTTTCAAAAGTCTGCGCAAAAGTTTTGCGCGACATCTACATCTTCTCTAAGCGCAGGCGAGATCGCTCTATCCCTTGCGATGCCCACACACCCCCTCTGCCCCAAACAAAGAAAAGGGCTGGGTGATGCCGTTTGATAGGTGATCGCTTCATTCCCGAGGCTTTAACCTCTGCATCAGATACTCCACCTCGACCTCCTTGGTTAGCGGAATTACAAAGTCCTTGTACATGGCCACCACGGCATCGACATTGATCTTGCTCTGCTCGACACCCACGCCCACCGAGGGGTCGGTCCCGTAGGTCTGGGCCTTGAGCTTCAGGCGCTCGAGAACCTGTTTCTCGACGGCGGCGTTGGTGATGGACGCGCCGATGCCCTCGCGGTCGCCGGCCTTGATCATGCGCGTGTAGCCCTCGGGGTCTGACTGGAACTTGGACTCGGCGACGAACTTGCCAAAGTGTATCCTCCGCGACAGCGCCTGCAGGACGGCTATGTCGCACGTCGCGCTGCTGCCGTAGTTCTCCTGCGACACGCCCCGGTCGCCGTGGCCGAAGTTGGGGCACACGCGTGGCAGGAACTGGTCTATGTAGAAGCGCTTGATCTTGTCGTTAACGTTGACGTCGTTGGGGTGGAGGATCTTGGGGTAGTCTATGGCGGGGAGGATGGGCTTCTTGAGCGACACGGGGAAGAAGGGGTACTCGTCGGGCGACTCGTAGCGGCGGATGAGGGACTGGAGCTTCTCCTGCTCGACGAAGTACCAGTCCATGAGGGAGAGGTCGGTGTCGGGTATGGGTACGGCGCCGGGAATGTAGATGTTGCTGTTTAACGGGAACTGGACGCGCTCGATGAGGTGGAAGGTGATTGTGTCTTCCAGGCGACTGCAATTGGGTTGTCAGTAGCCCGATCCCTCATGTTCTAGGCTCAGCCCCTGGGTCTGGGGGTTTTGAGACCTACATAAGCTGAAATCGGATGCGCGACAGGTCCAGTGCCTTGGAGGCGTCGGACAGGTCGATGAGGGAGTCCATCTTGACGGTGCTGTGTTGCGAGTCGACGGGAGCAGGACGGATCGACTTGCGGAGGGCAGACCGAGACAAGGACCCTCAGGATTTTTTTTTAACTTTTTGCCTTTTCTAGATGTCTAGGAGAGTGTGCGATCTTTTGCGCGTTCGGAATGACTCAAATAATCATCTTGTACCTTGTCGGCACTTTGTCAGAGCCGGCTCGGAAGCTCAAGTGCTGGGCAGGGGTCTTGAAGTTGACTTGACTTCCGAGCCGCTTCCGCCGTGCACGGAGGGTTGGCGGGGTTGTTGAGCCGACTGACCCCCGTGAGTGACGCAAGGGTGTCGCTGGGTACGGCCCTCAATTGGGTTGACCGTGTCGCGTGCAGGTCGTGCTAGTGCACCAGCTGCCAGGCAAGCTGGCCAATCTCTGCCCGATGCAGCAGAGGGTGGCATCCCTCGAGCTCCAACACCCTCGCCTCTGATCTCGCATTTACGCGACCCTACTCTGCGTCTCGACTCGACATTGACATTTTCAATTGCGCTCACTCCCCGATGCTGCATTGGGCCGAACTGCTTCGCTCCAGACTTCTAGAACGCCGCGACTCACCCACCGGCAAAGGCTAGCTGCACGACAGAACCTTACCGACCGAGCTCCATCCGATCCCCACTTGTTCTCCATTGTTTAACGCATGGCCAGCACCGGCGACAATGCTTTTTATGACGACCATGGTGATTCGTCAATCATCTCGGTGCGCAACTTTTGTCTTGCCTCCAGAAGCACTTTCTCTGAAAGAGCTCTTGTTCTGCCCCTCTGTCTCCGTATACCAAGAGGCGTGTCTTGCTGACGCCAAAGTTATGATCCATGCAGGCCCGTGGCTTTGAGGCTTTCGGCCGCAAAGTGACCACCACGGCCAGTCACCTAATGGGCCCTCTGTCCGATCCCACCAACAACCAACACTATCAATCCGCAATGAGCGAGGTGACGAAACAGCTGCGGAGGCCGACCCTCCAGCGGAGCATGTTTTCCAGGGCACGGACAACCCCTACCGACCTCATGCGGTCAAAGCTTTCCACGACAGAGATTCAACAACGCGCACTTTCATACGTGCCAGACGCCTTGCTCAAGGATATCCCTGAAGATGAAAACTCCTACTCGCTGTTCCAAGGCTTCAAGGCCAGCTTCCCGGATTTTACCGATGATGGGAAGAAGCACAGGAGGAGGGTTTCGAGGGGGCGAAAATTGATCGAAGACACACGGATCGACCCCAATAGCCCGCAGGCGGTACAGAAACTCCAAAAAGAGAAGGCTTCCATGTTGCACGAATTCGAGATGCTGGGCGTACGGAAGAATATGGCAAGCAGTGAGATCCGGGAAATCGACAACAAAATAGCGAATTTATTAGGGATGCGGAAAATTATTTTAGAGAGGCTAGCGGGCTATGAGCAGGACGAGGCCGTATTAGAACACGACAGTAAGACTGGCATTCCACCCCGTCGCCGTGAACTTTACTGACCAAGGGCAGTTATGGATGTGGAGAATCGCTTAGAGGAAGCTGAAGAGCTGGTCGCAGAGGCCGCGTCCGTGGCAGCCCTCACACCCACCAAGGGCAGTGACGCCGGGGAAGACGACACAGAATCAGGTTTCATGTCACAGTCGATATATGAGAAGTTGCCATCCGCTAACAGCACACCGACCAAATCGAAGAAGCCTAGGAGTCTGCGGAGAAAGTCGATGCCGATACTGCACGAGCACATCGAGCCCGGCACCTCCATGCGAGAGATTCGCGCGCACCAGGACTCTATCACGGCTATGGACTTTGACGCTCCTTTTGGGACAATGGTCACTTCTGCTCTGGACGACACTGTGAGGGTATGGGACCTGAATGCCGGACGGTGCATGGGAGTCCTCGAAGGCCACACAGCGTCGGTACGGACTCTGCAAGTTGAAGACAACATCTGTGCTACCGGATCTGTGGACGCTACGATCCGCTTGTGGGACCTTAGCAAGGCTCAGTACGATCCCCTCGGCGGACAACTCGACCAGGACGACGACGAAGACGGTATGGCCTTTGAGAACCCGGAAGATCAGCCTGTAGACCCTCCAGCGGGAAGCATGGACGGTTGCTCTTTGACAACGTTACAAGCGCACATGGACGAGGTCACTGCCCTCCACTTCAGGGGCAACGTCTTAGTATCTGGGTCAGCAGACAAGACAATCCGACAATGGGACCTAGAGAAGGCGCGATGCGTGCAGACCTTGGATGTGATGTGGGCCGCCGCTCAGGCATCGGTCACCTTAGGAGAGAACTCTTGGAAATCGACAAGCCGCGCCCCTGTCCAAAACGCCGACTTTGTGGGCGCATTGCAGGTCTTCGATGCTGCGCTCGCGTGCGGAACAGCTGATGGAATGGTCAGGCTTTGGGACCTGCGCAGCGGCCAAGTTCACCGAAGTCTGGTCGGCCATACTGGACCCGTGACATGCCTTCAGTTTGACGATGTTCACCTGGTGACAGGGAGTATGGATCGGAGCATTCGGGTAAGTCCTCCTTGCGGCCGCTTTTGCCGCCCTCTGACCCCTTTCGGCATTCGTGCGTTAACGCCTAGCCCCTCAGATATGGGACCTTCGGACTGGGTCTATTTATGATGCATATGCTTACGACCACCCTATCACGGCTATGGCATTCGACAACCGGAGAATAGTCTCGGCCGCAGGCGAGGATGTGGTCAAGGTGTACGATAAGCTGGAGTCTCGCCAATGGGACTGTGGTGCTGGCGTGAACGCTGCTGAACAGGGCAAGACACCGCCGGCCACGGTAGAACGCGTGGGTCTGCAGGACGGTTACATGGTCGAGGGGCGCCAAGATGGTATCGTTGGTGTGTGGACTTGTTAGAACCATGGAGTGGAAGACAAGACGAGATGTATAGAAAGGGTGTGCATATATGCATACATACACCCCAACACATATACATGAATGTATTACATTACGAAGTCTCGACTCAAGCGACTCACTTAGAGCCCTGGGCACCTTCACAGATTCGCCTTGGAACCCGCCTATGCTAGACTGCACAATACCTCCTTCTCAAGGCAAATGCAGCCTGCAGTCTCACCCGGTAGCTGATTGGCACACCCGCCTTTGCTGCAGGATGACCGCCTAAGGCAATAGCAACTTGTCCAATTAATCCTAATGTCTGTTAGCTAGCATGAGCTACAATAAATGAGACTTTCTGTGGATTTAGTCTCAGCGATAGACCCCACGGGCCTTGAGAGCTGTGATCTGGTCGTCTTCAGTCCGCGAGTGGTCAACGCGTGGTCATGACTGGGACATGAAGCCATCCCCAGTGTGAGCGGCCGCACCGGTGTTTAGTTGCGTTCCTAAGTCCGTTCGGACATTGCTCACTAACAACGATGATCGGTGATTGACCACCATGACATCTTCGCCATCGTGTTCGTATACCTGCCGTGCGACTAAAATACCGCCCACTTGATGCCCCATTATTACAAATTTGCTTAGAGTTAACAGCAGCCATACTGAAGGTGGTGTTTCCCGTCTAAGTGGGCCATAGATAATCCCTGTTGTGATATTGGGACACTAAGACTTGACATTCGGCCAGTTCTCAGAATGTTTAACCGGGGCCTCTTGGCCCAGGGTCAAGCCGTCCCCCGCGCCGATGCAACTAAAGAGGAGTCTCGTCCATTGGCGATCCTGACGCCCAAGAGAGTTTGGGCCGTGGGCTAGGAGAGGGGGACACTGAAGCAGAGTAGCCTGCTCAAGTGTAACGTATTTGAAGTCAAAGCTCCTTCTCCCCGATGCTCCCGCGAGTACGTAGCTTCCAAAAGATATATAAACCATTATCGTAGCTCTTTCTCTCCCTGTTCTGCCGCCCTTGACTGCATTCAACACTTTCATTCTCTTTAGAGATCAATACACCTACGACTGAAATTCTTACCACGCTCCAAAAAAAACAAAACCAATAAACGCCAAGATGTCTGCCTTACCCATGGCACCACCCCCTAAGGGACCACTCAACCGCTACCGATTGCTGTCCCCGTCGGCATCATTGAGGGTCTCCCCACTCTGCTTGGGCGCGATGAATTTCGGCAATGCGTGGGAGGCTTACATGGGCGCATGTGACCAAAAGACCACCGAGAGCATCTTGGATTTCTTCTATGAACAAGGCGGGAATTTCATCGATACCGCAAACAACTACCAGTTCGGAGAGTCCGAGAAGTGGGTCGGAGAATGGATGAAGAAGCGTGGCAACAGAGACGAGATGGGTGAGTATATCCCTTGTGAGGTCGATGATGGTCAATGTCTCACCTAAGTATTCCACATGTAGTCATCGCGACAAAGTACACGACAAACTACATGGCGGGTCCGCCTGGAGAAGGACGCATTGTGAGTCAACCCGTTCTTATGCCATACCATAGATGCTTGACTGACATCTCAAAGATGGCGAATTTCACCGGTAATGGCACAAAGAGCATGCACACCTCTCTCAAGGACAGCTTGAAGAAGCTGGATACCGATTACATCGACCTTCTTTACGTCCACTGGTGGGACTTCTCTGTGTCTGTAAGTTGCAAGCCGAAGAGCCTTATCGTCCTTCTGAAATTTCTAGTGGGCTGGCACTTTTTGTGTAGAATGTCACAAGTCAAGATTGAAGGCCTGTAGTTACACATTGAAGCGGCTGTTATTGGTCTGACCTTCCCAAAGCGGTAATAAACTAACATAAGGATTCAGATCCCTGAGCTGATGCAGAGCCTCAACAACTTGGTAGTACAAGGCAAGGTCCTATACCTAGGCGTCTCTGACACGCCAGCCTGGGTGGTTTCCAAAGCAAACCAGTATGCACGCGACCACGGCTTGAGGCAGTTCTGCGTCTACCAAGGCCGGTGGAGTGCAGCGAGCAGAGACTTCGAGAGGGAAATCATCCCCATGTGCAGAGAAGAAGGGGTAAGCCACAATTTCACTTTGAATGATCCCAAGCAATCGTTAATCGTAGATTAGATGGGCCTGGCTCCGTGGGGCGCTCTCGGCGGAGGAAGCTTCAAGACCGAGGAACAGAGAAATGCTCAGGAGGGCCGCAAGGTCAAAGCTACCGAGCAGCAGATTAAGATCTCGGGTGTTCTCGAGAAGATCGCCAACCGCAAGAACACAGCCATTACGAGTGTTGCTCTGGCGTATGTAATGCACAAGACCCCATATGTGTTCCCTATCGTTGGCGGTCGAACGACCGACCATCTCAAGGGCAACATTGAGGCTCTGAAGCTGCACCTCTCGCACGAGGACATGAAGGAGATCGAAGGCGCTGTGCCGTTCGACCTCGGGTTTCCCAACACTTTCTTCTATCCTGGGGAGCCTGTCAACCACCCCAATGAGGTCTGGCTCCTGAACATGGCAGGAAAGTTCGACTATGTCCCTCTGCAGGAGGCCATCACACCGGCTGAGGACTAGGTGTATCAGCCGGAGACTTTCACGCGTCGGTCCCATTGTCAGGCTTGGGGCAGGCTTGATGATTGGCAGCAGAGAAGGCATCCAGATCAGAAGCACTGGGAACATTACGCTTATGGGCCAAGATACGGCAATCGCTAGGAATGCTAGAGACGTTGATGGCTGAACAGAATGGAGAAATATTGAGCTTAAGCCACGACAAACTGCTACTTTGGAACCTGCAATGCGAAACCTTGGTGCAATCTAAACGGCGATCCTGATGGGTTAGTGCTGAAATGTTGAATTGAAGGGATATCGGTCAGGAAACCCGCGTAGGGCACACAAGCAGAGTTGAGAGGGCCAGCTTGAAATTCCTGAAACGTGTCTATGCTGCATTGAACACGGTCAACTCTATTACACAGTTGCCTTCTCGACATACAACGGCAGCTCGACGCCTGCATCCCCGTGAAAATGCCGTCAAGTGCGATTGGGGCCACTCAACAGAAAACTGACTAGAGTGAGAACCCACAATTAGCTAGAAACGCAGATACTTACAGTGCGTTAAAGACGAGTAGAATGTGGCAGGCTTTCCAATTTCAACGCAGGAAGGAGCTGCGACATTTCTGCCCGCAGCTCTTTCCCTCGATCACCCGGCCAAGAACCTGCTGAGGTTTGAGGGACAACTGCTGTCGGCGTAACATATTTCATACACTTCCCCATACTTCAACAATTCGGGTCGGCCCAGATCTAAGCTTTGAACTTGGTGTCGTTTCCGTCGCCAACGGCCTTTTGTTTCAGCCATCATATGCTCCAGACCATTGGGCTCCCCAGAACAACTGACCATGATTCCACATCGACTAAACATCAATAATCTGCCCGAAGTCGCCACGGCCCCCGAGAAAAGTATCAGAAACACTCAAAAGACACCATTGCGCACCTGTTCCCGCCGTTCTCTGAAGAGACGGCATACTTCACCTTCGGCGCCAGATGTCGAGCACTTCCTCAGCCGTACTGAAAGTCTTACTGTGACGGGGACAGCGACAGCCAACGGACCCAATGAGAATAACAACCAACAGTCTTCACGGCCCATTGTAAATGCAGGTCGTAAGCGCATGAGATTCTCCTTGGCCTTCGCGGAGGACAAGACACCAAGCAACCTCGCTTGGGAGGCGCTTGCCTCATCCGCACCTGTGCTGGCACGAGACGATGATGATCTTATCGGGGAGCAAGGCTCATACGATGCCCATGTCGTCGAATGCTCACTTGGCCACCAGGGGCCAAATGAGCAGCACCCACTTGTCGAGGACACGCTGGCCGATCATACAAGTGGCTTGATCATTGAGACAAGTGACGATGGAGGCATCAGTGAAGAGGGCACGCCAGAGGGTCGTGAAGAAACGGCTCCCAGAAAAGCAGACCCCGAGGCTGGGGCTCTAGAGAGTATGAGCTTGGATGAATACGACGGTGAAGAAGGTGAGGTGCCATGGCCACTGTCGCGTTACGAACAAGCACTGACACTTTACTTGCTCGCCAGACTCGTCCGAGCCCGAGGAAGATGAAGACGCCGACACCACCGCTTTGACACCGTCATCTGAAGGCGATAGCTTCTCCTTTCCCGCCACCTCAGGAAGCCAGAAGCCAAAAGTCAGAGGTCGCTTTCTGATATTCGACAGATCTCCACCCAAGGGCTTCAAGGTGCTGCACAAGCCTCGGGTCAAAAAAGAGGCGGATCCGCCGCTGAAAAACAAAAGGAAGACGCTGACTGACGGATTCACCGAGGACGAGGCGCGGCCCAGCTTCCTCGGGAAAAGAAGACGGCTTCAACACCTTGACATAAATGTTGGGAGCCTGGACCTGACTCAGAGCGGCGGCGCGTCACAGCAGAGGCAAAGGAACCTAAGCCCAAAAACAGATTTGCGAACTCAATCTCGAACGGCTGCTAGTCTTTGGCGTGGACGGCAGTATTTCAGCGCGTCGCAGTTCAAAATCGAGTCTCAAGGTTCTGTTAAGCCTTCCGAGGTGAAGAAAATGCCAACCAAAACACACAAGCATACGCTTAACCAACATAACAGGCAAATTCCTCGGGTTGACAACTTTCGCTCCGTAATCATTCCACGGACCGACTCTCCTCAAGCAGAGCATACTACCAAGGCGGAATTAGCAGGCGAGGCTCCAGGCGAGCTAGTATGGGATTCAAGTCCAATAATGCACCTCCTTCCGAAGCAACGCTTGAACGGACAGATCGAAAAGTCGGGCTCGCTCACACTTCGTCCTGGCCCACCTGGCCCGCTCGAGCCTGACTTGATGATTCCTGAGACACCTGTTCTGAATGACGATGCACTTCCGTAATATGAATCACTTATCTTTCGCGCAATCTTGTTGGGCCTAACTCCTGATTTGGAGGATGGAGAAGAGACATGGGCCAATTCATTCAAAGGAATATGAATATCGCTTGTTGCTCATCTTCTAAGCGCTCTCAGTCATTTTTATCTGGCTCGATAGGTATCTAGTCTATCTCAAAACTCATCAGTAATTTTGCTTGACTTTCCCCGAGACACCGCTGTGAGATGCTGGCAGCCTTGGTTGAGAGAGTGAGGCCTTACCTCACTTCGTGCCTGACATCAGTCTTTGGATTGCCTCCAAACCACTCTGTCGTAATCGTGATTATGATTTTGCCGCTCTAGCACCAATAGCTATGTCAGAGCCAGCGGCTACTTCGCTCCCTTCCCTTTGGCCTCTGTCTCGCTCAACTCCCGGATCACCACCTTAGTCTGGCCCTGCCCACTGTAATTCTCCTGCCCTGTCTCGAACCCTGGGCAAACACCAGCGGCCATGAATTTTCCATTGGACGAGAAGGAAAGCGACGCCACACTGTTTCCAAAGTTCTGGTACTGCTTCATCCTCCTCTTGGCCTCGGCATCCCACAGCGCCACAGTCCCGTCGCCGCCACCGCTGGCAAATGTCTTTCCAAACACAGGGTGGAATGTGAGCGCATTGACAGGGTAGACAACATCCCCACCGCCTTCCTCCTCAGAAGCCGCCTGTCGATGGCACTTGAATGCGTACTTGCGCGCTTGGGACTCGGCCGAGTCTTCGAACCACTCCACGGCGACACGTCCCTCGATCGAGCTGGTGGCGTAGCCGGCGTCGTTTGGCATGCAAGCCACAGCCCTGGTCAGGAACTTCAAGGACGACTCCCGTTGTTGCCAGGGCTTGATGTCTGGCGCCGACGAGGAGGCGAGCTGCTTGGCGACGGTGGGGAGGTCGAAGATGTGCACCAGTCGCGCCGTCATGGCGACGACGACCTTCGTCGGGCTGGACGACATGGCATGCGGCTTGCCCGGGAGCTGGACGACGGCCGGTGGGCTATCCGGCGCGGCGGTGTTGTGGATGTGTAGCGTGCTGTCCCACGAGGCGGAGATGAGGAGTTGGTGCTCGGCGGAGAAGACGACGCAGCGGACGGGCTTGGTGTGTTCGCTCATGACGGTTTGGGAGCCTGTTTCAAGATCGATCCTGTAGTTATCATCGTCAGAGACCAAGATTGCGACGCAGGGGAGTTGTTGCTAGCCAACCTTGTCACCCTGTGGTCCACCCCCGCCGTGAATGCCTCATTGTCGCTACCACCGAAGCACACGTCCATGACGGGCGCACGGTGCTCAAACTGCCGCACCAATTTTGCTGAACCTGCGTCGCCATCCTCGATCTCGTAGAGATAGACGTTCTTATCCCACGAGGAGACAAGTAGCCTAGTTGGTGATTCCGGCGCAAAGACGACGCGCGACACGGCGTCGTCTGGGGGCTGCGCAACCTCAAATTGCGTTGCTGCGGTCTGATATTAGCTTCTGAAAGAGACAGATTGAACCTGGGAGAGAACCACATACCTGGGGCCATGTTGTGGGTTGCTTGTGCGGAATGGGACAGAGGAATATGGTTTGCTATAGCAGGAGTGAGGTGGATGTTGCTCCATCACAACAAAGCGCAGCTGATGGACAGGGGAGCTGCACTAATCCCTGCAGCTTTTTTTGGCCTCCCGCCGGCGCGTGGGGCATCTTCGGCTCCCACCAACGTCACACTCCTTCAAAGCTTCAAGATTGCAGCTTCCTGCACAGCAAGACAAGTGCAGCGTCCTGGGCTACTTACGAATCTCAAGATGCCATTTGCACAGCTCGTCCTGGGCAGCCCGGGTGCGGGGAAGAGTACATATTGTGACGGCAGTAAGCTAGTCTAGCCAAAACCTACAGTTCAGTTCTGCCGCCCTGGCTGAAGACTGACATGCTGCTTTTTCCAGTGCACCAGTTCATGGGCGCAATAGGCAGACAATGCTCAGTTGTTAATCTCGACCCTGCAAACGACAAGACGAGTTACCCATGCGCCCTAGATATCCGCGATCTCGTTACGTTGGAGGAGATTATGGGCAGCGATAACCTGGGGCCGAACGGCGGAGTTCTCTATGCCCTCGAGGAGCTGGAGCACAACTTTGAGTGGCTTGAGGAAGGCTTAAAAGAGTTGGGTGACGAGTACATTCTGTTCGACTGTCCAGGTCAGGTCGAGCTGTATACGCATCACAACTCGTTGCGCAACATCTTCTTCAAGCTTCAGAAGATGGGATTTAGGGTCCGTTGCGGGAAGACCTTCCTTTTCCCCCCCTGAATTATGTGCTGACACGAGACTAGATGGTCGTTTTGCACCTCTCGGACAGCTTCTGCTTGACTCAACCCTCTCTCTACCTCTCGAACCTCCTGCTCGCGCTCCGAGCCATGCTGCAAATGGACCTTCCGCACATCAATGTCCTCACCAAGATCGACAAGGTATCATCGTATGACCCGCTGCCGTTCAACCTCGACTTCTATACGGAAGTACAAGACCTGTCGTATCTCCTGCCGAGTCTCGAAGAAGAGTCGCCTGCTCTGCGAAGTGAAAAGTTTAGGGCCCTCAACGAAGCAGTTGCAAACTTGGTAGAAAGCTTTTCGTTAGTTCATTTCGAGGTTCTGGCGGTTGAGAACAAGAAGAGCATGATGCACCTCCTGAAAGTGATCGACCGAGCGGGCGGGTATGTTTTTGGAAGCGCTGAGGGAGCCAACGACACCGTCTGGCAGGTTGCGATGAGGAACGAACCGTCCATGCTCGACGTCCAGGACATCCAAGAACGATGGGTTGACCAGAAGGATGAGTACGATGCTGCTGAGGCCAAGACAGAGGAAGAGCAGGCCAAGATTAGAGAAGAGCAGGCGGGCGCAACCGGTCGTACCGGTGCAGGGGACGATGATTTCGATGACATGCCCATGCCGTTGCCTTCAGACCTAGGCGTCAAAGTGACCCGTAAAAAGAAATGATTGGTTTCAGTCATTCTCTTCAGAATCGCCAGCGTCGGGGTCAGATTCGTCATCACGGTCGACCATCGCCACATCATTGAGCGAGTCCTTCGCGCCGAACAAGGAGTTCAGCGCGGCAGCTTCCTTCCCGACCATCTCGTCTTTGGCCGCGAGGATCAGCTGTTTGGCTCGCCGGATGGCATCTTCCTCGACCTTCTTGATTGTGCCACTGACGCGCACTACTCTGAAGACGCAAGGAAGGCCTGGGCCCTGCTTGGTGGGCACATGCTTCATCATGGTCAGAGCCGCCCAGACGAGGCGGTAGTGCTCTCGCGAGCATTGAAGAATGCAAGTTGACGTTGCATTGGAAAGATACTTGACTGTGGAATCGGTCAGCTTGGCTGATCAGCTAGAGGAGAGCAGTAGCAGACCTCTCAGGCTGCGTTCAACTGCGCCGGCGCCATAGTCACCGAAAAGTTCTGTGATCTGAGCCTTGATGGCGTATTGGATCGAGCGGCCATTGCAGGCGTTGGCAGTGGGTTGGTTGTAAAGCAAGAGATCCGGTAAGCCCGCCTTGGCTTGATCCTGGACAGCCTCTGGGTAGACAATATTCACAAGGAGATAACGCTCCTTGATGCGGACCATCTTGGTCTCGCTGCACCCTCTTGAAAGCTCCGTAAAGGTCGGAATTAGCAGTTGGTCGTGGGAATAATCAAATGTTGACCGGATTGATCAAGCTCGGGGAGGGTTTTGCTGGCCAACCGGAAAGCTGCCAGGCAGAAGTGGGACTAGACAAGAGCTCAAGTGCCACTCACCCCTGTCACTTACAAACGTCACTCCGCAATCGATCTTCTTGTGATTCTTCGTCGTGATGAGCAAGACCATGACAACTACATTGCTTACGTGATCTGCCTCCCTCCCTTTGAGTAACCTCAAGTATATAGTAGTTACTTTGATATTAATATTGGAGGCTGTCCTCTTGAAGCATTCGCATTGATCCTCTGGCCCCGGAACAGTACCAAGATGAGCCAGACACTCAAAGCAGCAATCCTGGTGGTCTCGACAACAGCGTCTCAAGATCCCACAACTGATGCTGCTGGGAATGCTCTGCGCTCTGTCTTTGATGAAGATGGAGCTAGTCGGTGGAAGGTCGTTGAGTCGAAGATTGTGCCAGACTCCGTGGCCCTGATCCAAAGACAGCTCATGCTGTGGACGGACACCGCGGATCCGGTCAACTTGATCGTAACAACTGGCGGCACCGGATTCGCAGTCTCGGACCAGACACCAGAGGTATTTTCCTGACAATATTCCACAAAACATTCTGCGGATTACCTTCTCTGATGAAGAGAACTGATAGGCTGTGTCCGCGCTCCTCCATAAACAAGCCCCTGGCCTGGTCCATGGCATGCTCGCCGCTTCTCTGAGTGTGACACCCTGTGCGTTTTGCCCTAACTCAGCATCATCTTACTCGTTACTGACAACCCCAAGTTGCCATGATGTCGCGACCTGTTGCCGGAGTCAGAAACGGAACTCTGTTGATCACTCTCCCGGGATCGCCAAAGGGTGCTAAGGAGAACCTCCAAGCCGTCATCAAACTGTTGCCTCACGCCTGTATCCAGGCCGCTGGCGCTGACTCTCGATCTATCCACTCTGGAGGAGTCGAGAAGCTGGAGAAGGACGCTGGGGTTGGTCGGGCTTCTGGCCACTCTCACTCTCACGGCCATACTCACGCCCACAGCCATGGCCAAGGGCATAGCCATAGCCACGGACACGATCATGGACATGGTGCGCTAGTCAGGCACACCAATCCGAACGATAACCCGCTGTCAAACGATCCCAGCCTCGGCCCGACTCGAAGGCATCGGGAGTCGCCTTATACTATGTTGTCAGTCGAGGACGCGCTGGCCCTTATACATGATCACACTCCGGCCCCCGTGGTAGTCTCTGCCAAAACAGACACAGCTCTGGTAGGCGCCACCCTTGCCGAGGATGTGAAGGCCACTGAGAATGTTCCGGCATTCCGTGCAAGTATTGTTGATGGATATGCTGTTGTTGTGCCCAAGGACGGGAACATGAAAGGAATATTCCCGGTGACTGCTGTGTCTCATGCTGCCCCCGGCGAAGCCAAGGAACTCAAAGAAGGACAAATAGCCAGGATAACAACAGGTGCCCCCCTGCCACCTGGTGCGACGTCTGTCATTATGGTTGAAGACACTGTCTTAAAATCTAGGACCGAAGACGGTGAGGAAGAGAAAGAAGTCGAGATCTTGGCAGGGGATGTCAAAACCGGCGAGAATGTGAGGGAAGTCGGCAGTGATGTTAAAAAAGGCTCGGTTATTCTTCAAAAGGGGGAACAAGTGTCTGCTGTTGGCGGTGAGATCGGCCTTATGGCAGCCGTCGGCGCCTCTCAGGTGCAGATTTATCACCGGCCAGTCGTTGGTGTCTTGTCAACAGGTGACGAAATTATCAACCATGATCGTCCTGGAGCTCTGCGACTGGGCGAGGTTCGAGACACAAATCGGCCTACACTTCTATCGGCCGTCAGGGACTGGGGATACGAAGTTATCGATTTGGGCATCGCCAGCGACAAGCCCGGCACCTTAGAGGAGACTCTACGGGATGGAATGCGGCGAGCTGATCTAATCATCACCACCGGTGGAGTGTCTATGGGCGAGCTTGACCTCCTGAAACCGACTATCGAGAGATCACTGGGCGGAACCATTCACTTCGGTCGTGTGAACATGAAACCTGGGAAGCCAACAACTTTCGCGACAGTTCCTGCAAAGAACAACGAAGGAGAACGCGTCTCGAAGGTCATTTTCTCACTTCCAGGCAATCCGGCGTCCGCTCTAGTCACATTCCATCTCTTCGTCCTCCCATCTCTCCACGCCATGTCCGGAATATCGCCAGCGGGTCTTAGCAGGGTTCCGGTGACGCTGTCCCACGATTTCAATCTTGACCCGGGGCGGCCCGAATATCATCGAGCCATAGTGACTGTTGGAAGAGATGGTACCTTGTCGGCACTTAGTACAGGTGGACAACGAAGCTCCCGAGTAGGCAGTCTCAAAGGAGCAAATGCCCTCTTGTGTTTGCCAAAGGGGACAGAGCTTTTGCAGAAGGGAACAAAGGTGGAGGCTCTCCTTATGAGTAATGTGAGGACGGGTTGAGGAAGAGACCACGCCTGCAGGCAAATTGGACTCAATTCACTTTAATGGTAGGAAGTGATGCCTATTTCGACTGTCCTTGCAAAGACAGTGGCCTGTGCTATTTTCCCAACATGCTGAACATCTCCATCTTTTCCTCTATGTTTTCCACTGCTGTACCCCACCACCCTTGTTCGACAACGATTCCTGCTATGCGATCAAGCTTGCCTGGTGCTATCCAGGCTTCGTAACGCGCCATCACTCCGTTTGTTTACAGTACCATTGGGCCTGACCCCCTTCCTAACCTCACCCTACTACAAACCATCTTCATCAGATTGGCCTCTACGTAATCGATCGCAATCTGCGCATGGAGGTCGACATGTGCCACTTCGACTACAGAAAATTTGATTCTTGCGGGGATTATGGCATCGAGATCAGCCGCATCTGCGATGATGCTCTCTGGCGGGCTGGCATTGAAGGCGAGCTACGGATCTGTGTACCACGGATTCTTGAGAGGTCACTCGAATGGTCTGGATTAGATCACCATGAGCCACCAAAGCCAGCTCTGTTCAGAGGCTATGATGGTTACTGTGAGATGTGCGCCGCAAGATTCAAGGTATGCTATCGCAATGAAGCCATAACTTGGTTTTTTGTATTTATGCTTATTACAAAGTGCCACAGCTACCAGGCTCCATACTCCAGAGAAGCTACTCAGACTATGAGCTCGACTACTCGCGACCGCTGAACTCTTTCAATCCAGACGACTTCGCACCCTATCTTTCTTTCCGCGGCTTCATTGCAAAGATCCCTGAACTCCTGGGTATTGCGGACCAATTTTCGGCTGCTCATATGAAGCAGGGCCCATTCATGGTTTTCCAGAAGAGTCTCGAACAGTGTACTTGGTCGCAGCTTCGAAAGGCCTTGCCCTTCACTTACAAAGGAGAATTCGAGAATGGCTGCACGCTGGGCGTTCAGAGCGCTCTAGAGAGATTGAACATCAGCGACGGAATTACGAAGTACGACAGAGACCAGGTTTTCCACGCAATGCAACATGAACCTCACCTTCGGGTGGTATACAAGTGAGTCTGTCTCATGTCCTTTGGGCAACTAGCTATGGCTGATACTTGTCTCCAAATAAACAGCACTCTCTTCAAACCTCGTGGCATGCCCTTGGGATATTTTGGTACTGTCATTGTCGATGGCTGTCGGAAAGCCCGGCATCAGCTTTGGACCCCGAAGGCTGAAGTTGTTCGGAACTCTGTCCGGCAAGACTCAGATTGCTCTGATGACTCGGCCCTCACAACTCTCACGAGAACACCGGAGCTGTCCGATGTTGATCTAGCTGCACCAAAGTCACCAACACAAGTCCCCGAGTTTCTCGTGGCAACAAGTTATGATGGATCCACTCCGTCTCATCCCAGACCAGACGATCGCCAGGTGTTGCACGCCAATAGAGGGGGCCAACATGCCGCGGCGATCAAGCTTGCTTTATCAGCTATATCTCCGTCTCCGACTGCCAAGAGATCCTCTGATGTGACAAATAAGACCCGCGACTCGGTCACACAGGTAATGGCGACAGGACACCGGCCCTACCAGCTGAACCAGGATGGGATCGAGATGGCAACAGCTCAGAAATGTGCTGTTGTGGTAGGAGCGAAGAACACTATGATACCTGGACATGAGGCTCGACACGAACAGCGAAACCTGGCAGAGAAGATAGAGAGACCTAGGCGCATGGCTATAGCTGAATAAGAGCGTGGCAAGCAAATACGTCATTTCAGGCCCTCAACGCAGGGCCTGGGAAGCAGAAACGCAGCGTACTCTGACCTCAACACTCTCACAACGGACGCTTCAGCTACGCTGGCTGACCACTCCAGAGCCGCGAAGGTGGGTGAGAAGAGAAAGTCTGAATTTGAGCAACAGCCCGCACCTCAGCAAAAGCGACAGCGTCTGGACTCGTGGAAGGGTCCCGGAGACGGTAATCTATCTCAGATTCCGTATTACAAGGCTGATCGAGCGTTCAAGTGGAAGGTTTTTGAGAGACCAGCGTACGAGCGGACGCACGGAGCCTCCGGGGCTGGCGTAACTCGAGAGCAGCATGCCCTTGTCCAGCAGCCTCAGGATGTCCAGCAGTCTCAGAATACCCAGCAGCCGTCTGCGGAGAGGCGATCTAGCAGAGCTCAAGGGCAGGTTCCCCAATATGTGGAGTCTGTATTCATCCCAGACGATTCCGACGAGGAAATGAAAGAGCAAGAACCTGGCCAGAATGCGGCGCAGTCTCCGACTCATTTGGACCCCTCCACCGTCCGCAGACTACAGAATTCGGGTCTTCTCGGAAGATCTCGCCGCCGATGAAGGAAGAACCATGCTTGTTCATTTAGGATAGCTTGCGGAGTTGAGATCTCGGAACATGGTTCCGGGTAGCGATGACGACTGCTGGCTCTCCGACGGACATATCTCTATTGGAAGCCCTGGTCTTGCACTCCTGAACATTTCTTGTCCCTTGACTGCATAAAAGTCCCGTCATGAGTCCCCCCCTTTTCCGCACGATTTGGCAACGTCTCGAGACAGCATCGTTTCGACAGCACTACAGCCCGGGTTGCTTCGGCCGGAATTGTGGCACGATGCTACCATTCTGGTAAGGCGATACTGTCCTCTTTGGAAAGATTGGGAGGGTACAGATGAGTATGAGAAATCCTGCCGCAGCGGGCACGTGTCTAATATGACGTTTACAGAGGAAATGTCCTCCATACTGATTGTGATGTGGACTGGGGTTTTCCGGGGACTCAGTCAGCTGGTGAAATGATGGCGGTTCATGCCACATTACCGTCCAAGTCAGAGAAGTTGGACACTTAGATAGAGACACAAACCAGCTATAAATGGTGAAACGTCTTACTTCGATTCTGATTCGGAGAAAATAGCTCGTCAACGGCCTTTTCCATCAATAATACAGGCTTCTTCTAGATAAACCCAATGCCTCCGTCCCTTCAATGCTTATCCCGAACGCCGTGGATGTGGTTATGTTGTAGATAGTATGGCTCAAGTTGTCGTCGTGGGTTGAGGTACTCTCAAGTGTTTTGGTACAATGGCTCTCTCCTATGTGCTCTCCTTTTCTTACACCTCGCCAAAGTCCCCTGCCTTGCTGGAGACGAGCAGGCCGACGATAAGACCGAAGAGGCCTAGGACGGAGCTGAAAATCTCGATGACTAGGATCTTGACGAAGAGTGTAGGGTCCGCGGCGTCAGCCAGCGCCGCACCACTACCGTTGATGCCCACCGCAACACCGCATACCAGGTTGCAAAACCCCACGGTTAGGCCCGACCAGAACAGAGCGAAACCGGTGTAATATGTCTTAGCGTCGTACAGCTCCTCGCCCTGGATGCCGTTGAGCTTGGCCGAGAAGACGATGGACATGATGACGCCGTAGATGGCGACGACCTCGCAGAAGATGATGGAGATGAGGTTCTTGGTTCGGATTCGAGGGGCGCGGACACCGCCGCCGACAATCGAAGATCCAGTTATGAAGATACCCCTGGGGAGAACGATGTGTAAGTTTCTTGTACGACCTTATGCTCTGGAGAGATTCGCGTACCATGCTGCTCCCACTACCGACAGGCCAATGCACAGCGAGATGCCCAAGCTTGCCCAGCCTGTTGGGGACACGGATTCGAGAAAGGCGCCGACCTAGATGTGCGAGTGGGTCAGATAATCGTGCTCATCGGCTCGTGATCAAGTACCGTTGAGCTGGATTGACATACGTTGAAGGCCTCGCCGCTGCCAGTGAAGAGCATGTCTGGGACCCGGTTAGCTGGAACGCCGTGTACTCGAGGCTGGACTCGACCTGAACATACAAGCTCCCACAATGGCGAGGGCGCCGGTGGCGCCACCTAAAGAGTACTTCGTGCTCATCCTGGGTGATGGTGGAGAGCTTTGTTGAGGGGCTGGTAAAGAGGTTGGTTGATGGTAGAGAGCTGCAGAGGTTACGCGGACACAGCTCGACGACCAAGCTCCGAAGGGCAAACCGTCATCAACAACGATCGGTACAAAGTACCTTCGTCTCGTCACGTGGATGGCAGGCAGGCAGGCAAGAACACTTGCGACCCGCCTTTAGCCGGCGCCGGCTTTGTCATCCCGGCCCGTAGACTACCCCCTGGCCTTCTCCTCGGTGCCTATTTATACCACCAACTTGTCTCACTCACCGACGACGACAACCCCCGAAAGCAAACGACGGCACCTCAATACAAGATGGCGTCCAGCGGGCAGCAATACTACGAGCTTTACCGCCGTAGCAGGTACACTGCGCCGCCTTGCACTTTGCTAAACCCACATCGCGATGGCTAACAGGCATGCGCGCTGCGCTGAACAGCATCGGTGCCACTCTCACAGACACCCTCGATGACCTCATCACGGACACCCGCATCGACCCTCAGCTGGCGATGAAGATCCTGGCCAACTTCGACCGTGCAATTGCGGACGTGCTTCAGGAGAAGGTGAAGGCGCGGCTGACTTTTAAGGTACGGCAACCATGCTGCGAAGCGACCTTGGTCTGCCTCGGGAACCTGGAAGGCTGGCGAGGCATGCGCAGTGGTAGAAACATGGCTGACATGGAGATATCTATCCGTTTACAGGGCTCGCTCGACACTTACCGATTCTGCGACGAAGTCTGGACCTTCCTGATCAAGAACGTCCAGTTTAAGATGGAGAACGGCGGACAGGCTGTGGTCGCGGACAAGGTCAAGATCGTGAGCTGCAATGCGAAGCGTCCAGGCGAGGGACAGTAGCTGGTCTCGTTTTCATCAACGCCCGGTCACGTCTAGAGCATGACGGCGCTTGCAAGTCTCGATTCTTACAGGTTCGCGTGGCACTGTGGTGTGAGAGCGAACAGTGCGCAGGACTGTCGCGGAACCCATGCATGACTTTATTTCTACTTAGGCGTTGGGTTCACGGTGTCTTTTGCTAGGCGTTATGAGAAAGGTTTACCAGGGATAAAGGACTCGATGATTTTGGGACCATCTTGTCCCGTAGAGGTATCACAGATTGAAGAACAGGGTTGCTCGCTTTGGGCTTCCATCATAGCCATCTTGCCATCTCATGTCTGTTGCTGGTAATTGAGCTGTAATTTGTGACATGAGAATGTTTCCAGCAAAAGAGGCAGTAAGTGTATGTCCTACATTGTGTTCAGGATATATGCTCATGGCCATTCGCTGGTGATGGCCGGTTTCCCAGGGTCTGGGGAAAGGGGGAGCTCATTCCAGCACGGGCTTCTGCCAAACCACCAATGCAGCTTCATCTTCCCAGGCCCAAGCAACTTGAATTACACAGACGCAAATCAAGAACAAAACACCCGCCAATTTCACATAAACCACCTAGATACGCATCTATCTGTCTGCTCCCATCCCTGCCGACTCACACAATGCTTCGTCAGCGCCGCCCAGCCGGGGAAGAGCCAGATCCCTGTTCTGGCACAAGCGCCCCATGTCATGCTGGTGCATCAGAACCTGGCGTCATTACACAAAGGAGAGAAACGGCACCAGAGTCTTATCCAGGAGAGCAGCGTCCTCTTCTCAAAGGAAACATTGCCCAGACCGGAGACGCCGACAGGATGACCTGGGCTCAGAGCAACCACTGGATCGTGCTGGCGATCGCCAGTGGCGCATGCGCTGCTTTCAACGGCGTCTTTGCGAAGCTGTACGTTGCTGCTAGAGACCGTGATCATTATGGACTGGCTGGCTGACTACGGGATAGCACTACGGGTGAGGCCACCACAAGTTTTGCGCAGGGAATTGCCGGATTCCTCCATCTCGATTCTGTTGAGGGCATTTTCGAGTACATAGTCCGCGCTGTAAGCAGAGACACAATCAAGCATTGCATTTTGGTCATTATTACGCGACCTTCCTCATACGCTTGACCAATTCTTCTGCTTTACGTCGTCTATCCAATGACCAAGCTGACATCACACCCTAGGTCTTCTTCGGCCTGAACCTGCTTTTCAACGGAGTGATGTGGGCTTTGTTCACAAAGGCCCTCTCCCGAGGCAACTCGACAACACAGGTATCCATTATGAACACGTCGTCCAACTTCTTCATCACAGCTCTCCTCGGCCTCGTGATCTTCTCGGAATCTCTACCTCCTCTTTGGTGGGTTGGAGCCACATTCCTGGTCGCTGGCAATGTTATCATCGGTAGCAAGGACGAGGGCGAGAAGGCCGTGGGAGACGAGAGCAGTCAAGATGGTTCTCGCGGGTATGAGTCCGTACCACAGACGGATAATGATGCGGCTCCTGATCTGAAAGAGGACGAAGATGAGGACTTCATCCAGCTGGGAGATCTGGATGATTGAACGAGGCAGCATGTCGTAGTCCGGACATCGAACAGATGAGAGATGGACGGGCACTATGTCGTCGAAACCCGGCGAATTCTCACCTATCAGTTGTATATTGTCTCATCTTCCCTATAAGCTTGGTTTAATCTAGCCAAGGTATCTTGAGTCACCCTAAGTCAACGATAATTCACCCAGTCCAATATGTTGTGATGCCAAAGCCGTCCAAACAGAGCCCTGTTCAAGTTGCGCAGTTTTCCCCTTACTGTCCAACCATGTCTTCGCGCGAAATTGTATCCCCGCTGTAGAGGTGATCAATTTTGTCTACGAACCCGACGCGAAAAAGATGTGACAGATCAAGCAGGCTACAGTCTGTATCCATAGATCAAGAGATCATTTCTGGGGGGGGGGGGCACTGGTTGAGTTCGTCAAATTTTCCGTCTTTTTCATAGCTTCGTCGACTCTCAATCAGGCGACTCTCGAGCCGATATTCAGAGTAAGTCTCAGCCTGATATTGAATGCTTAGTGACTGAGCCAAAGAATTCTCTTCGTACAAAACGAAATCCAGAAAATATACGGTTGATTTCCGCTTTGTGAATTTGAAGGTCATCACGACTATGCTTGTTATCTTTAGGTTGCGATTCCTTTTCTTTGAGGCCACAACTATTGAAGAGATATTGTAACATATAGTCCCGAGCAAACGGCGGTGATGTTACAGAGTGCCAGGCAAAAGAGGCCGCAAGATCAAAGCACTTTGGGCCGTCGCCTTTTATCCAAGGTGCACACGGTTCCTGATGGGATGAAGAGAACGCCTCTGAATACGGGGCGAAACCTTCAGCCCGTCCAGGCCCCTCTTGGCAGAAGTACCGGGCAGAGAGACGCCTTCGTCGGTCAGGGCCTTTCTCAAATCAGCAACAGTAGCCGTCGAGGTTGAGGCCGGCGCCTCTATCTCCTCAAAGCTGCCAGGCAGTTAGCAAATATAACCCTAGACAGCAATTGTGCACACGTGGACTTACTAGTAAACACCGTAAGGCCCCGGCTTTCCAGCGGCTTTTGCGGCCTCGCCACCTGTAGGAGGAAAAATATCAGTAAAGTGGTTGGGAAGGTAAACTGGAGCCACAGGCACTCACCGTTGAGCTCCTGGCGGCCTATAAGCTTAAATTTCCCGGCTATGCCCTGCACGAAATCCGTCTCTCTGTACTCGGAGTTGGCGACAGGCGCCAGGTAACGTCCAGTCTTGGAGTTGATCATAAGTAGATAATCTTTGGTCGTGGTAAACATGCCATCGCCGAGGTTCAGAGTCGTAGCCATGACTTTCCGAATCAGATCCCCATCCTCGGTCATACCACTGTTGACATTGACGACAAGATCTGGGGTACGTTAGCGTCTTGGACTGACACGATGTGTTACTTTGTGCCCGCGAGGCCGAAGAGAGCCACTGAGAGGAATGAGTAGATATACCTGAGACTTCATAGATTCCAGGCGTTCCTTTGCTGATTGTCCCAGCCTCCAGCTTATTTAGCATGGTGACCTGCAATCTGTCAGTAAATGGTTTTCTCACTTGCTTGTGGAAAAGCCTGCGTTTAGTGGCCGCAGATACGTCTTAGGATCTGGCATCTGCACAAGCGCTCATCAGGTTGCAAGAAGGATCATTGTGAATTGACTCACCGTGGAAGCCTCCAGGTCGGTTGAGCGGATGACCAAGCCGGTGGCTGCTGGTAGCTTCGTGATTGCAGGCTCGAAATCGGGCCAGATATAGTAGAACTGGGCCCAAGTCCTCAGGGCAGAAGTCTCTTGCGAACTCAGACCATACAGTTTTGTCGTCGCACTCGAGATTTTAACCCAATCTGCCTGGTTCTTCGATGCCTCTAGGAGCAAACTGCTCATCTCATCAACATTGGCGGATATTGACTGACCCTCCGCGTACCACTTGGCAAAACTCTCACTCATAGTAGTAATAATCTTAGTCTCCTCAGCCGTGATGCCGGCAGTACTGGATAGAGCAGCAATCGTGCGTTCGGCAAGGGGAATGGCCTCGGTGGTTCCGATCTCCGTCGTCAGGCCCTTTTGGTCGTTCCAGACGCTTTCCGGGGCTTCGAGCGTCTGAGGGCTCAGAAAGCAACATAATTTCCTGAGAATGCCCTTTTGGCGACGTACCAACTTGGCGCCGCCACCCTCTACACAGACCTTGCAGTTGTCGAAACCTAGTCCGGTCAGTATACTCCAGGGTACGGAAAATAATGTGAGCCACTTAGGGAAACTTACCGCCTTCCTCAATGGATTTCTCCATAGCAGCCACATCAGAGTCGGTATATAGCAGCTTTGGTTTGCCATCTCCACCATCGCGGAAGATCTGGACAGTGTTCTCACCCTCCTTGGCTTCGAGCATGAGACCTTTGCCCTCTCCAATTGTCGCGGTGGCTTTTCCGAACTTGGCCAGGACCATATCAACGGCACCGACGGCCCGGGCTGCTCGAGCAACATCGGCGACGACGCTCAGCAGCGACACAACGTCCGCGAAGACGCTACCGGCCTTCTCGATATCATTGTCGTAGCTGAGCTCGTGAATGCTCTTGAATGATGGTGAGCGGACTGTCACGAGGTGGATGAGAATTGTCTTTTACTTACATCGAACGCTTTGAATGCATCTCGGCATCCGTCTCGTATTGTCTTGCCAAGACTAGCTTCGAACACTGATGTCAGGTGGCTCATTCCCATACATGTTACCTGAAGCTCTTTCATTTGTGGAGTGGCAAGGAACTTGAAAGCCCCGATAGCTTGGTTGATAATGTTTTTCATGACACCTGAACAGGCCTAGGTCAGCACATAGCTCATACACCTAAGATATAAACGGCAATAGGTGGCCCAGCCCATATAGCTACAACGGCATGCAGGTTATTACTTACCCATCCAGAACTGGTCTTCAAGGGGAATGTTCGACTCTGGGTTTCCAAAGAGCGGGTCGTTTGCGGTCTGACGCTTCGATGAGCTGCTACCGCTACCGCTTCCGCCGCCGCCGACTCCGCCGACATATCTGCAATGCCCAAATTAGCTGCTGAAGAATCACACAATAGCATCTACCTAAAGTGATGGTACAAGAGGATCCGTGACCATCGTCTGCCTCACAAGCTGCAACGCAAGAACAAATGTCGAGGCAGCTAGTGGACAGCTACAGACTTGGCAGAAAGCTGTGTTTGAGAAGGTAAGTATGATGCTTGAGCTACTTACTGGATCCCAGCAAATAGTCCTGATGCACAGGCAGCACCAGAGGGATTGGCAACGCAAGGCCCTTGACTGATCTTCCTGACGCAAATCTCCAGGGCATCCGAGGCGTTGAGACCGTTGCGGACTTCTGGTAGATCGAGGCAAAAGGCTGACCAAAGGTGAAGGATACATGTCTTATTGGAAGGGTTCGCGTCGCAGCCACTGGGGATCGTTGCGAAGGCACGAGCAACGATACAATCAGCAGAACCTAGACTGTCGATCATTGAGCCATTTCCCGAGACGGCAAAGTTGCATTGGGGAATGGCCACGTCGGATGTTGGCGGGGTTTTGCCGAAGGATGATGCTGTCAGGTTCGTTACTTGGGCCTGCGGGAAGTAGAGCGGTGTTTTGGTGGGCTGGACGACGAGCTTTCCAGAGTCATCGGCGTAAGCACAGAAGCCCGACTTGGTGGATGGCGAAAAGGTGAGAGGATCGCCAGAGGTGCCGGGCCTGTCGAGGGCATCTAGGGACGAGGCGAAGATAGCGAAGGGAGACCCTCCCTCAAGGGCCACCTTAGCAGTCAACAAGGTCAGTTGCCAGATGTTCTGGGTGTCTGATATTTAATTGTTAGCGGAATAACTCACATAAAACGTCTGGTTTTTGTCTAAGTTGCAGGCCCCAACTTTGACAGTCGATCCGTCAGAAGTATCCCAACAGCCACCCCCTGTGCCAGCAGGCTCAGCGACTCTGATCGAGGTAGTATCGGTAAAAGGTGTGCCGAGTTTGTGAAGACCATTAGTAATGTAGAATGTTGTTGCGAGATCACCCGTGTTGTTGCCATCTTGAGCAGACGAGGTCGCATCACTGCTGGCCAGGACAGGAGTGAAACTTGTGTTGTTCTGAGCGTCTTGAAGACTGGCCGCACAAGGCGTGGAGGTGTCGGTTCCAAAAAGTCTTATTTTTGTGCCGATAGTCTTCAGAATACATGTCAGCATTATATCTGTAGAGGAGAATTTCTTGTAAGAAGCTTGCTAACCCATTCAACTGTGTTGTCAGTCTGGCCTTGTACGACAGACGCTGACAGAACAGCAGCTACCTGGACACTCTCGAGGAGTGTCGGTAGTCTGACCATGGTGAGAGAATGACGGCTTGAGGAACGTGTGCAAATAAAGAGCGAATGGAAAGATTGAAACGAGAGTAACAAAAAGAATGAGCGGTTGTGAGGGACCTCGTCAGAAAAACACTGAAGCACATAGTGGCCGTCCAGAGTGAAGGACGTTGCCTTTTATCGTCCACAGCCTCATATTCATGAATCGTTCGTCAAATCATGGCCTTGCCTTTTTCTGGGCTCGCCCATAGAGCACAGACTATGAGCCTCTGGGGTAAACATGACGTTGGAAATTTCAACATCATGCGTGCACTTGAGCGTAGGGCTTAGTGGAGCGAACCCTGGATAAGCTGTGTTGCTAGGCCTTGGCTTTCCACCCAGCCTCTCCATGCCAGTGTTTCATATCTCAGCCTTGCAAGCTTGGTAGTCTGAATTCGGAAGTCGCTCTAGTCATTAGAGTTTGAGCTTCTGCACGATCAAGAGGAGGCTGTTCGTTGACAATTTAAAGGGTCCACGGATGGTTCGCGTTGACCCTGTAGTAGCTTCCGCCGAGACAGCCGGATCGTTCTTGAGGCTCCACAGAGAATTAATATATGAGCTGATCGAACGACTACGGGCAATCGTAGCTTGTTGTATGTATGCGCTAATGACTCTCTCAAAAGTCAAGAAGATACCGTTTGCGCGCCTTCAAGGTCCTTGATTATTTGCAACCGGGTCCCGGTACCTGACCCAGACTGGCCTTCACACGTTTAGGAAGCTATGATATGCTTGATTAGCAGAATTTGTACAGTACGGAGGTATGTATCAGTTTTAAAGGCAGAGACTGTTCGGATGGTCAGACCTCGACTAAGACGAGGAATGTACACAATGTCGTGGGCCAGATAGAGGCAAGAAAATGTGCTGCTGTAATTAAGACAACACACAGTCCGGGATAGTCGGCAGGTCGACCGTTGGATCACTGTTAGTTGCCGCTGCTCCGATTTGCATTTCAGGCCTTGGCAGGCGTGGCAGGGCATCTAGACCTGCTAACAAACTTTATTATTTCCCCTTTTAGAGCTGCCTACTTGCAACGCAGGTCATTGCTCTAACAACAACTTCCCTGTCCCTGCCCCTCCTACCCTTAGATCATCAACCTTATCGCCGCAGCCAACGCTGGCAGGGCAGTGCCTTGATCAGGCGAAAACTCAACAACAAGTCCATCAAATCGTCGCGCTCCCTGCTTGCTGTCTCAGACGATAGACTCCATACAGACATGGAGAGAGCTGTTCGATAATGACGGGCCCAGGGATTGCGCTCAGCCGGGTTGCCGCGTGCTCCTTCTGGAAGCCGCCAACTCGCCTAATTCCACAAGCACGATCTCTTCACTTGGCGCCTCCCTTTCTACTCGAAGATTATGTCCCTCGAGTATGGCTACTCACCTCTAGGCTGCAAGATCACCGTTGGAGCTAATGGTAGTAATTTCGGCAGTACATGACCTTGTCCTCGCGAGATGCCGCGTTGAAACGGTCAAGGGCCTACGCCCACCTACGCAACTGCAACCTCTGCCCGAGGCTCTGCGGCGTGAATCGATATGAAAAGACTGGCGTTTGCCTGGTCGGAACCGACGTGTTGGTCAATGTCATCGCACCACACTTTGGCGAAGAGCCATGCATCCAAGGGCACAATGGCTCTGGCTCGGTCTTCTTCTCAATGTGCAATCTGCGTTGCTCCTTCTGTCAAAACCATGATATATCGCACCAGAGAAATGGCTTTAACCTTACGCCCGAGCAGCTAGGCGACTGGTTTGTCAAGCTGCAGGAAGTTGGATCAACTCACAACATCAACCTTATCACTCCCGAGCATGTCGCTCCTCAGGTTGCGCTTGCAATCATGCACGCGAGAGAGCAGGGTCTCACTCTCCCGATCATATATAACACGTCGGCCTACGATTCTCTCGCATCCCTGGAGCTTCTCGATGGGCTGGTCGATATCTACCTCCCTGACTTCAAGGTATGGGAACCGGCTACCTCTCAGCGCCTGCTCAAAGCTCCGGATTATGCGGCCGCAGCGAGGGAGAGTATCAAGGCCATGCATGCCCAAGTGGGGGATCTATGCTTTACGGGTGACGGCATAGCGAAGACAGGCTTGTTGGTGCGGCATCTCGTCATGCCGGGCCTCGAAGCGGAGGGCAGCAGGATCATGCAGTTTCTGGCGGATGAGGTGTCCACTGATTGCTTCGTGAACATCATGGAACAGTATCACCCAGACGCACATGTTGGCAAATCCCGTCGAAAAACTGCCAGTGGAAAAGACAGGGACTCAGAGGGGCCCGGCGGCAGTGTCGATGTGCGATACTCTGACATCAATCGTGCCGTCACAAATGATGAGATATCTTCAGTTAGGCGCGCCGCCGAAGAGGCTGGACTTTGGCGTTTTTGTGATCCTCCAGGTAATTCACACTTTTCTCTGTCAAGTTTATCCAGGCCTCGAAGATTGCTGATTTCGCTCCAACACCAGGGCACGACGGCTTCAACATTTGAGTAACATTATCAATAAGAATGGTACACTAATGCGTCTTCATGCGCGCCGCAAACACCACCTGGAAGAACTCGAGCTGCTTTCGTGTCTGCCTCCCCTCAACCAATCGAGATTTTGCCTTTCACGTGTGACATGGGATATGCAAGACTCAAGTCGGGTCCAAACAAGCTATGACATTGTGCGAGTCCGCTTATCTCGTGACGTCAACTCAATTCGACTAGGCGTGGCATATGTATGCTTGAATTTGCCTGGGCTATTCATAAGTACAAAGATTCTGCGGCGGCTGAGGCTGAGCCGGGCGAGCATCACTATAGACTCAGATGCACTAGGCTAGAAGCATTCGTTGTCTTTGTCTCACCTCTCCAGGCCATTTGCCTCCTAATGAAAAGACTATGCTTACAAAACAAAAGAAAATAGACTACTACTGATCATGACTTATTGGGCCGATACTTCTGTAGGATCCAAGATCTCAGCGCCTGCCCAGATCCAACAATAAACCATTTCCAAGATACTATGACCATGTCACTACGAAAAACCTCAGCCCACCAGCATAGTGGGCCCGGATATAATTCAGCAATGGGCAACCTGATGCAGCAGATGGGGGATCTTAGCCTTCAGCCAGCCAGAAACGACTACATCATTAGCCAACCCAACCCGAACTTCTATTCAGCACCACCACGTAACTTCCGCAGCATGAGCTTCGACACTCAGCCCTTGATTGGAATGTCCAATGAGCGCTCTTATTTAGTCGAGAACCTCCGCCGGCAACATCAACGGGGTGAAAGGCTCTCTCATGCCCTCTACATCGTGGAAACACAGCTCCCGTCTGCAGAGAGCAAGGGCGAGGCCAGGAAACTACGAAAAGAAGCTGGACTGCTCAAGAGCAAGATCGCAGAGTCCCGCAAGCAGGAGCAACTCATCACAATGAGATTGAACGACCTACAGAACGAAGACCTCAAACACTTCTACCAGGCCCAGCAGACAAGTTTCTTTCCATATCCATATCCACCTTCACAGACTTGGGGCCAGCTTCCAGTACCATCGATGACGCCTTTAACACCAATATCGCCTCTCACGCCCTTGCCTGCTAGCATCTATAGCCCAGCGTCAATCCCGCCAAGTCCCTTGGATTCGCCCTTGCCTTTCAGCCCGACGTACTCGGTCGTGACTCCTGTCGTGCCGTACGAGGAGGGATCTCATATTATAGGTGACGATCAGGCGGTGTCTGTGCCAGAGACAACTGATCGTGACTCTCCAGTCAAGCTGGAAGAGTTCAGGAGGCCCAGCCTGCTGGCTGAACCGGTTCGAAGGTGGTCACTTGCTGACGCATTCTCCCCTTCGCCAAAAGACAAGAGAATGAGCATGCCTGGGCTGAAAACCATCTGGCACTTCCCATGATCTGGGTGGGAGATGTAGATTTGGAAGGTGTACCAGAGTTATGGAGTTCACTATCAAGCAAAATGTAGTTGACTTCAAACATGATCTCTTTCAAAGACGATCAAACCTTTATACCTAGCTCCAGTCAACGCGGTTGTTCTGCATGTCTCGGTGAGTGGTTCTCTCACTGACTAGGTGTTCTCTTCAAATAAAACTTCGCTTGGCCCATCTTCAGCCCATGACTAGGCCTGGTCTTTGGCCATAAAGCATGTCCATCCCCGTTCAGGCGAACTCGCCGAACTGGCCGTCATCGAAGCCTAAGTCTTTTGCGGTTTTCTGGTCTTGCTTGACCTCCTGAGCACTCGGCGGAGGGGCTAGAGAGAACCCTCCGCGTGAACCAGATGCAGGAGGAGGCGGTAGAGAGAACGAGGAAAGACCCGCGCTCGTGTCGGCGGGCTCGGCTTCTTGCTGCGGTCGTCGCCTCCCAAACTTACCACCGAGGTTCACCGTGATTGTCTCGCCCTCTTTCAAGGAGAGATCGCGTTTCTCTTCAGCGTCCTGCTTCTGTTTCTGCTGAGGAGTTGGAGCAGAAGGACCACCGTCCAGTCCGAGCCCCTTCCTTGCATCCTGCAGCGCAACACCGAAGTCAAAGGCTTCACTCCGCTCCTCGAAGCCGATGCCAAGGGTGGCCTTCCGCCCGCTGGGGTCCTGCACCCGCAGGGCGAAGAAGCGTGAGCTGTCGAGCGCGGGCTCTACGACGGCAGGCGTGGTGTAAGGGGCAGCGGCAAAGAGCTGCCCGCTTGATGTGTCCTCGAGGATAACATCTGTCTTGACCTTGTCATCCCCACTAGGCTGGGGCAAGGCGGTCTCGATGACCCGTAACCGACATGTGACTATGTGCCGCTTAGGATCCTCAGTCCATGTGGCTGCTGTGTAGCCCTTGGTCGAGGCCAGGGGCGGGATGTTGTAGACGTGGACGCTTGTTGCGATGAACAGGATGCGCTGGATAGCGTCTGTAGGCAGCTGCTGCCCTGTTGCTGGGTCAATGGTCTCCATCGTGGGCACAATTGATGAATATATTGATATTGCTTTTAAGTGAAAAGTAGAGGGGGGTAAGCTGGTGGAACAGGCACGAAACCAAGATTCAGGGGGATGTATCTAATGTATGGGTGATGGTGATCTGGCTGCTAGGTACCTAGGTCCCCTGGGGAGCTATCCCTGCAAAGCTACCCCTCCAAGGCCCGCATACGCGGAAGCCTGAAGTAGAAGGTGGTGAAAGAGTCCCAGGTGGCAGAACTCTGGGACTCCCAGGTACATGCGCAGGTCAACTTTGACTCACCTCATCCCACCTTGATTGACCCCAGCCTTTTCGAACACGAGAACAACATATTCAGACGTCTCTCCTCCGCCATAACCGTTCCTCACCGAAGTTTCCCAATCTCCTGTAAATTCAGCCAAGGTTACCTTTGAAATCACACCAAAGTCAACATACAGCAGGCTCGAAATGACCACGGACCGATTGAAGCCAGCCTTAGCGGGCAAAGACCTCCCAATACGGTCTCCCACACCAGTGACGGCGGTAAGGACCGAGGATGGCGAGGTCTTCGATCTGGTCGCAACCTACAATCGCCTTCTATCTGAGGACCAAGAACTCTCCATGCCTGTTGCCGCCATAGAAGCCCTCATCGAGCTCCTCAGCCACACCACAGCGTCCACAGTCTTCGAGACTATCGAGATCGTCAAGTCACAAATAGCACTCCTCAAGACCTCCGTGGCAAACCCAATACCCCCGACCGCGGGTGCAGAGCTCTTCATGAAGACCCTCCTCCGGTCCCTTAGGCAGGAGACAGGAGACCTGGGCTCCAAGATGCGCGTCGCAAGCAACTCGGAGATGAGCTTCGACGAGATGCGCCAGTACCTGGTCAGGAACAGCCGCAACTTTGCCGCGCAGGCCAAGGCGGCCCGCGTCGCTATCGCCGACGTGGGCGCGCGCTACGTCACGCCGGGCAGCACGGTCATGACGAGCGGCGGGAGCCGGTGCGTGAAGCAGCTGCTGCTCCGCGCCGCCGAGAGGAGGACGCAGCTGCACGGCAGCCCGGACTTCAGGGTGATCTACGTCATGGACGGCAGCGCCGACAGCGAGCCTGCCGTGAAGGCGCTGCGGCAGCGGGGCGTGCCGGTCTCCACCGTGGACGTCGCGAGCATGGCGCATGCCATGAAGCTGGGGAGGGTTGACAGGGTGTTTGTTGGCGCGGAGGCCGTCTGCCAGCGCGGAGGTGTCCTGAGCCGCATGGGCACCTACCAGCTCGCTATGGTTGCGAAAACCCTCAAGAAGGATTTCTACGTCGTCACGGAGACGCACAAGTTCGCCATGATTCTCCCAATGGACCAGACTGATGTGACCGGGCAGCTCGGTATCAAGCAGACTATTCTTGATTTCACAAAGGGCGGCGACTCGGACGCCCCAATAATCGAGTCTCCATCTCAGTGGCGGGCAGATTACACGGTGAGTCGAGACTTCTTCATCAACACGAGAGGATGCACTGACAACTCAATAGCCACCAGAGATGGTCAAGGCCTTCATCACAGAACAGGGTGTGAAGACTCCTGCGTCCATTCTAGACTTCGTTCTCAGCATTTACGCTTCATGAGTTCATTGCCTTACATGCGGCCAGGCCGCGGCACACTTCCGACGGAATAAGCCAGATGGCACTTCAAGAAGTTGTATTTCCATGGGCGCTGAGACGTTGATCGATCAGCGTATGGGAAACGGCTTGATCTTGCTCCACATTCGAATACTGCACGTCCACTGATGGTAGTATGTCGCAGTAAGTCACCCAATACCAATCCTTCAATAAGCACAGCAAATTGACTGAAACCCAGGCCGAAAAATAGTAATACTCAGACAGGTATTGGGTCCGTGAGATCAGATGACTCGATACAAATAAATACATGCAAAGCCCATTAGACATGTTGTTTTTCCGGAGCTTTTGTGACACCGAACCGAGATGCGAGTGACGGGAAGACCCCCTGACTCCATTGCCCCAGACTTCGTTCATCATTTCCACATGCAAGATTGATATGCGTGTACGGTGTGATTTGTTAAGCCAAGTTGAGTGGCAAAACGGTCCGTGATACTGAAGGTAAGCGCCCGTGTTGAAGCAGGCTTCTGGACGGACCAAGCAGAAAACATTATCAGGCAGGCATTTACTGAGCGTCTCGCACGAGCCTGGCTCCCACCCACGCAAACAAGTAATTGCGTTGGTACCAGTTAACGCTGGAACGAAGATGTCAGCACATGGAACTTGGCATTATTCTGCAGTTCAAGAGGAAACACTCACAATGACTTTCGCCCGGAAATTCGCGGGTGCGTGGCCCATGACCCACCCAGGACGATATTATGCTTCTCGTCAAAGAAGTCGGCTGCGGAAGGCGCGATTAGCTGACAGTCGTGGTCGTCTTAAGCCACTTATCTCATCGCAAGCACTCACAAGTATAGAGAGGATACAGGGCCATGGGCTCGAACTCAGGCCACCTCCGGAGTGGTGAGCTGGTCCACTCCCAGACGCCGCCCATCTCGCCCTGCCCGGCCAAGCGGTTGCCATTCGCCGTGATTGGAACCGGGTGCCAGTGTTGGAACCCGATGTTGGCGCCGTCGAGGTCGATGAAGAGATCGCTTTGATCCCCATCTCCCTCGGATTTTCCTGCAGCTCGTGATGGCGGCGTCTCTTCGACGCCGTCATTGCTGAGATGACTACAAAACGAGTTCTTAGTTAATACGTTGCGCTAGAAATGGATAATCAAGTCAATACGTCAAGCGGACGGGGCACGTACCCGTTCACAGCGGGGACCGTCTTCCCGAGTTTTCTCTCGGCCTCCTCTCTTTTCAGGATGTCGACGTGGTCGTAAATGCTGCGTGCCTCCTCGAAAGTTGGGATGCGCCCGCCCATCCAAGACGCACAGCCGGAGAGCTCGTTGTACGAGGCGGAGATAGGCCAGTCAAGGGCATACTCCAGAGGTACGAGGCCATAGACTGTCCGCACCGCCTTGTCCGAGAGGAAAGAGCTTGGCAGCGATGAGTGGCCGCTGTTGTGGCCGTTGGTGTGGGCATGGCCGTTGGCCTGAGTTGGGCCCGCGGACCCGTTCGCGGAGGCGTCGCCATTCAGCAGCTCGCCTGGCTTGACCTCTACCCAGGATGCTGGTAACTGCGACGTGTTTGTTGCGTACATATATTGCGCATACTGTCACAGTTCAGCATCCGCCGTCTTGGCTTCTTGGTGTGATGGCGGCTGCATCTTACCTCCTCGTTGGTGATGGCTCTCCCCTGGGCCTGGAAGGCATGCACTTTGACTTTCCTCCTTGGCTTCTCGTTGTCCCTACTCCTCGTCAGTAACTGTGGGGCACAAGAGAAATCTATTGGCTGGATTATCAATGTACCATCCATAATGGCGTTGAACATCGGTTCCGTCTTCCGGATCGTCCAAGCCAATGCTGATCTCCTTCGCTGGCACGTCAAACCATTCGTTCGAGACCCTTGCAGCTCTTGCTTTCTTGGCCAGCTCCTTGAAATCGGGATGCACCGTGTTTGGTGGTGGAAGTGTCTTCTCGCTTTGTAAGAGCATGTACAGCAACGTCTCTAGGTGCATGATCTCATGCTCAAAGCTGCACCAGATGGCTCTCCCTACGTCGCGCGGGATGCTTTCGGGCCCTCTGTCGTACAAGCTCCGCAGCCGCTTGCGGACTTTATTTTGGTAAGTCACGATCTCATGAACCGGCGGCCACTCGGTTGGAGTTTCTGAGTGACTATGACATCTCTCGGGGTTATCGACATCCGGGTCGATGCCCCGTTCGAAGATGGAGGCGTACTCTTTGGGCTCGGTTGGTGGCGCTTTGGTTGTCTTATTGAGTTGGATATCCAGAAAAGTTGGTATATGCCCAATATAGAAAATGCAAGCGTTCCGAAGCCGAATTGGCCTGTCTAAAAGCTCCTCATGTGGGAGCATATCCCTGGTGACGGCATCCCATGCTGTCCAGATGCCCTCCCAGTCGCTCAAACTGGGCAGGGCGGACGATGCATAAGCAGATGGAAGTAAGCTAAATGGCATTTTTGGCTTGACTAGCATGTGGAGCCCTGCAGAGACGGTCAATCAGATGAGATCCAGGCCGTTGGGTCAGAAAGTTCGGGAACCAGTAGGCTCGAGCCTCTAAATAAGCATGCCTTGAGCCCAGAGTGCACAAGTCCGCCGAGCCCCGCAGCCGGGAGCATCAGCAGACACACGCATAGGCGGGGATTACATGCGTGAAGCAAGTTAGGGGGACCATTCCGCGAGAAGAAACGGGCCATGAGTGGTTGTAGTGTTCCAGAAACGTGGGGGAACGTCATCCTTTCTGACACAGTTGCTTTTAAAAGAAAAAGCAGCCGTCGGAGGGGTGGGCCGGGGTCGGACAATGATATAATTCGGAGGTAGTTGTGAACTCACCGTATTCCTCTCCCAAGGTCCACCGATCCGCTGTTGTCATACCGGCCAAACTCCATAGTTTCGTAGCGGCAGCTTGGGAATACTTTAGGCTCTGTTCGACCTGAATGCGTTCGTTGGCTTTGATTGTCTCCCCGAGAACTACCACGTCCCTTGTCGGCGCGTAGAAAGCTTGATGTCGGCCACCGTCAACATCGTACACATATTCGCCAATTACCTGCCAGTCTTGAAGGTTGAATGCTTCTTCGCCAAGAACTTGGTTGGCGTTGACCAGCCCATTAAGTATAAAGCTGCCAGAGTGTCTCAGCCGACATGTCAGTGTGGAAGAAGTTGGGGTACATCTTACTTGTGAGTGACACCGTCCCGATCTAAACAGGTTCCTCGATAATCAGTATGCCTCCAGTAGAATAATGCCTGCGGAACTGACCGTTGTACGCGTGACTATGGATGGGTTAGCGCTGTGCGAGAGCTTTGGTGTGCATGTGGCCGTCGACTTACTAGACCTTGGCCGGATCCATACACGAGTCCAAGCCAACCAACATTGTGTCACCTGGGCTCAGTACGTCTGCGAAGCCTCTCAGGAAATCCGACGCCTCGTCACGGAGAAAGTTGCCTACACCAGACTTAGCAATCACAGACTAGGGGGTCAGGGACAGTGCCTAGACACAACTAACCGATACTTGACCCAAGGGATAGAACGCATTTCTGGCGGCGAACGTTGGCTGGTCGCTTCAACCATTCTCTCCCGTCATCGTAGGTGCCCCAAAGCCCATGGCTTTTTACATGTTTGTAGGCAGGTAGCTGTGCAAGAGTTCTCTCAAGCTCTTGCCGGGACAGATCCAGAGCATAGTAGTCAATGCTCTTCCCGGCGCGTTCAAAGGCCTCGAGCAGCAGGTTGACCTTGCGCAAGTTACTACAAAATCAGCGCCAGGTACCATGCCAGACAAAGGGCGGGCTTTTCCGAGACATACCCACTCCCGAGCTCAATAAACATGGAACCGTCGGGAATGCTCTCTGCAACCTTGGAGGCCGAGTCCCTGAGGACTTGGATTTCATCATTTGTGAGGTAGTACTCATCTAGGTACGTGATCTAGCCTTAATTCAGTATGGGTTGAGGTTGGAGGCGATGGAGGGGTGAGCAGTACCGCCTCAAACAGCTGTAGACCTCGCTCGTCATACAGAAGTAGGGTTGGAAGCCTTCTGGGGCCATCGTGAGCTTTGAAGAGAGAATTTATCTCTTCTTTGATATTGAGCTCGACAGCGGCACAGCGAATGTCAATTATGTCCAAATCAGTGGAGGGGACTTCTGGTGGCGTTCCCGTCCTGCCGGCCTTGTGCACCGGGGCGACTCCATTCGAAACAACGGTAGTCTCTGTGGCCACAGTCATGGTTGCGTGGATTGTACGGTAATGGGAATATTGGGAACTAACGGCACGAAGGGGAGGCGTCGAACGGTGGCAAGCGAAGTGAGCAGTGCTTTTATATAAATAAAGGGACTTGAAAGTGACACGACGGTTTGCCGAGCAGCGATCCGAATTGGGGGCGACAAAAGGGTACCGATGAGGTATGCTCTCTGGCCCGTGTAAGAGCTAAATAAATGGTTGATTATATGGCAACGCTCCGTAGTGGAGTGGGTGTATTGAAGACCAAGTCGACCGAGGTCTCTGGCCTCGAGTTTCCCAAGGAAAAGGTACATGCGGCAGCTAGCCGGTGCCCCGGTGGCCTGCTCCGCCAAACATTGTAGCTTTGATCGCCCGTCCCCCGTGGGCGTGCCATGTTCATGTCATGCCATCCCAGCCCAGGCAGCGCATCGTGAAGCTGGGTTCCTCCATAGGGAAGAAGCCGTCGGGAGGTTGGCCCAATACTGTAGAGCGCGAGCGAGTGGGACGTGGGCAGTCGAGGGAGGCTGAGGGGTACCTCGACTAGGAAGGTACCTTGCCCCGCGACCTGGCACCGTGCAGCAGGGATGTACTGCGTTGTAGGTGCGTCGCTGCGAGACCGAAGAAGCCGCCTGTTCATGTGCTTGGTTCTGGCTGCCGCACCGCACTGCACAGCAGCGTGGCCAAATACTGTTTTGTAATGGGATGCAGGCAACGATGGGGTTGAAGGTCACTAAAGCTCACAAACTTGGAGGCATGGCGTGGGAGGTGAGGTCGGCCCAGCCAGTCAGCTTGCAGCCCCACGCCCGATGCAGCGCTAGCGTGAGCACACCCCTGACCCCCCAGCGCCCCCCCTGCCTGGTGGCCCAAGCTCCGCCGCTCAGGAACGTCAGTCACGTCAGCTCTCAGTTGGCCTGCGTTGGCCTGCTGCTTCTCGTCGCTGCCTCTCCTCTCCTCGGGCCCTTTTTTCCCTGTGGCCCTACTACTTTTAGTATCTGTTCTCGCTCTTCTCCATTCTTCCCCAGCCCATTGCCGGGCGCATCATCATGGATGCATCATCATCATCGTGCGCCCTTTTCTCCTCACGCAAAGTGGGCATCCCGTGTCATAGAGCTCGAGAATGCCACGATCCGCAGGGGTTCATCCTTGTGCCACCTGGCGCAATTTGTATCAGCTTCTGCTGCGGTACCATGGCCGACGATGCCCATGCTAGAATATAGCAATACCTGCTGTTACAATCCAAGCGCAGTGCTCTGGATCGTGACGTCCTCGTGCTTGGCTGGTCTGCCTGCGCCCGACGGCAACTCTACCCCTCACTACCCGCGAGCTTGACCCTCTCGGGCGGACGAACAGAGACTCCTGTTGCCCGGGCCATCACATGAACTGTGTGTGTACTACGCGGCACGGATGTGTTCACAGTACCCATATGCATGCATGGGCATATCGAGGGAATCCTCGTTTTTGGTCACGGTCCGAGAGAAAAGACAACGAGGCCCTCGTTGTGGGTGAGCTTCCGGGGATCGTCACACGAGGATTACCTGCCAAAGAGTGGGACAACCATGTACTCCGCAATCCGAGCTTCCCGTCACAGTAGTCTCCTACGTACAGCACGGTCTAGCAGGCTCCACCACCAGGTCAACAAGCTTGTGTCCTCCTCAGGGTGAACCTCACTTGCGGAGAGGCTTCCGGCACGCCAGGATCAGTCAGCCGTGCATGCCGTGTCCGATCCATCCAGGACGGCGGAAAGGCCCGACAGGTGGTGATCGTCTCGGACCAAGATTTAAGCTTCCAAGAGTGTTTAGTCTACATTGTGACAGACGACGTCAGAAGACAAAGATCGATATAGATCTTCCTCGCCCCTGTCATCAAAGGGGCGTGTCTTGCGATGCGACCCTCATGACTTGGGTGGCTGCAGAAGCCGTCTGCTCCTGCAGCATCAACGAAGGGATGCATGCATCTCACTGCGGGGCGAACCAAAGGTCCTGTACTTGGCGGCCTTCCCACGTTGCTGGTTCCTTCGACAAGACTCTCTGCCCCGAGACGCCAATCGAGATCGACATGTTCACCTCGGAGATTAAAAGAAGGGAGGCCAGTTGAGGTGATCCCTTTGGCCATCACGCAGACTCGAGTCAACGAGATCACCAACGAGGATCGATCTATCAGCGAGCTAAGCCCGAAAATCGATTCGGAGCTGGCTGGCGACCACTCACCGAAAACGCTAGGCATACTAATGGGAGCGCTTGTTGTGACGCCTAATGCAGATGCAGGTCGTAGTCTTTGGTAACATGGAATAGTTGCAGCACCGACAACGAGGTATTTGAAGAGGTCTGAATGTCCACCCGGGCATAAGGCTCTCGATGGGATCGGAGGTCCCGGTCCACAAATCCCGGCCCCACTCATCGGTCCCTCTCCACCTCCGGCGCCGGCTTCCTTGAATCTGCGTGCATCTCGCCGGGTACGTTGGATACGGCTAGTTTCAACTGGATACTTTCATCCCTGATTGCATTCTCGCAAATTGCAACAGTACTTCGCTGCAGCTCTTCGCAATGCCACGGCTGATGCATGATTTGCTTACCTGCTTACCCACAGACGTCACCTACCGTGCAATGCAGGTGAGGAGGGGGAGAGGTGCCATTCAAATCAAGCACGGCAGGGTACATTGCAGTCTGCAACAACTAAGGGAGGCCAAGTCACCTGACAGCGCGCAGTAGTCTCTCTTTAGGAGGCCTTGTCTTTTCCGCATGAGGCGGCCAGGAGACGCGGCGGACTGGTTTCCCATTTGAGTTGTCAGAGTCGTGTTCCAGTAAGCAATGATTGCTCAGCAGTCTGGGCCTTTGAATCCTGGCGGGTTTCTTTTTGTGCTGCTAGGTGATACACCGATGCCCATACACTGGCATGCATCTCGGTTCCCCCTGGCGGTGAGCGGTACCGACCTGGTTGTGCTCGACCCGAGGGCGCCACCCAAGGCAGAAATAACAGGCGGACCAAACAGCTTCTGACTTGGTATTTGGTGCCTGTTAGCTTCCGTGTTTCATCAAAAGGGCGCGCCTTCCTCGTCATCTCCTCTCTTCTGTCTGTTATTGCTCTGCAATTGTCGCAGGCCCTTCACGGCTCCATGTCCCAGTACCTCACTGCCGTCACGCACACATCAAAGCCAACAATCACTATGTCTTCTGCAGAGAACCTCAAGACGTATCGTGGAAATTGCCACTGTGGAGCGTTCATCTATGAAGCCACGTTGCCCGAGATCACCTCGTACAGCGAATGCAATTGCAGCATCTGCCGCAAGAAGGGCTACGCGTGGCTGTTCGCGAGTGAGGGCCAGCTGGATATCGTCAAGGGTAGCATTGACGAACTGGCATCTTATACCTTCAACAATGGTATTTTTGTCCACCGTTTTTGTCCCACGTGCGGCACTGGCGTCCTGGCTCAGAATATCAACAACCCCTCCGCCGTGACAACGGCCATCAATGTAAGCAAATATGCCGAAAAGGGCAAGGATTGATGTCATATGACGAACTGTGCTTACACATGTGCAGGCTCGTGCAATTCAGGGTCTCGACGTGTGGTCGCTTGACATCAAGCCGTAAGTTACACCGAGTTCTCTGCTGTACATAATTGTGACTGACATCTGGAAGGTTTGACGGCAAGGAATTGCCCCCTGCCTACAAGCCCGCGTCATATCAAGGCCCCGAGCCGGCTGTCAAATTCGACGGCGGAAAGACATGTGCGTCGACCATTGGATCAATACCTTTGCAAGTTGGTCTCGTGAACTAATTCGAGATAAGATCATGGCTCATGTCACTGCGGCGCTGTGACCCTGGCAGTGAAAGTCGACAAGCCCTTGGAGGCCAGAGATATTACCGTGGATGAAGAGAGAATCGTCGAGTGCAATTGCAGCATCTGCAGCAGGGTGAGCTCACGGTTTCTTGACTCTCAAGACCTTTCGGCCTGCCAATATACATAGCTAAGCTGCATTCACATAGGGCGCGTACATCTGGATCTATCCGCTCGTAGAGGAGACAGTCATCGAGGGCAGAGAACACCTCGACTATCGCGCATTCAACAAGACTGTCGTCCGCAAGGCCTTCTGCCGGCACTGCGGAGTGCACATTTGCAACGAGCTGAATGAACTTACAGGTGAGCAGACCGTCAAACTTACCGCACTCCTCGCATCTTATCTTGTGATTTGTGCAAATGATTGACTGCTTTCTGACGTGCTTTTTCGTTAATCTAATATTATCGACTAGATGCGGAAATAGAAGCATTGAACGATGCCGCAAAGGCTTGGCGCGACAGGTCCAAGAGCATACGGCCCATCACGCTGAGGGTCTTGGATGACTTCGACTTCAAGACACTGAAAACCAATAGACTTGATGGATGGGATATCATAAAGCCTTTGTACGTTAACCCGTGACTGAGCCACGCTCCAGAGCATGGTAGAATAGTCACGAAATGAAAGGCGCGTGGCCTCTCACTTCCGAGGGAGATGTTGCGGTGATCTAGCGCCAAAGAGGCTCCGTATAGAATCAGTCTTGAAGCAGGATCCTTTGATGTGGTGTAAAAAATACGACTCGCCATGGCTTTTCAAACTATGTCGCAAAAATGGATAAGGGATCGTGAAAGTCACTCGACGCCTACCTAGGAATCACCATCAATGGATCAGAGCGGATTCTTCAAAACAGTGTATGACATGGAAATGCAGAAGCTGACGCAAAAATATGTCCATTCCGCAGCAGTCACTCGCCAGCGCCTCGGGCAAAGTTGGTGCAACTAGTTTTGGACATCAAAACGTTGTCCTGAGACGTCGGGTATCGGCGTGCAGGAGGTTACTATAGCACCAGTGTTTAAAATCCGAGTTCTAGAAGATTGTATTTCAGGAAGCAAATATCCAGTGTCTAACGCCTGTCGTCTTGCACTCTACTCTCCAACTCAACTCCCTCGTCATCTAGCTGCTCAGTCCCGTCCATGATGAAGCCATCTCCCTCATCGGCACTGCTACTCAAACGTATCCGCCCGCCAGAGGCACTGTTCACCTTGGACGACACCCAGCCCGCGACCTGCTGGAACACTCCCCAGAGCTTCTCCTGTGACTGCGCGAGGTGCTGGTCATCCCGGGGATTCTCGGAAGCCTCGGCCTTGAACTGATATTTGAGGCAGTCCTTGACCGTCAACAGGCCTTTCAGTTGGCCGTGATGCTCGGCCAAGATGACTCGCGGCCCAATCTTGCGGAACAGCTCCATGACTGTCTCCAGTGGCAGGCGGGGATGGACCGTTACGGGTGTCAAGTCTACGTAACGGGAGAAATCGATCGAGGTTGATGACATCGGATCGGAGAGTACGGTAACTGATGGTGTCGCGGATGGTGTTGTAGGTGCCACCGTGGTGTTGGAGGACGCAAAGGTGCATTTCGCTTGTGGGTTCAAGGATCGATCTTTCTTCAGGCGGTTGATGGCGTACTGCAGCTCCGTGCGACCGATGTACCCCACGATAATCTTGTTCTGCTCGTTTTCTACAACAGGGAATCCTTGGTACTTCCCATTGGCGAGCAACTGCTTCACCTGCTGAAGTGTCAACCCGGACATGGGTAAGAAGACCACATCCGTAGTCATGGCGTGCGAAACAGGCACGCCAAAGTTGTGCTCTTCCTTGCCGTCAAGGAAGGGCATTCCGCTGAACCATATCATACGGTCTGCGATTCCTCCGCCTCCGATGAGGTCGCTGACAGCCTTCGTGACGCCAACTACAATCATCGTCGGCAAGATGTAGACAAGTGCTCCGGTCAGCTCGAACATGATGACCACAACCGACACTGTGATGTGCATAATGCCACTTAGTGCCGCCGCGGCACCAAGGAAAGCGTAGGTACCTGGCGTGATGCAGGGCAAATCAGGGTCGCAGGCTGAGAAAAATACGCTGTCAGGATTTGCGTCGTGGATGGCTTGCACAATAATGCCAATTGCGCGGCCAAATGAAGCCCCAATAGCCATCGAAGGGACGAAGATACCTGCAGGTACCTTGCAACCATACGAGATGATCACGAAGAAGATCCGGATTACAGTTGCCGAGAATAAGGAAGCGATGTTCCAGAGTCGGTTTGGGGCATCACAGAGCCCATGGTAATCCTCCGTCCCTTCGCATTCGAGGAAAAGAATCTCCATACTTTCTGTCATGTCGATTCTCAAGAAGACGTTGTAGTAACACACGATGGCAGTCGCGGTGGCCAGTAGAGTTGCCTCGAGAACAGGGTACTTGGCCAGATATTTCTTGCGAAACGCCTGGTACCGCAGATTCCACTTAATGACAAAGGCACCGTAGAGACCTCCCATGGCACCTATGAGGATATAAAATGGCGTCTCGAAAAAGTGCCATGACCGGTCATAGGTGACCTGGAACATGACAAGCTGGCCCGTTCTGAAAGGATTCATGAAAGCCAATACAACTGTCGCCACAAGGGCACAGAAATAACTCCGCCACATGGTCTTGAGGGGGAAGTAGCTGCTCATCTCTTCCAAGGAGAACAATACGCCACCAATAGGGCTTCCGAAGGCCACAGCCACGCCTGCAGCAGCACATGCGCTCAGAACCTCGCGGGTTTTGGAGCGACTGCGCCTGTACTTGTCGAATAGACGCGAGATGACATTGCCAGTGCAAACGGCATAGTGGACACTGGGCCCCTCCTTGCCGACCGACAGACCCGAAGCAATGGCCAAGGGCAGACAGATAGACTTGATCAGGAGTGTCCAAAACCCCAGAAACCCCTTCATAACAAACCCAGCGATGATGCACTTGATTTCAGAAATGCCCGAGCCAGCCGCGTAAGGCGCATAGCACTTGACAAGAGTGGCAGAAACGAAGGCAAACATGGTCTGCTGATGTTAGTAAAGGAAGTGCGGCAAATTTGCCTGGACTACACATACCGCGAAGATGATGTAGACAACGTAGTTAATGGGCTCGAATCCAGTCCAGCGATGCCATTGAGGGCAGCCGTTATCTTCGCCCCAGCAGCAAAAGTTCTCGTTGAGATAAAACGCAGTCGTGCAGTATCCCATCTTGATGTCAGACAGCCATTCCGTGATGATGTTCAGGAAGGCAGCGTTCAAGCCGATGGCAGCTCCGATGATGGTGATGACGATCCAGCCCTGCGCGGCCTCGTACAGGGCATAGAGCTTGTGCCTCCAGTCGACCTGGCCGCTGTCGTAGAGGCCGGCGGTGCGCTTCCTGCGCGCTTTCCGGCGCAGTCGTTCTTGCGCGGCATCCTGGACCCAATCTGTGTTGCGGCGTGAGTATTTGGGACGTGCAGGCGGCAAGTGGGTTGGTTCATGGGCGCGTACCAATGGTTGTGAAGTCCTGGGCGCATCGTTAGCCAGGTGCAGCAGGAGATTGGAGCCAAGGAGAGGGAGGGACGGTACCTCGTATCTTTTGATCTCGGCGATTTCCTCCTCGATCTGCTGGTCGGCTGCAACAGCTGGCTCGTCTATGGACTCGCCACGCTCAGCATTGCTAACGGCAAAGGAGAGGCGCGAGGTCACCGAGGGCCGGCGCCGTAAATCCATGATCACATAGTCGCAATGTAATCGTCGAGGTTGAGGATGGGAGCCATTATCCGTCAGTCGACTGTAGATCCGAGACGGTAGGCCAGCCGCGGCAGGCAGGCAGGCAGGCAGGCAGGCAGGCAGGTCCCCTATTCCACCACGTATTCAGCGCTGATCCGGGATCTGGGATCTTAGACCCTGCCTAGAGCGACCCCCCTTGCACTGGACCCAGTTGCAGTCGCGTTCATCCCAAGGAGAGAACCGCGTCTCAATTAACCACCACGCCCGGGGTCAGATTGGTCCTTGATGTACGCAGCCCTTCGCCTCTGGAATTAGTTGTAATAAATAGCCCGCGGACTCCAACTACAACACTCGCACGGCTCAAATACTCACATACCCTCACACGAGCTCCCCTGCTCTAAGACCGTGCAATCCTTGACGAGCACGACTTCATACTAAATCTCGCGAAAGGGTTAACGTCAAGGCGTCAAGATGCCGTACAACACAACTCCTATTAGGCCTCGTAAAGAGGTGACGGGCACAGTTCAGCTGCCATGTAAGTGTCTTCATTCTTTGTACCTCTCAGCCTCTGGTGGACAACAATACTGAGAGGTTACACAGTGTCAAGAGTCAAGAAGATCATCGCAGTGGATCCAGACATCAACATCTGCTCAAACAATGCGGCGTTCGCCATAACGTTGGCCACTGTAAGGTTACCTGACTTTCTACATTCTGTTATCATCTTTTGAGTTCCCCAAGCAGGCATTGACAATGACATGCAGGAGATGTTCATCCAGTACCTCGCAGAGCAAGGTCATAACATGGCCAAGCTCGACAGGAAGCCAAGGAGGAACGTACAGTACAAAGACCTGTGTAAGAGAGGCTCGCTCACACACGTCACTTGGTCACCCTGCTAATCAGACCTCAGCCGCCGCGGTCATCGCCAAGGACAACCTGGAGTTCCTTGATGACACTATCCCCAAGACACAGCCCTACAAGGAAATCAAGCACAAGGCCGCCGAGACGCGCGCCAAACTCCAGGGCGGCAAGCCGGCCGGCGAGCAGGCCGACGAGGCGGGCCAGCCCAACGGCAAGAAGCAGAAGAGCATCAACGGCTTCGGCGTCCACGATGTGGTCAAGAGGGCTGAGGATGATGAACAGACGCACATGGGCGTAGGGGACGGAGACGTGCACATGACTGGTTAGAGGCTGACAGATGTACCCGAAGAGTCGAATTCTTCTTCTGAGCTGTTGCTTCAGCTTCGGCCGGATTGCAACAGATTTGTCGACAACCTACAGTTGGTCGTGGATTACTGAACGAGGACCTCCCAGGTCAATCTCCTGTGCTGCTATCCGACGCGATGGTCACAAAGCAGAGCGATTTGATCAAGGGGCCACCGGCCCCGAGGAACTGCCGAGGGGATGCCAAGGTCAGGATCTCCAGCGGAATACGACGAGAATTCGCAAGAACCTCGCAAAAGCTCAAGCTGACCGGCAACATGCCGCGAGTTTGCCAGCAAATTGAAAAGCCGGCCAGGGGCCTTGGTCAAAGACTTGCTGGAAATGTGTGGTATTCGTACATTACTTCCAGTGCTATGTGCCTTCCCACTAAAGCACGTAGCTCATGCAAATGCAAATCCTCTCTGACCTATCTGACAGTCTTTGATCATGCATAATGAAGGCTTCAGCCATCATTGCTCTCATGAAGACCTCGACAGGCTGTTAGGCAATCTTTCAAATCTCAAGAGCCCAGAGCGCCGCCACCGCATTGAACGCTACTTCCGACTGCTATTATCTTTTTTCCCGCCTGCTTGACATTTTTTTGCCGCGAGCATCAGCACCGCATGCATTACTCTTCCATTGCATCGTCGCCCAGGATGCCAGCGGGCAACCGACCTTCCTCCAGCTCCTTCTCCAGCCGTATGATCTCCTCCAGGCTGCTGGCCTTCTTGATCCTCTCTTGTAACCTCTGCTTCTCTTTATCCGTGAGCTTCAGGCGCTTCATCTTCGACACAGCGGTAGCCTCGCCGTTCGCCGCAGAGACATTGAAAGTCTGAGACTTGATTCCCTTGATCTGTCGGACGTCCTCAGTCAGCACCCAAGTTATCAACAGGGTCTCGGCACTCGATGTTCCTACCTTCGAAGCCAGTTCTGAAGGCTCCTCGGCCGTGCCAAACAGCTCCGTGGCCTTGTCCCGCTCCGCCTGCTTGACCTTCTGGTAGTCGAGGAACCGCACCGTGGGACACCGCCAAACCACCCAGTATCGGTAGTGCTACGCACACAGTCAGCCCTCCGTTCTCGCCTCAAGATTCGCTCTGCGTCGGAAACGTCAGGGAGGGGGGGGCAAACCCACCTCCTTCTTCGTGACCGGGTTGTCCGCCAGCACCAGCTGCGTCAACCGCGTAAATTTGCCCAGCACATCCAGGTCCGACAGCTCGGCCACCTGGTTCGACGCGAGCACCAGGTTCCTCAGGTTGGGGATCGCGTTGGGGAGGTTGGGCTGGATGGTAGAGACGCGGTTGCGCGCCAGCAGCAGCGTCTGTATCCGCGGGGACAGCGGGAAGTTGCCGAGGATCTGGATGTCATTGTCGGTGAAGTCGATCGCGTCTTGGGGCTGTAACGGTCTCCCGCGCGTCAGCAGGCCGCGCATGGAAGCAGTGCGAGGCAAAGACAAAGGGGAGTGGGGGGTTTTTTGGTTGTTACGTACGCCCGCGACACCAAGGTTCTCAATTGTTGGTATCCTGTGACCTATTTGCCGACAAGACAAAGACGTTTGATATCAACTCTAGCTCTCAAGCAAAGATCATGTGTGTAGCATCTGTTCTTTTCTAAACGCACCTCGGAGGTCAAGCTCCCTCTCGTTGAGCGGGTTGAGGTACGAGAGGGAGTTTTGGATCAGATCCGCCGTCAGCCTCACCATCTTGGCGGCAGGCGGGTTTTACCTCTGCTTTATATTTGGTACTTTGTATTCGGTATCGGATTGAATCGGGAGTGAGTGGGATCGTTTTCTTTGTGAAAGGCTCTGGATGGGGTAGGGTTTTGTGTTGGGTCGCAGAAAGATGGTTTCCTGGAGAGCAGCTCAAGATGCCTAGCTGGCTGCGGTCGCGTGTGTTAGCTTGACTTTTTTCAGCGACAGGGTCCGGTTCTGCTTGGGGGTAGGGGGGCACTGAGCTAAAAGCACTGGAGTGACGTCCAACCCGTCCCAGGGTTTTCATTTTACTATGACATATTAATCCATACCGAATTCAATTCAACTATAGATGGTAAAACAAAGAACATTTGAAAATATGCATATGAATAACAATATTGAGAATGTTTAATTGATTCATTTAAATTATAAATTATAGAACAATTAATAAGTCTGGCCCCTTATTGCAAAGCACACGTGAAATACCTTGCAAGCAACTGTTGTGACAATCAGATTAATGTCTATGTACTAGAAGAACAAATGATTGTCGTCTTCGAAACTAGAGCTATCGGAATCGTCGCCCGGGATGAGGAACAGCTTCCGCCGGACACTGTTTACCAGTTCCGTTACCTCTGCGGGACAGCTAGACTCAGGATACACCCGTGTGGGTTGTACCAGGCTAGAAAGGTCATCTTCCAACCCCAGAGTCAGCAAGCTATGCCTTCCAAACCGCGACATGCATTCTTTATGAGACAGCTCCCATTGCCCCAGCCAGGCTGACGCCACACTGGGATCGAGCTGCCCTGCTAGCCGGAATGAATCCCAGGTCGCTAGCAAAGCGTTCCTGTCCTCTCTGCCGTACTTTTCCACCAGTCCGGCGGCGAAGACGCTTGAGGCGAAGACAAGCAGATCCGAAAGGCCTGATTGTCTTTGAGATTCATAGACGTCCAGGAGCAGGCGACTAACCTCCGCGAATGGCCCTTGAATGTTCTTCTCCCGCAGTGTGTGGATAAACCGAGACAAGTACGATCGTAATGATCGACTATGCTTGGAGAAGAGTAAGGCGCGGGGGATTAGGAAGCAAAGCTCTACAAAAGATGTGATGTCATCTTCTTTGATGTGGTATTGTACTTGGTCGAGTACTCTCTCAATAGCCTCCCGCCCTAGCGTTTTCTTGCAGTCTAAGATGTTGAGCGCTTCATAGAATCCATCCCGTAACCTTGGGGCGGAATCACCATGGAGGAGCCGATACTTGGATGATGAGCATGCTCTTGACGATAGTGTGGTAGTACGGACATGAAAATCGAGTAATTGGTTGATACCAGCGAAGATAGTAGCTTTTTGCTGAAAATTCTGCAGATCCATGGGGATCAAGGTGCTGGTTGTCGACAAAGCCGGGGAAGGATGGTCTGGCTCTTCCTGTACGCGTGCCTTCTTCCTTGGTGGCTCACTTGCCCCAGTGAGAGACAATGTCGATACTGTCTCGTTTTCGAACTGCTTTTCTTTTCGAACGCTCTTCGACGTGTACTTGTACCAGCCCCAGACCCGGAAGTGCCTCTTGTACATCTTTTCGCTATGGTTGGTCAGCCGAGGCTGTCGCGAGAATAGCAGGGAATACCATCGAAGACTCACGTGGCGTTGAAGCCATGCTGTTCTCTCATGCATATGATCGTGGCATTGAGGGTTTGGTTCTCAGTCAGATAGAAATGCTCGATAAAAGGCTTCTTTGCTTCCCAGTCTGTCTCCCTAGGGGCTGGATACTTGATGATGAACGGATCGACAACCGCCATAGGGTCTGCATGAATTTCAGGACTCCATGGATAAAGGACGTCTAGATCACAAATTTGAGAAGCCCCATGACCAAAGTCCAGGTTCTCAGGGCACAGTAAGTTCATATTGACGGGACAGTGGTGGATACACAATTTCATGGGAGGATGTGAGTTGCCAGATTACGAGGGCGTCCAGATTGGGTCAATTACGAGTAGTCCTTGACCCATTTTTATAGGAAATGCAGAAAATGGAGCAGTTGCTTCTGCAGATTCGAGGCAGCCTGGCATGGCCGACAATTCGTCTTGGAGAAAGGACCAGAAAAGCGGTGCCAGTTGGGGCTTTCCATCCTGGATGTAACTGTTCCTGCAAGGGCTTTTCAGGTCTTTTGCCTTAGCCAATAATATGAATAGTCTACGACGCAGCCACATGCGCCTTGGATCTTGCACTTTGTGTCACCACCCTCCATGTTTGTGAATGGCCCGCTGCAAGGCAGACTGGTTGATACGCATGCGGGGATCTTGCGCCTTTTCAACGCCTTTCAAGGCGACAAACAGTTCGCACAGGAACCGTGACTTTTGCAACCTCATCCCATATTTTAAACCGGTATGAAAATAATTATAGACATAGAAACGCGCTTGGAAAATTGATAAACATGTGGCTGGGTCTCCAGTCCTGTATTGCACATCAAGGGCAGGCCATGTTGCTGAGAACAAGGAGCATATATAAAGGAAATTCATAGCAGTCAAGTATGAAAGCTAGGGGGATGCGATACACATTCTCGTCCTATGAATGATATTTTAGAGGATAGGAGGTAGCAAATCTCAAAGTCATCGAGAAGAAATCGGCATTGAACGTGAAAATGATCGGGGAAAAATGCTATAAGAACTGCATAACCTCATGACGACTTCTAAAGCCGCATAAATCATGTGAGGCTATCTGAGCGAGAAGTAGCCTCTTCCGACACTCAAGCTTTTCAATGAACAGGTTGTCCTACAAAGTTGGGGGATTTTCCAACTTCTGCTCTCTTATGACAAATATACAAATCCAATAATCACTGTTCAACTCGAGACATGCCATCTCATTTCAGGATAATCCTGCCTGCACTGAGAGACCTGACAGATCGACCATGGCATGAGCTTCAGCGGGCTTCACATTACGAAAAATTTGCGAAAACAGGCTGGGCAAGAAGATAAAGACCTGAAATTTCTACTTGAAACCACTGAACTACTGCATATGATGCAACGAGACATGTTACCACTTGACTAATTGTCACTGGAAGGCACGTAAGCCGCACCACGTCCGAGGTCCTCCTTCAAAAGCTTCCCATTAATACTCAACGGCTTACAGTCGAGCAAGACAAAAAAGATGCGGGCCCAAGAAGTCTGGCTGGGGTTTCTCCAAGCATGGACCGTGTAGCGCTGGACCATCACGTCGCCAGGCCTCATGAGCTGCGCGGTGCCGTCCTCCAGGACGCACTCGGCCTCGCCATCCGTGACGAGGCCGTAGTCGAGGGACTGAGTACGGTGCATCATGCACGTGTATCCAGGGGCGAGGTCGACGTAGCGGGCCACGGCGCCGCCATTGCTGACTAGGCCGACGCCCTCGTTGTTGACCTTGCGGTCATGTTCGAGATCCGCGTCGTTGTTAAGATCCGCAGGGTTCTTGTTGATATAGGCCACTGCCATGGGCATCTTTCCGTCGTCGTACTGGCCCCACTTGAGAGCGCGTTGGGGCAGGAAGATTGACTTCTCACCGTCGTGACCAGTCAGGTAGACGGTGTGGGTAGGCACACCGCGCTCGCCAGACATTGTCGGATTGTCTTTCGGTTGATTTTGACAAATATACAGAGGTGGTTGAAGCACTGATTTCTGTGTACGAAATGGAGTCGTAGGCTTTGACCTGTTGTAATAGAAATTGGTATTATAGTGTGAATGAGTGAGGCTGGTGGTGCTTTCTGTCTTGTTATATACTTCATGTTAACTCGAATGCCACCTTTTCATCTTGTTTTCTGCCCGAGTCCAATGCTTCAGAGATCTCAAATGTCGAAGCCGAACTCCATCCCGCCGCCATTGCGAAGGGAGGGCGAAATGCGAAAGCTGTTCTGGTGTTGCCGAAGTCTACAGCGGTGGTTCGAGATTCGGCCCGAACGTCTTCGCCCCAAAGTTTGATAGTCGTTAGTCAATCGCAAGTCCGAATCAACTTGCCAATTTTGCCCGTCCCGATTTACCCCATACCAAAGGGCCTAAATAGTTGATCAATTAAACTTGATCTCAGAACGAGAATATAATTGTAATGCTCCCGCCATAGATGGGCATTCCAAGCGAAGACTATCATCGCACTGCTAGAATTGGCCGGAAAGAGAACCTTCTGAAATTTACCACAATAACCACTCCCCCGTCTCTGCTCCGCATCCTTCACAAGTTTTGGCAACAGCAAATTCAATCACTGCGTTGATTTCATACATCATGGATCGTCTTGGTGTCCTTCAGCCTACGGCTTTGACCGGCGAAGCTAAGCAGCTCTACGAAGACATCAAGGACTACTTCGGAGGCAATGTCAAGTATGATAAGACCTTCGCCATGGAATGAACCCCTGCTAAATATCCAATAGCTACACATACAAACTTGATAATGGACAGATGGTTGGACCGGTAGGTTATTGTCTGGCGTTGAGCATGTGCGACAACTCTGACTTGTCTCAGTTCGGCATTGAACTGCACACACCTGGAGCAGGTTATGCCTGGCTCAATATGACCAATTCACTGGCCGAGATCACAGAACTCCCGCCTCTGGCGCGCGAAGTCGCTATCCTCGTCACCGGAAATCACGAAGCGGCTGCCTACGAGATCTACGCCCACTCTGCGGTGTCCAAGCTCAGCGCCGAGGACTTGAAGACTATCGCAGGTGGTCGATGCCCGAGCCATCTTGACGAAAAATGCCATGCTGCCTTCAATCTCGCCACGGACCTTTGCAAGCCTGGTCGTCTCTCGGACCAGGCGTGGGAGAAGGCTGTTGGACTATTGGGAAAGGCTGCTGCGGTTGCTGTTGTACACTATGTTGGATTCTATAAGTATGTTGCTACCATACTCAATGGGTTTGATGCAAAGATTCCAGAGGATTCTTGATGCGATATAGATTAGGTTGTGATGCCAAGACTAATAAATACATCGTTTGCATTTTATGATTCCTTGCGCCCTGACTTAGACCCCTTTGCAAAAAAGTGAAAGTAGTAATAGAAAAACTTCAAGCGAGCATGAAAGTGAGGCATTCGGCCTGTCCGTATACTTGCGGAATCCTCTGGCACGAGAAAATGAAAACCCCGAGTTCAATTATTTGAATTCACTGGAAGAGAAGGAGACTGCTTGTAGCCAGCGCTCAGACTGACCTGAGCATTCTGGGCTTCGCTCGGCTTGCAAAGCTGGCACCCAGCGGAAGCCGATTCCGTCATCTACGAAATATGATGGCCGAAGAAATTGAGGATAGGTGCCGACCAGTATGGTGGTTTTCGGTCTCGCTGTTTGTCTCATCCGCGGAAGATCCGAGCAGACAGCTTCGGCCCGAACCAGTGACACCAGGTTAAGCACCGTTACGCTTCGCTAGTTCCCGCGTGTTCGGTGCGATGCTTAGTATTCGTAAGCGTAATGTATCTTGATAGATTAGGTGTTCGGCTGGCACCAACGAGACATGCGAACTTGCTTCATCGGCCCGAACGCAGTATCTGGTGCCCCTTTAACTCCTAATATCGAGCGGCCGAACAACACCACCCTCGCGAGTCGGCTTTCGCATATCATCATAATATCATGAAAGCGTCTTGGCACATAACCATGACCACGTGTACGAGGAATGAATATAAGGAGGCAGAGATGGCCAACTTCCTGGACTACTCATCCCAAACACATCACCAGCTCAATCACAGCAGATAAAGACCTCCTTTGAACAGAGTAAGCTTTTCAACTCAATTGATTCAGCACCATTGAGTCAACTCGAATCGTGCAATCTACATTACGGCAATCTTGTTGACAAATTCTCAAACAACTTCTCAACATGACGGAGACATATGCCCCAACCACGCTTGGCCTTTTCTCCTTGTCCCAAGATCCCAACTTCCACTATGAGACTCTACGCTCGATCGGCCTAGCCCGCTACATGGGTGGCGATATCAGCGAGCAACTCAATCTGATCCCGAAGATCAAGCCGCGGGATCTCGAGTCCTGGTACCGCGAGTGGCGCGCCCTAGCGGATAGAGTCCTCTCCCAGATTGATGAGGACAACTTGGACAAACACTCGGACGTAACCATCCGAGACGTCTACTTTCGCGTCAGCCACTATGTCTTTGTGTCCGACTTCTTTCTGCACAATAATGTCAACGATCCTCGCCTCAGGGAGAACTACAACCTCTGGAGGAAGTACTACGACCTTGCCAATGCCCGCCTTGACATTCCCGGCGAGCACATCCTGCTCGATACTCCCTCCGGCTTCAAGGCACCGTTGATCATTTACCGCGCCGCCAGGGCGTCTGCCGACCAGCCCAGGCCGACTCTGCTCGTTGGAGGTGGCTTCGACAGCAACTATGAGGAGTGCATGCACTGCTTCGGCTTCCCAGCTCTGGAGAGGGGATACAACGTCGTACTTTATGAGGGCCCTGGCCAGCCCACCCTCCTTCACACTCAAAAGGTCGGTTTCATCCACGATTGGGAAAGAGTTGTCACGCCGATCATGAACTACCTCTTTGAGCACCAGAGAGACACCACCGCCTTCATCGACCCCACTAAGGTCGGCCTCATTGGGCTGAGCCTAGGCGGCTACCTAAGCCTTCGCGCAGCCGCTTTCGAGCCCCGTCTTGCCGCCGTGATCGCCATCGACGGCGTGTACAGCTTCCTCGAGTGCGGCCTCGAAGGGATGCCCGAGCTCACCGAGCCGTGGAAGAATCGCGACGCTGAGGCCTTCAACGCGGCGTTCGAGGCACTTCGGCCCGACCCCTCTACCAACCGGCGCTGGTTGCATGACCACCTCAAGTTCTCGTTCCAGGAGACGGATCCGTGGACGCTGTTTCAGACGATCGCCAAGATGAGTTTGGAAAATGGTGTTGCCCAGAAGATCAAGATACCTGCCTTCATTGGCGAGGCAGAGGGCGACCTCTTCTTCGGTGACCAGCCTCAGCGTGTGGCCAGGGACATTGGCTCCAATGCGACACTGGCCAAGTTCGGCACCGATCAGGCAGCTTCTGCACATGTCCAGAGCGGTGCGAATGCGTACCTCAATGCGAGGATCTGCGACTGGTTTGCTGGTATTGTTGGATTTTAAGGATTCGGGATTTGCCGGAATCATATGGTGTTCATGATATCGTCTAATGCTGCGTTTTGGTCGAATATATCAAGGTTCCAATTCCAGTTTGTGTCATCTCCGCTCGCAGCGTTCGTGAAAATTGCCGGTTCCAAATTTGAGAAGTCAAAACCCTCAGCGCTGAGAAAGTCGCCTTCCAGATCATTGGGAAAACCGAACGTTGCGACCTGGGACGTTGGTAACTGCGGTGGTACGGCCTCGGATGACGGGTACGAGTGCGGAGATGGGAATTGGCTGTGAGGAATTTCATCGTTCGAGCTTTGCATGAGTGAACTCTGTAGGTCTGATAATGAAGGCGCCGCTTCCTCAGTGCGGAGGGTCTTGCGCAACCCGTTGAGACCATAGAGCAGGACTGAGTCTTGTAATGGCTCCGATAGTCCCCCGTCGTCTCTCTTGACTGCAGACAGATCATCAATATCATTGTTCGTGTTCCCGTTGCTTGAATGAGCAGCGACTGCTGGTGCCGAGGATTTGATATGTCGTAACTGTGTTTGATACAGGTGAATCACTCTTGCCCACTGCATGTTGCTTAGTGAGTATTCCTTCTCGTGTATCCTTTGAGGCTTACCAGCTTGTCAAGATGCTTCCAGCAGAGTTTCATCGCTTCCAGTATTTTCAACACCGATACAAGACCACACCTAGCTGTTGTCGCCAATTCTTCATCTCTCGAAAAGATGAAAGCAATCAAGATAGATGCCGACACATACATGCAATATCCAGTGAATGGGGGAAGCCGAGCAGCATCAACGTTTATATCGTTTAGATCTGCTGCTATCTCGCTGATGAGCTTTGCACCTTCCAAGGCTGTTCGTGCGCTGGTTCTAACGGCGGCGCGAGGTACAGATTGTTGAAGTGGGATTCCGCTGAAATGAGGAACTATTGTCGAATGGAGGACGGTTTTGCTTTGGTGATATATTGTGTGCATGGCAACGAACCATGGATGCTCTTTTAGTTTAGAGAATTCGTGTAAGTTATCTCTAGTGTACGTCATGGATGCAGGCAAGTCCAGATACCATTCGGTGAGTTGTTGATCAAGAGCGAATAATTGCGCCATGGCCTCGTTTGCCGTCAAACTTTTCCTGTTTTCCAGGTAGTCACAGACTTTGGTCCTATTGCTAGAATCAGCTCGAGTTCGGTCCGGATATGCTTCTTGTTTGCTTACCAACGAAATATGGCTCTGATGCTCTCAGATATCAAGTTCAGCTGCCGAGGTCGATTTGGTCCTGAGATATTGAGGGCCAAGTCCTCGACGCCAGCCAGCGTTGTTCGTGTTCGACGCCTAATCTCGACAGAAGCCTCTTCTGCGAGCGGCAGAGGAACCTTGATTCTTCGGACGCCCAAAGACGAGCCAACAACATAGTTGTCAGAATTGATACAATCGGTGACCCAAAGGGCCCAGAAACATCTATAGAGAGTCTCCGTCTCTCCGTGGTCGGTTGTGGAGTCCACTGATCGAGATACCTCCTGTTCGTGCAGCAGGGTCTTGACTGCTCTCCACGCAATGCCTAAGTCCCTAGATTAGCCAAGGTATATGAAAGAAGATGACTATATGGCGAACCTGTGAACATCGAGTGCCTTTGTGATTCTCCATTAGCAAACCAGAAGAAGCCAAGCACTTGACAGACTTGAACAGCTTCCAGTGTTGGTTGATCGACTTTTGGGAGAACTTGATCACCAGCTTGTATAGCCCACCGCCGGCCCAGCAACTTGGGATCGTCGCTTAGTTCATCCAGTATGGACTCATTCTGCTGAACCAATATGGGGGAACGATGCAAAAACCTCCAAAAAAATCAGAAAATTTCCTTCGAGGAGGTCAGGATACACATACACCGTGGCCATGGCACATATTGCAAGCAACACCGGTTCTGATAGCTGGTTGTCTGCCCATTTGCGATTAAGGGCTGTCCGGTCAAATACCAGGGTCGAATTAAACATATAAGTCAGATACACATCCAGGAGAGACCGCTGAACACTACGAGGAGGCAGCTGAACAACGAAGTTAAGGTTGGCCGTTTCTTGAGACGGGCTGGGATGATGACCAAGTTCGTGGTTGGAATCATCAGGATGCTGCTCGTGCGCAGCACGCTTCCGCTTCGTCGCGCGGGTGGCGGCCAACTGCTTGCGGTCTGGCGGTGGAGGATAGCCACATTGAGCGTCCAGACGGATGCATCTCGCGCACCTGGGGAGTTCCCGAGAGCATCTGAGCTGTACAGGGTCAATTTCGCAGATGCATGCGCAGCAGGAACGCTCACCTTCTGTTCACGACATCGACGACAAGCCGTCGTAGCTTCGGCGTCGTTGCCCATTACTTCACTTGAATGTGCCACTGCCCACAGTGAGCCAGGTGGCCTTTAACAGCTCGTGACATGTGAAGGACGGGCGGAAGTCGACGATGCTCCTCGTAAGCCTAAAACCCCAACAGCACCCATGCTACGTCATTGGCTGACTTTAACCGTCTACAGTATGCTCTCACTTATAAACACTTGCCCATAAACATGACTCTGGCGGTCCGGTTGGAAAGATATTTTCTATTTGAAGGGCTTCTTCATAGAAGTATTGCGGATTTTTTTTTTCAATGCTAGTCCACAGCCTCACCGCATTCAGACACTCGTTGAGAGATAGCTAGCTGTAGGTGTGATGGAGTATTATTTCTACACGCGCTTCAATCCATAAATCGTCCAGACGCCCCTGCACGTTTCCTGTACGCCATGCTCTGTCCCGTTACTGAAACACATACACCACTCCCGACCGATCAACAGACACAGTCATCGTATACGGACTTTCCAGCAGCGCGAGGTCCAGTATAGAATCCAGGTGCGCCTTCAGCAACTGTTGCTGCTGCACCGAGATGACAGTCGACCTAGTTGGCCGGCCACCCCCACGGTCTTGCCCATTAGCCCGGCGGCTTCGCCTCTCATCCGCCTTGTTCGCAGACACGCCCGAGCCCTGGCCGCGAGGCAGCCTCTCAGTGTTCAGCGTCATCGCTGTAGTTGGGTGGCTCGCAGAGTAGGTCGGGTTGCCCTCATCCACCTGTAGCCCGCTGAACACGGTCGAGTTCTCGATCCTCGTCAGGTCCCAGTAGCGGAGTTTCTTGTCCGAGCCGCCAGTAAGCAGGAACGCGTGCCTCACGTCACGCTGCTCGCCACCTTCAAGAGAGCCGCTGCCCACGACCATGGCCCTCACCCCTCTGTCCGCGTTACCAGTTGCGCTTGGCTCGATGTTCGTAGCAAACCGACCCAACATCCCCTCCGGCCTGTCCTCGTCTACTTCCCAGGCGTCGTAGCCCCTGGGCCCCTCTTTGTTCCCGCCAACGCGATAGATCTCACGACAGAGGGTCTTCTCCAGATCCCAGACAGTCACCTCGCCCTGACCGGTGCCGCCGGAGACACAAACCCACTTTCCACGGCCCTTGATAGGATGGATGCTGATGCGATAAATGGCAGATTTGCCTGGAACCCCCCATCCTTTGAGTCGCATTTTGAACCGTAAATCCCAAAGATCCAAAACGCCGTGTGAAGTGCCGAGGCAAAGCCAGTTCTTTTTCCTGTCGATGCAGAAGCATGTTGGGGTTCCATGATGGACTGGATTCTCCAAAACATAGAGCAGTGACATGGTTCTCAGGTCAATTCCAAGTATTCGTGAGCGATTTGTTGCTAAGACCATCACAGAACTGGTTTCCTGCTTGAAGTGTTCGCACCAGACAGCGAACTCGTCATCTGGTAATTGGTACTCCCTCAAAAGTCTCAGCTTTCCGTATCGCATCGCGCTACTGGCATAAGCAGTTTCGACTTTGACTACGTGAACACTGCCATCGCTGGCGCAGCTGATGAAACAATGCGTGTTCTCGATGAAGCATAGGGCGACAACCTTTGCTCCTGGCGCATGCCTGTGAGTTTGCCTCGACCTGTGAGCAATGTTGCGCTCCAGTCTCGCAGTGTCCCAGACTTTCACAGCACCATCATCTCCGCCTGTGATGAAGAACACGTGATCAGGGGAAGCCACGACACGATTGACGGCACCAACATGCTCGGAGAAGGTCGCCATCATCTTGCCCGTCGGTTTCCAGCCCTCAGAAACCTGCCCGTTTGCGTTTTTGTTGACCTTCCGCCGATTGATCGGCGTGACCAGAGGCCCAAACTCTGCAATGTCGTGCGGATAGTTGTCCACGTACATGGAGTCCAGCATTTTGAGGACATGAGGATCATTGCCGGGATAGTTGTGACTGAAATGTAGATGAGTTCGAGAGTTGTCCTCTCCATCTGCAATGGACAGCCTAGATGGCGTGGCGGGTGAGAAGAGACCCTCCACACGGCCGGTGGCATTTGCATCGGTCATGCCGGTCTCTGCTATAGCCTTGTTGCTGTCCTTTCGATTGAGCAGACTCATCGCGCTTGAAGCATGCCGGAGTGTCCTCTTTGCCGGCCCTGTAGCATCTTCAGCCCCAGCAATGGGGCGGAACGATGCGAGTCGATTTTGATCTCTTGATGATTCACTGTTTGGAGATGCAGGTCCATCTTGGAGCGGCTGGCGGTCATCTGGGTTAGGTGAGAGATTCATCTGGCTGCTCAGTCTGACCCGGTGAGTATTGATGGCAGCTCGCTTTCGCTTTCCTATTGGATCATCGATGCTCATGGATGCGTCCATCAGTGCGTCAGTAATCGTGCGCGGTGCGTTCGCGTCCACGTCCATATCGTCGCCGCCCACTTGTTTCTTGGGAGCTTCCTCGTCAAACATGACAGTCTGTACAGTGACGCCCAGAGTGCGCAGATTTATGATGTTGTTTAGCTCTGTGTTCATGCTGTTCGCCGACGAATCTCTTGTTTTGATCTGGCTGAGGCGCCAAATGAACTCGCGAAGGGCCAGCAGCTTGAATTCGTCATTCGGCGAAAGACCCAGATTTCGAAGTCTTCCAAGCCATTGTTCGTCTTCCTCATTTTTTGCGACCTTGCTGAGGCTCTTTGGATGCAGCTCTTTGGCCGCCCGATTCGGCATTGTGGCAGTTGATGTACCAAAGGATAGCCTGCGTAAGTTACGCATGGTCTTCCAAAAAAGACCTCTGTCAGATTGTACAGCCCACAACAGAGCTTGGTCGAACACAGACCGAGACAAAGGCTTTTTCAGCGCATCCAGCAACGCCAACTCGGTCAGATTGATGGGCATGACCATGGTCTTCAGGAAGGGAGATACGAGTGGTAGAAGCGTGCACTTGATATCTGCTGGGGATAGATATTCCGCAGCGGCAGGAATGAAATTTGCCGCTGATTCTCGGATCCAAATGTTCGGGTGCATCGAGAATCGAGCAACAACATCGGTGAGCTCCCAAAGCCGTGGTTTTGACAATAAGCCAAGGCTGGCCAGTTGTGCCAGCGACTGGAGAGCGCTCTGAACCACATGTTCTTCCGTGTCTGTGAGGGCTTGGATCATGAGGGGTAGAATAAACTCTTCGAGGCTGACGCTGCCCATGAACGCAGCGATGCCAACGATAGTCTCGAAAAAAGCGCATTTCAGGATCCAGTCCCGGTCATTCAGGTAAGTGTTAAGGTGCGTGAGGATGATGTCGTTGGATTCTGCAGTTCCAAAGAACAGACACAGTTCGGGAACAGAGCTGAGAAAAGCTCGACGAACATGGGGATCGGCATCCTCGATGAGGCTTTTGGTGTGTGACTCAAATAACTCGATCAACTCTTGTTGAGCTTCATCGAACAAACCATCGAAAGTCGCGTCTGGTTGGCTTCCCGATTCAACGTCTGGATCAGCGGCTGCTATCGTACCCGCAGCTTTGAGGGTTGACGACATCTGTAGGAACCTTTTGGCCGTCGTCGCCAAACTGCCGATGCAAGATGCGTATGTTGCCCTCACCAGCGGACTGGGTAGATTACTAGTCCCATAGAGAGCGATCTGCATACGCGGGAGGATGTATTCGAGGAAGACGTGTGCATTGACAGGGTTTACTGATTTAACGAGAGCCAGCAATTGTGTGATCGTCCTTATCGAGGTGATGGCGACGATATCGGCCTTGTCGTTTAGAAGCGAGATGAGGTATGGAAGAACTCGATCGAGTTTTGCCTCGTCCGTCAGTCGCTCCGCAAATGCCAGGAGAACATCACAAGCTCGGACTTTGGAAGCCGCTCGCGCTGTGTTCCGCAATGACGAAACAACGAGGGTCAGAAAGATCAAGGTACCATCGTCAGCAGCAGGCTGCACATCGCCAGAAACGGCGTATTCGTTGTTCGGTATGTTGAGCCGCACGGGGAAATGGCCCAGTCCCAGCCGTGGCAGCAACTGCACCGATTCTGTACCTCGGGAGTCATTGTGATATCCCAGAAAGTATGAGATCTTGTCGAAATCGTAGAAAACCCGATCGATGCGTTCATCTGCCTCGCCCAGGTTCCGTGTCGCGCCAGAGACGGGGTATTGGCCGGAGGAAGGATCCGTAATCACCTCCATGTACTGGTGTAGGAACGTATAGAAATAGTCCGGGAACGCTTTCTTGCGCCAAAACTCCAAATACTGCTCGGCAGAATACCTCTTCTGTGGTTCTAGCTGGATCATGGACGCCACCAAGTCACGTATGTCTTTGTCCGGAATGCGACTCAGATGCGAGATGCCGGGGTCGTATTCGCCCTTGCGGTATTTGTACAGCTGGCTTAGGCTGAAAATTGGCGACTCGAGGAACAGCTCTGCGATCACGCACCCGGCACTGAATATGTCCATGGCCCACGTCAAGCTGGCGTTGGGGTTGGCATTTCCGCCTGGCGCCACGAATCGCTCAGGGGCGATGTAGCACGTTCGCCGGCTGGATGTGTCAAAGAAATAGGAGAAATCGGTCGGGTTATCGTCTGGAAGCGTCACAGGTTTGAAAGAAGAGGAGAAGTCGGTCAGGTATAGCCAGTTCCAAGAAGTCACCAATGTGTTCTCCGCCTTGATGTCACCATGGTATATGTCCCTCGCATGGCAGTCGCGTAGAGCGCAAAGGAGCTGGAAGGATATCCATTTCTTTTCTATGTCTTCCAGGAAAGGCCTCGTGCTCAAGCGATCGTATAGCGAGTTGTAAAGGTACTGGCGGACAAGGTAGCCGTTGGTCTCGGTCTCGACAACTCTTTGATACCCAAGGGCGTTTGGGATATCGGCGAGAAGCTTGCGCTCATCTGTGTGTTGTTTGGTCCTTCAGCCAGAGCTTCTCGGGGGGGGGGGGGGACGAAGACGAGAGAGCCTACTGATTATTTCGTGCCTGAATCGGCCCAGTGACATGGGAGTGTAGGGCTTAATGAACACCTTAACCAAGACGACACCGTCATGATGTCGGGCGCGGATAGTCTTCATAAACCGTGCGGACCCAAGAGTCTTCTCGTAGACAAGGTCCGCTAGTTCTGGAACCTCGATCCCCGCCGCGCCGGCCGACGGCGTTGTCACAGAGAAGCCCTGCCCCATCGTCGCGAAGATGGGTGCTGCCTCTGGAAGGTGGTGTGGGTTTCTCAGCAGACAAGCGCTATCGCAACTTGTAATGCAGGAGTTGTAGATTTGAGATCATGGTGATCGCCCTGATTTCTGCGATATACCATGAACCTGGCAAGCGGTTCCTGCTGTCGCCTTCTGAAGAAGATCACGAAGCGACAGTTCAACGGCGTGAAGGGAGCTCGTCACATTGTGGACTAGAAGTCGGTGACATGCTGAGAAGGTACCCGGGTACCTACGTAATCTGGAGTACAGTACCTGCCGGAGCTTCTTGCCTGCCGGCGCAACACCTATGGGTCAAGCGCGCGACGCTGGCGACGCCACAGGGCCTAGTCCAAAATGGGTGGATACATTGCAAGCAAGCTCGAAAGACATTTGTACAGAAATAAGCGTATCAGAACAAGTGGATGAGCTGCCGGAAGACGAAGTTGCTCGACTTGCCTCACAAATTACGATTCTGGGTCGGCGGTGGGTGCTGCCGCTGCTGTACTTTGACATTCGCGTCTCAATAAAGGCGAAACCGCTACAGATAGGCTCTCCGGCCCTCAATCAATTGCTATGAAATATCCCTTGGCCGTCATGCTCACCCTCACCAGCAAACTGGCTTTCATAAGCTATCAGACTTCCAATCTCGGGCGCGGGAGTGAAATCGGTCAGAGCATTTGTGCAAGCTGAGCTGCCAGTAGAAAATGTTGAGTGTATTGCCGGTCACGGCAGTATTTGGGTCTGTATCTCCCGTCTGCTGCGTAATGCATCGTATCCTCAACGTCTTTCCTAGCGCATTGTCCTCTTTCCTGAATAGTAGGCAAAAATTACATGATTTTGGGCCCTCCCCTCAAGTCCTCCACCACCAAGGGAAACACCTGATCGCAAACCTGGGTATATTTAAACCAAAACAATGAAATGAACGGGGAGGGCGCAGAAGAAACGAAAATATTAGGTCGTCTAAAATAAGAGGCATTAAGCGTGTCGTAACAATGGTGAAGCTGCCTCTCTATGTTTCCCGGCAATCCCTTCGGGAACGTCAACGAGCGTCACTTTGTACATGCTTGCCGCGTGACTGGCTAGACTGCGGCCCGAGACGTTCCCGAACCAAATATGCTTCATCTGGCTCCTCTGCTCGTGAAAACTGGTATCGAACGCCGGCAATGCAAAGACTCTGGCTAGGCCTAGACGCGACACGGGAAGAAGAAACTCGTTTAATCGTGAGATTAGCGTGACGGGTGTGCCAGTCAGCGTTGGTGAGCGCTGGACGCTGCTTCAGTCGATGTGTCGCTTTCGATCGTCTTTCTCCAATGCTCCGGTAGACAGACACACACCAGCGGGAATGCCTTGATTTCGCCACTGGCAGGGGGTGATAGATCGCGGCCACGACCGGACGTGTTCGAGACGCCGCTGTCTCGTTGTTGTTGGCGCCTAGCCTCCCAATCCTCGGCTCGCTCATCCACCATAACACCAGTCGCCCAACCGTCATCCCAGATACCGACGACCTTGAGCATGTCACCGCGCTCGAGGGCGAACTCGTCGGCAGCGCGCGGCTGGTAAGCCCAGAGGACTGCTACGCGGTCGCCAGGATGTATCTCGTCTTGGGAGTAGTAGTCCTTGAAATACGGCAACTGCTCCGATTGCTGACTGGCGACTCCTTGTGGTGAAGACATGCCGTTGCTGCCAGCATCCTCACCGGCAAGAAGCACGGAGCCGCTAGACAATGAACCCGTCCTCTTCAGCATCGAAGTTGGTGGGGGTCGCAAAACACCAGCTCGCGGCTCCGACTCCGGACTGTCCCCAAACTCGCTCGACGAGGAGTGGTTTTCAACGCGTCTGCTTCTCACAGCACCGACTGCTGCAGCACTTTCCGAATGACGAGAGGGGGCATCTCCTGAGTGGCCCTCTAGAGCCGACATCCTAGCGATCCTACCGCCAGGCAAGACTTCGTATCCATGCGGTGTCGAAGCAGTGGGGCCAGCCTGGGACATGGGGCCTCTTCTTGCCGGTGAGGGCTGGTTGAATATGCTCCCTGATTGACTGCCTCGCTTGCGCCGCCTGAGAAAAATGCAACACAGAAGTATCAGCCCTATAATTATTGCAGCGCCAGCTACACTTCCAATGACGATCCCAGCGATCGCGCCCCCGCTGAGACCGCCCCTCCCGGCGCCTGCGGTGCTGGAGGGAGATGGGCTGGACGTGGACGTCGGTAGTGTTATGGTCGATGTAATGGACGGTAGTGTCACATTTGCGCAACGGTTTTCGGCATTCGAGTTGTAGCAGCACGTGTCGGTCGAGTTAGTGCCGCCAGATGCGCAGTATGAGCAGAGTCCAATGGTGCTGTTGCCATATCCGCAGTTGTCCGGTTCGTTTTGGATTCCGTCGATGCAGTTATCCGACGACAGTGAGTCTGCGGGCAGAGCGCAATTCGTAAAATCAGCCCTGATCTGCGTCGTAGCTCCACTGCTGGGATTTGAGCATAATTGGCTATCAGACACGTAGTATGCTTCGGACTGTGCGAATGTGGCCTCAAGGGCGGTCAGTAAAGGAGGATCGCCAACGAGCTGTGTGACTTACGCAGGTGTCGGCGCAAAGAGGTTGCGATTGTGAGGAGGACAATCCACATGGGTTAATCGAGTTCTGCACAATGGCATTACATATTACAGAAGTCGTGAAGCGTGCGTAGAGGTTGGAAGTATTGGTCAGCTCGATATTACCGCAGCCAAACAGCGTTTGATATCTAGGTACTTGTTAGCAGGCGAGGTAGTATGGCAACAAGAGCGCGTAGTGGACTAACTTATCCTGCACATATGTCGTCTGGACGTAAGACTCGAGCTGTGCATCGAAAGACGCGCGGTCTGACACGAATTGAAGGAATGAACTGTGACGAAAGTTAGACTGCAATGCCGTTGAGATATGTTGGTTAATACGCACAAGAAGCCCACAAGCGTAGAGTCGGTTGATATCGACGAGGACTGAAATGCTGGACACGCCGTAGAGCCCTGAAGGGAGATGCAGGTTTCGGACATTTCGGCGACGGTCGAAGGGCAACACGCCACTGGGAGTCCTGACCTCGCCCTCGTCTATTCCCTCACCACAAAACGGGCACTCGCGGTCCTTTTCCCTAGTCGACAGCTGCCGTTTTGGTGAAAGGACCGAGTCTGCTTTCGACGAGGCGAGAGATACGGGATTCAGGTAGGATCTGTATCACGCCAGAGATGAGTTCATCGTCGTACGAAGCTCGATATGCGATCCAGGTAGAGTGGCCGTGAGTGACGGGACGGTCAACAGAGAGTGCCTTTGAGATAGCGGGTGTCGATCACAGTCCCTTAGCGGCGCTATGTGTTGCTCAATGGGTTGATGCTGTTGCTGCTCCACTAAGACCAAGTCTCTCTTAACGAGAATTAGGGTACGCGAGAGTTGCTGGGTGAGGTCAATTAGGTCGCGTGGCCGTGCAATTTGACTTTTGCGGGGGGGTTGGTGGTTGTTGTATTGTTGTTTGGCAAGAAACCGTGCCAGCTGCGGCTAGGAAGGGGAAGCCTCTCCAGAAAATGAACGACAGCAGCTGGAGGCAACGAAGCCAAGGATGCACACACAGGTGAGGAAGGTACGAGGAGGCCGAGGGCTAGAGGGCTGGGGACCAGAGGAGGAGCTTCGTACGCGGTTGGTCTTGCCGTGATAGGTCGGGCCAATGCAGGGACAGGAAGGATGTCGTGTTTATCATGCGTGAGCAGCTGCAGAAGCGCCAACGCAAGCAAAGTGAGGAGGTGGGGGGATCCGTGGTAAGGGCTGTCGACCTAATGCAAGGCAACACTGACGGACGGATGTGGTGGCAGCAATGCCGTGAGCTGGACGAGGACTGGACGAGATGATGGTGGGTGGGAGGTGGGTGGTGGTGGTGGGCAGGGCGAGGCGGAAAGAGGAGATTGATTAATTAGTAGAGTGAAAGAGTGAGTGAAGGCTGAGTGTAAAGAGGAGTGACCATGTGCTGCGACAGCAGGTCAAACAGAAGAAACAAAAGAAGGCGCGGTAGTTGAGATCTGGACGCAATTGGGCAAATGAGTGGCAGTCAAGAGACCTGAGACGGCAGCAGCAGCAGCACGAAGACGGAGAGAGTTGTGATGCGATGTCTGCCGTGTGGTGTGTGTGCTGTGTGCTGTGTGCTGTGTGCTCTGTGAGTGAATTACAAAAGTCGGAACCCGAGAGTCTTTTGCAACTCGTTCCCCCTCAACGGACCAGTCGAAGCACGCACGCAACCGACAACAGGCAGATTGGGTATGTGCTGCGGGAGGGAGATCCACGACGACGGCAGATTTTCTGGTGGTGAGGAGAGGGAACAAAACCAGCAAAACCCGCAAAAACACCAACAACAGGCGAGGCGAGGCAGGCCAAGTCAGTCCGAATGAGAGTGATTGCGAAAGGGGAGACCCTCCATCCACAACGGACCAGAGCTTCATCCCAATTTGGGCCTGTAGCCGAGATGGGCTAGCCGATCAAGAGGCATGGACCGGGGCTGAGCAGGACGGCAGGGGTGGGGCCATGGGCCATGGCACTCGTTTTGCCTTTTTGCGCGCGAGAGAGCAGGCCCTGAAATGAGAAGGCCTTGAGATGCCCACCATTGGATCACGACGCTGTGGTATCCGTGCTACTGCGTCGTACTGGCCCAGGTGTGCACTGATCCGCCTGCGTGTCGCCATTGCTATTGATAGGGTTTTCGCATGACAACATGGCCGCTCAGCTTCATGCTCTTGTCCTGTTTGATTGCGATGAACCGCACGCGGGTCTCAGCGCACAAATCTCCCTCCTCGCATGCCCTGCCTGCCTCCTGTCTGCCTCCTGTCTGTCAGCCTGTCAACCGCATTGACAGCTGCGCTTGTGGTCTTTCCAAGCCGTCGAGCACACGGACAGTTCGGGCGGTCCAGTCACCCAGGAGAACATTGAGATGCCAACAGCTGTACTCCCTACTGTTGTCATTACCGCTATACGAAGACGCGCTTGTTGGGGCCGGGGGAGAGAAAAAGAAACAAAAGCCAGCGGCAGGGCGGATAAGCCCATCATCCCAAGCCCGCCCACTGCAACTGCGCCTGCGACTGCGACAGCGACATGGGCGAGCACTACTCGATTCAATCCGACTCTGAATCTTCGTCCCTTCCAATCTCTTTCACGACTTGACTGGTCGACTGGTCTACTGCAACACTGACGAGGCTCGAGGCCAGTCCGGTACGGCCAGTCTCAGAACTTGTCTCAAACAACCCAAGTGGCTTTTTCCCGAGAGACTACTCAGTCACACTAGCTCCCTCCACAGCGCCCTAGAACAACGGCTCGCCGTCTTTCCATTCCTCGACTTGACTCGACTCGACTCCGAATCAAGCTCATGGCCGTCGGACATTCGTGCTCCTCGGGTCCGTCCTCGGTGTGCCCGCTTCTGATCCCAAACGTACGCGTGTTACTTGACCAGCACACCTACGCAGTATGCAATAATGTCCTGCGGGATATCTGATAAGTACAGGGTAACTCTTCACAGGATTGCCTGTTAATGCCCGCTAGGTACCCAAGTGGGCAAAAACACAGCAAATCTTTCTGACCAGCTGGTCCGTGAGCTAGCTGTGATGTCTCAGGGCCGGCCGGCGGGGATTTTCCAAGTGGCTTAGGATCCCTTCTCTTATCTTCCTGGCATCATATCATTAAGTGATCCTCCCGCGTCGCCTAGCACCACCCGTGTACGAGGTATAAAATTGTGCTGGACGTAAGCCACCAACCATCCACCAGGGCCAGTGTCTCAGAAGCTCTGGGACGATTAAAGCTTGTCTAGTCCAGTCGAAGAGGCCGATGACCTCCAGAGGCTCCAGTCTTGACATGACATCAAAGTGCCGTTGCTGGGAAGCATTCATTTTCTTGGCCCTTTTGCTTCGGTGGTTTGCCCAGCTAAGGCGGTGCTCCATGTCTGCGTCGCAGGGTTTCGCAGCGTAGAAGCGAAAGACAAAGCCCAGGGCCTGTGACGCTCAGCCCCATGGTTCCAAGGGGCGGGCGAGGTCGAGAAATTGAGACGGCATCTTCGGATGAAATTATATTGTGATGAAGGCAGAGGCCTCTTCCCCGCATCGTGGACAAGGCAGTTTAGCAGGCCTCATAAGAGGTCTACCGGATCGTCTGAAGCTCGCTCTTCCTCTCCGTGAGCTGTCGCCGGCGCGCGCGCGATCACGTCCGCTTCTGGTGCGGTTTGGCCGACGCATTGAGTGGCGAAGACGTGATTGCTGTACGCAGAGGCGGGGTTCGTCCATTCCACCTCTTTGAGCAACAATACCGGAGAAAGCTATATCCCACCCCCGCGGCCCTGGACCACGTTGAAGGGCAGCCAAGACCACTCTACCCGCGACATTTGTGATCATTTAGCGGTCTAGATACCATTCAGGCCTATCCATGATACCCCTCAAGAGTCCGGCCTGAGGGAACTCCCGTGGGCGGGTTGCCGAGGCAGTGGAGACCTTGTCCCATACAAGCAAACTTGTTCGCCAGCCCGCTGACCTGGCTACTGACGTCGATGCAAGGTTGGCCGACGGCAGCGATAGCAATCGTCCTCCAGAGTGGTGCCGGTCGGCCGGCCGATTGGCAGTGCTGACCCTCAGCCGCAAGTTGCGAGCCATGGTTGAGTGACGAAAGCGCCCGATGCGGCCTTTCGGCATAATATACTAGTCGCTGTGGGGGAACCACAATAAACCCGGCCGAGCCTCGTTAAAGACGCGAGGCTGATCAACACAGGATTTATTCCTCCGATCCCTGGGCCACATGCAGCCACATTTGTAAGGAAACCGAACCTCAACCTCACATGATCAGGCTAGTAGACCACGACGGAAACACTTCGCATCCGACATGGCCGACAAGTGTTTTGTTGACGTCTGCCTGCTCTTCTATTTGCGGATAGACATGTTCGAAGCTAGTTCACGCTTTGATATCGAGCCAGAGTCAAGGCACAGACTATTCCACAGGCCTCTCTAGAAACGCCAGCCAGGGCTAGCAGGATGGGTTGTATTACCATCGCAACAGAGATCGTCAAAGACCCAGGTGGTTGCAGTCGGAAGTTGCCGAGACTGCTGCCAGTTGGGTGCAAGATTGGCTTCCGCACAGACTGGACAATTGACAGTCGCTCGGGGCCTGTCTCTTTGTGTTTTGTGTTCTGTTCCGTATCACAAAGACATGTGACCGTTCAGTTGGCGACAGTAACAATAGAGAATGGGCAGAGTCTGCAACGCTGACTGAGGGATAGCCAAGCCGGAGGTGACACTGTGATTCTTGGTGCCTGGGACTGCCTCGCTTGCCCAAAGAGGACGGAGGACGGAGGTTCGCGCTCCAGTTTTCCCGACCTCGACCCGTGCCTTCGGATACCCCCAAGCCGGCTTGCTGACATACACACGGCGTCGCCTGCATCGACCCCGCCGACGTCCACAATCGTTCGCTCATTCGTCTTCACCGGCCATGTTCATCCTCCCAAGATGGACTAGCCATTGATGCAGCGCCGCCACGTTTGTAGGACGTCACCGATCCAGCGACCGGCTGTCTGGTGATCCAGCAAGCCGGTAAACCACTCACTGTAAGTGATTATGAATAAGTAGGTTCTTTCTCCTTCACCGTCGAGTGTATATAAGCGCCCGACTGGGCTCAGATCGCATGTTTTGGTTTCACGAATCCTCGTGTTGTCCTACACCAGACTCCTGCCACCAAAGAACCCCCAAGTTCGGATGAACCCCTTGGTTCATCTTTGTTCGAAGCTATATTCGAAGGGACTACCGCGAACGGCCCTTGCCCTATTGAGACGTCATCAAACCGCCCACTGCCATCAATATTAATATAGTTGCTGTGATACGAGTCCTCAGCATTTGATTCCCAAGGTCAACTTTCTCTCGCGTTTACTGTATCATTCCAGCAGCTGTATACCAGACAACACCATCTCCAGAATGTCAGCAGCAGGCGGACAAGGGCCACAGCAGATGGTGGGCATCATACCCCCTCCCTTCGTTCGAGCTTCACATTCGATACTGACCCAGGTTCTGGCTTAGGCACCACAGTCCGGGCCGCCCTATGCTCCCACGACAGCCCTGCTGGGTGGGCACCCCACCGTGCCCCTCGACGACCCCATCTGCGCATGCCTCTTGCTGTTGTTCATCGCAGGCGCCGCGACGCACTTGACCATCTTCAGGATCAATCGCAAGCGGGATCATAAGTTTGTTTTCTCTGCCTTACTTTTTGGTTTCTGCATGGCGCGCATCACGACGCTCGTCCTGCGCATCGTCTGGGCCTCGCGGCCGCGCAACGTGGACATCGCTATCGCAGCGAACATCTTCGTCCAGGCCGGCGTCCTGCTTCTTTTCATTATCAACCTTATCTTCGCCCAGCGCATCGTCAGGTCGTACCACCCGAGGCTCGGGTGGTCGCGGGGCCTGGGCCTGGCCTTCAAGTTCCTGTACTTCTGCGTCGCGGCGTGCTTGATCATGGTCATCACCGCGACCGTCGACTCCTTCTTCACCCTGGACAAGAACACGCGCAGGATCGACCGCGACATCCAGCTCGTCGCCGGCACGTTCCTCACCCTCCTCGCCTTCCTCCCCATCCCCGTCACGCTCCTGGCCGTCGTCGCGCCGCGTGCCCACCGGCCCGAGAAGTTCGGCCAGGGCCGCCAGCGCACCAAGATCTGGCTGCTCCTCTTCACCTCCGTCATCCTGACCCTCGGCGCGGGCTTCCGCATCGGCGTCAACTTCACCACGCCGCGGCCGGCCAACAACCCGGCGTGGTTCCACTCCAAGGCGTGCTTCTACTGCTTCAACTTTGTGATCGAGCTGGCGGTGGTCTACGCCTACGCCATCGCGCGGTTCGACAGGCGCTACCACGTCCCTGACGGCAGCAACGGACCTGGTCACTACTCTGGTGAAAGAGTAGGTGACAACAGGGGTTTGGGGAGGGGAGGACTTACCATGAGCAACCTGTCTATCAACAGAGAGAGTGACGTGTTTGGGGACGAGACCATGATCAACAGCCCGGCCGAGCAGAGCAGGAGGCAGAGTGAGTGGGAGGCCAAGGCGAGGGAAGAGTTGGAGAAGGAGGCCGTGAGCGATTCTGTCTAAATTGTCAGTATTAACATCGACAGAACAACCCTGAGTATTGGGCGGCTTTTCAGGCTGCTGGTTGCCACTCATCCATTCTCAGTTATGCGTAATGGCATAAACAGCGCAGACGATACATAGTGTTGCATCCATACAAGTAGCGTTAGCGAGTGTAATGTGTACTAGAAATACAAGGAGTAGATTTTGTAGGGAACTTCATGCATTGGTGCTTGAGACAACTGAAAGACCCCTCTGGCCTACTAAGAAACGAATAAGGTGCCGATAAGAACTTTAAAAGTAATAGGTCCGGGAGGATGGTAACTTTGAGATCGCCGCGTGGCGGTCACTCATGCACAATATTAGCCATGCCCATAGTTTAGAGTGCCTACCAATAAGCGGGAAAACCGACAACTTCACATCTGACGGATTCCATGGACCGTTCCGGTTGTGTAAGGTATCATCACAGGAGTCAGCGGTGGGACCATGCCACTCGCCTCCTGACCGGGCTGCATTTAGAAACCCCTTATGGTATTTATTCATGCCTTTCTTGAGTCACGTTCTCAGCAGTACGGTAATGATTTCTCATTCGACCTGGGCATCAACGGACTAGCAGTCCAATCTTGTGCGCCAGGATATTCACATATCACGCTCTTGTCACAAGGTTGCTCCAGCAGAGCACACATACCGGCAAAACGACGTCTAATATTGTCCCTCTTGTCTAAACTTTCCCAAGCGGGCGGCAAGACCCGGCTGGAGGGATAGTTGATTAATTGTACACAAGTTAGGGATGCACCACTCATGCGGATGTATGTTGCTAGTGGTGCTAGTCTACCTCAACGCTCTTTGCTTCTAAGCCTTTCTTTGCACAACACGCGGAATTCGCAAGGCTAGGCATTGAGTTTAGAGGAAGTAGTCTGGTGTCCTTCTTGAGACCATGGGCTCGCCAGCACGCGGGCAAGGATCGAATTGGAGGCTGAGGGTAATCATCAGTAATCGTGCTCCAGGCCCTTTGTCAGAACTTGGAGGAACTTACAAGGTGTACTTCAAGTGCTCATCGATCTCCATTATTGCGGCTTGGTTACCGCATCTGTAACAGTAGTTGGGTGCTTCAAAAACATGTCAGTAAATTTCCTGTCAAAACGGTCTCGATGATTGGACCTACCAGAGAATATGGTCACCACGTTCCGGTCCTGGGACCAATTGTAGCCCTCCATGACCAACTGATGAGCCCGAGCAATCAGGGTCAGGCCGTTGTTGTGATTGAACGCCTCTGATATGTCCTGACCAAACGTGTAACCGGCACCACGAGGCGAGATTCCCCACCCGCATCGATCATCAGGGTCGGACCACAGCAGGTCGCACATGGGACCCTCATGAGGAACCTCCTGGATTCTGTCTAGGGCTCGAATGTTGTCGAGAGTGTCGATGCTGGGCGACAGACCTCCGTGCAGACAGAAGATCTGGTTGTCAATTAGGGCAGTGAGGGGGAGGTAGTCGAAGAGGTCGGTGAAGTATTTCCAGACGTTTGCGTTACCGTACTTGCGGAGGCACTCGTCGTAGAATCCGTACACTTGCGTGATCTGGCGCGACTCGTGATTGCCGCGGAGGATGGTGATTCGCTGAGGGTATCGAATCTTCAAAGCGACAAGAAGGGTCACTGTCTCAACGGAATAGTAACCACGATCAACGTAGTCACCTGTGGATGTTGCTTAGCGTCCAATCCCAAGACCCGCGATGGAAGTTACTGACCCATGAAGAGATAGTTGGTGTCTGGGTTTGGACCACCGATCTTGAAGAGCTCCATCAAGTCATGGAACTGTCCGTGGATATCACCACACACGGTCACTGGGCATTTCTATTGCATATAGGTGAGCGCTTTGGCGGCACAAGGCTGGAGCTTCGAGCACATACGACTGGTTGGACGTTGGACTCGTCCTGGAGAACTTCCCGCGCCTGTGATTCCAAGTCAGCTTGGGGTTCCCGACAATTGGCACGCGAGCATGCATTCGGTGTCAGTGGCGTCTTTGAGTGGCGAGGAACAGTATCACCGTCGCAGTTCAGGCATCTCGGGAGGACCGCTAACCTTCTCGCAAAGCCTCTGAACATCTGTCTCTGCCAGCTGTTTGCAGCTCATCAAACCCTCGATCCAGCCGTCCAGCGTGGGAATGGTGGTGGGCTCCAAGGGAGGCGCCGCGGGCAAGTCGGCGGGCACGCGCCCGACATCCTCCATGTTAGTATCCATGATGACCTCTGGGGTCTTCTCGACCAAGAGCAGTGGTGCTATCTTGCTAGGAACGAGGTTCGCCGTCGCAGGGTCGTCGATGGGATTGGATCGTAGAGGTAGGACACAATGACGTTTTAGGGCCCCGGTGGGAAGCAGTGGGTGATTTTCGCAGGAGGGCAGTTGCAGCTCGGTTTCGTCGTCGCAGCAGGGTCGTCAAAACGTCTGGAGCTCACTCGCAGAATTGCGATGTGCTCCTGTGGAGTGCGGGAAGGATACGGAACGGGGGGTATCAAGGCTGTGATGGGGATTGTCTGAAGGTCGATGGTGGGATGCGTGCTTAGTTAGGTAGGTCGGAGCCGTTCCAAGGTTGCCCTCTCTCGAAGCCAGTGAGGGATTGTGGAGCCAGCTCGACAGAGCGGCGCCAGCCGCCTTTGCACCTCAAACGCCACCTAACGGGTCTACACCACCTAACGCCCCTTGCGCCCCGCAGGCAGTTAGTGAAAAGGGGGCCGTCTGTCAAAGAGAAAGCTACCACACAGAAATAAAGCATAAAGCAGGTAAAAGAACGAACTTTAAACCAACAATGGTGATCGAATTTGATTTGTTAGGAATATTATTGACGTGATACCTATGAGCAAGATCGTTAAAACCGAGCTACTGCCACAACATACCCATGCATCGCGCGATGCCTCGCAGAGCAGTGGAAATCCGCCTTTGTGGGTAGTGATATTTAGTAGCGCGAGCTCCTTCGCCTATTCCAGCTCATTACGACAAGCCCAGTCCAACGGGCTCATTAGTCACATTGCCATTGACTGCCGGCGGTTCCTGTCCGACAAGATTCCTGAAGTCAAGCCCAACCTCGGAAAGCATCTGAGCATGCTCCCTTGCCCGCTCCATGCATTTCGTCCACGCCTCACTCCCGTGTTCAGTGCTGCTGAGCTGCCTCGCCAGGATGACATTGAATGCCTCGACCTCTTCCTTTGCCCACTTGACACAGGCGCTCATCATGGGCGGCGGGAAGCAGCCCTGGAAGCAGGCGACCGTATTCTTGATGATGCTAAAGTAGACGAAGGACAGTTGCCAGATATAGAGATGCAGGTCTCCCTGGAAAACACATTGACTATAAGACCCATTAGCAAGTGTCTGTGTGGTTCAATCTTTCCTGTTGACTCACCGAGAGCGCTTCTGGATGATGCTGCTCCTCGCCTCGAGATATGCCTCTCTCGCACGGTCCTCAAAGCCCAGCCGAGTGAGCCAGCTGACGTGCAGCTTGGTCTTGCCGACTTCGCTGTGCGTGCTGACCAGCTCACGTGTGATGAGCCCAGCCAGGCGCGAGCATCTTTCCTCAACCTTGAACTCGATGAAATCTTGTGCGACTGCATTGTTCTTGAGGCTCCGCGACAGGCTCTTAAGCTTTTCCACTCTAACCACAGATGGCTCGATCCGCTGCAAGGCAATGTCAATGTCCAGCTCGTCCATCTGGCTCTCAACCCATCGAAGGTTCTGCTGTTTCCCATCCACCTCAATGAGCATATCCTTGATGTCGGACAGAGTCTCGAGGAGCTCTGTCTTTTGCAGAAGGCCCGGGTCTCTTGACGCAAAATAATTGATAGTCTCCTTGGCTTTGTTGTTCGCCTCTCTCTCTGACTGGATATTCCTTCGGAGGTCTTCCACCACTTTGCGGATGTTTAGCATCAGAGACCGCTTCTCAGGATCGTCCGGTTTCTCCGTTCGGTAGATGACGGAGTCTTGGCCCACGCCACGGACCATGATAGCGTCTGTAAGCTTTGTCCTGCTGCTGGACGACTCGTGAGTCCCGGCCATATCCACGACTTCAATGTCAAGGACAGGCCAGCAGCGATCAGCGACCAGCTTGACCGCTGGGCCTCGCGCTTCAGGGTTGTCCGTTTTTCTCTTCTTGCGGGACGCAATAAGTAGATGGTCGTTCAACAGAACAATCTGAATGGAGCGTCTTGACTTGTATGTCGCATTGTCCAGCTCGATCCAGGACCCAGCATCCTGGATGATATGACGACCCACTGAGTTTGGCAAGAACTTCTGCGAACCTTCGATCATCTTGTAAAGAGCCTGCCCATGCTTGTTAGCCGTAATGCGCCCATTTTCAAACTAGGTGCCATGTACTGACCTGCATCTGCGAGTTCCACAGAGCTGCTCTGTCCACAACGGAGCTGCGCTTGTCTCTCTTGCTCATCCCTGACGAGAAGGAACCCCCGTTGGTACCTGGAGACTCCTCATTGTTTCGAGAAGATGCGGACCGTAGCACTGTTGTGTTCGTCTTCAGTTCTGACATGAGGTTCTTGAGGTTCCGCATCTCTTCCTTGAGCTTCTCTGCCTCCTTGCTGATCTTGATGAACTGAGTCCTATTCTGGTACACATTCTGCTGCAGGTCGTTCGAAGCCCGGACCTTCAACTTCTGTAGCTGATCCTCGAATTCCGGTATCTCATCCTCTGTAGCGTTGCCCAGCGTGCTGGTGACGTATGAATCGGGATTGAGCCTCGGGTCTCTCAGAGTCTTAACATCCACGGCCGGTGCGGTACCAACCGGACCTCCCCGTGACCTCGGCGGCTCTGCTGCTGGCTTCCGGTATGGCTCGTACTTGTCGAGGGTGGGCATAGTCGGCATTGGGGGCGCGGCCGTGGGATCAAAGTTGTCCGGGAGGTTGTAGCGTGTGGAATACCGACGCTTCACGTAGTCCGACGTCTTGCCTCCAGCTTGAGGAGGCGGCCTTGGGCGAGGGGTCGCTTCAGCAGCGACCGGCCTCGCACCTCCCGTGCTTCTTGGGACAGGGACGCCATCGTTGGCGATGGGCTCCGAGATCTGACGGGGGGCGCTGATCTTCGGGCGAGCGTTCCTTTTGTTTCCCTTCCGGAGGGAGATTCCCCGCCTCTCGTCCGACATTGTCGACGTTGATGGCGGATATATCGTGTACGTAGGGTTCTGAATGGAGGTTAAGGAGGGAGGAGGGAGGTTGGCGGAAGCTTTGGGTTCCTCCCGCAGATGTGTTTCGTACAGTACCTTGGTTGGTACCTCTAGGCAGTTAGGTACCTAGGGAGCCGGGCACGACGGGGGTGTACTTATCACTACTAGAAGCCTAGGTACCTACGTACCCTGGCGTAAAAATTGGCCATGAGCTCCAGCTTCCGACCTCGAAGAACCGGATAGCGATCGCAACCTCAGAAACCTACCATTGTGCATCGCAGGGCCAATCATTCTCCTCGCGACTTCTACAACAGCTTTCTTCTGCACGACCTCGTTCCCTCCCAGCGATTGTCCTGCTTACTCAAGAAGGGATCCCGAAGAAACTCACACAAACGCACAATGGCATCATCGCAAACCACAGTCATTGCGACTGCAACGGCTGCCGCAGTGGCGACCGGCCTTCTCGGTACGGATGCACTCGCAAGCACAACCAGGATGCGCTTTTCAGCTGACACTCCCTTCCACAGCCTACGCCGTCTACTTCGACCATGCACGACGAAACAAGCCCGAGTTTAGGAGAAACCTGCGGCGAAACGAGCGCAAGCAGGTCCGACAGGCAAAGGAGCACGCCGAGGTCGAGACCCAGAACAGGCGTCACGAAATCAAAGCGGCCGTGGACGAGGCTAGAGAAGAGGGCTTTCCCACGAGCGTAGAGGAGAAGGAGGCCTACTTCCTAGACCAAGTGACGATGGGAGAGCAGCTGGGCGCAGATCGTGAGTGTGGCACAAGAGAGGGGCGCGGCTTGGTCAAAGCCAGAGCCTTATGGATTCTATGGCTGACTTGGGACGATGATACAGCTTCTCGCGCTCTGGAAGCTGCGCTGGCTTTCTACAAGGGCCTTAAGGTCTACCCAACACCTGGGGACCTGATTAACATCTACGACAAGACGGTGCCGAAGGTGGGTTTTCTATGGAATGACGTCGTTTTCTCAATGAGTGCTTGGCTTAACGATTCTTCACAAACAGCCTATCCTCGACCTCCTGGCAGAGATGATCGCATACGACCCTAGTCTGAGACTCGAAGGCATGGCCAGCGCCGGCGGCGTGCCAGGCATGCCAAACCTGCCAAACCTGGCGAATATGGCCGACATGCCCAACGTCGGCTTGGACTAAACAAAATAAAATAACACACGCAGGCAAGCTTTGAGGCCGACGCCTACACGATCGCACCAAAATCTTGCCTAGCCTCCACTCTATACGGCGAAAAGCCTACCATCACAAACCAGCGCAGGGACTCACATGCAGTGGAAGGAGTAGGCGGTGGACGTGTACCATATTCTGAAGAAAAGGCCGCGGCGGTGACGTTTGTACGATCCATTCTGTACATATAGCAGGCAAGCGGCGGAATGGGGCACGGCGTGGAATGAAAGTGTTAATGACCTTTAGAACACATCCAAAAATGCATTGATGATCATTTCAATATGGTCGTGGCTGTGATGGTCTCTGGAGTCTATCCGTGGGTGTTGCAGACCAAGGTAGGGGTAACAACCAAGCAAGACACCGAGTGTTAAATTATGATCAGACGAGATGCGTCCAAATGTGAAAACCGTAGTCTAGGAACTCTTCTACAATAGTCATGTCTCACTCTCTGTTCAAACTTCACTGTTTTAAGTTTCAAGTCCTTTGAACACCATATGGAGCACAGGCGTCACTGGTTGGGCTCTTGAGAAGGAGACTGAAACGTGGTCTTTGATTGATATTTGATATCAGTAACAGAAAGTCAGGGTCACGTCGACTCCTTTTCAAATGTCGATCGGCCTGCCCTTCCTATCAACCCTTTGATCCCTTGGGTCGAAACCACCATTGCCCCAAGTGGCCCACTCGGGCGTCTCTTCGCCCATGTAGTCCTCTGGACTAAACTCTCCGTCTGGCCCCCTTTCCTCGAGCAGCTCAAAGTATCGAGCGTAGTCGATCTGAGTGTGCCATTTCCCATCCACTCTGAAACGGTCGCTTCCCAGCAGAATACAACAACTATGGGCATGCTCTGCGGCGATCCCGTACTGAAGACCCCGGCGATTGAGTTCACCATCGAGCGCTGTCACAAACTCGCATACCTCATCGTAAAACGGTACATTCGCCATCGACAGGCCCGCACTGGAGGAAGTTGACGTACCGCAATACGTCACGCCCTTGACCTCCACGAAACACGGCAGGGCCTTCTCCACAAGGTCTGCATATCCCTTCACTTCATCATCGATGTTGAACCCCTTCACTAAAGTGAGTCGGAAAACAGTCCGTTGCTTGAACCTCTTCTCCCGTAGGATTTCCAGGCACCGCTGGAAACGTTCCCAGAAGTCCCTATGCAGCGGCCTGTCGATTTTGCGCAGCGATTCCCTGTTGCTCGCATCTATGCTGACGTACAGCTGAGTGACGTGCTTCAAAGCAGCAAGCTGGTCCGGGTGCTGCGCGTTGCAGACAAGAAAGCTGCTTATGCGTTCGCCGTGCAGCATCTCCAAGAACTCATTGATGTGAGGGTAGAAGATTGGTTCTCCGACCAATGACAAGGCACAGTGGCGGATTTTCATCGCCTCTGAGAAACGCTCAGCCCTAACTCCAGGCACCCCACGCATCATTTTGATCTTCTTGTAGTGGCCCTCTTTGACGCCTTTGAAAATTAAGTCCGGAGGGTCAACAACCCATCGCCAGGTCGTCCCAACGGGATTCGTTCCATGCCGCCAGCAAAAGACGCACTTGTTGGAGCACGATAACGATGGTGTGGTCTCCATACACTGGTGAGATTTGATGCCGTAAAAAGAGAACTTGTAGCAAGAGCCTCGACCGCGAAGGGCAGATTTCGTCCAGCGGCAGATTTTGACTCCTGAGTGTGAGCCTACTATCGAGTAGCCCTGCTTTGTCAGGGATTTAAAAGTTGGCGATTCTTTCGGGACCATCTCCTTGACGGTCTGGATCGGCGCCCTTTTCTTCGATTCGGTCGTGAAGTCAACAGCCAGTGGCGCGGTTGGTTTCGCATTGCCTTCATCCTTGGCATTCTGCAACACCCGACCGAGGTCCTCCAGATCATCCAATGTTGCTGAAGCCTTCGGTTTGCGTGGTTTCGCTTGCTCCTGTTCTTCGAACACGACCTCTCCGTCATCTTCGTCCAGCTCGGCCTCGTCGTCGCTTTCTACAGCATCTCCCGAGCCAACAACGCCTTCACCCAAAGTCCCATCCCGGGCCAGCTGGCCGAGGATGTCGGAGAGACCATTCGTCCACTCGCTCAACCTTTCTGTGCCGTCGCGCTTGATATCACCCATGCCAAGGGGGTACGCCCGCTTGCGACCTGTCAACTTGGCCATCCATTTGTCAACTTCTTTCGCCTGAATACAATATCCTTCCTCCTCCGTAGGCCAATTCTCCTTATCGCCGAAACCGAAAACGGAGTACCCGAGTAGTTTTGAGAGGGGTGCTGTATCTATCCTGAAATCGTGATGTGTCTCCTTCAGGTGCTCCAGGAATGTGTCGTTGATCGTGTCGATGTTGTAACTCGGCAACAAGAATAGATAGAATAATTCCGTAGTGACATCTCCGTCAGAATTCGGCTTTGGGGGTGTGATAAAAAACTCATCGAGGTCGACTTCCGCTAGGTCAAGGGCTTCCGAGGTAGCGAAAGTGCAGTTTGGGCCGCTTGGTACCCCTTGCAACAGCCCGGAGAAGTTCTCGACGAACTGCTTTGCGATTTTCTCGGTGTTTCCTGTCACGGACGAGTAGAAGACCAAAGTCTTGATCTGCCTTGAACCAGGTGTTTGCGTCTCCCTTCGTTTGGTCAGCTCTCCTTTTATCCTGCGCGGACCAGCAGGCTTGCTGCCTTTCGCCTCGTCCACCGTTTCCTCAAGCCGTGCAGGAATCGCATTTTGGACCGTCTTCTCGTTGTAGATCTTGGGGAAAACGTGGAGAGGCTCGTTGCCCTCCGTGACATGCAAATACACGCGCAGGATGACAAGAACAGTGAAAGTGGACAGGATGATGGCGGTGCGGTTTGCGTGCCAGAACTCGATGGTGGCTGTAAATGGTTGAGTGGTTAATTATGACATTTCAGAAAAGAAACTAGCTGGAGGAAGCTCAAAAACTTACAGTCTGGAAGCGCCAGCCAAGAACTCATTGGCAGGTTGAACTCCATATCTCCGACGACCAAGTCTTGTGGGTGGAAGAAGCTTCTGCGAGATGGAATTTCTGGAGTGCAGCAAAATAATTCGGACCCCGCCAATCCAGAAGCTCGGGTTTGATGTCTGGGTATCTCCAGCAGGGATCCGCCACCTCCTCGTGGGGCCCGGTCTGGGGGAGCTGCAGGGCAAGGGTCTGCTAACACGAGTTAGTTAGTGCAGGCTCACAGGTGTCTTGCTTCGAACTACAGTATGTTCTCAGTAGTCTGCGGTGTTCGCAAGAGTTTTACCCTTCCTTGGAATAAGCTCCCATGGATCTCATGAAAGGAGAACAATTCTACAACCGTAGAGTACAAAGAATGCATAGTCAGGTAGCAGGGCATAGCATTTCCCATGCAGGGTCTCTATCAGGAGAGGTAGTGCTCAGGGCCTATGCTCGTCTGCACGTGCTTTCGTGTCTCGCGTTTTTGAGTATTGATTAAACTTTCCTCGGGCGACCGACATGTCTCTATTCCAGCAAGGGGGTCACTTAACATTCAATTCATATCTGTAGGTTGTTCCAGTCATTATTCAGAATATCTGCGATCTACTGTGTCGTCTTGATTTACGGTACGCCCTACTGCTTCTGATCCAAGCAAGTAGTTGATGTAATTCACTGCGTCAACACCTGAGTCCCCGCGGGACGCGTCGCCTGCAGCAACCCACGAGAGAGAAACACGCCATGCCGCCTCAGAAGCGACCTCGCGAGGTCATTGACTTGACAGATGATGACCCCGCCCCCAAGTCAACGAAACCTCGCTTTTCTGCACCGTCGAGCCAGTCTTCCCTGTACAGTGCCCGGCCTTCACAGTATGGATATGGCCCATCGTCTTCTAATGCTTCATCCTCACGATCGTTTCCCTCAAATGGCTCAAGTAGCCAACGTCCTAGATGGGGATATCCTCAAAGCTCGCTTGGCGATGAGGAAGCTGAGGTCCAAGACCTCACCCAAGCCGATGATGGCCCAGCTCTTCAACTCTATGGGACCCTCGACAACAAGATTGTTGGCTGCAGATACTATGACGGTATTGTCAGTCCAGGCGAGGTAGTCGTGTTGCGAAGGGAACCTTCGAACCCGTCAGTCACCCCACCTAAGCTACCCCTCGTGCCCACCGAATGTGTATCTTCTAACTCTTGTACTTACAGATACGACGCAAACGCAGTCAGAGTCGACAATGTAATGGGAACGCAAGTTGGCCATCTACCTCGCAAGCTGGTTGAGAAACTCGCGCCCCTGATGGACTCTGGAGACGTGCTCGTCGAGGCTGCAATCCTCGGTGAGAAAGGCTATTTTGATTGCCCGGTCAAGTTGATCCTTTATGGAACAGCTGAACCCATTGCGAGGGCTGCTCTGGAGGAGCGTCTTAAGTCGGACAAGTTGCTCAAAGCTACACAGCTGAAGCAAACCAGGCGGCCACCAGAGCCGCCGCAGAGGAACGTTATGGGCCTTAAGAGCAGTCAGTCAAGGGCTGGTCTTCCTGCCGAGCCGGAAATATCTGTCGAGCAGCTCGCCCAGCTCAGCCAAGCTGTGCAGTTCCGAAGCGGCGGCGACAACCTCAAGGCCCTCGCGATGGACGAGGAAGCCTTGTCCAAGTTGCCCTTAGCGAAACAGCCGGAGGAGCTGAAGTCTTCACTCCTGCCCTACCAGCTGCAAGGCCTGGAGTGGTTACGCTCGAAGGAGAAGCCACAATTCCCGTCTCCGGGATCTGCCAATGTCACGCAACTTTGGAAGCGGGACGCTCGCGGCCGCTACAACAATATCGCCGCTGGCTTCACCACGGCTCATGCTCCGGCTCTGGCCAAGGGTGGCATTCTCGCTGATGATATGGGCCTGGGTAAGACGCTGCAGATGCTGAGTCTTATTGTGACAGGCGGGAAAGGGGCAACTCTGATCGTTGCTCCTGTATCTGTTATGGTACTGTTGCCCCATTCATTCTCATGCCCTCCCCTCGTCTCTAGTGTAATAAGCACTGCTTTTCAAGACTTGCCTCAGGGGTAGATGGTCCATGAGTTGGTCCAATATCTCTGAAAATTGATTTTCCACTCATAATGTGCGGGAAGAGCAAAGTTTGACTGACAAAAACGACAGAGTAATTGGGAGCAGCAGGCTCGACAACACGTAAAGAGCGAGCATACTCCGAAGATCCTCGTCTACCACAGGACTCGAAAGGCGACGGTCCAGGAAATGGTGAAGCACGACATTGTAATCACAAGTTACGGGACGTTGACAGCTGACCACAGCAACAAAGGTCCACTATCGTCTGCCTCGTGGCGCCGGGTCATTCTGGACGAAGGACATACGATCCGAAACGCGAAGACAAAGGCTGCTGAAGCTGCCTGCGGACTCAAGGCCGAATCAAGATGGGTGTTGACTGGGACGCCGATCGTAAACAGCATCAAGGATTTCAACTCCCTTATTAAGTTCCTCCGGCTTACAGGAGGTATCGCCGACCCCTTGGTTTTCAACGCTGTCATTACTAGGCCACTTGGTTCCGGGGATCCCCGGGCTGAAGTTTTGCTCCAGTCCTTGATGCAAGATCTATGTCTCAGGCGGAAAAAAGACATGGCCTTTGTTGACTTGCGGCTTCCGCCAAAGTCGGAATATGTCCATCGCATTGCCTTCAGGCCAGATGAGAAGAAGAAATACGATGCTCTGCTGTCGGAGGCGAAAGGCGTTCTCGCACAATTCCAGTCAAAATCAAAGCAAGGGAAAAAAGGCGGCTCATTCCAGCATGTATTGGAGCAGCTCCTTCGGCTTCGTCAAACGTGCAACAGCTGGACTCTGTGCAAGGAGCGGATCGTGGACCTGCTCAAGACCCTCGAGGACCAGGACGTGGTTGTCCTAAACAAAAAGAACTGCGAGATCTTGCAGAAGGCCCTGCGGCTTTACATCGAAAGCCAGGATGAATGCCCCGTTTGCTTAGACACCCTGTCAGCACCTGTAATCACTCACTGCAAGCATGTCTTCTGCGGAGACTGCATTCGCAAGGTTGTTGAGACTCAAACACGGTGTCCCATGTGTCGTAGCCCCCTGGCGGAGGACCAGCTGCTCGAGCCCGCCCCGGAGACCGCCGGAGAAGAGGACACCGAAGAGCCGGGGGCAGAAACGCAGAGCTCAAAGACGGAAGCCCTGCTGAAGATCCTGCAGGCGACGTTGAAGAACAAGGGGTCCAAGGTGATCATCTTCTCTCAATGGACCTCGTTCCTAACCATCATTGAGCACCAGCTCAAGGAGGCGGGATATGGCTACACTCGAATCGACGGATCTATGGCACCTGCGGCACGGGACAGCGCAATGCGCGCCCTCCAGGACGACTCGAACACGCGGATCATGCTTGCGTCGCTTGCCGTGTGCAGTGTCGGACTGAACCTAGTCGCTGCAGACACCGTCATCCTCGCGGATTCTTGGTGGGCGCCTGCCATCGAGGACCAGGCGGTGGACAGGGTCCACCGACTAGGGCAGACGCGGCCAACGACTGTTTGGCGCCTGGTCATGGAGGGCAGTGTCGAGGAGCGTGTGCTGGACATCCAGGCCGAAAAGAGGCAGCTGGTCGGCAAGGCTTTCCAGGAAAAGGTGCAGGGCAAGAAGACGAAGGAGACGAGGATGGCTGACATAATGAAGTTGCTCACCTGAGGCGGTGGTACTCACTGTTGCGTTTGCGGGTTCTTTCGTTAGGGGGACTGGCAACTGATCAAAACTGGCCATGTACCAAGTCACGAAATATCTGATGATTTCAAAAGGTCATGGACTCAGGCTGGTCTCGGGACAGGCCTACTAAGGCGACGGACTGCATCGAGATGGATGCGATGGGCCAACCCCGTCAACTCCACACCTGGAGCAGAGGGCCATCATTGATAGTAATAGTAACATAAACAAAACCATGGTATTGGTCACCTCACCTCTGCAGCAGACCGGGGCGACATGGTCCCATGCAACCGGACGAATGCAGCCTTCACATGCGTTGCCTGTCGATGGTTTCATTTCCTGGGAGAGTAGTGTTTGGCCATGGGACAGTCGAGCTTGGTGGTTCTCGCACAGTGAAGATAAGGGGCTGGGATATGATGTATTGCAGCTGGCGAGCCAAGGAAGGACGTTGGCTATTCTGATTTTGGCTCCGAATCTATCTCGGATACGAGATGTCAGCAGTGGAAGAAGTCTCAGGTGCCGTGAGATGTCGATTGGTGAGTGTGCAACAGAACACAAAACTCAAGATACCACTGGCAAATCGGGCAGTCCATTCAATTGTAAGTTTCAAACTTGAGTATTGGTGAAGAAGCTTTGCGTTTTTTTTTTCTTTGCTTTCTCAAAACCACCAAGAAAACCGACCACTGCTGTTGCCACGATGGGAAGAAAGTGCTTATCGAGTCGATTACCCGAGTCAGCAAGGTTTTCGAGCCCCGAAAGGTATTGCGCGTCGGCAGTCATACAAACAGTCAGTCCATCAGCCTGTGTAGACAACGCCGCCGATCCATGATCTGATAACGAAGACGGTGTGGCACAAACATGGGGTGGAAGCAAGTTTGTGGTTTATGAATTGAGGAGCAGGGCGTGGCCGCATTTGGTGCCGCGGGCGGTCTGTGGTGCGGCCGAGCCTTGCGGGTCTCGACGGCTGAGCCCCTCTTTGCCCGCCCGGGATCACCCTCTGGCACCAGCGCGCTCCCATCCCAGCTCCCAGGCTCGAAAGGCTGACCAGGCCCCGGCGAGCACGCAATGCTGATGATGGATTGCGACTGCCACAACACGTCTCTCGTCGTGGCCCTGGCAGACGAAACACCGAAACACCCTCATATCGATATCGACACATCTGGTGATGATTCCCAGATATCCCTTTTGGGCCATGCACCTCAACTGGCCCCCGTGGGAAATGCTCTCCTGAGAGTGACCATGAATGACCCCGACTCAAGAGCCGTCCGTTGGATGGTCCGACACTGGCCGACACAATCCAATTCGGGAATTGGTGCGCCCGACATCGCTGATAACAGGCTCGACCAGCAACGACTGCCACAAACTGCACACGCCTGCACTCGACTGGACAGCAGGAATAGCAGCAGCCATCAACCCTCCCTCCTAAACCTGCTCACCCCGTCCTGCCCCATCCCATCACATCCCAACCCAACCCAGCCCAGCCCAGCACCATGTGTCCTCCTCACTTCCCCGTGACCAGACCCATAAAATGTCGCCGCTCACACTCAGCAACCCCCTTTTCATTAGACCCGGCTGCTGTCCACGCGTACCCCTCAATCTCCTCTCCACCGAGCATCACCATATCTAGTCTTCAATTGCCTCGATAGCATCAGCCATCCAACACTTGTCTTGGCCATCGCCCTTCCAACAGCCATTCTTCATCTTTTCGTTCATCATCATCATCACCATCTGTCATCGTAACCGCGCCGTAAAGGTTTGCATCGTCTCTGCCCCGCTAGCCTGCAAAAATTTGTCAAGCCTGATCGTAGTTCTTCGTTCATCCTTCGTCGTATTGTCGGTATTATCGTCATCATGGCCGTCGGTCTCGTTTCGCAACAAGCTCAATCCTCCATCACTGCTCGTCCTCAACACACGAGCAACCGCTTCGATGACCTCGTGCTAAACCTCAAGGATGTGCTTGGTCCGTCGTCGGGCCTTGACTCCAAGGACGTCGACCTCAACTCCATCATGGACCTCATGGAGAAGTACGACGCGACAGAAAAGGGGTGGGTTGAATTTGCAATGGCAGACCCTGAGCTTGCCTATACCAGAAATCTTGTCGACGAAGGAAATGGAAAGAGCAACCTGGTGAGCTCAAGCCCTGACCAGCCTCACCTTGTTTGCCTCTGTGCCTTGCATGTAGCTAACCACTGCCACTCTTCTTCGACGACAGCTTGTCCTCGTGTGGACCCCCGGCAAGGGTAGCCCCATTCACGACCACGGCAATGCCCACTGTGTCATGAAGATTCTCCGTGGCAGCCTGACAGAGACAAGATATGAATTCCCCACCTCGGACCGCGCACAGCCGATGAGGATGCTGTCTGAACGAACCTCGAAAGAGAATGATGTGGCATACATGGCCGACGAGTTGGGCCTTCACAAGGTAGAGAACAGGGGTCAAGACTATGCCATCTCCCTACACTGTAGGTTATAGCCCCTGGATCCAGCCTTGCCTCTGGCCATGTTCAGCCTTGCGGCAAGGCTGTCTCAACCTCGAGGCTGACCCCAGCATCAGTATACACCCCGCCCAATGTCGCCAAATCAGGTTGCAACACTTTCAACCCAATCACCGGCAAGAGAAGCCATGTGCCCAAGTGCGGATATTACTCAAAGTACAAGCAACGTGTCGAGGAGGCATAGAATCATCCTCCGACCGCGAGCTTGTGTCAACCGCTTGGTGAGACCAGGCCAGGGTGGAGGTGTCAGCCCCGTGTACTGGCACGGAAATTTGGGCACTTGCCCATGTGCTGCCAGAAGGCGTCTTGTGTTGCAAGAAGGAAGACTGAATGCGCCATTGTCGCACAACCTGACCAGCTTGGGATTCAAGGATCTCGGTATCGGCGTTTGGTGTCAAGACTGATGAAATGTTGTCCTTTCCGTTGAAATTGGGTATTGGGTGAAGACATGCTCTGAGAGCTAGGAAAGTGTTGGTGGAGCGGTCCTTGAGGTGTCAACAGTTTGAATAGCGCAGTAGCACTTTTGGAATGAAGCGAATTTTGTATAAACCACATGGAAGCGAGTAGTGTTAGAGGAAGGTCAGGCTCAAGTGACCGGGACGACTCGCAGCATTTTCTATGATGTCCTGGCCTCTCGAGGGGCTTCTTGGTCTTATTGCGCCAGATGCCCCCAGACATTGTGCCTCTCGCCATCCCCAAAAGCGGAATGGTGCGATTGAATCATCGAGCACGCCATCAGGCCCGGGTGCGATTGGCTCTCTGGCGCCGTGATTCAGGGACGCTGGCCGACTGCCAGAGCGCCGCCTGATCACGTCTTACCGAGCCGTGCGCGACCCGCGACCAGCCGTCCGACAGCCGTGGGGATGGGGGGAGGTCCGGACGGCTTACATAGCATACAGGGCTGTCCTCCGACTACATGTCGACTATTTGGTGGGGATGGTGTGTGTGAGATCTTACAGGCATGGAAAGGAACGACTTTTGTGAGCTTAGCTAGGTGCTCATTCATGAAATAGGGCGAGTGGACGCGATGGGTTCGATCCCCAACTAGGGCTGAGTTCGATCCATACCGGGAACACTGCCTACGGAAGCTCATAACCAGGCTCGGGTAATTTGTATGTAGGCACCTTGCTGCAGCGTGGAATCCATACTCTGAGCGACTACGTATACGTAAAATCATACAAATTATACATTAAAAGCCTAACTGCCAAATCTTCACGAGAGTCACCATCAAGGACATCGCAATTAAGTTCTAGGTAAGTATCTAGTACCACACTGTCTCTCAAACAAACATCTAACATGCCCAGTCGTATACAAAGCCCAACAAATGCTGCCAGCATGCCAGCGACGAGGTGACAAGTAACATTGAGATTTGTGAGGAAGAAAACCCCAATACAAAATGGCGGACCAGGGTCTTGCCCCCTCGGACCCGTCACCTCGGCTCTGGGAAACCATCGACAACACCCTCCTCGAGGAGATATACACCGCAGACCAGGCCATCTACCCAGCACCCCTCCTGACATTCCAGCGCCTCAAGAGCTGGGCCGACGCCTGCCCCGACCTGTGCATCAGCCTGCACGGCCGTGATCCCGCACCTACCGGGCCCGCCGTGCAGGGCGTGATCATCGTGCTCCCTCTGGGCGAGTCGTCCTGGGGGCGTCTCGTCGCGGGCGAGCTGAGGGAGCACGATGTCGAACCGGCCGGCATGTTCCCCCCTCCTCGCCCTGTGGGTGGTCACCCGGAGCAGGTGAAGGTCGGGCTGCACATATTCCACATCGAGAGGTATGCTGCACCTCCTGCGAGGAACGGTGGCGGGCGGACGCCCGGGTTCACCCAGGGCGCGCTGGAGGAGGTCCGGTCCCGTGTCCGGGAGAGGTTCCCATCGTGGATTGTTGTGGGATACTCTGGTACGTGGCTCCCTGCTCTCTGGCCCTTTTTCATAGATTGTGGAAAGGGGTGAGAAAATGGAGGCGGTGCTCGTCCCTCTGAAGGAGAGGAGGCGTGGAGCAGTCAACGGACATGCGACTTGGCTAACACGGCAGCTCATTATATCGACAGCCCTGACGGCCACGCCGCAGGGAAACAGGGCTTTCAAGCGGGCCGGTTTCACATCCAGATACATCGAGACCAAGGCTGATGGCGACGAGGCCGAAATGCTCGTGCGTGAAGGCAATGAAACATTCACGTCGTTGTAAAACCTCTACAGCAGAATGCTATCTTACAGCTGTGGCGGATATTTAGAATAGTCGTCCACAGGGTAGGCAACAGCAACCTGCGGACAGTCTTTGAGTTGCTGTCGTCCTGATCTCCATCGAAGCTCTTCAAGTAGTGTTTCGGGAATTTCCAAGCGGCATCACAAGGCGCTTTTCTGGCCTTTGACAAGAGTAGCTTCCATGAAGTCGCCCAAGGACGGTGCGCAAGCTGCACTATGAGCTCTCCTGCGGGTCTGGGTCAAGATCGTCAGCATCTTGGTGAATCTACTCACTATCCTTTTACACCAGGAGGACCACAAAGTAGGGTGAATGCAGCTCGTGACTCGCTGAGGCTTAGTCAGGACCAAAAATGCCCACTGCCCAACATAGGAACTGTTGTCAACAGAAAGAACCCGGCGTATGACTTAAGAGAGGCACCAAATCTCAGTAGAGTGGAGATCTTTCAATTGGCTCCGAATCCTGGACTAAATAGCTAGCCTGGCGCTGTCGTGTGAGGATCAGCTCCGCAAAGGATTCTGCGCAACGCCTCTTCTTTCTATACGAATATGTGATGCCAAACCCCACAACTGCTTCCCAACTTTTGATGTGATGCCGTGATTCGCTTTGTACAGAGCATATGGTACATTAAACGTCGTTATATGGTCGTCGACTCCATGGGTATCGTTTCCGTCTTTCACTCGTTGATCTTGGCCAGGATCCTGCGCGCAGAGGTCAGCGTCCTTGCTCTCTAACAAGACAAAACATCGGGGGAGGTCGAGGTACACTTACTCGCTGTCCCTGAACAGGTGGTACTCATCCTCACCAACCTTCACAGGGGAGCCGCCGAACTACACACAATCACGTTAGCAAAAGAAATCCTCCACACTAAGCTAGGCCTTCCGTCTTCAAAGAGACACCGGCCCTGGTCCATCATGGTTAAGAGAGCTCCTTACCGTGGGGATCAGAACGCGATCGCCAGCCTGCACGCCCACGGGCAGCCTCTTGCCCTCCTTGTCCAGTGCGCCGGGGCCGACGGCGAGGACCTTGGCCTCGTTAAGCTCCTTGACGCTCGACTCGGGGAGGAAGATGCCGGAGGCGGTCTTGGCCTCGGCCTTGATGCGCTGGACCAGGACGCGGTCCAGGAGGGGCACGAGCGACTTGATGGATCGGATGGAGGTGGACTGAATAGGGAACATCGTTAGTAAGAAGACCTTTTCTCCTAGACGGCGGCTACGGTTGGAGAGGGGAATTGTCCTGTTGTTTAGAACTCGGCAGATCGCGGGCAGGCGAGCCTCGAGAGAGCTTGGGGCTCCGGCAGCCCGGCTTGCGCAGCTCCCCGCCGGGGTCTGAAGGATCAACTTCGGGGCAGGACCAAAAGACTAACCATTTTGAATGGAATTAATGAGCGAGAGCTTAAGGGCAGGTCGGACTCAATTGGCAGCAGGAAAGGTTGTATGCAGTGCAAAGGTAGTAGGAGGAAAGTTGAAGGGCCAAAAGTTCGAAGTGAGAGAAACAGCTAGAAAAAAGTTAATGACTAATGGTAGTCCAGCCGAGGCCGGGTGCTGATTGGTAGACGAGCTCCACCCTCGTGTAAGTGAGCAACCTCGACTCCAGATATCGGCCGGAACTCCTCCTTCAGCGTAGTCCCACTGCAATATGACCCGAAGGACACCAATGAGTATCCTGCGTGTCTTCAGCAAAGCCTAGGCTACTTCGTATGCTAAATATGTCTTTTATGGGAAACCCAATGGTGATCTACTAGCAACACGTCGATATGCCATGACACAACGGGAGGATGGAAGGACTGGAAACATCTGATATTGTCCATATGTGCAATCTCAAATGGTTTTGCTCGCACGTAACGATGTTAATTATCGGAATAAATTTCAGCATATATTTATGTCTGCTGCCATCGGCTACAGGGAAATTCAATCATCAGCGATACAGAGAGAAAAAAAAACACAATAACGCTGACACGGATACCCCATATCCAATCTCTCTATCCACCCTCCAGTGAAATGCAAAGTAATACGCTGCCGACCATCTGTAACCTATATCCATGCGATAGTCTCCAAGTGCCCCGTAACGCCGCTATACACAGACTTCTTCCATGCTGGTGTCCTGCAATCTCTTTCTCTGCGGTACGGCGGGCGAGGCCTTGACCGTCCCTCTATGATAGACACTCTCGTTCGAGGATATTCCAAGCTTCTTCCAAATTTACGACTGTTTATTCCGGCGCGGCAACCACTCTTTTTCACTGCCACCCCAGGCCCCGCTCTGAAAGTCATCCTGAATGGCAACCCGAATCTCGCATCGTACCTTTGGCGCTCCTCGACGTTGCTCAGCGATTTTCCAGCCTTGTCCTACTTGGTGGAGCTCGTACTCGATGGGGGCTCCAAGACGTGTGTGTGGTCTTCGGCGTTTATGACCTTGCCCTGTTCCAATTGTCGACAGATTACCGTGTTGCTTACCCAGTTGTCCTCCAGAATCTCCTCCATTTTGGCCCGCTTCTTTGGGTCTATCTCAAGCATCCGTCCAATCACATGGCGGCTTTCTCTCGGCAACAACCTCAGGATTCTCCAAGGACCACGGATGACCTCCTTTTTCTCGCTTGTCGTCGCCGATGCTTCACCGGATGAGCTCTGCTGTGGCTTCTCGTCGCGATGGCTGGATCTGTCGCCATTTTGAGCTGACTTTCCCTTGTCTTCGGGGTCACCAGGAAACATGTCTCTCTGCGGCATGTCATGTAATGCGCTCTCTGATTTGACTGGGGGCAGGATCAACTTCTTCGGGTCGTGTCCAGGGGTTGGATCTGCTGCAAAGAGCTTGTACGAGTTGTCTGTCAAACGCGGGACCTTCCAGGGAAATCTGCGCAAGCTCATGCAGCAGTAGATAATGGCCAAGGACCATATGTCAACAGCAGCTGGGTCGTACTTTCGCTCTTCGTAAACTTCCGGAGCGAGATATGGATCAGAGCCGACGATTCCTAAGGGACAAGGTTAGCTTCTATCTTGATCATGTGCGTCGGAGATGCAGGCTCACCTGAGGCCAAAACCAGATTGTTCTCGAACGGGTATTTGAACACATGCGCACTTCCGAAGTCGATGATCTTCATGATGCCATGTTCGTTAACCACAACATTGTCGAGCTTCAAGTCCCGATGCGCAAGGCCCATGCTGTGCAGATATGTCACGCCACTCAGAATCTGCAAGAAGCAACAAGACACTTCTTCGCGGGACATCTTGCCCGTCATGACGATGGCGAAAAGATCGTATGGTGCGTACTCCATGACCTCGAACCACTTGGTCTTTTCTTGTACAATGTCGAGGGTTTCGATGATATTACCATGATGCAGAGAAGATCCGATACAGTACTCGGCCGTTAGTTTCTTGACATACTCCTTTTCCGTCTCGTACGAGTGCCGGGGGCGGAATTCCTTCACCGCAAAGACGGTGTTATCCTCGCTCCGCTTCATAAGTCTCACGGAGCCACCAGCGCCGGACCCAAGGACCTTGCCCAGCTTTCCATACTTGGATGTCAAGCCGTGATCGTCACCAAATGGTATCTGAGACGTTGATCTCGAACCAGGAGGGGTCCTGTAACCGGATCGGATGCTCGCTGCCGGGGACGCTGCGCGCTTCGCCTTGTGATGCCCACCCATCTTGAAGAATCGCTTCAGATCTGACATAGATCCTTGGCGACTGTGTGTCGTTCCGTGACTGTCTGTCTGATATATGTCGCTATTCTTGCCCAGGGCGCTGAGAAGCCCGGACGACTGCCGCTTCTCGGCAGTCGTTTTTGGTAGATTCAATGTCGATGAGCTTGGCGATATCTTCCCCTTCTTACGAGAAAAAACGAATCGCGGCTCGATCTTCGCTTGAGGCTGACGCTTGCTGGCGGCATATGGGTTGTCGACGTCTCCAGACGGTGTGAAAGGGCGTGAGTAGAACGCAGAGGCACGGTTTGGGCTAGATTCTCTCGAGACTGGCAATGATCCTGGGCCGACAGAGAACATGCCCCTTCTATGGTCTGACGCGCCCAAGAACTCCGATGTGAACCGTTTCCCTTCCTCGGACGATTGTCGATGCGGAAGCCTCCTGGTAGCAGGTTTCGGGGAGGTCTCTTGGGTAGACTCTTGTGGGGTGATGACATCGCGTTTGTGGGCCGGCTTCTCTGGATCTCTAGCAGAGTCGAGTGGCTTTGTATCTGACGTGCCGTCTGTGCCTGCTGGTGTCAAAGGCGGTGAATGTACCTCTGGACCTCTTGGTCCCAGCCGCGGAGACGGAATGCTTGTCGAACTTTGCGTCTGTTGTCGGCTAGCGTCTCTGGATTCGTCATCGTGGGAAACCGTCTTGAGGGTCTGAATTAGCATTCGCCTTTTCTCGAGCAACGTATATAGTGTGAAAATAAGCAGCCAGAGGCAGATTGTGTTGGTCAAGCCCCTGCGATCATATAGCTTTTGAGGAGCCATGGACTGAGCCATAGCATTGGGGGGGAGGGGGGGGCAGAACAAAGTGAAAGCCGTGGCAACGTACCCTGGAGGCAGGTAGTGAGTACGGCTCAAAGGAAAAGTTGTTCATCCTCCTTTCTTGTAGACGATGTCCCTGGAGAGACTTGGACAGAGATTTGATGTCCTCGGGTGTTACAAAATCGCTGACATGGTCGGCTCGCGGGGGCGATGATTCAGACACAGGATGCTGGGGATCGATTTCTTGGACGGTGGACTTGAATCGAACGGCAGGGCCAACATTGTCTTCTGAGGTGCGGTCGCCGGCCGTGTTGGCCGTATCTACCGGCGCGGGCGCAGGTGCGGATACAGGTGCGGGTGCTGGCGCATTGTTTGATGCATCTATAATAAAAAGCAATCATCAGCTTGGATCAGGGCCGGGGCGAGGCTGAAACTGCCAAACACGATGGTGGAGGGCTGGCGAAGGAAGTTTGATCTCGCCGAGTTGGTGGGGGCCGGCAGCAAACGGGCATCCGTTGAAGCCGGGGGTTTAGAGAGCAGAGGGGCATTCAATGTGCCCACTCGTCCATGACCTTGGGCCTTTTTGCTTACCTTGTTGCTGCGACTCAGACATGTTGCCGTGCGCCTGCTGCGAAGGCGCCTCCATGGGTCGGCAATGGAGGCCCGGACGGAGGAGAAGGGGCGGTCGAAGGGGGGGGAGAGAGGATGCTGGTGGGCCGGCTTCGTGGTGCTGACACTGGAGTCGCTGGCTTTGGGTGGAAGGTGAAGGTTGATCTGACTTAGGGACGGACTGAGTGCTGCGATGGAAAGGCGCGCAAGTTGGTGGGGTACAAGAGTGGGACCGACCTCGCACATACAGGGACAGGTACTTGTACAAGGGCTGCACGCTGACCCGGGAAGACAAGATTGGGTAGAGCAGCTCGTGGTTCCCGCGTCCTGGTGCCAGTGGACAGGAAATGCTAGTCGACAGGAACTCGCCCGGGTTGAATCGTGGTGTATGGATGTATGTACCTGTACCAGTACCTCATACAGCACAGCGCAGCACAGCACAGCACAGCGACGAGGCCGGTAGGACGGCAGCTCCGCCCCACCCCACTCAGAAACACAGGAACCGGAAATAGCTTTTCTGGATGGCCAGGCGATGATGGCCTTCCTTCGGTCTTCGGTAAGGCTGAGCTTTCATCCGTCCGTCTGACCTCGTCAGATTCGCTTTAATCGAAAGTCAGTCAGAGGTTTGTCCCAAATTCCTGGGCCAGCCTGCCAGCCTGCCTATCGGAGGTGCCGGGCACTCTGTCTGTCTGTCTGTCTGATTCTGACTCTCTGCCCACGGCCCTCGGACGAGTCTGCGAGCGGGTTCTTTTAGCTTTACGACTTACATCATTGCCTGGATAGAGTTTTGAGCCCGACAATTTGGGATCTGGATCCGTCATCGCTTATGGCATCTGAAATCACCCAAATTGTAATCCCATGTAACCTTGTGTTCGGCCAGGCACTGCCATTCATTGCCTATGCCAGCCAGGGCTCGCAGACACAGGCGCATGAAGTTATCTAGCTACGCCGTTAACCAGGCACGGTAGAGCTCCTTGGCCTCGATTCACATGAGACTCTTAGATTGGTCCTCAGACTATCCTGTCAGGCCCAGCCGTCCGTCACAAATAGATTCTACCTCGGTAAGCTTCTCCAAGCGGGACGGGTGAGTCGGGGCGCCCTGAGAAGCACGCCAAACCGCCGCCATCGTCAAAGCCTGTAGAATCACAGTCATAAGGCGAGAACTTGACTCAAAACCGACAAACTCGACACTCTCGCACATCGGACCGACCACCAACACACGACCTGCATGCATTCTGACACCAAAATACAACATGACAGACACTCTCAGCGGGTTATCCCACTCAGGGTAGGAAAATTCCATAGTGAACTCGCTCCACGGTCAAATTGTGCCACAAGACATGTATGCCATTATCTAACATCGCACGCATCTCAGGCTGATGCTCGCTACCTGTAACACTCGGGCCTTCAGGGCCTCGGGGCTCATCAACGATGCGAATGACATGCAGATGACATAAATGTTGACGTCGGTAAAGCTAGCAACGCATGCGTGTCTTCTAGATGGTCAAGATATCCCTGCCCGCGGGAAAAGGGCAGTCAGCCTCGCAGCACGGCGGGCGTTTTGGCATGTGTCGAGCCCGGATGAAAAGGCGTACTTCCGAGCTTGCATACTCCCCAACCCCTTATTAGTGAACTTAACGCCGGACGTACTTCAGGCTAACAATGCCGGCATTGGCTTAGACGGGCTTGTAGCACCTGAAGCATGCAGAACTGACCGTCCGAACCAGTCGTCCGGTGCGACAACCTCACGATCCAGAGTCATGTCACCTCGCAAATTTCACTATTGGACGCAAAGGCAGAGCACAAAGCTTTCAACTGAGAGCATCGTTGTCTAAGCATATAGAGGTCGGTGACCCATTGTGTTTCCTTGCGAGAGCCGTCGTGTGCCCTCCAGCAACAGCATAATAGGGATAAAGTTTCTTTCCTAGTATCCTCCTACTACGACACTCGTGCGGGCCCGTTAGAAGATTGTGTATGTGCTTGCAGCGAGAAAGCTTTGTATGTAGTCCCATAAATGTTACAATCCTGACATGGCCCAAAGTCCCCAACTTGGAGGGGATATTTATCGTCTTGTCCCACCCGGGTATGACCCAAACCTGAACGCCAGCTTTTTGATAGTAATTGAGAGCTTCCTTATTCCACGACATTGATTCCTATCGACCTAGCCTGGTAGATGATAGACTTGCAGAGTCCATCGAGGGACAAGCCGGACAGCCGCAGCTCGGACTGCTTGATCTTCGCTATTTCGTAGACATGCTTCAAGCTGACAGTCCCGGCGACCTCGTGGCCCGGCTTCGAGGCACCCTTCCTCTTCCCTTTCTTGCCCATCGGCGCGTCTGCTGCGTTGAGGAGCAGCCAGGAGGTCTGTGGTGTCCGCACCTCGAAGTGGAATGATCGATCCGGTCTGACGGTGACACGGACGGGTAGTGGCGTGCCAGGGTTGATGTGTCCTGTCCTTGCGTTGAACTCCTGATGGTGCTCGTCAGTATGGTATAGCTGCGGTCAGGAGGAGCGGAGCCGCCATGCCTTGCAGAAGTCCATCGATTTGATACCTTTGCTGCCGAGAGCAGGTCCGACAGGTGGACTCGGGCTCGCCTGCCCTGCTCCGACGACGAGCTTGACGATCTGGTCGACAGCCGCACCTCCTCGCGCCTTGGACATCTTGGCTCGTCTTCGACACGCACGCGTTCAATGTGGGTGCAGGGGAAAGGCTGTGGATCGAGATATCGGGATTTTGAAAATTCGAGGCTTCAGGGCCACCAGGGCTGCATTGATTGACCTCATGCAGCCGTGCCTAGCGTGCCTGGGACCCCCCGCCCTGCCGAGCCTGCCGGGCTGTAAGTGGACAGCGACCGCCGAAGCTTTGCGAGCGACGGAGAGCCTTGGGAGCATCGAGTGATCATCCTTGCCCCTTTGTACAACGCACTCTCGCCCTGACCAGGTTTACAGAAGTCTTCGACTTCTTATTCTAACGTTGTTCCAACTCCTTTCCAAACCAGAGTCACCCAGGCAAGAGCGAACATCTACTGCCTCATCTGCACACCTGCGAGCTTGTCGCCACTGAATCTCACCCCTCTACTCTCTATATTCCCTGCAAGACCTGCACCAACCCAGCCAAAATGTTTAAGTGGGCACAGAAACAGTGAGTACATTCTTCTACGCACCAGATACTGCTCGTGAGTGCTCGTGAGGCTAATATTACATGCTGCCAGGTTAGCCGACGTTGCCGGCACGAAAGAGCCCATCTACGGCCCGTCAGCCATCCGCAATGTCTCCGAACAGGCAAAGACGACCCCTTACACCGAGTTGAAGAGAGATGACATGAAGTGGTATGCGATGAGCTCTACGAGCGTCGAGACCTTCAGCTTCTACCTTACTTCGGACAACGGCCATGCAGCGCTCGCCCAGGTCATCTATAGTAATGTGGCGTATGACGTGACCCCAAAGACCCTGTAGAGCTGGTGCACAAGCCCTGCTAACACGAATGTCTTGACAGCGGCATCCGCACAACCTGCCAGTTCAATAGCAAGGTCTTCTACCCCGATGAGAAAAAGGACTTCTTGTGGTGCTCGACCCAGCTCAAGGATGTCGAGTTCAGCGAGGACAAGTGCAACTTCTACGCCCAGGACTGCGCAGTTGAGCTTTCGGCTGACGGCACGCATTACACCATCAAGTCGATGACAGACCAGAGAGCCATTGTCAACCTGACCATCCGGAAGGCGGCTCCCGGATTCGTGTCCGGCAAGGATGGCAAGACCCTTTTCGGCACAGACCTATCAAACCCATGGGGAAGCATGCGCCACGGCTTCTGGCCAAGATGTACTGCCGAGGGCACCATCACCACGGCTGATGGGCCCATCGACTTCAAGGGCAAGGCCCTGTTCATCCATGCGCTTCAGGGGATGAAGCCACACCACGCAGCTGCGAGGTGGAACTACATCAACTTCCAGGGAACCAATGTGTCTGCAATCCTGATGGAGTACACCACGCCTCCGTCGTACGGCTCGACAGTAGTCAGCGTGGGGGGCATCGCGAAGGACGGTGAGATCATCACTGCTGGATGCTCGAACACAGTCACACACACGCGGATCAAGAAGGACACGGAGAACTCATGGCCAGAGCCGGAAGCCATCAAGTGTGACTGGAGCGGTCAGACAAAGGATGGGAAGAGCGTCGTGGGGCTGCTGGAGACGGATCTTGAGCAGCGTCTTGACAAGATTGATGTGATGGCCGAAGTCCCAGGCTTTGTCAAGCAGATTGTCGCCGGGGCTGCCGGCACGAAGCCATACATCTACCAGGTAAGACGAGCCCTTTGTATTCGAAATCTCGGCTTCTCAAATTTACTAATTGACTCGCAGTACATGCCGACACATCACAAGGTGACCCTCAAGCTCAAGATTGGGGACACTGAGACCGTCGAAGAGGGAATTCTCTTCAGCGAGGCCACATTCATTTCAGAATAGAGGACCAACGGGCTTGGGAAACACACAGATCATCAGGCATAGATGTTTTTGGGTATCACAGGGTCGAGAAGGCGTGATCTTAGAGGGTCATTCAGGCGTTCAGGGGTGCTGGAAAGGGCTGGCTAGAATTATGCTATGATCTTGTAATCGATGGCAGTACTAATTGAGGTAGAGAGCAAACTGTCACTTCATAGAGTAAGACACCTTTCGCAGCTCACCTTTTTTGCACTTCAAGCCTCTTGGATGTTTCGTTGTCTCGTTGTTGGATGGCCTCCCACTTTGGAGGGGTAAAGCTTATCTTATCGCTCAACCTCCCACCCAGCAGGACGTTGTCCCCCCCCCCCCCTACATTCAGCTCCCCCTGTTGCCAAAACATGGGAGTTTGGGACATCTTCCCCAACTTACGGGCCGCCCGTTTCTTTTGGCGCCCGTGTCTCAGTACCACAGTCGTGGAAAGCTTCAACCTCCGACCCTGCCGACCCGCCTTTCTTTTATTGTCAAAAGCGAGGGTCCTCCGCTTGAACACCTGACAATGCCTCCAACTATTCCTCAGCGAGGCGGCCCCTCCGGCTTGAAAGTGCGTCCTGGACAAGTTTCTGGAAAGACCCTTTATGGGCAGGGTGCAAAGCGGCACAGGTGAGTCCACCACGGGCCGTTCCACGACTCGCAAGTTGGATAGCGCCTCACCCGTCCCACAACAACGGGTGCTGCCAGCCAGGCATGATTTAACAATACTAATCCGCATTGCCTAGGAAAATACTCAAGGACAACATCCGTGCGATTAGTGCGTTCCTTCTGGGTCTTTAGATTCGCTTCACATGGCAGCAGGTTCACTAACTAGTCTCTTGCAGCTCGCCCTGACATTCGGTGAGTAAACATGCTCACTCATTCACCACGACAACCCCATCCATCAGCATGTGATTTTGCGACCGAAACCCTCGACTGTTGGCGTCATCCTGCAGTGATATCACCCATTTTGGTTCAATGATGCTGACCAGCAAATGATGCACAGTCGTCTGGCTCGTCGTGGTGGCGTCAAGCGAATCTCGGCTACGGTCTATAATGAAGTTCGTGCAGCCCTTAAGGACAGGCTGAGAATGGTGCGTAGCCGCTCGAGCTGACACTTGTCTTGCAAAATTCACTGGGCAAATTTCCTGTCATGGAATTCTAATATGACCTTTTTGTAGATCCTCCGCGACTGCGTCACTTACGTTGATTACCGAAGAGCAAAGACTGTTACTGTCTATGATGTATGTTTTCAACGATGGAACAGCTTGCATTGTACTTGCAAAACAGCAATACTGACACACCAAAAAGGTCATCCATTCCTTGAAACGCATCGGTCGGCCGGTGTATGGTTTTGGTGCGTCCTGTCCTTACCCGCATCTCGCCATAATCCAAACTCTCCCAGGAGTAAACCGAGATCATCCTCCTTCCGAGAGATACACGCCACAATCAAAGAAAAGCGCATATCGCTGACAAGGAAAGCAGATCCTGAGACTTACAAACCCGTCAAGACCAAGGAGAGGAAACGAAACGCCCGGGCTGACGACAGCGACTGAGGCCGAAACGAGGCTTCCTGTCGAGCACTTTCCCTTTTTCACTTTAAAAGCTCCTCCTTGCCCTCCCTTGGCTGGATTATGGGTCCCACTTCTGATCTTTCTTGTTTACTCTGCTACGATACCACGGTTCTGTCTGCTCGTGATGCATATGTTGAAAGGATTGGCGTTCTGAGGATTTCCGTTGCCAGGTTTGGCATGTCAGGGTTACTAGGCTCACGGCGTCTTGTCATGGTTCTTGAAGAGAGATATGCGTTCATGCCGCTTCTGGTGTGGTCTGTAGGGTAATTCCGGCCCTTTTCAGGCCTTGGTTACATGGAATCCAGTAAAGGCTACTATGTGAATCAAAATCTGTCTTGTTTGACTGAAAAAACAGAGCAAATTTTCACAAAGGTCGCGACCTTCATCCAAATAAGCAGCGGCTTCCCGTCATCATGAGGTAGTAAAAGCTAGATTGGTGTGAAAAGTCATGCACTCTGAATGGTCATTAATGGCCTTTCAATCTGTGAGGCAGGCATTCAATTCTTAATTCAAAGATGGATAGACCAAAAAAGCCGGTAAAAGAGGGTTTATTACGCCGCTAATCTAAGGACAAATTGATCGCTAAGCTCCGCTGCTTTGCGGAGAGGCCCGCCGCATTCAAGAAAAGAGAGGAATGGGGTATCATAAAGACTCCCTAGAGAGCCCGGTCCGGTCCTGTCCAACCCAGAGATCCAACGAGTGCTCCAGGTTCTACTCGTGGTCTGCTCACCCATCGAAGCGAAAGTGGTATCATATGTGATTAAAAAGGCACATCGGTCCGTATCCAAGACCCGTTCTCAACGGTGCTCGAGGCAGGGCTCATCCTCCGCCCTTCACCTCTTCCGCCTTCCAGCTTCCCACTCGCCGACCGCCTTTTCCAGTGCCCCGGCCGCTCTCCTCTCGCCGTTCCGGAACGTCTTGTTGAACATCTCGGGCAACACCATCTGGCTGTTCGCGTGCTCAGCCGCAAACCCGATCTCGGCGTCCTTGCCGCACTTCTCCCGCGTGATCCTCACGGCCTCCTGCAGCATGTCCGCGCCGACGCCCTTGCCGCGGTACCGGAGCTTGGTGGTCCACCCGCGGATCACGCCCTTGCCGCCCCTTAGGTTCTGGCTGCCCCTCTTCTTCCTCGGCGTCGTCGGGCTCGGCTCGAGCCGCAGGAACAGCGCCCCGATGATCTCGGAGCCGAACTTGGTGCCTATCACGACGTCCTCGTCGCCCGTGTCGGGCGACACGAGCCAATCCCACTTCAGGCCCTCGGCGATCTGGATGTAGCCCGACGTGAAGTAGCGGATGGCTAGCAGGTAGGCCATGATGACGCCCGCGAAGAGGGTCAGGGCGATGCCGAAGTCGCGCTCGCGCTGAGACTTCCTGGCCCAGGCGACCTGGTACGTGAGGCCCAGGGCTGCGACCAGGCCGGATACGAGCAGGGGGTGAGAGACGAGGCCGAAAGAGGCGCGCTGGCGTTGCTGGGCGATCGAGTCGGCGACGAGCTTGAGCGCCTCAACCCTGTCGTTGCGAGTGGTGAGAACGTCAAGGGACAACGGTGGTATGTCATCCAGATTGACCTCTGGCTCTGGTGCTGATTCCTCGTTCGCGTGGGTGACATGATTTGCAAGAGGCGACGACGACGATTGTGGGGCGAGGCCTTGGCTGACGCCCACGGGCTCAAGCAGTGGTGTGGAGACGTTAGACATGGCGGATGGTTGGAGAGCGAGGTTTGCTCTGAGAAATGTGAAGAAGGCTGCCAAGAAGGTTAGGTATTGTACTAAGTGATGCACGACCAAACCAGAGGCAGGCCCACGCTACAAGATGGGGAGGTTTGCTGGCTTGCTGTGAGTTGCATAGGATGTGGCAGGGCCAAGACGGCTGTCACCGGTAGTGGCCAGGCAAGCTTTAATAGTGGAGGGGGAGCAGTACGACAAGCACGACGTGAAAGAATGTGCGTGAAGGAAAAAAAGTCCCGCTGGCTAGGTCAAAGCCGGATGAAGGTGTCCCAATCTCCCGCAAGACGCGCCAAGGCACAGCTCATGGAGCTTCGTGTCCGGCTTGGGCAGGCCGAGATGCCTCGTGAAAGGGTCGCCATGCAATGCAATGCCCACGTGCTACAGAGACAGCATCGGGGCACGCGACAGCAGGATGCAAGAGTGAGATACAGTGGGGAAGCTCGAAGAGAACTAAGGGTGTTCCTTACCTGTGCTTGTCTTCAGGACCGGGACAACATCGTTGAGTCTGCCGGATATCGAGTTTGGGTAACAAGCGGCGCTCAGGTCGAGCTCGAAGTGGTGCAGTTGGGTGTAGGTGGCCATATTGAACCACGTTTTTCGCCCTCCAACGTGGCTCAACGGCACAATGTCATTCGCCAATGCCGGAGACGGAGACTCTGTCTCTTTAGAGGGTAGCGCCGCGGCCCAGGACTTCGGGTTAGGTTCCGTACTGAACTGCTAGAGCGGCAGCAAGCAAGCTTGGTCTGCCTGCAGCTCAGCTGTCAAAGAAGCCGTCGGCCAGCTGGTGGGTGTAACCCCGGAGAATAATAAGAAAATAGCCTCTGAGGTGGATCGAAGAGGCTGTTGTCAGGGTCCAGGCTAGTGTATGTTGGCAGCCACCTTACTTCGGAAAGGCGAGGCAGTAATAAGAAGGTGGCAATGAGTCTGTCACATTCGAGTGCCTTTTTTCACATCAGTGATCGCATGAAAAGGGCAGACCAGACTCATGTGCTTCCGAAACAGTCAAGCTGGGGATACAGGCTAAGCTGGTCGGAACAGCCGCGCGTCTGTTTCCTGTTGGTGTTTGGATAAGCAGGGGGAAAAAAGGATGCCTCCTGGTTTTCTGCTCGCTTGGGTACGGGTGCTGACAGCCCCTTGGCCTTTGAGTATTTCGAGTCGATGAAAAGGGTCCCGCCTTGGATGGAGCCGAAGAGGGCTGGACGAGAAGGTCGAAACAGGAGGCCGGGAAAGGGTGCTCATATGTGGGAATCCTTTTCTGTCTTCCGCTGGTCGGTATCAGATATCTTGCGTGCTCCAGCCCGCCAAGACTCCTACGTGCGCTCCCCCCAACCAACGGGAAGGCTGCGACAGAAGAGATAAGGGAGATATGGAGATGACGACAAAATGGTTGGCGACCGGTATCAGAGTTAGCGGTCTTTTGTTGAGGTGTGCGTCTGGGTGGCTTGGTGTTCTGCTGCACAGCTTGACGACTATTCCTGCGTCTGCGTCTGCGTCTGTGTCTGTATCTGTATCTGCAACCCGTGTCTGTATCCGTGGAAGTGAAATTGGGGGTCGGCGAGATGCGCGTCGCTCGAGGCTACTAGCAGCATCTGTGCAATTAATTCGTAGGCAAATAGACCAAACGGCCACAAAATGTGGACTGCCTGCTTCTATATAGGCCCAGGCTCGTCAGAGATCAGACACCAGAGACCGGACGGCCAGGAAGCCAGGAAGCCTGTCAAAAAGGATCGATCCACACTACCCATCATCTCACATCCATGTTGCTTGCAATACGGAGTACATTGGCACTGGGCGGAAGGAGGGCGGGCGTCTGTTCCCAGTCGCCCGCCCAGTCCCCACGCAGGTCGTGCAAAAACTTCTTCCCAAGATGGACTCTGATAAGACGACGGGCCTGTCAGACTCGAGCCAATGCCGACGGTGCTGATCAGGGGGCTCCGTAGCCCACCCCCCATCCGGTCGTACCAGACCATCAGGACCAGCAGACGCAGCAAAAAGCTGCTCGAGTGGCCCGACTTGACGATGCTCGGCGAGTGGGAGCGGGCCAGCCATTCGCCTGTCCATATTTTCACCCCGGTCCAATCCAGGCGAGCCCAGTCCAGCCATTCCGTTTTGTCGGTCATCTGAGATCGGCTCGGTGGGCCCCAGCTCTATCCCATTACAATCCGTTGTCTGGGACTGGCCCCCCAGCAGAGCAGATCGCTGCTGTGCTGACTCCGGCCCTACCAAGCTGCTCCCTGCACGCACACCCCCCTGCCGGACGGTAGCTTACAATGACAGCTGCTATTGACCCGCTACGTCGACGCCATCCTCAAACGAAGCCATGTCTTTTCTCTTTGGCGTCCACGCCAGACTCGCCAGACTCACCATCGAATCCATGGCGTGGGGTTGGCCTGCTGCCCGGGACGTGGGCTGGCCTCCGAGAGCACATCATGTGGGAAGTTTTCCAAATAGCAGATGCGGCTGATTCTGACGCTATAGGCCTGTGGTATTGCGCGGTGCTCGGGTGGTGTCACCAATCACCAGGAGAATCTGCTCAATGGCAACAGACCGTTGGCCAGCCGCAGCGGTAGCGTGCTGTGTCGACCCTCGGGGTGGCAGTCGTATGGGGGTCTCGCCATGGACGTGTTGCAGCCACCAGCCGCTAGTGTCAGAGTATGCAGCCAGATATCCACTTCGGGGTCGTTTCCTGCGGCAGATTTCAGAATTGTTCGCATCGGATGAAAGCCCCAACAGCTGTTCGTCAACTTCTACCCTTGCCCCACGCAACCATGACGTTGCCCAGGGAGCTGAGTACGACGCTCGCGAAAGCTTATCATGCGTTGGATGTTGCCGGCGAATCCCCCTCGTGCGCCGAACTCCTCTTCCCAGGAGTAGCAGCACGAGCATGAGCCCGGACGAGATCACGGGCTGGCTCTCGGAGGCACGAAGCCTCGGCGGCCATCGACCTCGCACTGAAGAGAGCCCACAACAGGTGGATTCTCCGGCCCACCCGCAGAAAAAGGCTGGCCAAGAAGTCCGAGCAGCCAGGTGTCGAGCGGCCCAACCGTCCACGCGGACTGGCGGAATGAGTTGCATAAGGTTGAAACAACTCCTCCCGCCGCTGCTAACCCGGAACCACCCACTCAGACTTCTCGCCTGTTTCGCATAAAGCCGTTTGCAGATCCCCAGAACTCTTTCGGGCCTGGGCTGCAGATCTACCCAGAAACCGAGTGGACACCCGGCGGTGTAAACCACTGGCAGCACGATATTACTGCTGGCTTTTCTCGCTCTCGTGATCTATGGCGCGACACAGTTGGACGACTTGATGGCCCTCAATGTATCGTGCCAGCATTGTTGCCATCGAATGCCGCCGAGAAGAGAACTTGCGTGCTGCAGTCACGCCGAGAAGAATTCATCACGGCAATTCCAACTCAAAGTCAAAATGAGATTCTCCCTAATCAGACTTTACTGCGGATGCCACGGGGATACTGACATCGGATTGCAACCTACGATAAGGTACGGCCTTGGAGCCAATGTGTTCCAACTCACATGTATTCGATGGGAATGTGTTTATTCGGAATCCAATCACTTGTCGCTGGTCAGAGTTGTTATGCTTCTTACACTTTCGACTAATATGATCGGCTGGTGCCCCATAGACTGCCCGACACAGCGGATCAAGGGCTCTTCCTTGCAAAGCTGGGGAATCCACCTGTCATCTAGATGCTAGAAGCACAAGGTAACTAGGGCAACACTATCATGGTGCCAGCAAGGTGGTGAGGCCATGATCAGCCCAATCGTAGCCGCTGGCTAGCTACCATATGAAATCCCGATCGATCATGTGCAGATCGTGTGCCAATATACACAAAATAGCCTACTGTAGTAGAAACTTCACCCACAGCAGCCATTTAGGGAAGCCGAGAGCGAGGCCCTTCAGCCGGCCGGGCTGACCTAGGGCGCCGTGGCCCGTGATTCAACAACGTGTGGTCGTCGACGGGACAAACTCTGCCCGGTGTATCTCTTCGGGAGAGGCAGTCGACGCCGCGACAAGAAATTAATTGATTGCCCTCGAGCTTGTGGGTAGACGCTCCTCAAGTCGAAACACACGAGGCCGCCTTGGGCGAAGCCTTCTCTTCCCCACTGCGGCTCTGCGTTGGAGGCCGGGGTAGCAGGCCCAGTCCACCTATATCGCACCGAAATACTGGCAGTGATGATGCCTGCGGCCCTTGGCCGCCTTGGAGCATAACCGGCTAAGCTGCACTAACGGCTGTTTGTGGAGGTTTGTGGAGGCGACCCGGAGTTCCCTAGTCCCAGTCACGATCTCGGTCTCATGGAACTGCCAGGTTGGCTGATAGGCCGTCGACGGAAGAATTTGGCAGGCGTGTCGATCGCGAGGTGAAGACGGTACCGTGCCAGATAGAGAGAAAGAGAGGCCTAGTGCCCCGTCGCCGGCGGGAGATATATGGACAGGTGGATGCGCAACGCCACTTGACCCGCCTGCGAGTCTGACTGCATTGAGCCGTGGCAGGGCCGGTGTCATGGGCGACGATCATGAATGGACTCGGCGGTCCTATGTTGGGCTCGACCGTCACAGCATGATGGCGGCAAGTCTGGACGAACATTCCACACCACACACCGGCTGTGACGACATGCTGTCCCGGGTCGTGTCCGGCAACAGGGTGTGCCCTTACTGGAAGCAGCAATGATTCGACCACTCACCCAACAATGGCGATATCTTGAACATGAGAAGGCCGTTTGGATCTCCTGGAGTTACTTGTGTCCCAGAGATCGACTGCTCCTTGACCAGGATCGTTTTCTGTCACGCACAAGCTGACGAGAGTCGAAGCCAAAGCCAACCTTCTTGTCTTCTTCTCATCATCGACAGGCGGAGCGGACATCACCACACTGGCCCTCGGCTTCGACCCAATGCGGTTGCTTTGCTTACACAGTGTGGGCTGGGAGGGATCCTGGGTTTGAAAGTCCTACCAGGACGGTTCACGTCTCCTTCCCAACCCTCCCTCCTCCCTCCTACACGCACAGTCCTTGGTCAATCGACCATCAGCCCTATCGGCCGGTCAGACACACCCACAGCATTCTCTGGTCGACAACGGCAGCAATGACAACGTTACCGTCTTACCTGCAGTTTCCTGAAGTGTCTCTAGCCTGGCAGACCACGTACTGTGCTGCCCACGCCGAGCTTCCGTGCTGCAACCTTGCCTAACAGTTCTGCATAGTAAGACCACCTTGTGCTACACAGAGAATGTACTGTTAGCTTGGCTTCAAGCAATTGGGCTCTCCAGACACTGCCGAGTCTGCCTTGCCGACTGATCCCCGCCATTCTCCATTGGCTGAGACCTGCATCCTGCCAGTCTGCCAGTCCGCACGGGTCCAGCAGACACACACACACACACACACCCACGCACCACGTACACACCCACGCCCAAGGCAGCCAGAGAGTACCCAGCCCGGCCGGCCAGCCTACCTGACTACCATTACGCCTACGCAGCAAAGGCAGGCTCTGGTGGTGGTTCGCCCAAGAATCCTCCAAAGTCCTCCAAGTGGAGGGGGCCCTGCACAGAAAGGCGGGCGCCCGCCCACGCACTAGGGTGCAGCTGGGGTCGTACTGTACTGTACCGTAGTCTCGTGTCCTACATACCTCTCTCTGCCCGCCCTCCGAAGTCCTACCTAGGAATCAGTAGGCTAGGACAGGACACACAGGAACAGGAACGGGAACAGGAACCCACTCTTGCCTGCTCTGCCGGCGCCTTGCCTAGCACCCGACTTTCTGGAGCCTCATCGACTTGACTTTCGCCCGATTCCACAATCATGGCCAAGTTGTGAATGAATGACTTCTCTGTCCAGTCTTCGCGCTCCAGAAGACAAGACCTGCTCCGCGCCGGGCCGCTGCGCCAGACACCACCCCAACACTGCTGCCCATTCGCCTCCACCTCGACCTCCGCCTTCACACCGGAACAGAGGACAGAAACCTTCCTTGAGCCGCGCAAAGTTCAACCATGGGGTCGGAAAAGAAGGACGGGCCCTTCGTAGGCCCCTCCGACGCACGCATGCCTTCGCTTGCGGCCATGGACCGCTTCCACTGGACCCGCTCTCCACGCCCTCAGTATTCCCCGACATCGTCCCCGGACCCGGCCTCGACTTCGAAGGACGTATCGTCCGATATGTCCATGTCCTGCGTCACCCGCGGAACCTCCCGGGATGATTGCTCCTATTCGCGGTTTCTGGCGTGGGCTGCCATCCAGCGCAATTCCTCTCGCTTCATGAGCTCCAGCGACAAGTTGTCATGCCCCCTGATAAGATGCAGGAAGCAGTTGCCGGACCATGAGAGCATGCTGAAGCACCTTGCCTCGTGCCCTCAGCTGCCCACCCGAGAGTACTGGTGCTACGACCACATGCGAGTCGAACACTTCGACGATGCGAAATGCAGGCGCTGTATCAGCCATCCCTCAAGGAGACGGAGGATGCTTTCAATGGCCAAGGGCTTCTTTTCGACCCTGGGCCACAAGTCGAAACGCGCTTCAGAACTCGACTTCGATGTTGAGGACTCCACTGCGGTAGCACCACCGAGTTATTTTGAATCGCTGAACTTTGATCCGCCGGCCGAGCCAGAATTGTCGTCAACCGAAATCCTAGAAATCGATTCAACCGAGGTCGTGGTCCCGCAGGCTCCAGCCGATGTTGGGCATATCATCGCACCAAACGCCCTGGAACTGGACGCTAATACCACAATACCTGCGCAGTCGGCGATGGATTGGCAACCAGCGCTCTGGAACGTTTCGCAACCGAGCACCAAGTTCACCTCTGCCGTTCCATCGTATGAAAGCCTATCTGCCAAACAGCCAGCTTCATATTCACAGGACGCCTCGCAGTACGGCCAGCCGAGCACGCGGCCAGTTCCAGCTGCTTCGCGAAGCAAGCATCTCTCGCCCAGCTCGTCTGTGAGGTCCACAACTAGCACGATGAGTAACGTCAGCAACATCAGCTCCATCACAACGGCTTCGTCCTTATGGAGTACTCCGTCAACTGCCTGGTCGGGCTTCGAGACAAACTTGACATCTCCGCCCACGGGACTAATCAGTCCCGTTGATATGTGTCCTGACGATGGGTTCCATGATCTGATCAAGCAATGTCCATCTGATCCACTGGGCATGCTCCCAGAGTTACCAGAACTTGAGGCTGACATCCCAGCTATGCCTGAGCTGTCGTCTGGCGACTTCTTCTCTTTCGATACTGAAATGACCAAGCTATCCTACCCGGACAACTTTGTGCTTGAGGAAGAGACAGTCGAGCCACTGGCGGTTCATTCAAAGGAGCCCGAAGGTCCAGCTCTTCTTCAATCCGAGACAAGGTCCCTCGTTGCTTCTGCATGGGATGCTCTACAAGAGCACATTGTCTCCTCCGCAGACAAAATCCAACACATTCAAAACAACCCTTTGGCTGATCAGCTGAAATTACTCTCAGCCAAGACCATTGCGCAAAGAGGTTTCGCGAGTCTGCGCAGCATCTTGGAGTCCCGTCCGCCCACGTCCCCATTGGACACGCTATGCTTGCTTCACGTCATCTACAGTTTCGCTCTTGTGGTGTACGCAGACGATGCGGCACCTCGATCCAGCGATTTCTTTGCTCAGTCATTACTTTATTCGACTTGGTTCACGCCGGAGAGCCAAAAGTCTTATCGGCAGGTGGTGCAGGCAATTTGGCAGCCAGGTGAAATGACCACTGCACAGTTGGAACGACTCAAAGCGACCCAGGCTTTGCACACAAGTTCGTCACGCAGTGTGAAGGGCAAGGAGCGGGCGACGAGACCGTCCGGCAGTGTCTCTGAACCTCCGGACCCTCTTGTTACGACGGCGCTGCACTTTTTAGACGGTATGTTCTGGTCCTTCCGCGCGGCATCTCTTTTGAGTTGGCTTTTCCCACCGAGAAGACATTGACTGATGATCTCTTTTCATGTAGAACTGGAGATTTCAGCTGTACTTGGTCCCTCGTCCGAATCCCTGGCTTCTGATCTTCGTGCAAGACATTCACAGGACAACACCGACATGACCCAAGTTGGCGGTCCGGTTGCTGAGAATGTCGCTGGCCTGATAAATGCATTGAGTATCCTCGTCAACCATTACCATGAGGTGGATGGCCTGATTGCCGAGTTGAGCAACGTAAACCAGAGCATCAGCGATGGCCGAATTCTCTCAACCCGCCGGTTCGAGCTAGAAGCACTTCAGGCCGGACAGGTGAGTGCTCATTGTTCCCATATCGAAGCCTTGGTGATGACAAAAACACTAACACCAAGATAACAGAGTTGCATCATCCCCGTTCAATACTTTGACAACTTTGTCCCAATGGTTCGCAGCCTTTGCAATCCTATCTACGAACTTGACAGCAACCCAGGGGCTCCTCAGCGCCACCATTACTACACGCTCAGCATGGCATTAAGTGAGGCTCTTATCGTGGAGCTGGACGCAGCGCCATTGGATACTGGTGGAATTTCTGAACTCGAGTCTGACGATGACGCCCTCTTCGACTGTCTGCTTGACTCTCTGACTCCCAGTTTGACGGATGACTTCATTATGGACATGGACATGGACATTGAAACGCAACCTTTGTTAAGCTTGGAACGAACAGAAGATTCGAAGCCGCTCACCGTCGAAACGACTACACACAACTCTACACCTTCGGAAGGCAACACAACGGCTTCGAGTACTGAAAGCCCGTCTAGCTCTAGCCTTCAAGTCAAGAACGCTCTTCAGACGCCGGTGTCCCCTACCTCGCCACCGCAGCAAAAGCCCGAAATGGCAGATGCATGCTGTGAACTCTGTGGCTACCGACCAAAAGGAGACCCTAGGTGGTTCCACGGTTCCATGGCCAAGCACAAGAAGACGCAGCACTCGACAGAGCCGCCCAAGATCTACAAGTGCCCGTACCCAGGATGCACCAGTGCCTACAAGAATCGGCCGGACAACCTGAGACAACACCAGATAGAGAAGAACCACTTCTTGGAAGGCCATGACGGCACAAGTCGGAGGCCGAGCAAGAGAAAGAAGATGGCATCGTGAAAGCTAAGCACAGCTTGTTCTCTCAGGCCAGCGTTGGCGGCGGTGAGATCGCCCCCATGTGGTCTTTACGATTCCGAATGTATATATGATAGATGACTTGTTTTTAATATCTCCGAGATACCACTGCTGCATTTGTATATATCAATGGGTACTTATAGGAGGATTGGCATTGGGCGCATCGAGGTGTTTTTGACAGATTAAGTGTTTTCTATGGATTCGGAACGGCTTGGGTCAGGGACAGGAACTCCAGCTTGTGCATGAAAACCTGCGAATAATTAAGCGAGCAATTTCACAACTAAAACTTAGAACAAGACAGCAAATCGTGGAATGACTTTGACGGCTCAAAGTGTTAATTTGCAATTTGTTCGCATAAGTGAGATATGAGCCACCACAAAGTGCAGTAGGCAGCGCAACTTCACTGTCCACGATGCCGAGCCGAGCCGACGACATTTGCTTGGGTCCACACAACTTGGCGTCGCCAGGAACTTACACTACAGCGACGTAAGTAGTATGAGACAAGTAAGACCTGGTCACTGTTTAAGAGTCTAGACACGATTATACTAAAAAACCTTCAACCCTTGATCTGGACGTTCTTTTGAGCGATATTGCAAATATACAAACACAGACATCACACCACGCCAGCGGGAGCCAAGGGAACGCTTGGGAAAGACAACAACACACACGCCACCACTCCCAGTCCGCAACAAGGTTGCAATCCGAAAAGCACCACCACCAATATGGCAGCCAACTCACCTCTCCCACGCATCTGCGTTCTAGGCTCTCTCAACATAGACCTGGTGTCCTATGTTCCTCACCACCCCGCCCCCGGCGAGACGCTCACCTCCAACTCCTTCACCGTATCTCCAGGCGGCAAAGTGAGTGCCCAGCCACAAACCTGTTTCCTTGTCCCATCACGAATTCTTTAGCTCTCTCCTCGCTTTTTCCATATCTGACACATGCCCACAGGGAGCCAACCAAGCCGTAGCATGCGCCAAGCTCTCGCGCTCGCAGCCCGCACCGGGCAGCCGCGCCGATGACGCCTCGGCCGCAGCCCACGTGGCGATGGTGGGCGCGGTAGGCGCCGACACGTACGGGCAGATGCTGCAGGACAGCCTGGCGTCGCACGGCGTGGACGTCGGCGGGGTGACGGCGTCGGCGGCGCTCAAGACGGGCATCGCCATCATCATCGTCGACCAGCCGACGGGCCAGAACCGCATCGTGCTGAGCCCCGAGGCCAACCACCAGGGCATGGCGGCCGCGCACTTTGGCGCCGCCGTCGCGCCGCGCGTCGGCAGCCCGGACCTGCTCATCATGCAGCTCGAGGTCCCGCTCGACACGGTCCTGCTGGCGCTGGCGCGCGCCCGCGACCTCGGCACCCCCGTGCTGCTCAACCCGGCGCCGGCCGTCAAGCTGCCCGACGAGGTGTACCGGGGGCTGGCGCACCTCGTCGTCAACGAGACCGAGGCGTCGCTCCTGTCGGGCCTGCCGGTCGAGAAGCTGGACACGGCAGAGGGGTGCGCCGAGGTCGCCGCGTGGTTCCTGCAGCGGGGCGTCCAGACGACCATCATCACGCTCGGCGGCAGGGGCGTCTACTACAAGTCAGAGGCGGCCGAGGGCCTGCTGCCCGCTGAGAAGGTCAAGGAGGTCGTCGACACGACGGCCGCGGGGGACACGTTCGTGGGCCAGTACGCGCTTGAGGTGGTGGGCAGCAAGGGTGGCGCCTTTGACCTCGAGGCTGCGGTGCGCAAGGCGAACAAGGCGGGTGCCATCACGGTGCAGAGGAAAGGCGCAGCGGCTAGCATTCCATGGAGGGATGAAGTGGTATGATACCGATAGCATGAATGCATCAAATTCACGGATATTCGCAACGACGAGCCAAAGCTTGACTTCACTATTCAATTTCCTTGAAGAGATCCCTGGATTCAATGACTCTTCTGAACTCCAAATCATAAAAGTGAATGAAATTCCAGGGACTACAACATGTACCGAAAGCCTTTCTCCCTACATACACTCTTATCACTCGTGAACAACCTCTCTTCTTCTTGTAGAGTCCCCCACCCGCCGTCCATATCGAAGCGCTGGTTCGCTCTCGCGAGAAATGCCCTCAAACCTAGAGCCAAAACCGCAACGCCAAACATGGCCGCAGCGCAGATACCCATGCCGCCGGTAAACCATGGCCCATCCGTCTTCGGGTACAGCCTCGTCCCGATGAGCGGACCCGTCTGCCCTATCACCTGCATGAGTGCGAACCCGGCACCCTTGTGCGCCGCGCCCCGGGAGTTGTTGACGTTCCAGGCGATAGTCAGGACGACGACACAGAAGAACCCGGCCGCGGCCGGGTAGATCGCTAGATACCTTGCCATGTTGAGCCCCTTGCTAGCCCTCGAGTCGGGCCCAACCATGTCGCTCAAGGCGTGACTGAGCGCGAGGAACGCATACCCCAGCGCCGAGGACAGCGCGCATACTGCTATGAAGTAGGCTCGCGACTCTAGGGCGTCGGACGCCTTTGCCACAGCAAGCACGGCGATGAAGGAGATCAGGTAAGGGGGCACAGAGAGGGCCTGGGACTCCACGGCGGTATGTCCCATCTGTGTGAGGATGGAGGGCAGAAAAACCGGGAGCGACGAGTAGGCTATGTTGGTGAGTAGGAAGATGCCGGCCGTCGTCCAAGGGACCGGGTCGCGGAGCACCCTACAGACATCATTGCTCCACCGTCGCCGCTCTCTTCCCACAGTCGAGGGCTGCCTCTCGCCGCGCTTCTCACCTGTGTGGTCGTGCGAGAGGCGCACCCTTGCGATCTTCTTCTCGCGCCTGGTGAGGTATGTCGCCTTCTCAGGCGAGTCTGGGATGACCCTCCAAGCAACTGTGGCGACCAAAACGGCCGGGAAGCCCTCGACGAGGAAGAGCAGCCTCCACGGTGCGATGGGTCCGTTCTCGCCGAACTTGGTAATCAACCACGCCAGGGACGAGGCAAATGTGGTGGCAAGCGGCGCAGCTGATTCGATTGAACTTGACTGTCAGCACTGGAGCCCGCCAACCTCACTTCCGCCAGCAGAGGTCACACCTTACCGGAAATGAAGATGGCGGTCCTCAGCGCCAGCTCCTCCCGACGGAAGAAAGAGCTCAGGTAGATCGGAATCCCCGTGAAGCCCGCCTCCCCGACGCCCAGGAGGAAGCGCAGGGCGATCAGCACGGGGTACGACGTGGCGACGGCCTGCAGCGAGGCCACGGCGCCCCACGAGAGCACGATGCCGCTCACGTAGACGTGCGCCGGGACGCGGCTCCAGAGCAGGCTCATCCACTCGAACGCGATGTACGCGATGTAGAAAGAAGCCAATGCCCATCCGTAGTAGGCCGTCCCAACAGGCCCATCCTTCGTGGCCCCGGTCGTGCGCCGCACGAGGTCGTCATCCATGCCTGCGATGTAGGCATTTCCGATGTCTATTCTTAGATCGTCAGCTTTTTGTTCTTCTTCTTGAGATCGTCCCAACCCCAACAGACTTTTGCCCCCAACGGAGAGATCAGATGAAAAGGGCACTTCTTGACTGGAGGCTTTGGGTCTTGGCTGGTTGGGGGCCCGAATGCAGGAACCAGGAACGGGATTCAGGAATAAGCCACACTTGACTAGCAAGATGGAAGAGGAGGGTAAGACGGACTCGACCGGTCAAGGAAGCTCAGCATGTAAAGGAACGCTACGAAGAGTACCAGGCGCCGGTCGAACTTGCTCACGACCGCACGCTCTTCCTCGGGAGTGTAGATGAAGGCATTCCTGAGGCGACGGTCGCGGGTGCCGTCTGTCGCCCGCGAGCCCCGTTCGACATGTCGATGCAGCTCGTAGGCTTCGTCGCCATCCTCGCTGCTGCTGCTGCTGCTGCCGCCGCCGAGCAGAGGGTCCATAGCCAAGCCCAGGTGCTCCTCGCCCAGGCCGTTATCGCTGGTGCTGCCGCTGCTGCTCTCAGGGGTGAGGCGGTCGAGCCCAGGCGACGGAGATGAAGAAGGATCGCTGGGCGGAAGTCCGTCTGCCCCCCGAGACAAAGGCAATGAGTCCATCCCCTCTATTGCTAGTCAGACGCTAAACAGACAAGAACAAGAACGAGCGTGGTGAGGGGCAACGCGCAGCGAAATCAATCACGGCCTGGTGATGCCGCCATGGCAAGATCCATTCCAGGGCTGCTGGGGAGTCAAACACCCAGGTGATAACGACGGTCAGGTCAAGGAGAGCGCCGAGCTGGGGTTGAAATGAGGTGGCCCACGCCTCCACACACCGATCAGCGGTTCCCGATTTGGGACGGCGTCTGGCCCGGCTGGTGTGGTGGCTTTTGGTGCACTAAAACAACACAGCTTAGCCAGATCCGATTGAACGCCGGTAGGTGACACCCGTTTCAGTTGGATTATTGTTGCGCTCTTGTCACGCCGTCATTTCATGGAGGCATGGCGGAGCGGTGACGCCGACCAGGGGTGTATTTTGGCGAACCAAGACTACAATTGGACATGCTCCTACCAGACGCAAGGTCGTTCATTGTAGGCACACTGATCTGCTGAGCTTGATAGTCCACGTGTCGAGTTCATTCACGGTCATTGGCATTGCAAGCAGAGAAATAAGTTGTTTCCTGGGCCAGAGAGCCCAATTTCATCGTCTAGATTGTCTTCTCGAGGTAGTATGTAACATCGATACAAATAGAAGGGAAATTCCCGTAGATCAGGCATATATGTCCCCGTCCATATCGGACTGAAGTTCCCACTTTACCATGTATCCATCCTGGTCCTCGATCCCAGTATACAATTGTGACGAGTTGGATATAGGAGCTCCCCAGCTCCAATGCCTCCCCATGGTTGCCCCTCGTCCCCTTTTTCATCCCCACATCCCCACGCGTGACGGTCGTCGTTCCCTTTTGCTTCGTCTTCGTGCACGCTCGTCACCTCCAGTAAGAATAATGCATTAAAAAAAAGAAATACCTCATAGCCAGATCAGGACCTAAAAAATGGCCTGTTCCTCTAAAGCCATGAGGAGATATCCAAGATAGTAGCGGGCTCTGGACGGTCCAGAGCCCGCCATGGTGAAGGCTAATAAAACATGGAACGACACACGTGTAGCCGACCGCGCTTCTACAGCGCAGTCTCTGCTTCGCCGGCTCAAGAAGTCCCCACCCACGGTGGTAAATGCACGAAGCGGACCAGAAGGGTATCGTAATTTTGAATCAGAAACAAAAGGCTGTACGAGATGCAGAAAAAAGGAGAAGATCGGGTAGATGTCCAAGTCAGGTCTGGTGTCCGGAACAAGGTCCTCAGTTCCAGCCCAACGAGTTTGCCGCCGCGACGGGTGGTGAGATGTAGGCTGTCCGTGCCGAGTTGCTCATGCCGCTTCGTCCGGTTCTGCCACTGCCGTGACTATCACGGCCACCTGCTGCTCCGTAACTAGACATGTCGCGGCTCAGGAGAGCCCCGCCCATCAGGGCCGGGCTACCGGTCTGGCGCATCGGAGAAGAACCATTGGAGACGGAGCTGGTGCGGGCGTGTGCCTGCCTCCTCCGCTTGTACCGCCGAGCAATGATGAACATGGCAGTTCCGTAAGCTGCCGAGACGACCACGGCACCCACAGCAATACCAGCCGTCTGCCCTCTCTGGCTTGCGGAGGAATCGCTGGAACCCGAGTTTCCGAATACGTCGCCACCATTTCCGCTTGAGGAAGATGTGCTGGATGAACCGCTTCCACTGTCAGTTCCGGTCGAGCCAGATCCATCAGCACCACTACCAATGATGATGCTGATAGTGGAGTCAATCTGCTGCGTGATGTTCCTCACCAGCATGTCATCCTGTTGGTATAGCGCAGATGCGGGTTGCTTGACCTGTAAGCTGAGCGTGCTGACGAGGTCCACCGGGTATGTCGCAACAGCGATGGTCGGCGTGTAGCCCTTCTTCTGGTCGTATCCTTGGAGCGGCTGAAGCCTTCTCATTTGAACAAGCCCATCGTTGGTGATACCACCCGCGTGGCGCAAAGCCTTAGGAATGCCTGACAGGACCTGAGCAGCCGCCTTAGGATGGCTGGCAATGAAAGCGTAGTTCAAGGGGAACTTGAAACCAAGCTGAATCTCAACAGTTCCGTCTGGGATCGGCAAGGTTCCGGTGTCAGGTGTAATGGCCTTTGGCAGATTGGATGGCAGCGAAGTGGCAGTCGTAGCAGTATTATCACCAGTCACGGTGCTTGTCGATGGCGCAACAATGATGGTAGTGGGCAACCAAGACTCGGAGGAGTCGGTGATTGTAGAAGTGGCGACTAAGCTGCTGCCCAAGCTTTCGGAAGACACAGTTGTGATGCTGGGTAGGACAGCTGAAGAGGTAGTCGCCTCGGTCGTAGTAAGCGAGGCAGAAGTCTCGGTCTCTGACACGGGGACTGTGGCGTTGGGCGGAAGGGTGACCGTAGTCGGCAAGCTCTCCGTGCTTGTGCCAGGCTCGGGCGTGGTCACGTTTTGGGACACAGTCGCGTCTGTCGAGGTCGGCGGCAAGATCGAGGTGCTCACACCTGATGTCGGCAAATCCGTGACTGTCGTGTTGGCAGTGATTGGGATATCGGTGCTTGTGTTGGCGTCAGTGCTGATGACTGTGGTACCATTACCAATCTCCGTCCCAGTCGGCAAAGGTGTCGTCGCGGTCGTAATGCCAGTTCCTGGCCCGGTTGCAGAGGGATCGATGGTCTGAATCGAGGACGAGGAAAGTGACGTTTCAGTAGCTGAAATGATCGTAGTGCCCGTTCCAGGACCGGTTGCGGACGAATCAATCGTAGAGGCGGTAACGCCTGTGCCTGGGCCCGTAGCTGAGGGGTCAATGCTCTGAGTGGACTGCTGAGTAGTAGTCACGCCTGTCCCAGGACCCGTTGCGGAGGGGTCGACAGTCGGAGCTGTGGTTTCTGTGGCCGAGGCTGTCTCAGAGTCTGTTCCATTGGTCGAAGTCGGAGCAAGGCCACTCGTAAGTTCGGACAGTAGGCTGCTCAACGGGAGACCGCTCGAAGACGGTGTCACAATGCCAGTGGGAGCAATGACAATGCCAGAGCTGGAGCCGGAGCTGACAAGCGAGCTGGGAGACGAAGAGCCGGTGGCACTTCCAGTTCCCACGGTACCGCTCGAAGTCGCAGTAGTAGAATCACCAGTCGATGTGGGCACTGTGTCGTCGCCGGACTGGGTGCTGGAGCTGACATTCGTGCCAGTAGAATCAGACGAGCTCGTAGTTCCGGTGGCTGATCCCGTTGCGGTCGTGGCAGACCCGGTCTCTGATGTACGACTGGTTGGCTGTACAATCGAACTGGGGATAGAGCCTGTCGAACCAACTCCATCTGTGGAAGAAGCAGTGATCTCGGACACAATGCTGCTCAGATCAGAGGTAAGAGGAAGGCCGGTCGTTGTGCCATCGGTAGCGCTGGCGGATCCCGTGGCAGATCCCGTGGCAGATTCCGTGGCAGACGCGGTGGCGGAGTCAGATGACGTTCGGCTCGTCGGCTGCACAATTGAGCTGGGAATAGAACCTGTTGAACCAACTCCATCTGTGGAAGAAGCAGTGATATCGGACACAATACTGCTCAGGATGGAGGTGAGGGGAAGGCCGGTCGTTGTGTCCTCGGTCGCGCTGGCACTGGTTTGGGACGTCTCGATCGAGCTCGCGCTTGGGGTAGCCTCCGAGGAGAGAGATGTTGTCGTGTCGGACGCCAGCGAAGCAGAAGAGACGGATGTAGTAGTCGCCGTCTCCGTCAAAGAGGACGAGGAGCTATCAGTTGCAGAGGACGGCAGCACCGTCACGGCCGAGCCGGTGTCGGTGGAGGTAGAGGTTGAAGTGACATCCTCCGTAGTAACCGTAGTCGTAGTCCCACTCGGAGAGACAATGACGGTGTCGGACGTCGTCGTGCTGGAACTGCTGGTCTCGGACTGAGTGTCGGTTGCGGTTGGTATCACGCTGGGTTCGGATACCAGGCTCGAAAGGCTCGTCAGAATGTCTGATAAGGAAAGACCCTGACTCGACGAGGAATCGGACGTGGTAGTCTCGGCAGTCGTCGTCGAGGGGAGTACATTCGCGACGGTCGTGTTGATAAACTGTCTCTTGACCTCTCGAGGAAAGTATATCTTCCGCTTGGCCACTGGTTCTGCGCTGGCGAGCGTCGAAGCAGCCACCAGCGCAGAGACCAAAAGCGACTTGGTCTGCATGCTCTCAATCTACTGGCAATTCATCCGTACCGATCGTCGAAGAGAAGTCTGCTAGGTTTTGAGTACCGGGGATTGGCGAGGGCCTAGGCAGGTGATCTCGACGACTGTCAGCGCAGGAGTCGGCAGGGTGGTGTCGAGTGCTGACGACTCACTGTCAGGAATGAGGCAAATAAACGAGTGTACTTGACAATGGGTCAAGGAGTGTAATCTATATGAGCAGTCAGTGTCTGGCCCATGCACTTCCCAGATCTGCTGCGCGCATGAATGATCCCCCAGTGGCTGTTGTCGTGACAGGGAACGAGGAACCGGTCCCAAGCCTTGTGGCTCCACCTGCTCGGCTGCGCGGAGACCAGGGAAGGAAAAGAGGGAGGAATGGCTACTGACGGTTTCTGGCCGAGCCAAAAGAATGATTGTTTGCGTTGGGGGGCTTAAAGAGCGACTTGACGAGAGACTCGTCAGAATGAGGTGAAAATTCACAGCGAAGCGGTGTCCGTGGTGGTTTGGGAATTGTTGTGGTGGGAAAGGTCGAGATTAAGCCAGGACAGACATTTGGCAGCGCAATTTCGGGAAAAGGGGGCCGTGGAGTTAGGCGGGCTAATCCTGGTGGAGATCGGCCGCGGGAGTGCAGGACGGGCCTTTGTCTATCTATCGATTGGCCTCGAAACCGCTGCGAAAGGCCGCTTGGGACAAAAGGACGATGCTGACCAAATGGATGGAATCGTCGCTTTTCGAAAAAGAAGTCGGTCGGCGGAGACGAGGAAGGAGAGGGCGGGGGGGAGGAGAGAAGAGAAGAAAGAACTGGTGTGGTGGTGGTGGTGACAAGTAAATGAAATGTCAACCAGAGTCAGTCAGTCAGCCCAGGACGAGGATACGATATAGACGAGGACAAGGCAGGACAGGCACGCGGGCACAGACAGGGACCGGGGATCTGGGAGATTGAGGAATGGGATGGGGGGTGAGCGGCGAGGAGGAGGACAAGGACAAGGAGCCCACGCGCGGGCGAGCAGAAAAGAGGAGCCGGACGGGCGAGGGATAATCAGGATTGGAGGAATGCAGGGAAACGGAAGGGAGAGAAACAGAAAGGGCCCCCCCCCTCCACCCCCGTCAGCCAGGGCAGGCTGCGCAAGGAGCAGGACCGGGGGTGGCTTTGCTGCCAAAAGCACCTAGCGCACCTTGCTCGTCTCCCACCCACCCCTTCCATGTCTCTTGGGGCACGGAACGAGGGGGCCGTCCTTATGCTCAGGTACGACGAATCTTGCAGTAAACTTTGCTGATGGTGCAGGTAGATGTGGGTAATGGTTGTGATGGTTGTGGTGGTCTCCGTCCGAAGTGTGCGCCAACGAGGTTGCAATAATGCAGGCCCAGCGGTGCATCCCAAATCCACATCCGCATCCCAATTTGTGCACCCACCCACCCAGCGTCCCAACGGGAGAGATGGCCAGAGATCACGAGAGACAGATTGGGAAAGCGCCATACCACGCCATGGTATGCCATGACTAGGACCGTAGCAGCAGGCAATCGTGGGTATCACCACCGCAGAGCACACACTCAGGGCCTGTGCTCGCCAGTGTGGTGACAAATGGCATATCCCCTCTGCCCCTATGTTGGGTTGCACTGCAATACGAAGGCAGTTTCTAGACAGACACACAGACAGATACCGAGACATAGCTTGATACTGTACGGTGCGGCGTGCCCTAAGAGAGAGGCTTGGGCACGATGCCCCACTGACGCATCATCCTTCTTGGATTCCTGAAATGATGGTGCTTCCCAAGTTGGGATACAGTCTACCACGAACAGGAACAGTAGACCCTCCTGCCATGATCCCATCCATCCTTGGAGGCTCAATGAGGGCTAGACTCAGCGAGAAGGCGATGGATAGGCACGGCGAGTAATCCTCTGGCGCGCCGCCGTGAGGACGAACCGGGCCATTGGGATGGGCTCAACAATCAGCCGCTTCGCCGCAGCCGCGCAGAGCCGACCAGAGACGGCGAGATTGCGCTCTCTTGCTCCCTCACCGTCGCCGAATTTGCTCCAACGCCGCACATTACGCCGATGGGATCGTCGTGTTGTTGGTTGGCGCGATCGATGATGTCGAACGGTGGTTCGTGGACGGGCTGGCATGTGGTCTAGTCTAGTCGAAGACCCAGACGCCCCAGGCACAGGACCCCACTGTGGTCCCGCTCCGACCATCAATCAATCCAGGCACCGTTTCTGCAAAGACAAAACGACGGACGGAATGACAGATCGGCCTGGTGTAGACAACTGAGCGCAAAGTAGCAGACAGACGGCACGAGACGGTTCGTAGCCAAGTTTCCCAGTCTCCACTTCGACTTCCAGAACCAGGGACAGAAACAGAAACAGAAACAAACGGCCGCGATCTCGGCCGTCTTTGTCAGGCTGTCAGGATGGCCGCTCATCCATGAGTCCAATTGTTGGATCGATTGTTGGAGGTGGCCGTCGACTGGTCCGTCCACGGCTCGCTTTTCCCTTCCTGTCAGGCGGCGGCCAGGGGATCGTCAGGCCGGCTGATGTGTGAGTGGCCAGAGTGCTGATCTTGTCCCCACCTCGACAGGGATGCTAAAATTAATGTTGCCGCCGTCGTGGCTTGGTCCGGCCTACAGTAGCGTCCTACCTTATGTGTGCGCGTGTGCGTGTGCGTTGTGTGTGTTTGTGTGTGTGTACGTATGCAGGTAGACGGCCACGGTGGGACAACGGCGCAGTGTATGCGTGTGCTGTTGGTACCTTTCTGTGCCGCCCAGAGCCCACCCACAGATGGGTAGTCCTGGTAGTCCAGCCGCGCGAGAGACGGCAGATCTGAGGGCGGTACAATGCCACGAGCACCAGACGGAGGCCAGGGATCTCCTCTCCACATGCATGCTAATAAAAGACAAGAGATGGCCCCAAGAGGATGCCCAGGCGTGGGTGTTAAGCCACCACGCAGGTGTGCGGCACAAGATACTAACGAGGACACATTTTGCAAGCCGCCCCATCTGCCCATCTGCCCACATCGATCCAGCTCAATCTTGAAAGACCACGAGGGCTCGCCAACAACTGCCAACGGGTAGCCACTAGTGTACCAACCGATCTCGCGACATTTGACAATTGCCGTGATGCGATGTGATGCTAAGTAAAGGCTGAATGGGGGCTGAGGTGAGGTGAGGCTAAGGGCCAACACACCGCCCCCATAGCCATCTGCTTTCAGACGACGGCGACCGAGAGCACCAACACCAGATCCAGAGTCGCTCTAGCGCTGACAGGCCAGGAGCCAGCTGTCGATAGTCTCAATCTCGACCCTGCATCATGAGATTGAATATGGGGAATCGCTGCATCCGTTGAGAGACGCAATGCAATAGCAAATGCCAAGCGCCAGGATCAGCACCAGCTGTCGCAGCGCGTGCACTCTGACCTGGGAGCAGCCCGCGCACCCAGGGGATCGCCTCGCCCGCCAAAAGCACAGGTCTCTATGTGTCAATCGTCGTTGATTAGTCGAAGATCACGCAACGGTCATGACTCCAACGCCTTTTGATGAGTTGAAATCGTAAACAACCGACCCGCGCGTCGCACGTGAACAAACGGGTACGCTTAGTTAATGACTTTGCCAGCGGGCCTCGATCCTCTCGGAATCTTGCCAACGGAGCCCGCCAACCTTGGCAAACGGAACTGAGTTTGCGCAAGGTAGTGTACACGGGCCTGGCTGGCCCGCATTCTGCCAACAGAATTGGGAGCTGCAGCCAACAGACAGCTCCTCGGGACGCCTCGCAGAGTCCGACCAACATAGCACATTGTCTGTGCCTCAGGAACATTCCCGCACAGAACTTGGGATGGTGTGGCCCTTGGTCGGTAACGCATGCAAGGCAAGGCCAGGAACGCAAGGCCGCTTGTGCCACCGGTGTTGAGCAAAATTTGATCTGCCGAAGAAAGCCCTCCCGCACCTCGTTTCGCCTAGCCCAGGTCCTAGTGATATTCAGACTAATGCCTCACCATCGCCGACGGGCTGGGAGCTAGCCAAAACGTTCAGGCCGTTTCTGCGCTTATACGGCACGTGTACGGACAGGAGAGAAAAGCTACGCGCTCTTCTTCAATTCCACAGCAGGTTGTCCTTGACATTATAGTCTGTCTCGCAGCCTCTAGCGCATGTCCCTCGGTCAATCTCATTCAGGTGCAGGTGTAGGACGCTCAAACACCGAGGCGGTGTTAGTCCGTCGACTTGTGTTGTGACCTCACTCCTAGGGGCCTCGTAAAATTCCCCAACACGACGGGCAGTGGGCAGTGGGCATTGACAGCAATCTCAATTTTCCCTCAAACAGGGCCAATGAATGCTTAGCGCTGGGGAAAGCTTCGAGAATACTCAGGAAAACCTTTGACTCTAGACGTCTGAACGTCTGCAAGTCCCGATGCGACAGGCAAAGAACATGAGATGAACCGTAAGCGGAAGGTTTAGCAGGCAGAGGCAAGCTGGCCTGGGTCAGAGCCATGGCTATAGCATGCCTGGTAGGGCAGGGCAGCCCTCGTGTTTGTGTCGAAACCCCAAGAAACCTCCGAGACAAGACGTGACAGCCACCATTCCACACCACCTGTTCGCGCGAAGAAACGCGGGAGCTCCCATCATGGCTGACGTTTCACCGAGCTCAGACGGAATGAAGAATCGGCGGGCTCACTCATTACGTCTGCGCTGCTGCTGCCGCTACACCGCGTCTCGTCACGTTAAGTAGCACTCGACTCACATGCCTGCGTTCGAGGCCTTTGTTGAGATCTGCCTCTGATCGTCGTCTTGCCCACGCACCTACCTATCTGCCTGCAGGAGGACAGGAGGGCCGCCCAAAACCAGAAAGCCTGGAATGGAACCTCGTATTTTGATGTTTTCTCGAGGGGGGGTAGAGTTGTGCTCCCCCTGAAACATCTCCTCGCTAATACCCTGGGAGGGGAATGCCCTCGCCCTCCGCCTCGTTTGACCTCGACAATTCCAGCTTAGTGCGGGTCTTTGACTTGGCACCACCACCATCCTGGGATCCACGCTGTCGCAGGTGCACCCACGTAGCCCGCGGAGCGGCGATGTCGCCTCCTCTTCGAGCGCGCGCAGCTTTTCCAGGGCGGCGAGTCCCGATATTGCAGCTCGGCGACTGTGGGAGATGCGAGCCGGCTTGCATTCCTGCCGCCTCTGCTCACGGGTGCGACGAATGGAGCATGGGAGAGGCTCGGGCTGCAGTCGGATTCCAGAGCCGTGTCATTATCGTGCTTTCCGGAGCGGCTGCTGCTGCTGGACCCGGCAGGGACCCGGCAGGGCAATGGCCTGACGGACGACCATCCGGCGTTGCCAAGCCGGGGTCGCCGCAATTTCGAGGACGCCTTCCGGGTCGGACTGGACCTGCTTTCGACAATCCGGACATGTTCCTTCGGAAACGCGTAGGAGCTTGATATGTTGCCTGGTAGAAGCCACAAGCAACAATATCTCCTGGAAGCTGAGACTCTTCCGTCTCTCGATCGGCGGCGGCATATAGATCAGATTACTCCTCCGGATACCCAAATATCTCCCAAAAGAACGAGGGCCTTGCCGGAACATTCCGTTGTACAGATTCCTGCTCTGTTTTATACTGTTTACCGAGCTCGTAGTCAATATCAACTGCCCGTAAAAATACCTCTCAGACTGATTTCTGATGCTATGCGTTGATCTGGAGCACATGCGTCCTTGGGGGCCGCTCTCATGCCAACACTTGCAGCGCTCATTCGTAACTCGCTCAGATTGGCCTGGTGCGATGGAAACTGCTTTGCACCTTATATGGCATCGTTTACCCATATAATGACACACTTGTACCAGAGCCTGCTTTCCCAGTCTACAGCGTCAGCCTCCGAGGAATTCCATCTTTGCGAGTGAGACTTACAGTAGTTGAAATGACTTGATTATTGCAAGAGAGATTGCAGCTCTCAATGGCTTTAGCCAGCCAAGTAGGTTTCGGCTTTGGCAACTTGTGATTTGGAATTGGTCTTTCTCACTATTTCAAATAAAAACACCATTGAGCGGCGGGTTTCATGAGGTCATATTCTTGTGATATTCTAAGATATTACTATCTGCTCCAGACAACACTTGATATTGTGTACTAGCCTATGCTGCCCGGAACACCAATATGAACGTCGCGTGATGCCATCGACAGCTAGGATTTAGAAATTGTGTAGAAGGGACTATTCGCATCTCAACATGTGTGTGAGAGAAACCAGGTGTGATATCTCGTATGAGACCCGAAAATGTCGTATGAGATCCGAAAGCGCTGGCAAGTCGCCCTTCTGGACATGTCTAGGGGCGGTGTGGAAGTCATCGAGGACTCACAACTCTGCCGTGTGAGTTGTCAGTTCTGTGGCTGTTCAAAGTAAGCGGAATGCCTGTATAATTGTCTGTGCAGACTGAGATTTCTCGTGGAAGCCCCGTGTCCCCCTTCGCTACCCCGGACGACGCTGAGAATCTTGCTGAAGCCTCCTCCGGTTTTGTATATGCTTGCGAAATATAGTGCTGACAACGTTGGTGCGTCTTCCATGCGGATGCATTAGCGGCCGCCAGTCTCTTGTGCTTGAAGCCAAGCCAGAATCATCAGGGGAACTGGCCCAGTCACAAATGACTGCAGGACGGTCGTCACCACAGGCGGCCTTATCGCGAGATTTCAGGGCTGCCATTCCTTCTGCCGGCGGATACTCGCTTCACAGGGCGTGTCCACTGGAACACATAAGCGGCTCGCCTATCTGGGCGAGATTGTCGACAAGAGCAGACTGCACCGACCGAGCTTCCAGCTGTGCCGAAGAGCACGACTTGCATCATGCCTGGCTGTTGTCACAAAGAGCACCATTCGGATGTACCCGCACGGTTGCCCGGATCTAAAACTCCCAGATTCGAGGCTACCTGCGTCAGTTAGCTACAGATTCAGAGAGAGATCTGGGGCAGGTGCGCACCGAAGAAGGACAGGTATCCCGCAGGTAAGGGCCCGTCTGCATCCCGTCGCCTCTCATGTAGGTGACAAGTCGATTCGGGCGGACCGGACCACGTAGCACTCAGATGCGCACCATCGCCCTTGCTCTTCTTCCATCTCATGAATAGGTCAAGGATCGTGGAGTCAGGGATAATTCGTCTCAGGGCACAACCTGATGGTTATTTGACTCTCCATAACTGATCGCACCGTGGAGACTGCACCTCATATTGGACTGATGGAGAGCATGCAGCACGACCTGGTATCATCAGTACCTGTACTTTTTGACTTTGAAGGATGAATACTTGCTGTACCAAAGAAGGCGGCCATCTCCTGCGACGCAATCAATTCTACTTAACTCCTGTCGGGTAGGATGATCAGAGATATCGTCACCTTCAGGTCAGAACACGAGCGCCACAGTGCATCAGCTCCTCATGTGCAATGACGACAGCCGAAATGCCAACAAGCGCGTCGGGCTACGTCCGATCCACGACCCCAGGAGGCATTCCCGGAAGAGCTTCCGTACGGATTTTCAGAAGTTGAGAGAGAGAGTGTGTGTGGTATGGCTGTATGGGTGGTGGATGATGGACCCATGACTGAATGTGCAAGAACAGGCGAGGACAGCCGCAAGCACGGCTCACACCAGAAGAAGGATGGCAGCTTGGCAGGAATCGACGTGGTAGTATCGAAGTTTGCCAACGCATTCTTTGCTTTTCTCAGGCCTTTCAACGCTGCGAGTAGTGTCATGTACAGAACAGAAGAAGCAAAGTTGGGTCGTTTCACGTCTGCGCGGGTGGATATTGTTCCCTATCCAGTTCTCTCCCGAAGAGAAGAAGCCTGCCGTACCTGATACCTCGGCCTGTCGTCATCGCCGGCATTGATGCAAACGCGTATCTACGACACGCACATGGGAAAGAGGTCACTGGCGGTGCAACCCCTGGGCATGAGGACATGTGCGCTTGGGGGACGCAAGTCATCGCCGTAAACCCTGAAAAGCTGCAGAATACGCGCAGGGAAGAAGGTCACGGTAAAGCATTTGCTGCGCCAGAGCGCATTGGGATCCTGCCCATAGCCAGTGATCTTTGATCTGTCAGACCGAGCAAGAGCCGCTGACTATCGCAACACCTTCCGCCTGCCGGTCTAAGGCGGCCGGGAAGATTACCAAGTTGATCAATGGCAGGGGCTGCATTGCGAAGGACATCACATCACATAGCCTATCATGTGCTTCACCACCGAGCTCTTGCGCAGTCGCTACCGCAGAAAGAGGCATGTGTCCCGGGCTCAGCTTTGCGCCCATGGCGGCCCGGCTCAATGGGCACTTTGTCAGCTCGTCCACACGCTGAGGCCCGGGGCAATGAAAGGAAGGCCCAGCTCAGGTGGATGTGCATTCGTCCGTCTGCCCGCACATCCGTTCAATCCTTCCATCGGGAGAGGAAAAGAGCGAGAGAAGCCCCACGGCTAACCCCGCCTCGCGATCTGCTGGAGGGGTCGTCGCGATCGGAGGGGCAGAAGGGGGCAGGGAACAAGCTGTTTCCAGCTCGTTGCGACAGCACCCTAGCCACAAGTGTCCTTGGCACTTCACCCCTTTTCGTTTGCCAGTTTCCCAGGTGAGCTGCCACAGGTTCCAAGCTTGGGAAGAGACGAACTGTGCTACCTACCGTATTGTACGTAGGAGCCGAGCGTGTGGGCGTTGCAGTGGGCAGTGAGGCACGGAGTTGGAGTTGGTGGGACGACGAGAAGACTGGCAGGCAAGCCAAGTGCACACACGATGCTTCTTCTCGCAAGAAGCCCCTGTGCTGGCAGCCTCGTTGTGATGCGACTCGTCAGTTGTCCCTGTTGGCGGAATTGTGGATGCGGTGCAAGGTATCCAGACCTTAGCACTGCTTAGGTATTCAGACCCCAGGATCGCCGGCGTCATCGGCACCTAATGAGGGACAGGCCAGCAGCCAAATGTACCGCCTACATGATGCCTTGGTCAGGGGGTGACGTCTAGGTACTGTGGTACCTCGTGGCCCTGCAGGCGCAGGTGGCATGCGAAGTAGCTGCACCTGCGGGTAAGGTCGCCCATAGATCGAGGCTCAACTTTACCGAGTCAATCCTCACTCGTTCCACCGGCGGCCCTGGATTGCGGAAGGCGGTACTTGCATTCACATCACCTTGGCTCCAGCTTGCTGAGATGCGTTCCATTCCATTCCAACTGCCCTTGCCTTGCCCTGCCGCGAGCGAACTCACTTTGGGCCGGAATCCCCCTCCGATATAAAAACCCTCCACACGACCCACAACCCATCCCCTCCGCCTCCGGCCTCCACAGTAGACTCTCAAGCTCTTCAAACCCCTCGTACAAAAAGGCAGCTCGGCAAGCTCAGCTTCGACTTACTCGTCACTAGCCGACACGTACACACGACACTCCTATCGACGTCATTGCAACCAACACAACCAGGTCAGCAATACACCTCTGTCTCTTCTGTCTTGCACACTATAATTTATCTTGTTTACTTACTTGCCAATCTCTAGATATATATTCAGCCAAAATGGGTGTCACCGTTCAACATCACGAGGAGGGCACCGGCGCACAGCCCACCCCTGGACAGACTGTGACCATCGATTACACTGGTTACCTCAAGGACGAATCTCAGCCCGACAACAAGGGCAACAAGTAAGACCCCCTCCTTCCAACACATCAATCAAAGGCGTATACGACCGATTCTGACACAACTGCGCTTCCAGGTTCGACAGCTCCATCGGCCGTGGTGATTTCGTCACCAAGATCGGTGTCGGCCAGGTCATCAAGGGTAAGTGGCCACCTGTCTAAGCTGTTCTTGCCAGGTTCAATATGCCTCTAACAGATTGAACAGGATGGGATGAGGGTGTCGTCCAGATGAAGGTCGGCGGCAAAGCCACTCTTAACATCTCCAGGTAAAGCGCCCCGTTCTCCGCCGGTGTCCAAAAACGCTAACTGACATTGGCACAGCGACTATGGCTACGGTGCCCGGTAAGAACCCCTGATGCTGGGCCTGAAGAGCTTCACAAGTGAAAGGCTCACGCTTTCGCCTATATACGCTCCTGCACTCACTAGTCTTACTTTCATGGATGTTCTCATACTGACGCCTTCGCTAGCGGTTTCCCTGGACACATTCCCCCCAACTCGGACCTCATCTTGTAAGCTGACCACCCAAAATGGCTGGACATAACGTACGGGAACTAATACCTTTGCACAGCGATGTCCACCTCAAGAACGTCCAGTAGATGGAATGGGTGAAGCTCATTGTCAAGTCGGGAACGCTCAGAACGAGAGCATACGGAAATGAACTTATATATAGTTTAGACACTCGCTTGATCCTTAGTGGAAGGGCCGAGAATGAATGCTCCCGCGCGAGTTTGACACCCAAGTAGACATTCCTATCATACCTATGCAATGTGCCCCATGCCTGCCATCCTTTATGAATGCTGCTTCAAGCCGGTGATGAAGGTTTCACCCGGCTCCTGAGGGTGACGCTGCTGGCGTGTCCAACAGCACACGGCCAGAAAGTTACTATCTAGAAGCGAATTTGCGATGCCCCAGCGACAACAGCTCCCTGGTGAGACGAGATCTATACTGTATCGGAATCTGAATACGCTAGTCATTTTTTTATGTGCATTGCTCTGTGCTTGCGGAGAACATGTCTTCCAGAGGACGCAAGACAGGGGCAAGGTTGCCATTCAAACACAATGAACAGACTACTGGGTTCGGCCAAGCTTACCCAGCAGCGCCAGGGTCGAAGAGAGGTTTGTCTGTCCATCAAACACCCGTACAGTTCGACGATGTTTCTCGAAACGGCATTGTGCATGATCTTGCCCAACAACCAGCCGGCTAGCCACCTGGGGAACAACTGAGATCGCGGAACATCTGGCACAGCTGGTCTCGTCACAGGCCGTCGCACATTCAGGGACACACCGGGAGAGATTTGCTCGCTTCATCAGGCTAGGGCCTCCAGTAGGAAGAATCTACCTGGGACGACGGGATACGTGCGAGGCCACAAGCCCTTGGTGGCACCTTTGCGTGGAGGTCCTCGGGAGCACTGGGCTGTCCCGGACGCGGGACAAGCGATCTTTGAGACACTGTTCCATCGGCCCACCCGGTGGAACATGACGGAATGGAACAGATGGTTGATAATCGGACTCTCCGGGCTGAGGCCGCTGGAGGAAGTGAGTGAGTCACCTGTGCGAGGGCTTCGAAGCGGGCGGTGCTTGTCTTCCTCAGAGTAGACCATAACAGAGCTTTACCCTCAGGCAGTCTGGGTAGATTGGCACAGAGGCAAATTACAGTATTCCCTGGATGGTTACTGCCCACCATTAAGCTACCGAGGAAGAATACCTCGCGATCCAGTTACTCAGTCTTGGGATACATGTCTTGGAATCGGACCTCTGTCTCATGTAATAGTTACTTCTATATAAGTGACCTTAGATGTGGGCATGGAACAGCAGGTGAGCCAACATATTGAGGGATTCTGATCCAAGACAGGCATTGAAGAGATCAATAGACTGCGAAGTAGTATGTCTCCATTGCTCGAAGAGATCCGTATATCTATATGTCTATATGCATGGGAACAAAATATCCCCCAATGCCCACTGCTGACAGAGGCAGTAGCAGCTGCCCACCTCTTATAAATCACGGGTACCAAGCAGTGCATAAGTCATCGGTTTCGCCTCCCATGAACGGTAGCTTCAGGTGATGCAGGAACGGTCCTTGGTCACCTGAACAAATTCGAACAATTTTCCTCCTTCGCTTTGCAAAGATTCAGTCGACCAACTATCTTCTACAGAGCCCGAAGATTTGACGCAAGCCCATCATAGCAACGTCTGCTCGACGGACCTGCTGCCTGCTGCGCCCTACCTGTCTACACGACTTTGGAAGCTACCCAGGTACCCAGGTAAGCTACCCACCCGTCATTCTAGTGGGGTCGAGGTTGCCCCCCCATTCCCATCCGTCCCCCGATCAACTTGCAACTTGTCTCACACCTCCCAAGTAACCTCCACTGTATCATCACAAAGAACAACTTCCGCCTCTACCCGCCCTCTTCTCCTCAAGGCAAGATAGCTTCTTCCGCTTGTAAAGAGTTCGGCAAACTGGGGAAGCGCAAACTTTCCTGCGACGGGGACTCGCTGCCTCTGCCAACCAAAAAGACGATGACGGTGTGTATCCCAAGGCCCATCCATTCCCTGCCCACCTGCCCGTTTGCTTCAGTCCTGTGGCGCCACGAGCACCTGAGCCTCCTGCGAGCAGCTCCCTATAGCTGCGGCACGTGTCGTGTGAATGCGTGCTGATCGGTGCGTGATGTTTGCAGGACCAGAGGCTCCCCGAGGTCGACCTGGTCACCAGGATGCAGGTCGACGAGTCCGTCGTTGGAAACAACGATATCGACGAGTCTCTCTACAGCCGACAGCTCTATGTCCTGGGTCACGAAGCTATGAAGCGCATGGGCGCTTCCAATGTGCTCATCGTGGGACTCAAGGGCCTCGGTGTCGAGATAGCCAAGAACATTGCGCTTGCTGGCGTCAAGAGCCTGACCCTTCACGACCCTGCCCCTGTGGCCATCGCAGACTTGTCCTCTCAGTTCTTCCTGCGCCCCGACGACGTCGGAAAGCCCCGAGATGCGGTCACTGTACCTCGGGTGGCCGAGCTGAACGCATACACTCCGGTTACCGTGCACAAGTCTTCCGGGTACGTTCTGCCTTCCTGTCCCTTTAAGGGCTTGACCACAAATCAACCACTGACGTCTTGATCTTCCCCAGACTCGCCGATAACCTCGCCGAGCTCAACAAATACCAAGTCGTCGTCCTGACTGGCGCACCCTTGAAGGATCAGCTTGCGATCGGCGACTACTGTCACTCAAAAGGCATATATTTCATCACTGCGGATACTTTCGGCTTGTTTGGAAGCATCTTCTGTGATTTCGGCGAGAAATTCTCGGTCATTGATGCGACCGGAGAGAACCCCCAAAACGGAATCATCGCTGGCATCGACGACGAAGGTCTCGTGTCCGCTCTCGACGAGACCCGCCATGGACTTGAGGATGGAGACTACGTCACATTCTCCGAAATCGAGGGCATGGAGGCTCTGAACAACTCCGAGCCACGGAAAGTTACAGTGAAGGGCCCTTACACTTTCTCGATCGGTGATGTCTCTGGACTGGGCCAGTACAAGCGAGGTGGTCTTTTCCAGCAGGTCAAGATGCCCAAGTTTTTGGATTTCAAGAGCATTACACAGTCATTGACGGAACCCGAATTCCTCGTGTCTGACTACGCCAAGTTTGATCGCCCACAACAGCTGCATATTGGATTCCAAGCTCTGCATGCTTTCGTCCAAACACATGACCGCCTGCCGAAGCCCATGAACAAGGACGATGCCGCCGTGGTGGTCAAGTCGGCTCAGGCATTCGCACAGAAGATGGGTGTTGAGGTCGAGATCGACGAGAAACTCTTGACAGAGTTGAGCTACCAAGCCACAGGAGACTTGAATCCCATGGCGGCTTTCTTTGGTGGACTCGCGGCTCAGGAGGTTCTCAAAGCGGTCTCGGGCAAATTCCACCCAGTGCAGCAGTGGATGTACTTTGACTCTTTGGAATCCCTTCCCCAGGGTTCAAAGAGGACCGAGGAGTTGTGTGCGCCGATCGGAAGCCGGTACGACGGCCAGATAGCAGTCTTCGGCAAGGAGTATCAGGAGAAGATTTCAAACATCAAGCAGTTCCTGGTTGGCGCCGGTGCCATCGGCTGTGAGATGCTGAAGAACTGGGCCATGATCGGTCTTGGTACTGGACCCAATGGCCAGATCACTATCACTGATATGGACTCTATTGAGAAGAGTAACCTGAATCGGCAATTTCTGTTCCGACCCAAGGACGTGGGCCAGATGAAGAGCGACTGCGCAGCTGCGGCCGTTCAACTCATGAATCCAGATCTTAAGGGACACACTGTTTGCTTGAAGGATCGTGTGAGTCCAGAGACTGAGGAAATTTTCAACGAGCAGTTCTGGGGCGGTCTGGACGGTGTCACCAACGCCCTGGACAACGTGGAGGCGAGAACATACGTCGACCGGCGCTGTGTCTTCTTCCAGAAGCCTCTTCTTGAGAGTGGTACGCTGGGTACGAAAGGAAACACACAAGTTGTTTTGCCGGGCATTACAGAGTCGTACTCATCTTCGGTTGACCCGCCTGAGCAGTCCTTCCCGATGTGCACACTTCGAAGTTTCCCCAACAAGATCGAGCACACGATCGCCTGGGCCCGCGAACTGTTTGAGACCAACTTTGTCAAGCCGGCTGAGACGGCAAACCTGTACCTCACGCAGCCGGACTACTTGAAGTCTACGTTGGCACAAGGAGGCGACCAGAAGACGACGCTGACAATGCTTCGCGATTATTTGAAGAACGAGCGTGCGCTGACCTTCGAGGACTGCGTAAGCTGGGCTCGCATGGTTTTCGAGAAGCAGTATAACAACGCAATTCAGCAATTGCTGTACAATTTCCCCAAGGATTCAACGTCCTCCAGCGGGCAGCCCTTCTGGTCCGGTCCCAAGCGAGCACCGGATGCGTTGAAATTCGATATCAACGACCCCACTCACTACCAATTTCTCGTTGCGGCAACTAACCTGCACGCCTTCAACTACAACATCAATGTGCGTGATAAGGATCGCGCTGCATATGAGGCTGCTGTGGAGTCCATGATCGTCCCAGACTTCTCTCCCGACCCTGGTGTCAAGATCCAGGCGGATGAGAAGGAGCCAGTAAGTACCGGCAAACAAAAATTGCATTTCTCACGCCCTGGTCCACAATCTGACTGTTTATAGGACCCCAACCAAGCATCTGGTAACTTTGGGGATGACGCGGAACTGGAGAAGATCGCCAGCGAAATCCCAGATCCCAAATCTCTGGCAGGATTCAAGCTCACGCCCGTGGAGTTTGAGAAAGACGACGACACCAACTACCACATTGACTTCATCACCGCAGCGAGCAACCTCCGCGCGACAAACTACAAGATCGAGACAGCGGATCGCCACAAGACAAAGTTCATCGCTGGCAAGATTATTCCCGCCATCGCGACCACTACCGCCTTGGTCACTGGTCTGGTGGTGTTGGAGCTGTACAAGATCATCGACGGCAAGACAGATGTGGAGCAGTACAAGAACGGATTCGCCAACCTAGCCCTGCCCTTCTTCGGCTTCAGCGAGCCTATAGCCAGTCCCAAGGTCACCTGGAAAGACTTCAATGGCAAGGAGCACACAATGGACAAGATCTGGGACCGGTTCGAGCTCCAGAACATAACATTGAAAGAGCTCCGTGAGGACTTCAAAGAGCGCGGCCTTAGCGTGACCATGTTGAGCTCAGGCGTCAGCCTGCTCTACGCGTCCTTCTTCCCCCCTAACAAGCTTAAAGATCGGGACGCCATGAAGCTTATTGAGCTTGCGGAGTTTGTCTCTAAGAAGCCCATCCCGGCGCACCAGAAGTATGTTATCTTTGAGGTCGTCGCCGAGGACGCGGACGAGGAAGACGTTGAGGTGCCCTACCTGATGGTATCGCGGGATTGAGCAGGTGTGCCTCGTCAGTATGGCCGGATGTAGTAGAATACCGTTAAGAAACATGCAATTACGAGAGCATATCACGATAGACTTCGTTGGTTCTTATTGACTTGGGCTCACACCGTGTGGTGGCCGCCCGACAAAGACCTTAGGTAGATCAATCAGAATGTTTTACTTGCGACAGTCAACCTGGTCTTGTTCCTCTTTTTCGCAGTGGTAGGATAGAACGCAACGGAGTTTTTCGCTCAGTCGCTTTCTCGCGTCCAGATGACTAAGTAACGATGCCCCCCCCCCCCCCCCGCATTGAGCATCAAGGGTGGCCCGACATGCTGTGGACCCAACCCAGTGTCCACGTCATGATTAGACGAGCATTACTGTACGATTTGTCCAGCGCGGTAATGGGCCAGAACTACCTGGCCTAGTACCGAGAGCTTGCCGACTCAGTGTAAGCCGTTAGAAATCATTGTCACTGCCCCTGTGAGCAAGGGGAGTTTGCAAAATCCAGAGATGTTAGACTAGCCAGCCGATGATGAATGGCTGGTGGTAGGTGGCAGTCATTACCAATATATCAATATACGTGCGAGAATTTGCCGCCTTTTGAGAATTGTTCACGAGCTCTTCACAAAAAGGTCGTGAATACTCGGTTCCATGTCATTCAATTCTTTTTCCAAAGTAGCAACGCCGAGGATCGCCAACATAGGTCTAATTGTCCGACAGAGCATTCGCGCCTTATCTTCACAACGACCCTTCTATCCTGTGTATCCGGTAGATAAGATTCCCGTTGCTTGTAGACAATTTCTTCCGATACATAAACCACCGTACTTCCACCACCAGCTCGCCTACTTAACGCAGACAAGAATGGTGAGTGGTGATATCCTCAGAGCTGTGGCACTGCTCGCCGATGACGGCATCACTTGGCAGTGGCCGCCTCCTCCTGACCAGGAGGAGAGAGAGGGACAGGAACTAACATGGATCCTTAGTCGTCCACTGGCAAGGTCACGGATTGGGTGAATCCCGCCGACAAGAGCGGCGAGTTCAAAAGGCAGGTCAGCTCATTCCGCGACTGGATCTCCAACGAGCCCGGAGCAAAGTTCCCCGTGGAGAAGTCGCGATACCACCTGTATATAAGCTATGCCTGTCCTTGGGTAAGTCACTGGTGGCTCAGAAAGCCAGACAACAACGATCGAAAGCAGTGATCACGAGCTGAGCACATCTGCAGGCAACCCGGGCGATCATTGCGAGGAAGCTGAAGGGGCTGGAGGATTACATCACCGTGTCCTCTGTTCACTGGCACCTCGGCGAGAAAGGTAGGCGAGCCTTGTATCCTTGACCCTCGGGGCTGAACGGCAGGAGATGGTGAGAATGCTGAGCTGCTGGACAGGATGGCGCTTCCCAACCGCCGACGACAAGGACGCTGAGGGGGAGGACGTGGTCCCGGACCCCCTCCACGAGGAATTCACCCACCTGCGGCAGATCTACTTCGAGTCTGACCCTGACTACTCTGCACGCTTCACGGTGCCCGTCCTCTACGACAAGAAGCAGAAGCGCATCGTGAACAACGAGAGCAGCGAGATCCTGCGCATGCTTGGAACCGCTGTAGGTGGAACCCACGGCGTGCGCTTCCGTATGCAGAATCCCTCCTGACCTCCCTCTCTCTCCAGTTCGATGAGCAGCTCGACGAGAAGTACCGCAACGTCGTGCTGTACCCGACAGACCTGCATAAGCAGATCGACGAGGCCAACGAGTGGCACTATGACCTGATCAACAACGGCGTGTACAAGTCCGGATTTGCCACCACCCAGGAGGCGTACGAGCGCAATGTCCATGCCCTGTTCGGCGCCCTTGACAAGGCTGAGGCGCACCTTGCCTCGGGCGAAGGGCCGTACTATTTTGGCAAGCAATTGACTGAGACAGATGTTAGGCTGTGAGTATCTCTCTTTACTGTGAACGCCACAAGGCAGAAGCTAATCACAGCATCGTTTAGGTTTGTCACCATTATTCGGTTCGATGTAAGTCTCAACACGATATTCTCGCCCCATTCCTTCCGGCTCAACCGCCCAAATGAACGCTGCCCCGGCTAAGTCCCCTCTGACCTATGTGAAATAGCCCGTCTACGTCCAGCACTTCAAGTGCAACATCAAAGACATTCGGTCCGGCTACCCACACCTGCACTCGTGGATGCGGAACCTGTACTGGAACCACCCGGCCTTCAAGGACACGACCAACTTCCTGCACATCAAGAACCACTACACCCGCTCGCACAAGCAGATCAACCCCTTCTCCATCACGCCGGTCGGCCCTCTCCCGGACATCCTGCCGCTCGATGAGGAGGTGCCTGCTCTGCAGCAGGCCGGGAAGCTGTGAGGACGGGACTTCCGTCGGCGGGGGGTTTCGAGTGAGCGTTTCCCGTGTCCGCAATCTTGCGGAACTGAATGCAGCCAAGGCAGTAATTCTGATATACGACATTTTTTGCGATTCACTTAGGTACACACAAAATGCAAACCTCATGTGAGCTCGTGAGAGAAACGCAAAAACGTAATTTCCTTCGATGACATTCGCGTGTGTGATGATGATAGCTAAAATGTCCTCCCATAGTATCTTGACGCTCTGACCTAATTCGGACTCTATCTCGTCTACCAGACAGAGCCAGAACGTCGAGGTCGTGCAATACAGCGTTTGGGATAGAATTGATTTTCCTGATCGTTGATACTGAGACTTTGTTCACGTCGAGCTTTCGCGGCAAAATCGACTTTCTAAATCATGACCTACATGAGTTTCGAGTTCGCACGCTCGCATAGTCATTTACAGACCAGACAGGCTTGTTTTAATGTCCAATTTCAAATGCTATTGCTTCTCGGTACCCATATACCAAAATGTAGCTACGTGAGTAGATAGTGAAAATCAGCATCATAACTCCAAGCAGCCCTTTACAAACATCCAAACACCAGCCGCCGTCATTAGAATGCTTTCTTTTTTTCCTCCCCTACAAATCCAAGGTGATGTGCAACAGGCAGACCCGCTATGTCCGCCAAAATACTTTACAAACTTCCTCCTCAGATGGTGCGTAATATCGACGAGCCATTAGATAATTATGTAAATGGTATGCAGGTCAAGCATGGGTCACATGATGTGGTGGTCCATGTCCAAAGATAGAAATCTACAGCTGCCCGGACAGGCATGCTTCGGTAGCTATGGTGCATTGTTAGTCACGGCCGCGAAATAATCAAAAAAAATGACGCGGAACGGGAAGTACTTACCAGAATTGATGTACGCCCTCCTGGCATCAAGCGGGACGCCGAATCTTCTCTCCAGCTCCTGCTTCACGCCCTTCTTGGTCACGGTCATAAGATCCGCCGTGCGCAGGATCTCACGGATCTCTGCCAGGAGCGCGTCATCGCCAGGCATGCCGGCGAGGTTGCTCATCTCGAGGTCGTTCTGGCTGCCGCCGAAGAATTGGCTGCCGCCGAACTGGCTTGCGCGGTTGCCTGGGGTGTTGCCGCCACCCATCATCTCGCTGGCCGCAAAGCTCAGGCGGCTCTGGGAGCCAGGCACCTTGAGGTCATTACCGCCATTGTACGGCCCGTGGCCGTAGTTGACGACAGAGCCGGGGCGCGAGGGCGAGTAACCACCCCAGCCGTACTCGGAAACGCCAACATTGGGGCCCGCCTTAGTCGCATAGCTGTAGCCAGAGACCTCGGAGCGGACATCGTCGCGAGCTGTCTGAGCGTCCCAAAGTTCGGCTTGGTACTCCTCCCACTTCTTACGGGGGATAGAGGCCGGGTCGAACTTGCCCTCATCAGAAATGACGACCTTCTTGCCCTTCTCACCAGCGATGACACGGGTGTTGCCCCAGTTGAAATCGTCCATGTGCCAGAAAGCGTACAGAGGGAGAGCGAACGAGTACACGGGAACTGCGCACACGTAGAGCAACATCCACCCGATCATTTCCCACTTGCGACGAAGAATGAAGATAATGGCCTGCAGACCGTAAATAGCACCGAGCATGATGAAGGCTGTCATGGGCACCACAGTAGCGTCGGTGATAAGGAGAACGATCAGGTAGACCAAGTAAGCAATTGTTACAGGTTGCACAACGGTGGTCAGCAGGTCCATGAAAACAATGAATCGCATGCTAAAGCAGCAGAAACCGCAAAGCTGGTTCATGGGCATGAGTTCCATCAGGTTGTGCACTGTGGAGTTGATCCAACGACGTCTTTGCGAGAGGAACACTGTCCAGGAGTCCGGAGCGATAGTCCATGCCTTTGCCTTCATCATATATTTCGTCTTGTACTGCTGGTGATGTCTCAGGAGCAGCGTCGTCAGGTATCGATCCTCACCCAGGTGGAGCAAGTTCTTCATATGCAGAGTGTCGACACGAATGGTTGAGTATTGCTCGACGACCTCCCGGCTGACGAAGAGTGGCTTGCCCGAATCCGCGGCGCGGATCCGGTACATGGTGAAACAACCGGGAAGACAGGTGACAGAGCCAAACAAACTCTCGAAAGCCTTGACTAGGTTGTGCGAGATATAGTACTCGTAGACCTGTATCATGGTGACGAAAGAGCTCTTAGCGTTGGTAAGAGCGGTCTCTCCGCAGACAGCGATCAGGCGAGTGTCGTCCAAGAACGAAGAGACGAAGCGGGTAGCAGAATCTGGAGCGACGACAGTATCTGCGTCCATCTGCAAGAGAAATTCGTAGAACGTGGGATTAACTCCGATGATGTTCCGCACTTGGTGGTACATTTCCAGTTCCAACGGGCTCATGGCCAAATTGTAATGGACACGGTTGAGGAAGCGCATGATGACCATTTGTGAGTCTCGCTTGCCACGGTTACCCGGACGGGAGACTTCAGAAGGCTTGCCCACTTTGACCACGACCATGAACGGAACAATGTGACCCTGTACTTCGTACAGACCAGAGTAGACCTTGCCCATGTTGTGCTGCTTCATTCCTTCACCGAGAGACTCGAAGCTGAGGGGCTCAGGGTCGACAGTCTCTGAAACTCCAAGAATGTCCAAAACAATACGAGGCGTGGGCCTGTCGTTACCTTGTCCGATAATCATGCCGTCACAAATCACAACCAGCAATTTGCGCTTGTCATCGTAACGCATACGAGCAGCTGAGTCGATGGCACGACGCAAAGAGTCCTCGTCTTCTGTGTAGGCTGGAATCTGACACATGATGAATTTGTCTAGATTCTCTGGGACGTTGTTTCCGCCAAATTGTAACGCGGCGAGGAACTTGACTCCAATGATGGAGCAGAGAAGGATAGACACGGCCAGAATTAAGTAGTTGGCGAACTGACACCGAACGGAATTCCTGGTGTCGACGTCTGCGATGTAAAAGAGGTTGTCCAGACACAGCTTCATCCGGGATTTCATGCTGGTGTCGATAGCCAAAGCGTCCCACAGCTTGGTAACATCTGCGCCGGCCCTTTGCTGGAAGAGATCGACAACGAGTGGATTCATGAAGTTGACCAGATCGCCGTCCGTTGGTGGTGATTCTCCAACAGGGGCTTCCATGCGTCGGCCACCAGCAATGTACTTGGTCAGATCGTAAATGCGCGAGCCTATGATGCCGACAGACTTCCCCTTGTTGCCCTGTTTCTTGATATATTCAGGAGTGTAGCCGATGTTGCCCTTCTTGAAGCCGCCTTGCTTGAGCCGGATCATCTGTTCCGTGAACCAGTCTGGACGACTGTCATTTGTGAAGTATCGGAAGTCATGATACTTGGAGTACAGGGAGGTCAGGCTGGTGGTACTCGAAGATCCCGTGAAGTTGGTCGATGTGTAGTCCAGGGTCACAGACGGGTCAACGGTGCCATCAACGCCTTGGCATAGGGCTGATACCTGTACTGGGAACAGATCGGTGACATCTACACCGGCGAATTTCTGGAGGGTCGTGTCCGAGATGTACGAGGGATAGTGCGTCGGCGCGAAAGCGTTCAGGTCGAAGACGATGCCGCGAATGGCGACGTAGGAGCCCTTGCCGTTTTTGCCGTTGTAATCCGTGAGCTCGGAAGAGCTGAACACATTCTGTTTGGGACAGATAATCGAGGGCAGAGCAATAGTGAAGAACACAGCGACCGCGCAGCTGAACCAGATGATCATGTTGATTGCCAGCTTCTCTCGCCAGGCCATGCGCACATCCTTTCGAGGCATTTTGCCCATGACACGGATGAGGACGTCGGGTACCCAGAAAGTTAGGACATAGACGAAGAAGACCCATCGCTTTCGAGTGCCACTGTCCCTGAATTCCTCAACTTCCTCCATTGTCTTCTCGTTGCTCTTCTGTGCCATCTCCTCGCGGGTCTCGAGGTTCTTGAACATGTCGCCACCGCCCATCGCAGACACTCCGGCATCTGAGCGAGCATCAACATCGTCGCTGCCAAAGTACCCAGACTTTGTTTTGTCGTTGTAGCCAGGTGTATTGCTTGCAGAGAGCAGGCGCTCTTTCGAAGCTGCGAAGGGGTCGCTTGGGGTCGCGCCAGGGGTGAGGTTGTCACCTGCGTCGGATGGCAGTCGATAACGGGTAGACTCCACCTCGGCAAAATTGGACATTTCCATCCAGCAGCGTTCACTGAGGAAGACACCGGTCGAGCCTATTTGCACCTCGTTGCTCGGCCACCGCTTCTCCTCAACAACCAGCTCGACCTTCTCCCGTTCGCTGCCAACGAGGATAGTGTCCGCGTCAGCCAAGCCCAGGAACTCGGCAAAAGGCAGAAACACTGTGAAGTCTGCTGAGCGCAGGCGTTGGCTGATCTCGGCAATGCCGAACGTCTGTACCTGTGTCCGCACACATTTGCTGTCGAACTGATTCGCAATCCTCCTGTCGTTGGGCTTAAGACAGAAAACAAAGTATGCGTTGGTGCCGGGCGTAGTCACAGACTTGGTGACGTTGTCCAGAGCAGATAAGAATTGACCGGATGCTCCCTGCTCGCTGTGGCGAATACTTCGCTTTGGCTCACTGGATTCCTCCTCCACCTTCTCAGACTCCTCATGAGCCGTGGTAACCGCGGTTCCAGGGCGCCTCACTGTACCGGGGCGGTACCTGTTCTTCCTCGACATGACGCTCGGAGCACGCGTAGGCTTGGAGCTGACGGTGGCTTGCATGACAGCAGTTCGCTCCTGTGGGTGAACGACGGTTTGCAGGGCCTCCTGACCAAACAGACGGGCTACAAAGTCGCTCTTGGTCGAGTTGATGAGATTGAGCAAGTCGCCAGAGATAACCTCACCGTTCTCTTCCACCAGGCCCTTTACAGCATATTCGACCTCTCCAGCAAAATGCCTGACAGTGAACGAAGCAGCGGCATTCTCGGATAGGAAGTTGCTACCTGGGAGTCTGGCAGTAGCAGAACTGACTGAGATGGCCGGGTTCTTGCCCTCGAATCGTTTTCTCAAGCTCTCCAGCAGCTGTATATCAGTGCGGTGACGCCGAGTTTGGTCATCAAGGATACTCAGCAGACCATTGCCAGGTTTCAGAAGCCCCTTAGTGGCATCTGAGTTGTCGAAATAGCTTGTTGCCGCGACAGACACCTCCTCGCTCTCGAGCAGTTCCGCCTTGTTGTCAAAGAAATTCTTCAATGTCAGGTTGTACAGAGCCTCCGTGGCAGCGTTGTTGAGAAGCTGGTCGATCGTGGAGTGGGTGGAAGACTGCTGAATGAAACCGGGGAAGTCGACAATAGAGACCGTGTTGGCGATAGACTCTTCGGGGGCACATATTCTTTGGTTAATGTTCTCTATGACGTACGCAACGAGCAACGAGTACAATGTCCTGGCGAGCTCGTTGGCGTTGGACCGAGCTCCTGCAGGATCCAACATGACAGTGACTCTTTCCTTGTGGATGATCTTGGTCTTGTAACCCAGGGTTGTCTGTAGGTCTTGCTGGCTAACTCCCAGGAAGGCCGCCACGATGCTCAGGACGTCCTTGTTCTTGACTGTAGTCGAGGTTTGGCCGCCCTCATGGGAGAAGCCACCACTGTCGTCCCCTGCGACTGTTGTGCTGTTGGATGTCTCGAACTCAAGCTGGCCGATGTGCAGAATAGTGGCTAGAATCTGGCAAATCTCTGCGATCTCACCCCTTGCGAATTCAAGTTTCCGCAGCGCCGTCTTGAACAGCTGAAAGCCCTCCACATCGTTGATGCCGACCTTGAGCTGGGTGGGATGGCCGAGGAACCTCCATCTCTTCTGACTGGTCCCGCCAGGCTGATCAAGACCAAGATGCTGCTTTTCAGCACCACTAGTCCCAGCGAGAAGGTAGTAGAGAACGTGGAAATTTCGCTCTCCGGTTGGTACTTCTGCGATCCTGCTCCGTTCGAGACGGTGATCAAGCAGCTTGCCACCAATCAGCTGAGGGTGTGTCGAGGAGGACGTGTCGTACTGCAGCTCGTAGAACAGACCAGCCTTGGAAGCAGTCGGCGTGGTGGCAGTCTTGGTAGTCGTCAGGGTGTCGAAGACGTACGCGGCTAGGGAGACCTTGTTGGATAGAGGCGTAGAGGTTTTGTTCAGGAGGGCGGTGAGGATGTGTGATCGCACGGTGGTCTTGCCAGAGCCGGATTCACCACTAATTTCAAGTCAGTTTTGCGAGACAATAGGACAGTGAGAGTACAAAAGACAAAGCGCGCTTACAGGAACAGGATGGCTTGGTTCTCGGAACGATGGCCCAGCCTGATGAAGGCCCTATCCGCCATGTCCTCGGCACCAGCCATGGCGCTTCCCTCTTTGCCCCCATCGTGGCCCTTGGTGGACGAGGTGTAGGTGTTGAGGGAAATCAGGGCGTGGGAGGACAGCTGTGCCGTCGGTATGTTGACATGGAATCGACTGGCGAGGTGTGCCGTGATCTGCGTGTCAGACTGAAGGTGAGCAGGCAACGAGGGCAGCGATGGTTGTGTGTGAGCACCACCGCTGCCGCCGCCGTGGACGTTTGACGCCATGGTGGACGTTGAGGTTCTTCCGAGACAGCCAGAAACGGCGTCTGGGGGATCCTGAGCCCAAGCGTTCCCTCTCCCAGTGAGCGTTGTGGTTCACGACTGAGGTGAGAAACCGTGCAGAATTGAGCGCTGCTACGCTCCCGGAGTCTTGTACCCAGACTCAAGGACGGCAGAGCAGATGTTTGCTTGTGGTTACCGCCGTGACAGACGTCTTGTTGAGCTCTTTTCAACTACAACACAGACCTGGGGTGGTAGTGATCGAGACTGTAGGTTTGACAGTCTCGAGATCAACGAACGGCTCAACAATCACTATAACTCGATTAAAAGTGAACGAGCGTCGACCAAAAAAATTGACAAAACGAATGTCTGGGTAGTATGATGAGGAGCAAGAGCAAAGGCAACAACAATATGCAAGCAACCGAATGCTTCAGAACGGATCACGCCCAGCCCTGGTCTAAGAGTCCGAAGGTGCGGGCGATACAACACAGCGAGTAGCAGCTAGGTGTAAACTGTACGTACAGTAGTACAGTGTACAGCATCAGGCGCCGCTCGGATTGGAGCCGTGGCTTGTTCAGGTTTACCAATGATTTCCGAGTGAAAGGGGGCAGCGGCCACGGACAAGCTGGGCAGTGTAAGGGACCATTCTGGGGCAAGTATATTTTTGTACGGCGTGCCGATGGAGCCAAGTGTGCAGGTTGACTCCTATACGAAGTCCAGGCTCCCTGCGGCGCACCCACTTGCCCAGACACCCAGACAACCAACCCCACCCTGGGGCCACCTGGGGCGCCGTGGACCATGGCACTCCGAGACCAGGAGACCCAGCCGGTTGCAGCGTCTTCAATTGGCCTGACTTTCTGGCGGTATTGTCGTCTGCTGGTTCATGGGCAGAAGAAGAATACGTCAGTCAGTCGGGGTTGGGCAGTCACGTCACTCGATGATCACAAGCTTCAGGTACCCATGTACATACGAGTAGTATAAGCAGGCACTGTTGTAAGTTACGAGCTCACCCATCCATTAGTGATCGTGTAAATGTACGAGTGCACGTGAGAGCGGGACCGCCGTTGTAGGCTGCCGCTGTTGTGGGCAGATGTCTTGGTCCTTTGTTGAGCATTCTGCGGTCCCGGGTTCTTGTTATTGTTGCTGCTGATGTTGTTGTCTCTGGGCGGCGCGTACCTTCGCCTGGCCAACCAAGTAAGTTCCGACGAAACAGGCGTGTGATCTCCATGGCTTGCTCGCAAAGCGTGTACAGAGAACAGCACGCACGAAGTGTGGTACCAGAGGCTCGCCGGTTCGTCAGCAAGCCAACTCTAATTTACGGGGTCCTGTGTGATCGGCCTTCCGCCCCTTTTCCACGGACAGGAGCTGTCGGCCTGGCTGATGTTGCTATACTACAGCATGCACATCGTAGGCCAGGGCACGGCCAGGGCACCTAAGTAGCATGGACTCCCAGTCTCCGCAGACGCGGTGTCCCGCAGGGTGCCTTATTATTTTGTATTGTGTTGTGCCCATAGCGTGGGGTAGGCAACGAATCGAATCGGACGTTTGGCTCAAGGGTGCGCGTCCTGCCGGTTCCCCGGAAACGATGCTGTGCAACCCAGCGCGGTGCTTGCATGCTTAGTAAAGACTACACTGTGATGAGTTGAGAAGCTCGGACAGGTAGCAATAGCACTTTGCTTGCATACGCGCGAAGTCAATCGAGAATGTGATTCTCCAGCGCGACAAGTTGGAACGGTATCCCCCACAATTGGTGTCTCGTACACATGACAAGTACAGGTCATAGCCTGGGCTGCTTTCTTCGTTACGCGGTTGCGGCCGCTAAAAAAAAAAACAAGGTATGTAGATCCTCTCAAGTGCAGGACAGGGTAGGGCAGGGCAGGGAGGCAGATCCAATGCACATCAATCGGCCGGTAGCAATGCAGATGGGTCAAATGGGGCCGAATGGATCAAGCAATGCATCGAATACATCGTGTCCGTCCCTGCTTTTCTTCGATCTTGCAGTATGTCAACCAAGGCAGCTCGTTTATGCTCAGCCTGGTTTTGTGGTCGGGCGATGGTATTCGGTGATGATGCTTGCGAAAGATCCATGGACGAAAGCGGAAAGGGGAACGGACAACTAGGCCGGCAGGTAGGGTCCAGGGTTGAGGCTGACCTGGGCTCGTGGGTCGAGGGAGGCGACGGGCGGGCGGGAACGAAGAAAAGAAATTGGAGTCGAGGGGTTCGGAGATTTTATGCAAAGTCCTTGTTGAGGCTAGCCTGTCCTGCTGTGTGCGTGTGTATCTGTTGGGTGTGTGTCTGCTGCTGTGGTACAGAATCCAGTATCATATTGCGAAATCGTGCTGGTACGACAGGACAGGAGCAGAGGAGGAGAATACTGTGGAATGTCTCTCTGGTTCCCCCAAGCTATTGGAATTGATTGCCCTGTCCCATTCCGACTCGCTGGGGCAGGGGGGGGGGGCACCCACTAGGTGGAGCGCCCGCTGTAACGGATACAGTAAACCATCGTTGCACGTTTGGTTGATTCTCCCCGAGATCAAGAATGACCTGCGAAAATTTGTGTCAGTCCTCGCACAATCCCTCGCACTGCACTGCACCGCGCCGCACGAGAACGAACTGCAGCAGGACCAAGGTGTTTCTGCATGATGACTGGGGAGGAGTCAACCAGTCATCAGTCGGTCTGGCTGGCTATCGATCGGCCTGTCGTGTTGCAACCGATTCGGATTTCTCGAACAAGAGTTTTTAGCTTCTCGTATTCCCTGCGCGGCCTCCACAGTTTTTGCCATCGCCCGCCCATCTGCACATATTTTTAGAGTGGCAGGCTGGCAGGATACGGATGCGGGCTGGCTGGATGGCGCACCACAAAGGGGCACCCCCGTACACCCCTATCACTCTCCCCTGACCAGACTGTGCCTGTCCCCCATTATTACGGTACCACCTGGCCGGCGCCGCCGACCAGGACAGTGCCAGTCGCGCCCCATCCACACGCGCAACGGCACCCTTTCAAGTTAGCCAGTCTCCCGTCATGGAAGCTTCCTTCACCTGCAGCTCTGGTCCTTCTCCAGGCCTTGCTCGCCTCTTTGGGTCCCACTTGCCTTGATCCAGCCTGATGATTCTCCGCCAGAATCATGCACCTTGGCCTCGTATTCTGCACATCTGGTCTCCCGAGTCTGCCGTAGTCTCTCGCTCTGTGCCGAATAGGTGGATCTGCCGTTGGGGTGGGATCATCCTGCTCAAGGCCCTGAAATCTACACCTCTCGGCCGGCCAGTAACAGTAGTAGTACTGTAAGCCTGCCTGTACAGCCAGCCCTCTCTCTAGCATCGGCCGACCCTTAGCCTTGCCGCTCGCTTTGCTACCAGTAGCCGTTTGAATACTGTGTAGCCCATAGTAGGGGACATTTTCTCTCCCATCTCTAATTCATCGTCGACTCTATCTGCAACCCTGAACCAACCCACTCACTCGCTTTGGTGGTTTGATTTCCAGCCGTTGATACTGTTTCCCGACCAGCTCGATTTGTTTCTTGTATACTTGCTGCAGTTTGTGTTGCAGTTGTTTTAATTGAACCGAGGAGAACGAGCCGACTCGTGGTTGGATTCCTTCAGCGTTGCCCAGCGAACCATCCGCACTTTCCCCAACCTCACCACATTCGCTCGATTGTTTCGACAGCATCCCAATCCTCTCGACCGGTAGAGCACAGCCCGAGAGTGCAACTCGCAGCAGTGATTCAAAGCTTGGGATATCCGTGATTTGTCCTGGTGGACGTCACGCAGAGAGGCGTACCGTCGCCCAACATGGCGAGCCGAATGTCCATGTACTCGGTGGCATCAGACATGCCTGGTGCTCCCCGAGGAACTGGCCAGCAATCGGCTCAGGTCAGCACCACCACTCTGCTGAACTCCATCCACAACATCTATGTCGAGGGCAAGCCCTACGCTCTCGATGCAAGCTCCAGTTTAGTCGTCAACACGTGGCTCACGGCCAACCCGCCACCACCAAACCCCTCGACCGGAGGCACCATCGACACAGCTCTTGGAGCCCGGGCCTGGGAGCACGCCAGGCGGAGGGCAGAGGATGGTTGTATAATTCTGAGGTATGTCGGATCACGATGCCTGGTAACAAGTTGTGAGGTATTCGGGGATGCTCTACGTCCTCATATATGCTGACACTCTCTGAACCACAGCTCTCTTCACACCTCAACACCGTCCGTTCTTGTGCCGTTCCTGCAAAATGGTCTGCCCATGCAGATTACGCCCATGCTCTTCAAGGCCCTCGAAGCAGTCCTCCCTTTTATTCGTTGTGTCACCCCACACAACCCATCTACTCCCCGCCAGGCCGGTCTCGCAGTGACCTTGACACTCAACCTCACCGGGGAGCTGCATGGTGCCTCCCTGGCACTTTCGCAAGGCGGCATCGACACGAAAAAGGGTCTGCTGAACATCCCTTCTGAAGCGGGAAACCGCGCTTTCGACGTATTTTACTACCTACTGAATGCGGGAGCAACCCCTGCGGAACGCGAGTTCCTCGGCCTCAAGAGCCCGGAAAGCTACACCCTCCTGTCACGGTCCAACACCTACCAACCTCCTTCGTACCTCATCAATGGCGACGATGGAGCGGCTGCCGACGATTTCCGTGATGCTCTCAAGCAGATCGGCATCAAGGGCTCAGCCCACAGAAACCTCATCTCGACCCTGGCTGGGCTGTTGAAGCTTGGAAACACCCTTGACTATCAGATCGATGAGGACGCCTTCGACGATATCATTGAAGACGCCAGTGGTCTGCTCGGAATCGAGCCGGAGATTCTTGCAACTCAATGCAGCACCGAAGACAGATCGACCTTCATTGGTGGACTCTACGAGGCTCTAGTGGACTGGGTCATCACCAAGGCGAACGCTGCGATCGCTGCCGAGATGGGCCGCGCACCACGCGGCGGTAGTGATGGCTCTGGCAGTGATAATGGAGCACGAACAAATATTTCAGACAACGATAATGAGGATACGGTCTGCATCACCGTTTTGGAGATCCCCGACCCGAACCTTGGCAAGGCCGTGGCCCTACGCGGTATCTTCGACGATACCATCGGTATCAATGCCGAGATGAAGCAAGATGGCGTTGAGGTTCCCGCCGCGGGGAGCTCGGTTTTGCGTGAAATGCAGAATGCCGTGGCCGCGGTTGCTCCAGATCTCGGAATTATGTCTGGCCCAGCTGGACGAGAGAGAGAGCACGAGTTGGAGAAGCGCGAGGAAGTGCTTGAGAAGCTTGCTCTTGCTGCCGACCAAGATGGCTTCCTCAAGAAACTGCTGTTCCCAGTCGAGGGTGAGGGCATCAATCTGGGCCGAAACGCCCGAGTGGAACTGGAGACTCTACTAAGCAGTAGCCGCGCTTGGTATCACCTCTCCCTCCACCCGACTGATGACTCGCCAGCCAGTATCGCTGGACTGCCTTCCATCACCTCTGCCTGGTCTGCTGGCTGCGTCTCGCGGCAGCTGCGTGCTTGGAGGTTGCCTGAGTGGGCCAATAGGCGGAACAAGAACTTGGATTTCACTGCAGATTTCGATCATGACGAATTCGTGCAGCGTTATTCAATCCTCGGGTGCCGTGATGGCAAGGACGGTATCGAGAGCTGGCTGCTCGAGAGGGGTTGGAGCAATGGCGAGGTTGCCGTTGGCAACGAACGTGTTTGGATGCACGAGAACGCATGGTGGGAGGCCGAGGGGATGATTGACAACCGGCAAGTCCCAGGCACAGGCATGGGAATGGGCGTGGGGATGGGTGCGGGAATGGGCGGGTTCATGGCATCCAACGCGCTCGAAACCGGATATTCCGCCAACACCAACGGCAGTGGCTACTTCGGCCAGTCTCCCTTCGGTGACGTTCATGCCAACGAAAGCAACCAGGATCTCCTTCACTCTAGGAACCGTAGCCAAGCCACTTTGCTTGGTCCCGCTGCTCTTGGACTTGGCCCCGGTGGTTCTCGGGCACCGTCCATCGCTCCTTCCCAACAGGCCCAGAGCATGCGTGCGCCACCCAAGGGTGACTATGGCCTCGGAATCAAAGGCGACTACCGCCGCCACGAAGACCAGTACTACTACAACAAAGAAGGCGAATTCGTCGGCCTCATGGACCCCGAACTTGCTGAAGGAAAGAAGATTGAGGAGGAAAGTATAGACAAAAGCCGGCGTGTCTGGGTTGCAATTGTCTGGGCGTTCACGTTCTGGATCCCCTCGTTTCTCCTTAGCTTCGTCGGTCGGATGAAGCGTCCTGATGTGCGTATGGCTTGGCGTGAAAAGCTTGTGTTGTGCTGGTTCATCGTCCTCGCCAACGCGCTCATCATCTTTTGGATCATCTGGTTCGGCACGCTACTATGTCCCAACTTCGACAAAGCCTGGACATCAAAGGAGGTTGCCACACATCAAGCCGACAACGACTTCTGGGTGAGTGTGCATGGCCATGTTTACGACATTTCCAAGTTCTGGAAGACACAGCACAGTGATAGCAACATCAAAACTACCTCAACGAACATGGAACCGTTCGCTGGCGCAAACCTCGATGGATACTTCATTCGGCCACTGATCATTACATGCCCTGGAGTTGTGACGGACAAGACCCTCAGGTTGACTCAGAACACGACCAACACTTATCCCAACGCGGAGCACACTTCCGGCTATTACCAGGCCGACACGACAACCGCTCTGGCCAACGCGAACTGGTACTATGAAACATTTGCGCCCAAGATCAAGGAGTACTACAAGGGCGACCTCACCTGGGATAAAGATAAGGTGTACTCTCAAGGCCAGGCTGGATACCACAATTGGGTCATATACGAAGACGGCGTCTACGATCTGACTGATTATTACAACACGCTAGACCTGATGAACAACTTGGCCAGCTATGAGTTCCTTGACAGCGACTTGACGGATATTATCTCAGACAACCTTGGCGAGGACATCACTTCCAAGTGGCACACTCTATTGAAGGACTCCACACACAACGCCACCAAGTCGGCTAGTCTCAAGAACAGCCTGAACTGTATCCAGAACACCTTTTACGTTGGCATCAAGGAGTTCCGATACAGCCCTAGGTGCCAGGTCAACAACTGGATTCTGTTGGCATTCGCCTGCATGCTGTGTGCTGTGATCTTGGTAAAGTTCTTGGCTGCCCTACAGTTCGGCTCCAAGCGGCGTCCTGCTCCTCAGGATAAGTTCGTCATCTGCCAGGTCCCAGCTTACACTGAGGGTGAAGACTCGCTCCGGAAGGCTCTGGACTCTCTCACAGCTCTCCAGTACGACAACAAGCGGAAGCTTATCTGTGTTATTTGCGATGGTGTCCTCACGGGTGCCGGAAACGATCGTCCTACTCCAAAGATCGTGCTCGACATCCTCGGTGTTGATCCCAAACTCGACCCACCTGCCCTGCCCTTCAAATCCGTCGGTACCGGAAGCGAGCAGCTCAACTATGGCAAGGTATACTCTGGTCTCTACGAATATGAAGGCAACGTCGTCCCTTATATTGTGGTTGTCAAGGTCGGCAAAGAGTCTGAGCAGAAAAAGTCAAAGCCAGGTAACCGAGGCAAGCGTGATTCTCAAATCCTGCTTATGAGCTTCCTGAACCGTGTGCACCATCGCGCTCCTATGAGCCCTCTTGAGCTTGAGATGTTCCACCAGGTCAACAACATTATTGGTGTTGACCCTGAGCTCTATGAGTACTTGCTGATGGTAGACGCCGATACCTGCGTCCGTGAAGACTCGCTGAACAGGTTGGTCGCGGCTTGTGCCAACAATGCCAAGATTGCAGGCATCTGTGGCGAAACTAGCTTGCAAAACGAGGAACGATCATGGTGGACGATGATCCAGGTCTATGAGTACTTCATCTCCCACAACTTGGCCAAGGCATTCGAGTCACTTTTCGGCAGCGTCACTTGTCTGCCTGGATGGTAAGCCGACATCCGATCAAACTATGTGTTGTATCCAAAGCTGACCAAGTATCTAGTTTCACGATGTATCGACTCCGGACATCTGACCGTGGCAAGCCGCTCATCATCTCGGACGAAATCATCAGCGAGTACAGCGACTGCCGCGTTGACACCCTCCACAAGAAAAACCTGCTGTCTCTCGGAGAGGATCGTTTCTTGACCACTCTTATGACCAAACACTTTCCCTACATGTCGTACAAATTTACTGGAGATGCCTATTGTCAGACGGCTGCCCCTGAGACATGGAGTGTGCTGTTGTCCCAGCGTCGGCGATGGATTAACTCGACAATTCACAACTTGGTCGAGCTGATGTGGCTCAAGGACATGTGCGGGTTCTGCTGCTTCAGCATGAGATTCGTCGTCCTGATTGATCTCACCGGTACAATCATCCTCCCGGCAACTACGATCTACCTCGGTTACCTCATTTATAGGGTAGCCAGCAACACTGGCCCATTCCCAACGATCTCACTCATCATGATTGCAGCCGTGTACGGTCTTCAGGCGCTCGTTTTCATTCTCAAGAGACAATGGCAACACATTGGCTGGATGATCATCTACATCTTGGCCTACCCTGTCTATTCATTCATCCTGCCCATCTACTCCTTCTGGAACCAGGACAACTTCTCGTGGGGTAACACCCGTATCGTCATTGGCGAGAAGGGTCAGAAGCAGATCGTCGCTGTCGACGATGAGGGTTTCGACCCTCGAAGCATTCCTTTGCAACGCTGGGACGACCACGCGCTGCACAACAACTTGCCTGGTCGGCGTGGCTACGCTGAGAAGGGCGGTATACATGACATGAACAACCCTTACGACACGGCCGGTGCTGAGTACGAGCTTGATGACATGAAGTCCGTGTACTCATCCGTACGCCAGCCCTCGGTCTTGACCGGCGCGCTTGGCCGCGGTGCCTATATGGCTCCTCCGCAATCCCCTGCGCCGTTCCAGCAGCACATGAGCCGCAACTCGACATTCACAACGCCATATACGGATCACCCGGGCATGGCTCCGAGGCAGTCCACGTACAGCGTCGGCACTGGCCTTGACCGGGGTAACTCGCCCTACCAGGACCGGGCCCAGTCTCAATTGGGCATGGGCGCTGGGCAGTCACGCGCTGGCACGGCCATGAGCGGGTACATGCAACAGAACCAGTCCGTTCTGTCGGTAGACTTCACCCGCGGTCCTGGCGCGGGTGGTCCCGACGACGCGGTCATCACCGAGTGTATCCAGTCCGTTCTGCGGGAGGTCGATCTCGACACCGTCACCAAGAAGCAGGTGCGCGCCTTGGTGGAGCAGAGGTTGCAGACCGAACTCGCGGGCGAGAGGAGGACATTCATGGACCGACAGATTGATAACGAGCTGGCGAACATGTAAAAGCAGTCCGAAGAATGAGGAGAGAGGAAAGCATTGCCAAACCTGTTGGACATATGTTTTGGAAAATATAATACATGGAGCAAGGCGGGTTAATGATGGCAACCATCTTGGGGGCATGAGAGTCACATCAGGATCTTTTGGTTTTTATCTAGCGGCGTCTGCATATCGTTCCACGGTCTTTCAACATTTATTTGTACGGAGCTGACGGGTCAGGATCTCGGGCGCTATAATACTGAGTGTCTGTATTTCGACATGGAAAGTTGAAATCCTCACCACATGCAAAAAGGCTTTCGCAAGTGGTGCGTGATAGCTCGTAACTAATTTATTGTGTATGACACTCCGTGCAAGCTCCTGAATGCTTTTCTCGTCTATACATGCATTTTATGCCCTGGCCACCAATACTAGCTGTCGGACGCCATGCGGGACCCGACCAGAAGCAAACTCACTCTATTCTCCCGACGCCCTTGAGCCTGAGATATACATCCGTCCCCCAGCCATACAAGCTCTGCACGGCCACGCCGCCGCCAAAGTACTCTGCGTAAGCCCGCCCCAGCGGCAGCCCGTACCCCAGCCCCGCGATGGAGCTGCCGCCATTGCTAGAGCTAGAGATGACGTTCAGAGCGTCGATGCTGCTGCTGCTGTTGATGCTGCTGCCGCCGCCGCCGCTATTGCCGGGCACGTCGTCGTCCTCGGACATGGTCGTGAACGAGTACGACCATATGTTGGGCAGGATCTCCGGGCCGATGCCGCCGCCGCGGTCGCGGATGCGGATGGTCACGCCGGGGGCGTTGTCGTCGAGGGGCCGTATGGCGTCGCTGGTGGAGGAGCCGCCCTCGCGCCTCGGCCTGCCCTGGTGGTGCCTGGGCGGCGGGGTTGACGACGGCGGCTGCGGCGGGTTGCCGGTGGGCGGCTCCGGGGCGATGGTGATGACGACGGGCTCGCGGGTCATGCCGCTCTCGACGGTTGCGCGGAAGGCGTTCTTGAGCAGCTCGGTGACGATGTACTCGAGGTGGTTGGGCACGAAGGCGAAGGTGGTGTCCGGGTCGCCGTCGATCTCCCAGCGAGGGCGGACGCCGTACTTGAGCTCGCAGATGTCGGCGACGAACTCGCCGCACGAGTCGATGACGCCGGCGGGCCGTAGGGCGGTGTCAATGACGCCGATGAAGGAGGGGTGGTCGGTGCAGGGGGTGGGCGAGGCGCCCGGGTCGAAGTGCGGCTTGGACGAGAAGTGCAGCGCTATGTGCTGCTCGGCGATGAGCCTGGTACCGATGCGCGCACGCAGGTGCTCGTCCAGGAAGCGCGTGACCTCGCCAGGGCTTATGTACCGCCTGCACTCGAGGAAGCCCTGGGCTAGGATGGGGATTGTGTCGGTGTGGGTGTGGACCAGCTCGGCCAGGACCTCGGTGAAGCGGATCTCATCGTCGAGCGTGGAGAGGGTGTGCTTGCTGTTCGGAGAGTCCTCGAGCCACGGGAGCAGGGTGGAGAGCGAGTGCTGGTAGTTGTTGTAGATCTTGGTGATGTGGCTGTTGGACACGACGATGTAGGGCAGGTTGCGCAGGGCCTGGATGCGATGGGCGAGGCGGATGGGCAGCAGGGAGAGCGTGAAGCGGGCGGACGAGAGGAGGGCCTCTGCTGAGAGGGGTGGGCGGCCGTGTCTGCTCTGATGTTAGAATGGGCCTTCACTGGTTGTTCAGGTCAAGGGCTGAAGGGTACAAGGGATTTATTTACTTGACGAGGTCTGCGAGGCTCAACTGGTGAAGAGGCTGCTTTGCCAGGCGAGGGACCTGGTCATCGTGATGAGGGAAGCTCGCGTGCCTCTGGGGTGAAGGGGACGACGAGAACAATCTCGTGTGCGTGCATGTGCGTGTACGTGTCTGTGAGCTGCAAAAAAGCTGGCTTGAGGCTTGCGAGGAGTGAGAGCACCTCAGTGGCCTCACGAGAAAATTCATGGCGGCATTGCAGACGACTGAAGAGGGCGGTGAGCTCTCATGGAGTTGCTGCAGTTCTTGGGGGAGTCATTTGAGTCGCTCGGTGCGTATGCGAGTTTAGTGACCTCATCGGGAGCTTGCAGGTGGTTGAAAGCGGTGGGCAGGGGCATGGCTCCTCGCTGCAGCCTCTCGGCTGTAGTGCTTAGCGATCAAGCACAACGGGCTTGTGCACTACGACGGCACAGTACCAGAGCACCTAGCGCCTAGGTAGGGTAGGGACACGCATTCAGTTAGTCCAGCCAGTGGGTCGATCCGCGAGTGGGCGGGCTCTGACTGGACCCCTGTAGATAAGATAATGTGCTGTGAGACGGTGACGGTGGTGGGGTGGGCATGGCACCTTTTACCCCGCGATGACAAGAGGCGTGGGGGGAAGAGGAGAACCAAGAACAGAGCGCAGCGCAGTCCAAGGCCTGACAGGGAAGGAAAACAGCCGCAGCGGCTCAAGAGCATTGCAAAGTATGGTTATTGTATCATTGCTCGTTATATCAGATGTCTGTCTGCTGTCTGTAGAGCCAGCCCCCTCTCACGAGGAAGCCGGATGCTGGGCCGCTCTATGGAACAAGTCGATCTCTCCCACTCGTCTCTACTGTGTCTTGACCACCTGGTCCTTCTCGACTGCCTTGACGTGCTCGTGGCTCTCGAGCGTGCTGATAGAGTCTTCGGGGAAATCAACACTGCATCAGGGGGTTTGAGTATTAGTAGTCTGCATTGCGGCCGATGCAGCCAGCCGGGGTAGCAACGTACGAGAAGCCCTTGATCAGATTATAAGAGTGGCCGATCTTGCCTCCCTGCTCCTCGGCATGCTTCTTTGCACTGTATAATTGATCAGCCTGGCCGTTGGGTGCAAGTCAGGTATTGAGCTGCAGTGGTTGATCTTACGCATCGACCTGATCGGGGGTCGCATCCTCCTTGCAGGTAACCTGTGTAAAGGGCATTGTCAGATACAGATGTTCCCGGGCAGGACGGGTTCCTCTAGAGCCCCAAATGGTCGAGACTCACAATGTAGGTAGGCATGTTGGCTAGGGTATTTTTGGTTTTGGTTCGAGATCCAGTTGTAGTAGGCAGTGTTGCTGTTGTGTAGAAGATGTTGTTGTGGTTGTGATTGTGTTTGTGATTATGAGGGTGGAGGAGTGGTTGTCCCTTATTCTTATAGGGGATCAAGAAACAGCAAGACTTATGGAGCAGGCAATCACAAGCAGCAACACAAGCGCGAGAACCAGCACGAGGCATCAAGTGGGCATACGTCATGCTGTCAAGGTGGGCACTGGGCGGGCACATGCTTTGCTGTACAAATTCTTGTACGCACTCACAGGCGGATAGACGCGGCCAGCCCCCACTATTCCTCTTCAACCTGCTGTATCGTGTAAGTCCAGCCCAGGCCATTCCCAGTCCACATGGGCGTCAAGCGGTGCCCATCCTTGAAGCTCCGGCCTGCCAAGGTGTCTCATGCCTACTGTATTCTTAGTTCGCTCCTCCGCTGTCCACTCACATCGAGATATCTGCCTCGCAACTTGGAAGGGCGACATACTTGCTTCTGAGAAAGCTTGTGTCGTCCTGCAACGCTACTCACGACATAACGGCATCGGACGGGTCGGCAGTAATAATCTCTAAACTCTGAGGCTGCGGGTGCGTGCATAGATATGTATGTTGCTAGGAAGCCGTTCCGTCGGGTCGTATGATGCAAACGAAGTGCAACAATCCCGTACCTGTGCCAATTTCCATATAATCTTTCAGTTCTCACCAGCCTATGCTATTGTTGCCGATCATGTTTTCAATCATCGGCATGGCTGGAGCCGTAGAAGAGATCCATCATGAACATGCAATCACTACCTGTTACTCCCAAGCGCAAACGTGGTGGTTCTAGTGATGACTACCTAGAGGGGGCCTCTACCGTCTCAGGGTCTGCGCGAAAAAAGGCGAAATTGTCTCCTCAAACACCTTCCAAATCGGCGTTGGCCAAAGCCGAGGCCGCGAAGAAGAGGGAATGGAAGGCGGCCTGGAATGAACATGTCAGGCTTTCCTACTGGCAAAAGGATGACAGTTACCGACAGAAGGTCAATACTTACGAAATCCATCGGTCTGACGGTGTGTTATCCCCGGCTCATGGAAACGCATCTGTGATTCGAGGCTGACTTTCTTACAGCGATGCAATTCTACCGACTCAAAGCAGCTGAGATGGATACTCTCCCTTACTGGGAGTTTGAAAACAACAATTATCCCTCTCATCCCGGGCGGTCATACTCCCACGAGGGTGTTCTCATGCTCGTCAGTCGTAAAGCTGCTATGCTTGCGGGGCTGCACGAGAAGGGGCTCCGCGAGCACGATCTTCTCAGACAAGGGAAGGAACTGTTCAATGATGAGTATGAACAACTCGGTGAATATAAGTTATGTTGTTCTAATCTGTCACAGGCAAGCGCGGCTTCTCCAACGAACGCCCAACAAGAAGACAAAGCCACGCTTGTGGAAGATCGTCAACCGACACGCCAATCGCGAACGAATGGACTGGGTCTCGATGCCGTCTGGCTCTTGGGAATCGCCTGTATGGGAACATGGCAAGGTCGTCGGCCACTGGCTCAATTATCAGTTCGACCCCAACATTGGCCCTGAAGATGACTGGATGTTTTCCCCGGCTAGGTTTCGTCCCTTGGGATCATCGCAGCGCATTGAAATGCCGTGATTTAATCATAGGAAACGGTGGGTGAGCCATGCTCTGGCCACCACTCTTTTAATTCAAGGCAGGCCGACCCTTCGGATGGTGGTGATGGCTACAGGGCCCAATACACTTCCCGCTTTCCCAAACATTTAGATATCACCTTGAAATTGTGAACCTGTCCCATCACGGCTCATCCAGTAGCTCACCCAGGCAGTTTTGACTTGAGTGCGTGTACTTGACTTCTTCTACCCGCAATGTTGACTAGCAGATGCTCAAATATGTATGTTCTCTCAGCTCGTAGAATCTACGCACGTGCACTAACACCTAGGTTAAGAGTGGTTGATTCTTGAGTATTAACAGATTAGTGAATTTTGTGCATTTAGGGAGTGAAGTCAATACACGATGTGTCTGGTCACTGTGGAAGCCATGCGGCAGCAAACAGTTTTGATGGATAAATCCATAAATGCACGACAACGACAGCGCTCGTGGTGGACTGGACGCTCGCAAGGTGCGGCCGACTACTGCGAAATCCTTTTAGTGCTCCGCATATCGCTGTGATGCTCATATGGTAATCGAATGTGTGATTGCGAAAGTCTCTACTGGAACGTAAAGGGGGATATTATCGATTATCCTCGTTTGTTCTGTTGGTCGTGGTCCGCACAGAGGTTTCGGTGTAAGTGTGAGTAAGTTACTTCCTAGGTTCCTTTGCAGCACTAGTACCATCCCTGCAAGGGTCCCTGTCTAGCTAATCGATAAACGATAAGATAACCACCGCTCTCAAAATTTCTAGAGTTCTGCCTTTTGCGCAACTGCAACCCAGATTTCTCTCTGTGTGGAGTTGTGAGGATTTTCAGCCCAAGATTCTGCAATCATGGAGGCGCAAATCAACAAGCCCCACCGGAAGCCCAAGGAGAAGAAGAAGCATAATGGAGGTATGTCCTGTTCCGGCAGCACAATTTAATTCAAAGCTCTGCTATTTCTGGCGCCGTACGCTGGACTCGCGATTGACAGAAGCCGCGTCCAGACAATCCCAAGGCCTTTGCAGTGCACAGGCCCGGTAAACTGCAGACACAAGCTGCACGATCCTCAGATATAAAAGAGAAGCGCCTACATGTGCCTCTCGTCGACAGACTTCCCGATGAACCGCCACCTCGACTCGTCACCATCGTCGGCCCCCCAGGGGTCGGCAAGACGACACTCCTCAAGAGCCTGATCCGCCGATACTCGAAGGAGACGATATCAAACCCCCAGGGGCCCATAACTGTCGTCACTTCAAAGAAACAACGCCTGACTTTCATCGAATGCCCCAACGAGCTCGAGGCCATGGTCGACATCGCCAAAGTAGCTGACATTGTCTTGCTGATGATAGATGGCAACTACGGTTTCGAAATGGAGACAATGGAGTTTCTGAATATCCTGGCTGCGACTGGTATGCCAGGCAATGTCTTTGGAATTCTGACACATCTCGACCTGTTTAAAAAACCACATACCCTCAAGGACGCAAAGAAGAGGCTAAAGCACAGGTTATGGAGCGAGCTCTACCAAGGCGCACATTTGTTCTACCTTTCCGGCGTCATCAACGGACGTTATCCCGACCGTGAGGTACACAACCTGTCTCGATTTCTTTCCATCATGAAGAACCCACGACCATTGATTTGGAGGAATTCACACCCTTATACTATTATCGACAGTTGGCGCGACATCACACATCCAACCAAGATTGAGGAGGACGAAAAGTGTGACCGATCAATAGTGCTCTCCGGCTATCTGCGTGGCACAAATTTCGCATCACAGGGTCAAAGAGTGCATATACCAGGCCTGGGTGATTACACTCTCGCAAATGTGGAGGTTCTGCCAGACCCGTGTCCAACACCGGCCATGGAGCAGGCCCTTGCTAAGATTACTGGCAAGACCGGCCGGCGGCGTCTAGATGACAAGGACAAAAAGTTGTACGCACCAATGTCGGACCGGAGTGGGTTGCAGGTAGATGGAGATGCCATTTACATCTACCGAGACAAGGGTTTCACTTTCGACAAGGACGCCAAAGACGTCGAGCGAGGCGAGGGCGAGGAACTCATCATAAATCTTCAGTCTGAGAGGCGTCTCCTGGGTCAGACCGAGGATGGAGTGCAACTGTTCGCAGGCGGCGAGGAACTCAAAGAGGCTGGGGATGACGACACCGGTCGCAAGAGCCACAGACAGGCAAGGCTTGCTGACCAGAACGGTTTCGACGGGGAAGACGATCTACAGGACGGCGACGACGACTCTCTCCCAGATGCAGATGCATCCGACGTCGAGACCGAGTTCAACGAGCAAAAGCTGGGCAAAATCTTTCGAAAGGATACTGACAAGGACGGGAATAATGACGATGTTGCTTTTGCGGATAGTGATTCGGACCTGGGCTCAATATCAGGCGAGGAAGACTCAAATGACGAAGACTTAAGTGACGAGCAGGATTTTGACTCTGACGACGAGGAGGCCGCTCTCAAATGGAAGGAAAACATGGAGGAGCGGGCTAAGCAACGTCATGGAAAGAAGAGCCCATATCAGCCCGCAAGTTTGGCAAGAATGCTCTATAACGACTCCCTAAGCATATCTGACATTCTCAAAAAGTGGCGAGGGGATGAGGAAGAGGGGGAGGAAGAGGAGGAGGAGGAGGATATTGAGGCTGACTCTGGGGACGAGACTTTCTTCAAGAAGTCCAAGAATGAGAAGGAAGATCTTGCGGACGACCGTTCAATACCCAATTTTGACTATGACAAACTGACGTCGTACTGGTCAAACGAGGAGAGCATTGAAGCTCTGAGGCAGAAATTTACTACCGCTACCTTGTTGGACGATGAGGACGACGGAGAAGGGGACGATGATTTCGACGGCTTTGGCTCAGGAGATGAGCCTGGCGAGAGTGACAATGACGATGATGACGAAGGCGACGGGGCTTTCGAAGATCTTGAGACTGGTGAGAAGCATGGACCGGCGGAAACAGATCTGGAAGCTGAGCGGGAGAAGAACGCTCGCCGGAAAGAAGAGCTCAAACTGCGATTTGAAGAAGAGGACCGAGAAGGCTTCAACAACGACAAAGCGAAAGCTCGACGGGAGGGCGGAGGTGACGATGAATTCGGCGAGGACGACTGGTACGATGCCCAAAAAGCCATGATACAGAAGCAGCTGGACATCAACAAGGCCGAGTTTGAAAACCTGGATGAGAGACAACGATCGCTAGTGGAGGGCCACAGGGCGGGCAAATATGCCAAATTGGTCATCGAGGGTGTGCCGGCTGAGTTTGTCAAGCAATTCAACGCCAAGATGCCAATCATCGTGGGAGGTCTCTCAGCCACCGAGGACCGGTTTGGATACGTTCAGGTGCGAATCAAACGGCATAGGTGGCACAAGAAGATCTTGAAGACTGGCGACCCGCTCATTTTCTCGCTGGGTTGGAGGAGATTCCAGTCGATGCCGATCTACAGCATTTCAGACTCCCGAGTACGGAATAGGATGCTGAAGTACACGCCGGAGCATATGCACTGCTTCGCCACCTTTTACGGTCCCTTGATAGCGCCAAATACTGGTTTCGTCAGCTTCAACTCCTTCTCATCCTCCAACCCGGGCTTCAGGATAGCAGCCACAGGCACCATTTTGAGCGTGGACGAGTCCACTGAGATCGTCAAAAAGCTCAAACTGACGGGTGCGCCCTACAAGATCTTCAAGAACACGGCCTTCATCAAAGACATGTTCAACACCTCGCTCGAAATTGCCAAGTTCGAGGGCGCCTCCATCAAGACGGTCTCTGGCATTCGAGGTCAAATCAAACGCGCTCTATCCAAGCCGGAAGGGCACTTCCGCGCAACCTTTGAGGACAAGATCCTGCTCAGCGACATTGTGTTCTTGCGCGCATGGTACCCCATCAAGCCGCACCGCTTCTACAACCCCGTGACGAACCTGGTTGGGTGGCAGCGGGCGCGACTGACGGGTGAGATCCGCGCCGAGCAAGCCCTTCCGACTCCACAGAACAAGGACAGCCAGTACCGCAAGATCGAGCGTGCGGACAGGCACTTCAATCCGCTGCGCGTCCCCAGGAAGCTCGCGGCCGACCTCCCGTACAAGAGCCAGATCGTACAGACCAAGGCCCAGAAGAAGCCGACGTACATGCAGAAGCGCGCGGTGGTTCTCGGCGGCGAGGAGAAGAAGGCGCGGGACTTGATGCAGAAGCTGACGACGATCCGGAAGGATGTTGCGGAGAAGAGGAAGGCCAAGAAAGACGAGAACAGGGCAGAGTTCAAGAAGAAGATGGCCGACATGGCCGAGAAGAAGGCCGCGAGGGAGAAGAGGGAGACCAAGGAGTGGTGGAGCAAGGAGGGAAAAAAGAGGAGAAACGGGGAGGAAAGCGGTGGCGGTGGGAAGAGGAGGAGATAGAGAGCCACATCAGAAAGCTTAATCCACAAGAATTGAGTCTGGGAGCATCCCATAGAAGATGGTCCCACAAAGGACACATTTTTTTGTTCTTCTTTTTTACCTATTTGGTCCATTTGCTATGTATGTGATCTACAACCAACTGGATCTACTCTAAGCAAATATCCTGAGGCCGAAATCAGCCGGGTCGTTGAAGCGCAGCCCCTTGTCCAGCGCCGAGATGGACTCAATTTCCTCAGCGGTAAGATCGAAGTCCACCGAGTCCAGGTTCTGCGCCAGCCTCTCCTGGCTGTTGCTCTTGGGGATCACGATGATATCCCGCTGCGTGGCCCAGCGCAGCAGGACCTGGGCGGGGGTCTTGCCGTGCTTCTTGGCGGCGGCGGCGACCTTGTCGTTCTCGAACAGGGGGCCGACGTCCAGGGCGCGCTTGTTCTTGAGCTCGATGAAGCTCTGGGGGCCGAAGGAGCTGTACGCCGTGACGGCGATGCCGTTCTCCTGGCACATCTGGATCAGGCTCGGCTGGACCAGGTACGGGTGGTGCTCGACCTGGTTGACAGCCGGCTTGACCTTGGCATAGCGCAGGACGTCGTACAGCAGCATGGCGTTGAAGTTAGCCACGCCAATGGAGCGCAGGATCCCGCTGGGGTTGTCCTTGCTGATGACGAGCTCCTCGAGGGCTTGCCACGTCTCTTGGATGGGCACGGGGACTTGCTCCGTCACCTTTTTCTGAGCCGCATCAGCCCAGAAGCAAGGATACTTCAGCTCAGACATAGGGATGTGGCGCTGGGCGATGGGGAAGTGGATGAGGTACAGATCGAGGTAACCGACGCCCCAGTTCTTGTTCTCGAAGTTGGCCATCTCATGGACGTGCTCACGGGCGTGGTAGTTGTTCCAGAGCTTAGAGACGATGCTAGGGCCTTGGTTAGGATAACCATTGGGTAAATAAGCTCGGCTAAGCTACTTACAAGAGATCCTCACGCTTCACAATGCCCTCATCGAGAGCCCTGCGCACACCCTCACCGGCCTCTGCCGAATTCTGGTAGTCGTGGGCACCGTCGATGTGACGATATCCGAGCTTGATAGCGTTGTAGACAGAGTCGGCGGCGTTCTCCTTAGGCACCTTCCAAATGCCATAGCCAACCAGTGGCATGTTCTGTTTGTGAGGGCATTCGTTAGTCATAGAGGTGGCCGCGAGATTATTGCTGGCCCAACGGGCAGGTGTGAGAAGCTACTCACATAGCCGGAGGACAGCTTGAGAGACTTAGACATGGTTGCTGAGGATCTTGAGAATTGTCTAATGGTGTTGCGAAGCATTGAGGCTTTCTAGTGACTTGTTTTGAACGCACAATCAAGACACGGGGCCGTGAGGAGACCCTTTATAGATGGATACTCCAGAAATCAGTCGACTCGTGGTCTTATTTTATTTTTTTCAAGCGCCTGTCGCATGCGCATAGTGACATGCCAAGCATATCGCGGGTATATCTGTGCAACTTTCCCCCCTAGGCTCATTGCATCGATGCTGCCTCCACCTGACCTCCCTTTCATGCGCATCATGTACACTGTACAACAGCCTGAGCAATTCCAGTACTGCAAACACCGCTCGGTACGCGTACAGAAATTCGGTAGCCATGACGCGCTGAGTACCAAGGCTCGCGCAGCGGCCCAAACTAAGAAGCGTCTTGCTCTTGCCGGCAAATTTCCCCATCCCCCGCCTTTTGTGTTCGCGTGTCAATGCGGGGCAGCCGCGCCAACCAACTCGACCCCCAACAAGTTTCGAGCGATGTCGCTCGGCTAAAAGCAGTCCGAATGACATTTGGCAGAACGGTCAAGAGCCGTTTCTGCGCCGGTGCCCTCCCGTCTCCGCTTTACGACGGGACGGCCATTTTCATCTTCATGATTCCGATTTCTGAGCTCTTGCGCCACTGTCCATCGGCCTGTTGTCGGAAACACAGAAGCTTGCCGTCGTCTCCAACACACCCCAGTATCTGTCCGTCGTCGTCGAACCCGACCCTCCACATCGGAGTCCTGTGGTTCTCCAGCATAGATAGCGACTGCATCGTGTGATAGATGTGTCCAGCCTGGTTCTTCCTCCTGTCGCCCTCGGCTGTAGGGTGGTGCACGCCCTGGCTGATGCCCGAGGGCTGCTGTGCCTGGCTCCCACCTGATCCGTTCCCGGCAGCCCTGGACGAGGTCTCTGGACGGGATCCGCCCTTGACCAGGTCACTCGAGGACCATGTTCTGCCGTCGTTGTCGTCGTGCGGTGTGTCGACCCGGATGACTCTCACGTAGCCATCCATACAGGCCGATGCAATGATATCGTAGCCCCTGATATTGCCGGGCGCCCACGCGACATCTCTGACCAATCCACGGTGCGCTGATACCACAGCCGCCTCGTAGAACTCCTTCTTGGTGGAAGGGACACCGTAGGAATGAATGACGACGTCGCGCGTCCGGTAGATCTTGACCTTGTCCATGGCAGCAACAACCAGACTCAGCGTGTCGGTAGGCATGCCAGCGCGCAGGGCGTTGTAGCAGGGGTCAATGTTAGGGTCGAACCGCACGCGGAAGGACGTCTCCTCGCCGCGGGCGGGCTTGTCGCATACCGACAGCTCGTCCATTTGGGTCCAGTCGGACAGGTTTTCGGACATCTCATTCTCATAGACAGTCAGCCGGCCGTCAGCGGCCAGGAGGGCGAGATGGGTCTGGCGCGTCTCCTCGTTGTGCTTGAGGGAGAATGAGCGGTATGGGGCGCGCGGAGAGCGGTGTTCGAAGGCAGCTTTGGCATTGTCCTTTGAGCGATTGCCAAACCGACGGCCCGGGGCGGCGGATGGGTCTTCTGCCCAGAGCTTGAAGCGGCCCTCTATCCCCAGTGATGCGACGAGGTTGGGATAGACGGTTGGCGGTAGCCATTGCAGCTGGGATGAGCTTTAGCAGGTGCGATATTTGGGTTCGAGAGACGCCAGACAGGACTCACTTCGAGTATCTCTCCCCCATGAGCAGTCCAAGTATCACATAATCTCCAGATACTGTCCTTGTGGCGGTTGAAGACCCTGATCTTGCCATCGACTGACCCGGTCGCACACCGGTCACCGTAGGCATTGAATGCCACCGCTTGGACTAGGTCGTGATGGCCATGCTTCATGATCAGCTCAAACTGAGCTCGTTCCTCCGTTGCGGGAGGCTCCCCCAAAGATGGTGCCATGCTTGTTTATCCGATGTCAGGGGTTATTGGAACATGACATTGTCGCTGCGTTGAGACTGAGCTGGTTGATTCATCCGTCACGGTGAAAGTCAACTCAGATGAGACCGTGTGCTGTCGATGGTGGTCCGTGCGTCACAATCCAGAGGCGCGGTAGAGGACACTTGTGAGCTTGAGTATGCAAAATTTAGGCAGTGATAAAGGTTGCTATTATATGAATCAATTATAGAGGTGTGAGATAAGAACAAGAAGCAGACAAAAAGGAGAAATTACAACAAAATTGGACAGTTGTACAGCTTGCAGGGACCCCAAGGTCTGCCAGTCACCAAGAGAACGCAGAAATTAATAGGTCAGACCTAAATACCTGATACTTACTGTCCTGCAGCTTGTAGGAGGCGATTTCATAAGTGATTATCCCATAGATAATTATCACAAGGACTTTACCAGAGGAGTGTGTCCCAGAGGAGTGTGTCCCAGAGGAGGCTATCCCAGAGGAGGTTATCCCAGAGGAGGTTATCCCAGAGGAGGTTATCCCAGAGGAGGTTATCCCAGAGGAGGTTATCCTACAGAAGGTCATCCCAGGGCAATCATCACAAGGAGGTTATCCTACGAGAGGTCATCCCATAGGAGGTTATCACATAAGAAATTATCCTACCGGAAAGAGTGTACCGGATAAGGTTATGCTCGAATGTTTTGGGACCCTGTGAGCTGGTAATTCTCTGGATCCAGCTGGCCAGAAGACACTTGAGATGATACACTCACTGAATGCAACACACCGCTTTCAGAAGACTTGCATGCCAATAGCCCCATGTCAGCCTGAATTAGAGTGTCGAGGTCGGTAGTTGAACATCACCACCCATGTGGGCAGACATACCCGGGTAATTTACGGGAGTACTTAGATGTTTCCGTAAGCCCCGTACCGTGTATGAGTAACGGCTCACAGGCCTGAGATGGGTGATCCCGCCGTAAAGCAACTCAACAGGACTGTCTGCGCCACACCACACGAACACACATCGTCATCACGACACCACAGTTTGGACACGTCTTGAGGCTGAATGAGGCTGTCTCACATGTCAGGACAGGACCCTGAACTTGCCCTGGACCCACTGGAGGTCGCTAAAGCATCCTTATTTATAGTGCTCCAATCGGCTGCCCCAATTGGACCAGCGCCCCAGCTGCCTCGGGACTTGGTGGGGTCCAGCCCGGGAAGCTCCAGCGAGCTGCGTCACCTTGGCCCCTTTGGAGACGTCGCCTTTTTGGCCCGGCGCAGGAACAAAACTCCACATTCGTCACTCGCGTCGACGTCGATCAGATTTCACAACTGCACACACACGCAGCCGCCAGTGTACCCGTTCTCTTGGGCTATGGGACGGGCCTAGCATCTCATCCCCTCACTTTCTCACTCCCTCCACTCCACTCCCACACTTCTCCGCCATGGCGACAACTCCCAAGCTCACCTGGACCGAGACTGTCAACCTGGCCGCTCTCTCCGCAGCCTGTGGCACCATCCTGGCCAACACCTTCCGTGGCGAGGGTGAACCCTTGATCGCATCGCTCGCTCTGAGCGGCATGGCCTTTGCCGCTGCCTATGCCATGATCCGCTGGTTGGGCCCGACCTTCATGAAGGCCGGGCTGAAGGGAGTCGACATGTCCAAGACCAACAGGAGGGAAATCCCAGAGTGCGCCGGCGCCATCTGCGCTGTGGTCTACCTGCTCGCCATCATCGTCTTCACCCCTTTCCCCTTCTACAAGGACATTGTTGCTGCTACCAGCGGAGGCGGGAACAGGGATGTCGTTCTGCACGCCGAGCACGTCCACGAGGGACGCTTCTTGCACAAGTTTCCTCATAGCAAGGTGAGGACACATGTCAACTCTGCCTCTTGACTTGTTCGGCCACTGACTAGGGACCATGCGACAGCTCGCCTCCTTCCTGTCTGCGATACTCTCGCTCCAAGCCATCACCATCCTCGGAATCGGCGACGACCTTTTCGACATTCGTTGGCGGCACAAGTTCTTTATCCCGGCCTTCGCCTCGATCCCCCTCCTAATAGTCTACTTCGTCGATTTCGGTGTTACTTCCATCGTCCTCCCTATTCCACTTCAGTCACTTGTGGGGAAGGAGCTGGTTGATCTCGGGGTCATGTACTACATCTACATGGCGGCATGTGCTATCTTCTGTCCCAACTCGATCAACATACTGGCTGGCATCAACGGGATCGAGGTCATGCAGTCCATCGTCGTGGCACTGCTGCTGGTACTCAACGACGCGCTCTATCTCACGACGGCGTACCCGCATCCTGCCGTGGACAGCCATCTGTTCAGCTTGTACTTCCTCCTGCCGTTCCTGGGAGTAAGCTTCGCACTCTTCGCGCACAACAAGTACCCTGCGCGCGTGTTCGTCGGAGACACGTACTGCTACTTCGCAGGCATGGTTTTTGTCGTCGTCAGCGTCCTGGGCCACTTCAGCAAGACCCTCATGCTGCTGCTGATCCCGCAGATCGGCAACTTCCTGTACTCGGCGCCCCAACTGTTCCACATCATCCCCTGCCCGCGCCACCGGCTGCCCAGGTTCAACTCAAGGACGGGGCTGCTCGAGCCCTCGGTCACGCCCTGGACCCCGGAGAAGCAGCCAAGGAGGTATGTCGGCGTGGCCATCCGCCTGCTGGAGCAGCTGCGCCTGATCAAGGTCGTCACGCAGGCCGACAAGGAGACGGGCGAGGAGCGCTTCATGGAGACGAGCAACCTGACCATCCTGAACCTGTGGCTGGTCTGGCGCGGCCCACTGCGCGAGGACCGCCTCGCCTGGGAGCTCACGGCCTTCCAGGTCGCCTGCGGCCTGTTCGGCCTCTTCGTCCGCCACAAGCTCGCTCTGCTAGTCTTTAAGGAGGACAACTGGGGTGTGGCCGTTTGAGCACCTATGCCATCGCGGCTGAGTGATTTTATGTATTTTTGGTTCAGATATCTGGTCTTGTCCTTTTTCCTTTTTCAGGGTAGTGTATTTCCCAAAAGACCGAAACTGTACATAAGGGATCTTGGCGTTTCTAGGAATGATACCAGGTTGTTTACTCAAGAGCAGATGGATTTTGGACCGCAGCTTGAGCGTCCAGGGCTGTTCGGGGTGCAGTCTATATTACTGCGCGCACTAGCTATGAATCATCTCGAAACAACCGAGTCGGTGTCCTGCTGGCGCTTTTCTCTCAAAAGGGGGGTCATCACACTGTAAACACGCAACAGTATGTCACATTTCGACTGCTATACTGAGACTGTATACAGGGAAAAGCAAGGAATGCTTTTTGTGGTCGTATTGTCTCTCCATAAGAATAAAGTTACAACAGAACTGGTTCTCCAGTCAGATCTGATAGGCGTGCCCGCCAGCTTTGCTAGTCTGTCCCGAAAGCTTTCCCCTAAAACCCCTCCAATCACGCCTAGTTCGTCCAATTCGTCCGTCGTCCAGAGACCGTCCGAGAGAAACAAGAAAATAAAACGTACAAAAGTGTAAAAGATCGTAGAGACATCCGCGAACCCTCCTGGGTTTGATCCCAGCCAAAAAACGCCGGTGTACCTTCAGCCAGAAAAGTACCCATTCCCCTAAACCGTTTTGGTCCTAATATCATCATTGTAAAGTTGATACTGAGAGTGGAATCATTATAAAAGCCAGGTAAAGCCAGACGCCTTGGCTGTCGCATTAAAAAAGAAAAGGGTACGGATGTGTGATTGAACGTGCGCGGACGTGAGAGTACTGCGGCAACTTTTAGGAAGCGGAATTGACTTGAGCCGCCGTTATGCTGCCAGCCGTCTCCTCCCCGCCTACATCAGTTGTCGGTCTATCCGAGTCGCTTGTCCCATGATCGCCGTTGTTAGCAGCTTTCAGAGGGTCCGCGGTCGAGGACGCGGTCTTCAGTGGGTGGGTGGTGTCCGATGCTGACTTTGCTGATGCAGCCGCCTTATTGGCTTTATTTTTGTATTCGCTTAGGCTCATTTTCTTCTTGATAGGGCTGGGTGTGGCCGTGTTTCCATTCACGACGGGCGGTGCGAAAGAACTTGGTAGGTTGATTGAGAATGGCGACTGCATGACAGACCCATTGGTTGAAATTGGAGTTGTAGCCGCTGTCACAGACGTTGCAGACGGGGGACTGGTGAAAGCGGTCGGAGGCGGCATTGACACACGCAGCTCTGGGGACTTGACATCTTTGGGACCAAGCCCGTTGGTGAGAGGTGGGCTGGCGATATCAACATTGGCTGGTGCGGGAGGCGCATCAGGCATAGGAGCGTCAACATCTGCAGCAGAAGTGGGCGATGACAGAGGGCACTGCTTATGTACAGTCGAAGGCGACCCAACAGAACTCCTTGTCGTCGTCGGTGAGTCTAGATCCATGGCGCTGGTTGGGCGTTGTGAAACAACGTCCCTCCGTTTCTGAGCCATGAGCTTCATGGTGAGAGACATGACCCTCCTTTTTGGCCGTGGCTTCACGCAGGGGTCCACTTCTGGCTCCGTCTGCACCGCAGCATCGCTGTAGGTTCTGGGTGCTTCCGACGGGCTCTGGCGTGATCCTGGCGCTATTAACCTTGGCGGCTTGATTGACTTCGCCGAATGGTGCGATGAAGCGCTCGTTGGTGACTCTGACTTGCTTCCTGAAGTGCCCGCATCAACGTAGCGAGGCTCGTCGGCTCCATTTGACTTTTCAGGAGCTTCACTATTCCCGGTCCGACCTTTGGATTTCCCTGTGTTGGAAATGACGGTGGAGTTGGCAGTTGCATCGGTAGAAGCCTTTTTCTTCTTACGGGGTGGTTGCTGCTGCTCCTGTGCTGACTTCTGGAACAAAGTCTCAGCGATTTGTACTTTCCTCTTGTCTCGGTTCGTCGGTTCGGTGAGTATTCCCAGATTGTCAAAGGAGCCGTGCCGTGCCGGTGTTCTGTCGCGACTGGGCGGTTTGCTCCGAGATCCTGCCGCAGAGTTGACGTCGGTCTCAGCCATCTCATCAAGATGGCCCTCACTGGCTGCCCGACTATTGGTAGCCTGGCCAGTGCTTGTCGGTGAGATGGTGTGCGTTTTGGTCTTCGCGCGCTTTCTCTTTTGAGGATTGGAACGTGGCTGAACCCTTTCGTGGTAATTACGATGGAAGCGAGCAAAGGCACAGTCATTGCCAAGGTCGCAAGCACAGCCCCCGTATTCTGAGAGAATGCGACGGATCCAATCCGAGATAAAGAGGTAGTCGGGTTGGTCGATATCGGCGGTGTTGTGTCCATTCGTCTCCTCGTCGCCAAGCCCAAGCAGACGAACAAACCGCTTTTGGGTGGTACCGGGGAACCTGAACTCCCACGGCAGTGTGATCTGCTCATTGGCAGCAATGGGTCGATCACTTACAAGCCAGAAATGGAACACGGAACCATCCGATAGATGGTACGTGTCGATTGATGCGTTTGGCTTGCAAGACCGGCGGACATAGCGAGCATTTGATCCCTCTTTCCTCGTGTCGATGAAAAGTGGAAGCGATGGGGGAAAGAATACGAAAGGTAGAGGCGCGCAAAGGTCGGGCCATTGATTTTCAGGCTCTTCGCAGTAATCCTTTTGCAAACCGACGATTCCGTTCAGTTCCATCATCGGGACGTCTCCGTCAATCGCGGATGTTGTTGTGAGGTACTGCCAGTGCAAGATGGTGTCTTGAGTCAGCGGGACTTCTTTGCTCTCAACCCGTAGTGTGTGATCGAGTCGAGGCGGTTCTGTTGTTTGTATCACTTCTTTGAAGTCACAACCCGTGTCTTTGCGGAAATGCTCGTGGCCTGGCTTGAGCCAGTCAGACACCTTTGTCTGGGTCTTCAAGTTCGCATATGTGTTCGTGTCTACAATCTGGACGTCGGATCCATCGCATAGATCAAGAAATTGCTGGGTATAGTGGTGAATCTCGAAGTCGTGGGGAAGGTCGGGTGGCGTGGTGGCAGGGCTCAGGGGATGGCCGTGGATAGCTCTTGGTACGCTGTGGGAAGGGCTTCGCTTTGGTGCCTGCGAGCTGACGGACTGGCTTGACTTGTGCGAAAGTTTGGGCTTCTTTGCTGGTGGATGGTCTTGTGGACTTCCGTGTTTGGAGCCGTCCACGCCGTTGGGGTGGCCGTTCAGTTGGAGATCGCTGGGCTTGACCTTCTTCTTCTGGGTTTTAGCGGGGGCTTTCTTTGGCTTCTTGTCACTACTGTCTTCGTCGGGCTGAAGCCCAAGGCGTTTCCGTTGTCGCTCCATGGCCTGGTGTTTGTCGAGAACCCGAGGGTTGCAGTCAGCACAACTGTGGTCGAAGTCTTCTTGTTTGACTTTTTCGGCCTCGCCAAGGGGATGGTAGTAGCAGTCAATGTGTTGCCATGTGTTGCACTTCTCACAAAAGACTGTGTTTCCATCATCGTGGGCGAAATTGCAGATGCACTTGATTATGCCCTCATCCTCTTGCGGCTTTGCCTTTTCAGGCTTGTCGAGAGCGACCGTCAACAACGGCGGGAGATTTTCGGTCATAATCTATGAGCCTCGCGGAAAGCGTGAGGGTCAAAGGAACTGGCTGGACTGATTATCTCCGCGTTCTGGATGGCATGACGGAGCGCGACTCAGCAGAAGAGCCTAACGGAAGACACTGGGCAGGAAAACGAGGATCACGGGAGGTGACCATTCGCAGGAAGGAATCGAGGGCTCGTGATCGAGAAGTCGGAAGTCTCTGCCAGCGCGACTAGGAGGTCTATCAGGCGGTTGACAAGAGACAGGTCGAGGCTACCAACGAGAACCAGGGTCACTGGCTTCGACACGGTGCTGATGTCGCGAAGCGAGACGAGGTGGACCAGGCGCTAAGCGGACCAGTGTATGGCGTTGTGTGGATTGGACTGGGTTGAGGTCGATTCGGAGTCGATTCGATTCGAGTTGGTTTGGATTGAGGTTGGTTTGAGATTGGGTTGAGCGTGTGGCAGGAGGATCACGAAGACAAATTCGAGGAGTCGACTCTAGGGCGAGGAGAGGATGCGCCTCGAGGGACAAGGAGATTCAAACGAGGCGGATAAGGGAGAGAAGACGAAACAGACCATGAATGCGGCAGATTCATGCGGACTCGAGGGGTAGAGAGGGCGATCTCGCGTGGGAAATGTGCGGATTGTCGAGGACGTGTAAGGAAGGTTGGGAGGAGAAAGAAGGAGGGTGAAGAGAGGGGGCGACAGCAAGAGGAAGAAAGACAAACCTGAGCGGCCGACCGAGTGAGTGTGAGCGAGAGTAAGAGAGTGAGGGTGCGCCTGCGCGGGAGCAGCAGAGCGGGTGCAGCAGCGGGTGCTTGACTGCCGGACCCCAGACCAGCCGCCAGAGGGCAGAGGGCAGAGGCAGCGTGCGCGCCATTTGCTTGTGAGGTGCGGCGGAGGCCAGTCAGTGCCAGTGCCCATCACTGGGCCGCAGGGCCAATGGGGAGGCGGCTGGTGGGCAGCGAGTGCCACTGGACCTCCCAGTAGTGAAGCACCAGACGGTGGTGGCCTGGTGGCCTGGTGCAGCGTGCAGTGCAGCGCTGGCGGGAAAGGCTTTGCTGGGCGACACCCCCCCCCCTTCTCACCTAAGAAAAAAAGAGACCCCGTTCGCGGCGCTCTGTGTACACCTGGGCAAGGTAGTGAGTGTCTGGTTGGGAGCTTGGCTGAAAATGGTTTGGGACAGGTCATGTATCCGGTTAGCATGGAAGCCCAGCATATTCAGTGCAGGGGTGTTAAGAAGCAACTTGCTGCAGGGACGCATTCGTCACCAGTGCGGCTCGTCGCAACGTGAGGTGAAAGCAAAGGACCTCGTAGGGGGAAACGAGGGAGAGGGAGAGGGGCGATTCGATTTCACGACGCCAGGCCCCAGAGTTGTTCGGGAGAAGACAACTCAGGATCAAGTTCTGCTCTCCCGCTGAATCGTCGAGCACTTTGCTATGCACTGAACGGAATAGTGAGTGCCAGCGTCAGTGCCCTGATTGTGGTATGTGAGCGAGCATGACAAAATCATGACAATGAAGGAGGCTTGTGGGGGGGTTGCAGGGCAAGGGGAAAGCAAGGCAGGATGTGAAGCGTTCACGGGCTGGGTATATAACGGTGAGGGATGATGAAGCGAGGGTGTTGGTGTGATGATGAGATGAAGAAATTGATGACATGTCCGGGGGTGGGCTGATGATGTGGGCGAGGGAAATGAGTGAGCGAGTGAAGGAAATGATGGAGTCGCCGAGTGTGAGGCTGTCAGAGTCCAATGAGGGAATTCTTGGGATGGGATCTCCAGGCAAGCAGCAGCACCAGGACAACAACGGACAGGCAGACAGACGGACAGACGGACGGACAGACAGTACCAAGGAGTCGCCAGACACGAGCGAAAAGCGGCGGAAGGTTTGGGAGAGAAACGTTCAGGGAGGGAGTGGCTTCGACCGGTGCGGTGCGGTCCAGTCCAGGATTTCAGAGGTGTTGCAGGTTGGAGGATTTCCTGGGCAGGCGAAGCCGGGATGAGGTCAGTTGGACCCGTGCCACCCAGCCCAGGCCTTGCCTCCTTGCTGCCTGATCACCCACTGACCACTGACCACCGACCACCTACCAACCGACGCACCTGCACAGCACCAGGGTCACGAGTTTCTTCCGCATCACACTGTGCCATGTACTCGGAGCTGCAGCGCTGTAAGTGCGTTCGCGATGTCAGAGATTACTAAGGTACGTCAAGTGCAACGCACGGTACAGTGCGACAGCCTCGTGTCCACATTGCCCGCATTGGGACCACGGCATTCCAAGATTCCAGTGTCGAACGGGCTTGGGCTTGTCTTTGTTAGGGAGGCGTCCCACCGAGGAGAGGAATACTGACCCTGCTTGACACATTTTGCTCAACACGGCGGATCGTCAGTTTTGAGAGAGAGAGACTGTAGACCCTTGAACGTTGTACGCCACGCCATGCGGTGCCGTGCACTCCCAGGCACTGCAATGCAATTCAACCAACAACATAAGACAAGCGACAAGACACCAAGGGAGGGACCTCGAGAGGGACTTGGCAAGACGAGGGAGCCCTGGCTTTGTCGATCGGTCTAAGGTTTTGGGCTCTGCACGGCCCTCCAATTGGGAGCGGCCGCTTGGTCCGGCCCTGCTGCCACCCTACCACCAGAGTCGCGCATGCCTGGCCATGCGTGCCATGCCATGCCATGGCAAATGCGGTCGATTCCTCTTGCATGAGAGCAAATTGCGTTTCTGCCAGTGCCAGTGGGCCCCTCGAATGTGCTATGTATAGCAGGCCGTATACAGTGCACAGCACAGTCACTTTTGTCACCCACTCTAGCTCCGTCCAGCCAATAAGACATGAGCGAGCTTGTGCCTCTTCCAGTCCACCTGGCACTGACACCACCTCGATCCCTACCCATTGCGCACAGTGCACCTCGCCTGTCACTCACTTTGGCAGGAACTGGCAGACAGCAGACAGGCAGATTGCACGCCACCAAAGGTCCCAGGTGCCACTGGCGGTGGAGGCTGGGTTTACTGTTTGTTACCGACAAGGTCTGCCCCGTTCACCTTCCCGAGGTCCTACGGCGACTGGAAACCCAAAACCAGCTGGTACATTCGTTCGAGTCTGTCAAGGTCAAACACTGTTGCCCACCACCCGTACGATGGGCCTCCTTCAGTGGCTCAGTCTCCGCAGATCAAGCAAATGGGAGTCACCCACCATTATCGACCACCTACTGTCTTCTCCCCTACAGTTCATCATCACTTACATCTACCATCTCATCCTCCTCTTTCGCGGCAAACCCTTCAGACCCCCCAGGGATAAACCACCCATCAAGGTCGTTTGTCTGTCTGATACGCATGACCAAATTGTTCACAATGTCCCAGATGGTGATCTCTTACTCCACGCCGGAGACCTGACCAACTCTGGCTCGGCCGACGATATCCAGAAGCAGGTCGATTGGCTGGCTTCTCTGCCCCACCTCCACAAGGTTATCATCGCAGGGAATCATGACAGCTGGTGCGATGTCAGGGCACGGCTGGCCCAGGACAAGAAGGAGGCAAAGAGGGTCGACTTCAGAGGCTTGCACTACCTTCAAGACAGCACTGTCACCCTGGACTTCCACAACGGGAGAAAATTAAATGTCTATGGTGCCGCTGACATTCCCATATGCGGAGGCCGCGACTTTGCCTTTCAGTACCCCGCCGACAAAAGCCCATGGAGAGGTAGGATTCCCATCGAGACCGACATCTTGGTTACGCATACGCCACCACGCTCTCATCGCGACCTGGGTCTAGGCTGTCCGGGGCTGCTGGAGGAGCTATGGAGGGTCAAGCCCAGGTTGCACGTGTTTGGTCATATTCATTGCGGGCGTGGTCAGGAAAGCGTCTACTTTGACGAGTGTCAGAGGGCCTACGAGACGCTCATGTCCAGCAGTCCACGTGGACCAATCTTTGACGCGATCCCAAGCAGTGACTGGATCAATGCGCTAAAGGTCATATATTACGGTGTGAATGCCATTGCATTCAAGTATCTCATGCTCGGCCCTGGCTCGAATAACTCGAGCCTCATGGTCAACGCTGGCTGCATGCAAGGAAACACGGGCAAATTATGTAAGAGCCCGGCTCAGGTCGTGGAGCTATGATACAAATCTCGGTCTGGCCAGAATCTTGCTGGGTGGAAGGAAGCGGCCAACAATACCCGAGCCCAGCAGAGCAGGTTCGAGTTGAGCCCTGTCAAGGAAATACCGGCTTCATTAAAACAACAAACTGCCCAGAACAACTGCGAAAAACACACCAGCACTCATACCACTGTTTCTCGCGGCACCCGCCTGCACAGGCTTCAGCCCGACCGTCGCTGTCGATCCCGTTTGTTGCGTGGGTGCCGGCACCGTCGCGTTACCGACCTTGGCAGCGGGCTGCGCGGCAGGATTGCCGTTACCGTTCGGTCCTGGGGCCCCTGGAGCTCCTGGCACCGGTCCTCCAGCTGGGACGCCAGGAGGAGCAGCAGGCAGAGCGGCAGGATGAGCAGCAAGCGGAGCGGCAGGAGGAGCAGCAAGTGGAGCGGCAAGCGGAGCGGCAGGCGCAGGAGGCTGTTTCGCCGCGGGCTGTTGGCTATAAGTGCCTCCAGGCGCCGGAAGTTTTGGACCAGGCTGCTGGTAAACATTACTTGCGCTCGCCGAGCCTGATGCGACTACACACGGTACCGTGAGCGTAACAGTCGATTCCCCGTTTGCACCGCATTTGTTGCAGGTCTGCGTTATCGCCGTCATCGGGACCGTCGGTTTCGTAATCTTCCCAGCGGCGCAGCGAGCGCAGCTGGGCACCTTGAGCGTGGTGCAGTACTCCTGTGTCACCAGTAAAGCCGGGTTTGTACTACAGACCGTCGTGTACGTGATTGTGGAGACAATGGTCTGCGTGACGCCGCCCGGCCCTGGGCCGCCCAATCCCGGTGCTGGCGGGGGATTTGCCCCGGGGACAGGGCCGCCGGGGCTGCCGGGGGTGCCGGGGCTGCCCACGAGATTGACATACGTGGTTAAAAGGAAACTGTTCGGTGCATCACGTTTCGCAAGAAGATTGTTGCCACCGCAGAACTGAGTTGGGTTTCCAGGGCACGGTAGGTTGCAACGGCTACGGTCTGGGATGGCAGACGTGCCAGCATCGAGGGCGTCGGCGCAGTAGCACATGCTCTCGTGCACTCCGGCATATGCTCTTCCTGGGCATAGACCCACGCACACCTCGGGCGTCATCTGGCCGTTGTCGCCCGACAGGCTGAATGTCCTAAAGTTGGTGGTCGACGCGAAACAGCCCAATAGAGCGAAGGTGCCGATTGTGGCCGGGTCGCGGCTGGGAACAAGGCTGTCCACCGGCGAGGGCGAGGATGATACTGGGGAAGTCGTTGAGACGCCGCCAGGAGAGCTACTGGAGGAGGCCGGTACCGAAGGTGAGGACGGTATCGGAGGGCTTCCAGATGTTGGGCCAGAGGGGTTCCCAGATGCTGGGCCGGAGGGGCCAGCGGAGCTAGCCGGCTCTGAAGACATGGGCATGGGGCTATTGTTCGAAGCAGGCGTGGAAGCACCGGCAGAAGTAGCCGATTCCGAGGGTGGCGACGCCGGAGTACCCACCGAGCCCGAGGCAGAGCTATCCGCAGAGCTAGGCGAACCTGGAGTCGTGGCGATCGGCGTGGGCACTGAACTGTCAGGGGTAGGCGTGCCACTGGAACCCGGCGAAGTTCCTCCGGGGCCGACTGTTACTTCCGTTGTGCTCGAAGGAGACGCGATGTCTGTACTGGCCGGTGTTGTCTCGCTCGATGGGAGACTGGACGAAGAACTGGATGGTGAGACTTGGGCTCGACTATAAACATCGATATAATTCACTTCCCAGTACGAGTTCACGAATTGTGATGGAGAGTTGCCAACCCAAATTTCGCAAGACGATGCATATGAGTAGCACGAGCTGCTGCCCCACTGCGCACCACCAGCGTAGTCGCCGCAGAAGTCCTGGTTGCTCACGGTCAGCTTCTACCTGGTCTCTAACCCAATCCTTTCGCAGAAATTTCGGTCTTCGACTCACGATGTCCAACACAATACTCATGTTCGAGAAGCTGGCTCCTATGTCGCACGAGTTCGGATCGCTGCTGCTGCCAAACAGAGCCTGCGGCGCGCCCCAGGTGCTCGGGTCGGGCTGCTTGCTCACGATGTTCGCGGGGATCTTGTTCCTGGGGAAATGCCAGATGCTGATGGACTCGCTGGTCCAGTCCATTGCGTATACGCCACCTCCGACAGCATTGAAGTCATCGCCATACGTCGAGGTGTCGCTCGAAGGTGGTGCGTAGTTGCAGCCTTCGGTCAGCCCGATGTCTTCCTGCAAATCCTCCAGTCAGCTCTGTCATCTGTGTGGGCAGACTGCTTCCACCGTGGCCACCTACATCAGTTGTGCAGTTTGTGTACTGCTGCGTGCCGGTGTAGAGCCCTGACGATGGGAGAGTACAGACTTCGCCGCTACACGGGCGACGACGTTAGAGTACTTCTCTGCTAGGAGATCAGTGGTGGGGTGAATGCTTACGTGTGAGCAGATATCAAGTTGTTGTACGCCATGTTGGCGCCCTCTATTATGTCAATTTCTCCATTATCCGGCCAGTTCGGGCCATACAACCAGACTGCAATGCAACTACCGTGTCAACCACCAGCCGCCAGCCACCTCTCCGAGTATTTCAGGTCTTATACTTACAAGCAGGCCATGTTCCACAGATTGAGCCCGGCATATGCGCGAAGTCACCAATGACAAGCCCTTGGTTGACTGGCTGTTTGCTCTCGATTCGGACGCTGGGGCGGCCTCCCATGGAGCCATCGGAGTCGTACGAGTTGGTGCTGTCCACGCTGAGCTTCACGGCATTGGTGGTCGGGTCGACGGTGGCGTAGCCGTAGGCCAAGGCGCTCTGTAGGTTTTGGTAACTGGTGATACATGGCTTTTTAGTGAAACCCTCGTCACGGAAAAGCATCGTCCGGTCTGGTCCAGAGGCCGTTCAAGTGCTTGTACCCAGGGCCAGGAGTATTTACCTCACAAAGCCATCCGAAGGGTCTGGGATGGAGACGAAGTCGAACCCGGATAACAGAGCCTGCCCGGAGTAAGATGTTGCTAGAGAGTACGCCATTGTCGGCGTCGACCTCGCGAGGGAGGTCCTAGATAACGAGCGTGGAAAAGGAAATCAAAGAGTGACTAAAGTGAGAACGACATGCCCTGAGCAGCTAGAGCGAGAGGTAGAGGTAGTAGATATCATGAAATTCATGTTGAATGCCACAGAGAGAGAGCCAATCTATATATAAATATGTTTTGTTCGCCTCATAGAGCGCATATTCGGTTGGAATGTGCATACCTAGAGACATCCGCGCATTCCTCACGACACGCGCACGCGCGCCACCAACGTCCAGGCGCTGGATCACGGGAGAGGCGCGCACTCGTGTTATTTTAATTGATCTTTGGGAATCTCAATCTCGAAGAGACAACAAATGTCTGAAATGGGCCAATGCCCACCTGTTGGGTTCTTAAAGCCACCCAACGCACCATGCCACTGGACCTGTCCGCCGTTGAGTCCCATTCCTCCAACCTTCTGGCCGGGCAAGGTCTCACTCAGCCCACAGGGGACCAGCGCTCAATGGAGACCGCCGTTGTATTTCTGTTCAGGGTCTTCCTAGTGTATGTGAAGAATTCCTGGTAGGCGCGACAATTGGACGGAGAATCCGTGGATTTCCCTCTAGCGTGTGATAGCGCTGCTTCGATTCTCTTGAACATGTGAACTGCACAGTGAGCGGGTGAATATATATCGTGTTGTGTAGAAGGGCAGTCCCTAGATCCCTTTAATCCAGAACGCCGAACGCTATGCAAGTACAAACCGATGAAAGACACGCCTAGGAGAAAGCATCTACCCGCCTTGCTCCCGAACTATACCATGATCCGCCTCAGCCCCTCAGTGCCTCCGAGCACCCTTCTTCCAGTGACAGCACATCTCGACTCGCCGCTCTCCCATTTGCCTTTCTTATCAACCATGAAGGCCTCTTGCCTTGGATGAACGCCGCTCACCCACTTGTGTACACACGTATAACAGTAAACAACGCCCGTCTGGCACGCCGTGGGTGTTGTGATATCGTCCCTGCAAATCGGACACAGTTCCGAGTTATTCGGCGCGCGAACAGTGTAGATGGGCAGCAAGGATGGCTTGGCGATTGGCGCAGCCTCGGCAAGAGTCTTTTCGTCTTCCTCTTCCTCCTCGCCGCCTGCCTTGGGACCCGCGCCCGTGGACGGCAGCTTGCCTCCTGAGGTTTCGGGCGCCCCCGACACCGTGGGCGGGGGCAGATCCAGGCTTTCAGCTGCCCTGCGCGACAGCTGCTTGGCAAAGTCCGATGCATACCACCACTCGAGGAACTTGAGCGCAAAGATGCTCGTCGGCAGAAGAACCGACAGGCTCGAGAGGACCTTGGAGCCCATGTTGCGTGGTGAGAAGAATGACGCCGGGCCCGGCGCAGCACCTTCGTCTGACTTCTTGCCCAATGCCTCCAACGCCGCATAGTCCGCACCGGTCATCCTCCGCATCCTCGTCCCGATCATCCATAAGAACGGGTTGTGATATTTCGAATTGTCAAAGAGATAGGCAAGATTGAAGGCCAACAGGGCAAAGTAATAAGCCGCGTTGACGCTCGGATACACATTTCTCAGGAACCATCTGTAGTAATGCAGAATCTTGTCCTTCCATGTCGCATTCGCCGGCATGGTCGTGTAAGCAGTGCCCAGCAGCGCCCGCGGCGCATTCACCTCGTAGCCCTCGTCGAGCTTCCTCTTGAGGTATGGTATTCCGACCATGACAGCCAGGTTCCTCCAGACGTCCGCCCTACTGAGCTTCAAGGTCTCCCTCACGATGGCGGGCGCGCGGGCGGAGGCGCGGGGGATCTCGGCTGCCAGGCCCTTCTCCCGTTTGAGCCCGTAGAAGTGTTCGGTAAAGGAGCCGCCGCGTGTAATCAGGTAGTGGCGCTCGACGACGACCATGAGGAGCGCGTAGATCTCGTCGAATGAGTTGAGGATCGGCAGGAGGTAGCGAGGCGAGCGCTGAGTCGCGTGGACAAGAAGGTAGCGCAGAGTCGGGGGCAGGAGGGCGGAGAGTTGCTGCTCAGAGAGAAGCTCGAACAGGGAGGGCTTCTGGTCGTCGAAGGTCATGCCCCGCAGGGCGGTGATGAACTCCATGCTGGCTGACTGACTGTGGCGGACTAGGAACTCATCTGAATTGGGTCACAGATCTGACATCGCCAGTTGTTGGGTGTGGTTTGGAAGGTGGAAGCTTAAAGATGTGCCGGTGCGAGCCTCGGGGTCGCATCCTTGGCCGAGCTGGGCTGATGCCGAGGTACATTGGCACGTCTCCAAGAGCCGCTGACATCGCGTCCCAGGCCATCTTAGACCCGATATACCGCAGTTCATCAACCTAATCAATCCTTATCTGACCATTCACTTCAATTTATTTCTTTTCTGACCTATTCACATAAAACTTGGAACTAGCTCTCCTTCCAGAGTTCGTGTCATTCGGTCCTGTTCACTGTACTACACAATCGCTACGATGTCGAGCGGTGGTGAAAGCGATGATGCGCGCCTGACGCACCTGAATTCCATGAGAAAGAAGTTGAAGGAGGTGCAAGGTGGAGACAGACTGAAGCTGTGGCTGGAATACACACATTTGCAGGATGAAGACCCGGAACTGCAGGTAAAGTGGCGTGAATCGGTTACGTATGTTCGAGCAATTCATGCTGATGCTACTTGCACCAGGACTGGATGACCACCTGTCTCCCCTACCTACACTTGCAGTCGTGGTCTATGGATGAGCCCAAGCACCCCAAGGTCGTTTTCAAGGTAAGGGAAAAGTTGCCACTCCTTCCTTGTTTCGAAAGGGGGGCGGGGAGGGGAGAAGAAAGAGACGGATGAAGCGGTCCACTTCCTACATCTATCCCCTCCAAAACCACGAAAATGGCTGATTTCGATGGCGCAGTACACCGTCCAACGCAACAACTGTAACCGGTTGGGCAATGCGCATGGCGGCCAGATTGCTAGTCTATTCGACTTCGTAACGTCAATGCCGTTGGCACTGATAAATAAACCTGGATTCTGGTTTTACCTGGGGGTAAGCAGGACATTGAACGTGACGTATCTGAAGCCAATACCGAACGGCGAGGAGATATTGGTCGAAGCGGAGCTTGTGAGCATCGGCAGAACGCTGTGTTCGATACGAGGGACAATGAGGAGGGAGAGTGATGGAACTTTGCTGGCTACATGTGAACATGGAAAGTACAATACGGATCTCGAGCCCAGCAGTAAAATATAGATCCAGATCGAGGTCACGACTCACGTTATAAGTGTTTCTACATATCTATAGAAGATTGTATAGTTATCATGTAGATAAACCCTCCAAGTTTCAGGGTCAGGATATCTGCCGCCGATTGAACCCGGGTCGTACATATACAGTGGAACACGACCATATTGCAGCTCCGGCCTGGTTCCTCCTTTCTTGCAGCCTTGGTTAAATATGGCAGACTTATTTTGAGAACACCTCACTTATTGGCAAGACAATTCCTTCATTCATCGTGTGGTCGGTTCATTTTGTTATCGCCTAACGGCGTAGGTCTCCCCCCACCCCCGCACCTACCACTCGCAGCGACGGCGAGATTCGGACTTTATGCTTATTTCCTCCCCCTCGCGTGCTCGGATCTCAATACATGTCAAGCTTTGGGCCAGGTCCTTGCAAGCCAAGGTTCCCTGCCTGTACTCCGGACCCCGGGGACCCAGAGTAGCCTTCTTGTCCGAGACAATTTGACCGTTATTGCCGATTAGAAACGTCTCGCCGTCATCCGCCCAACGGCCATGCTGAGGTCTTGTGCAACCCGAGCGAGTGCATTGAATTACTGCCTCTCTCACCTCACCACAACTCCACTGTCCGTGTTTCTGTGGGAGCAAACATACCCCTCGACTTGAGCTCCACGCCCGGGAATTGTTCGTTGCACGTGCTCGGCTGTGTCGCATCAAGCTGTCATACACAATGGTCCTCCTCACTCAGCTTCCCCTTGAGATCGTGAACCATGTCCTAAGCTTCGTGGACCCTGAGGATCTCCCCAGGGCCAACACAACTTGCCAATATTTGTACCATGCCGTGAAGGACAATAGTGCGCTATTCCGAGCCGTGTATCTCCGTCATCTCGTGAGTCTCTCCACGCCACGTGCGAGCCTCACGGTCTGTCTCATGGGCAGGATTCCAGCTAACCAACGCTGAGATCCCCAGGACGCACCACCACCGAAGACAGAACTCAATTGGGTCCAGGAAATCAAAGATTTGGTCAAGCTGAAACGTATATGTGCCAGTGAGAACCCTGAAAGGGTGAGCCCACCTCCACCTCTCACGGATTTGTACGCTCAGATGGATCCTAGAGAAGCATCTAACTCAACTAGCAGAGCAAATACTTGCCTTTTGTTTATGATACTACGAGTCGTCTTCTCCAACATGCTACTTCGCAAGGCGTCCGCCCAAGGCCTAGCGTCACATTTGGGGCAAGCCAGAACATAAGCATACTGAGGGAATGCTTCTCTTCCGAGTCGACTGTCCATGCCTTTCTCTGCAGCTCATTCCTCTTCCAGAGGGCGTCCACCCCTGTCAAGAACTTTGTCTTCCCGAAGCAGCCTCCCACCGAGGAGCGGCAGATGTCGGCAAGGCTCCACTGCCTGTACGGTGTGCCCGTGCTCAACTTCAACCGCTTGAGGTCGAGTCGGACATACCCCTTTGCCATCAGCAAAGTCTACGATATCCGTGAGTACACAACCCAGACGAGGTGGGGCCCGTTCATGGACGAGGGTCCCGGTCCGATCGGTACCGAGATCAACCAGGACGGCCGGCAGGGCCTACCGAGTGACAGGGTGGACTGGGAGAAGGTCGAGGCCATCATGATCGTTCTCTGGCACAACCTGAAGACCAAGGGCCTGGACCGCCTGCCGGTATTTAACCAGTTCTGGGGCATGCCTTTCGCGGGCTGCTGGCCGAACAGCTACATACCCGAACCTATCAATAGAGATATTACGGACCTGGAACTGAAAGACCCGTATGATGTGACCGGGACTTGGCTGAGGGTAAATCTTTTCCAGTGACCTCCCTCCATTTTCCTCGCTCAACATTTTCTGTGAAGAACACGGACTCATATCATCCGCACAGGTCGTCTGTTTCCTCGACTATAATGACTTTTTCGGCTACAACTTCCCGCCACATGACGACCTACCGGACCACCTCCCGAGGCACGCCCTCGATGAAGTCGAGGCGACGCGGCTGATCGTAGTGAAGATTCGCGTCACCAAGATCGAGCCGCCGGGGCCTGAGGATGGGCAGGCACTGCCTGTGGTGCACTACGAAGGCTTCTCCAAATCCCTGGACTCGAGCTTGGACGAGAATGCGAATTCCGGCCTCACAGGTGAGGTTTCCGTCAAGGGTACTGGTTCTTTTGCGGCCCGCCAAGCGTGATCTCACACGCTCCCCCATTCCCCTCTATACACGCGCCTGGATATCCTGCGGGGTGAGGTAGTAGAGGCACTGGCTGACGGCGTGGTTTCCCCCTTCACAGGAAGCGTCCGCCTCACGAGAGAGGGCGAGGTGCGCTGGACAAGCCACTCGATCTTCAACGGCCAGGAGAGGTGGCGCAGCGAGAGCATCCAGGTCGGCGGCCTCAGGTCCAGCAAAGTGGTCGGAAATTGGTTCGACAAGTAAGCAGCGTGGTGTCGAGTGCTTGGGACACTTGTTGGCAGAGTGCTGATTAGGCTTACAGGGACTACGACCCATCTGGCCCTGTCGGTCCCACCGCGTTCTGGAAGATCAGCGACCGTCAGCCGGGCAGCCGCGACGACCGTGGGTAGTCATTCCTTTGAATAACTTTATTAACAATTGCTCGCTGACGTATAAAGCAGACATCACTGAGCACGACTACCGCGCGATCATCGACGGGCTGGAGGAGAACGTCGACCTCGGACGGGTTGATGATGACGAAGAAGCCGGTCTTCTGGGTGTGTTCCAGGTAAACTTTTCGAGACTATAGGTTTCGGCTTGATTCCAGCTGGCTGACCATTCGAATGTACACATGCGCAGATCAACTCTGATGACGAAGAATACGAAGACGCCGAGGATGATGACAATGAAGAGGAAGATGAGGATGATGATTTCGCCAGTGATGATGGTACATACGTTCTCGCCCAGATGACGTCTCAGGGGCTGGACGAAAAATAGGCGAGTCTCACGTCACACATCACTTCTTAGATCAGGGATATTCTGGCGTCTCTTGTCGTCCATGCCCATGAAACAAACACTTTTGTATCAGATGTAGCTCTGTTGTGATCAGGTTTCTTACAGTCCGGTACCAGGTGGATCCGTTGTGGAAAGGGGTTGATTGGCAGGGCTATGTCTTGGGACGAATGGCCGGTTGTACAACTCAGGGAACATCGACAGGACTGAAGGCCGAGTGACTGACAATAATTGCGTATGGGGATTTGTCCACCATATTCCATTGCTCAATATATAAAACAGCGAATCAGAGTAAGAGATGTACGGCCTTAACAGCAGCGCACAGGGGTATATAAATGTACAAAGCTTTCAAGTTCAACCATGCCCCTGTCCCGTCCAACCTAGACATATGATGCGCAATGTCCCCCTCTGGTATTCCAGAAAGATATCCTATCTCAAGAGCTCCAATTTCTGCAGTTGCTTGTAGCGACTGTGCCTCTCCTGACAGTCGTCCGTTCATCAAACCATTGTCCCTGCGTTGAGATTCACGCAATTGTTCAATAGCGTCGCGCCCTCATGCAACAGCTCCCATCTCGTCGTAAGGAAGGTGTCCTTGAGCACCAACATTAGCGAGCTGTTCTTATTCAACCCCTTCATGGATCTCAGGTCCTCCGGGTAGCTGGTCCCGCCGTACGCCATTAGGTACTCCCTCATCTCGCGAACCCGTTCCGCCTTGGAGGTCGGAACCACGGCGTCCGGACACGGTCCCTCCAACGCATGTCCGTAGCTCCAGACCACAAGTGCAGCGAAATACAGCACCCAAGGGCGATTCAAAAGGACATCTTCACGAGCGCAATAGGGCAGGTCCGCGTCCGAGTGCGACGAGTTATGATAACCGTTCTGGCGCGGATTGCCGCTCTGCTCCAAGAGTACCGAGCCGAGGAACTTGAGGGCATACCAAGTGGCATCTCTGGCCCGGACAGAAGGAGCCCAGATGTCCTTCATACGTCGCTGGGCGCTGCTGAGGTCCTGTGCCCCAATGGCTCTGCCGAGAAGGCGCTTGGCGCGCGCGAAAATCTGACAGTCGACGATATCGACATGCATGGCCAGGTGCGCGAGATTGTGCAGGACGACGCGGCTCTCAAAGACCGCATTCGCGTCATTACGATCGTGTGATTCGAAACTGTACGGATCCGATGGGTTGTCACCCCTTTTCAGTGATTTGTCGAAGTCCCCTTTCCAAGAGTCGAATGCTCGCGTGAGTGTTCCGCGCCACTTGTCCCGCCCGCCCAAGGCAGAGGAAACGCCGCCACCCAAGGAGTTCACCTGCAGGTCTCGTTGGTTCATGTGCCAGCTGACGTTCAACAGTCCGGCCATGAGAATCATGCGTCCAAAGGAATTTGTCTGGACCTCCTGCGAACTAAGCGTACGCTTCAGACCCTCAAGGAATGGCACCGGCTTGATGCCATTGGACAGGAAGTTCGCCTCAATTCGTCCAACCTCAGCTCCACTTTGGGCCCTCCAGAGTTTCTCGTCGCAAGGCAAAGGCAGACGCATCTCGTGGGCTACCATGACTGTTGAGTGTCCGAACATCGTTGCATGGATGGAGTCAATAACAAAGGCCGCGAAAGCAGCACGACGGGTGGCCTCGTTGGTGATCCAGTGATTCCACCATTCATCCGCTGTATGGGCCACGCCAGAAGTGGATGAGTGCCTAGAGCCCATCTTGTCGTCTCTGGGGTTGGGAGGGGAGTCTAAAGCAGACTTGCCAATCAATGACCGACCGCGTCGCATCAGGGTGATGGTTGTGGCGTGGTGGATATGTGCTCGTTCGTGCAGTTCTCTCGTCGAGTACATTTTCTCATACAGTTCCAAGAGTATGAGCGTTTGGAATACCCATAGCTTCGCCGGGGGCCTGAAATTTGTGTCCATAAAGGTTTCCCACCTCAGATGCCAGGCAAGGAAATTTGATAGTTCAGCCCCAGCATCGGTGACCTTTTGGCCGTGAGCCTTGTCAAGATTTGCTGCGCCAATTGTCATCATGGAGATGAGGAGTAGAGTTGGAGTCCGGTCAGGGGAGAAAGTCGGCTTATGAAGTATAGGTATTTGGTCGCTGAAATGCAACCAATACGAACCAATGTAAGCCTGCATCATCTTGCGGCTCAGCATGTGCTCGTCCGTCCGTTCGCCCTCGATAAAGCTTTCTCTCTTGTGCTCGACTGGGGCGCGCCCGTTCTCGTGGAATCTTTCTCTGATGAACTCGAAAATCTCGTTGGCTTTCTCTTCAGAAAGTACAGACTCGGGGAGATTTTGGTCAAGCAAGTTGTTGACCGCCATCACCTGCTGTGGCCCAGCACTTGGGAAGTAGCCCATCTGATTAGGTTCTGTTCCGTAATATGGGACACTGTATTGGGTAGCTGGATCTCCGTAACTTCTCAAGGTCAGCTTTGTCATGATGGACCAAATGATGAGAGACCGTTGTTCGCAACGAGCAGTCAAATTTCGTAGCCAACATCCAAATGCAAATTGTAGGGCCGCCGCATCTCCTCCTGTTGGTCGCACATTGAAACGGTTCTCGGGGCAACTAGAAATCATTACTTACTTGTTATACTGTGGCACCATGTGGTTCATAGGGTTGCCATCAGGTCCCTGGGTATTAAACAGATAGGCCATGAAGTCTTCCGGCATGCCAACGTAAGGGGATTTATTAAGAACACTATCGCTGCCAAATACGGGTATGGTCGTCTGACTTGTCATATTCTCCAGGAGTACCATCTCGCCAGCAGGCTGAGGCTGCCCCTGGGGGTATTCGTTCACACCCTGTTGTGGTGTGTAAGCCTGACCACCTTCGCGGGGCACGGTTGCTGACGATACCGTTGATGCAAAGTTGGATGGTGGCAGGCTGAAGGGAGGGAAATTTGTGTGCCCAGAATATGGCGTGGCCGACTGGGGAGTGTCGCTGGGATGACTTTGAAATCCGTGCTGAGACGCCGGGGACATAACCCCATAGGGCCCAACATTCGTCTGCACTGAAGGTCTTTGTGGGCCATTCGGAGACTGATGTGGTGGTTGTGGTTGCTGGCCCGGAAGAGGGCCGTACGCAGGGCTTGATCGCATGTAGCTGGCAGTGTTTGAGTGTGGTCCATTGGGGTGCGGGAATACGGGAGGGGTGTTTGTCACCGAAGCATATGGGCTTCCTGCAGCATCCTGGAACTGTGGATGCGGGTGAGGCCCCATGTAGCCACTTCCAGGCCGATTGGCCTCTGGAGAGAGTGAGCCAGGAGGGAACGGATGGCGACCATCAGCCGCAGGTGAGACTTGGCCAATCATCGAATCTCTTCGATTGAGTGCTGAGCCTTTCGCCGTATGCCTGTCTCTGTGCCGGTTGCACAAGTCCAATCGGACGAACTGCCGGGTGCAGTCGGGAAAATCACATTTGTAAATTTGCTTCGGATTGTGATTCAGTTGGTGGCGATACCTGCGGCAAATGTCAGTAGGTCTTCCACCGCCTGTGAGGCATGGACTTGCTCACAGGTGCTCAGCCCTCGAGTAACTCTTCCCACAGCCGTCATGAGGACACTCAAACTTCTTGTCGAGTCCCTTGCGGCTTCTGCGCCGTTTTCGCGCTGGTCCATCCTCACCGTCCGAAGAGTCGCCGTCATCAGCGTGATCATCGTCGATATCGTTGTCGTGAGCATTCGCCTTCAAGTCACCGTGACTTAGCGACCGAGCTCGTTCATCGTCTTCCATTCTATTATTCTCCGGTGGTGTTGGCTCCTGCGTTGGAGACATAGCCAGCTGGGTATCACCGGGATGGGATGCCAATACTGAGGTCATAGTTCCCGATCGTTGATTGGCCAAATAGTTTGCTTTCTTGTGGAACTTCTTTGCGGCAGCGATTCCTCAGATGGCTTTCTATTTCTCAATTAGAGAACCATCGACCGCTGAATTCATGTGGCTGACACCCGTCGATTGACACTGTGCCGCTTGTCGCACAGCACGAGAGGGGCTGAGACGGCGTTGGCAGGTGACCACAGATACTTCTTTTCACGGAAGACCGGTTGACCGCGGGCAAATCGGATATTGTCGACTTAACTCGGTCGCACTGCAGCTCAGTACAGGACAGGATTCAGAAGCCGTATATGCGTGCGTCTCAATGCTTCAAATCCAACGAGTCTGCTCTCATCAGTCCGAGTTCTGGCTCGCTGACTGCTTGACGCCAATGCGTGCGCTTGAGCGGATTTCTGCTGCTAGGGGGAACTCCAGAGTGATAGTGCTGGCATTCAAGAGGTCATGGTCGAAGGCGCTTCGACGACAACACGGATCGCGTCCCTGAAGACGACGTCGCTGCAAACCTTTGATCAGCCGAAGCGAGTGGAGAGAAAAGGATGCCGTCTCAGGTAAGCAGACGAATTGCCGGTTGATAGCTCTATGGGGAAATCAGCTTGAAATTGTCCAGAGCACTGCAAGGTTTGCCCCGGCGACTGGGGGGCAGTAAGACAGGCAGCCTGGATTGCGCGTGTGTAAAGAGAGAGGCAAGAAGGCCAGGACGGAGAAGTGTGGCCGGAAAGATGTGGGCAGTGGCGGGACTAAAGCGAGGCAACGAGGTAGCGAGGGCAGGGGCACACCATCACATCCAATACATTTGCGCCGACGACTTGGACAACCGCAGGTCGGCATGAAACAAGAAGGTCGAGGACGAGCCAGATTCGTTGCGGAAACCCATCAACAGGGCGATGCATCGAGATGCTGTGCCTTCCTGAGTCCGTGTCTTGTAATCGCCAACAATAAGAATGAAGCACAAATGAAGCGAAATAGGTAAGCAATTCAAGAGCAATCAGGGATCCGAGTCAAGTGTGGCCCTGTCACGGGAAGGGGCATGACAGAGGGAGATCCAGCCCGGCGGGCTGGAGATCCGGGGGTGGAGGGCAATGTGCAGCGGCATCGATATGAGTTCACATGAGGAGAACAGAGGGATAGGGGGGCCAAGGGATAGACGACTGTCAGAAGCATACTTTTCACTGACCTGGAGGGGCTGGGCTGGCGGGGATGGTGGATTTCTAGAAGATGGGGAGCGTTGCTGGCGCTGGCCCGCAGAGACAATGGCGGCCCTGCAGAGGGCGTGGGGTTTGCAGGAGGACTACTGTGGTAGATCTAAGACTCCAGGAGTGCAACCTCTGTGTCGAGAAATGGTCCGTCGCACGAGGGTTCGCCGTTTGATTGCCGTCGTGGATGGTCGTTCAAGGCGTCGAGCATGAGGGCTGCGGTTGGACAAGAAAAATCAAAGAAAAACACGGGGCGGCTTGGCCACTACCCCGGATTTCGTGGGAGCTTGCTTGGTGAGACTGCCCACGGTTCCCGGCCTTGTTGTTGATCTAGGCTCGCACGGAGGTCCAAGATGTCAGGCCCCCTTCTGTGGGTTTTGTCGTCTTTTGCTGGGAACTCAGAAGTGGGATGAATGGAAGAGCGAGTACCTGGGATGGGGGACGTGTGGGGGTTTTATGAGAGCCGACGGCTGGTCCCACTGATCCGACCCGCCTCAGGGAAACCATGCCATGCCCTCTGGGAGGGAGGGAGTCTAGGTACCTACCTACTGGTACAGCGCAGTAGACGCTACGATATCCCAGCTTGCAGTAGCCTGGATGGGGAGCGCGGCGACGCTCATCAGGTGTGAGGAGGACTAGGGCAGCAGGTAGACTGCCGACTGCCGTCTTCAGTAGGTGATCAATACGGCCCCCGATGCAAGTGGCACATTGGCCCTGTGTCAGTGTGTGTAGGGAGAAGATAGATCCGGAATCCTGAATCCAGGAGTCCATAATCCAGAATACGGATGCTGCACTGAGCCCACCCCGACTGGAGTAGCCCTCATGCAACTCCCAGGGCCCACTCACTTCCGACCCGGGTTGTAATCACCATCCCGAAGGCCCAGAGACACCACAGCCCTTTTGGGAGAGGAGGGGGGAGGCAAAAAAGGTGAAGCGGTCTTTGCAGGTCTTGCTTTTTTGACTTCGATGCGGGTTCTCGCTGCTCGACACACCCCTGCCGACCCATGCATTCTGAGGCTTGTCCTGCCTGTCCGCGCCTGCCTGCCCAGATGCTAGCCCTCGTCCCCCCATGCACCATCGCCTCTAACCCCCCCGGCCCAGCGTAAGCACCCCACAATTTGGGCATGTGTCGGTGCCATGCCTGCCCCTGTCTGTGTGGAATTCACGGCTGAAATTGGGGCATCTCGCGATCAGAGCTCCTCCATCTTTGATCTTGAGGGACCCACCAAGGCATTCTTTCCACCTCCATATGTAGTGGCGATTCGCTCCCTCTCAGTAGCGGCCCGTGGCCTTGTTGATTGCTTCTTCCGATCGTCGCAGAACAGCTCAGATGACAATGAAATCTTGCGACAATTGACTTCAGCTTGTCCTCGGGACGTCAAGGTTTCGCAGCACCCAACAGGGGGTACCCCTTGAAGCGCCTCCCCCCCTCCACCAGTTGCCCATTGGATCTGCAACAAGCCCACCGAGACTCTATTTGGGCGTAGCTGGGGGACCGGGTCGTGGTGATACAAAGCAGCATCTATGGCACTTCGAGTTCATCACTAGCTTGCAGCGGTGACAATCGCGCACACACCCCCGTGCAAGTGAAGTGTGGGAGGCATACACCAGATATCATAGTTCGCAGGCGAGATCTTCGAGATATGTGACCATCTCCAAACGTCTGGTCCGAGGAGATCGCTCCGATACGGTTCGTTGAGCATCTGCAAGATCGATTCTTCAGGCCAGATTCTGGGCACCCATTCGTCGATAGGCATAGCGAGGTTTAAGCGGAGGTTTGCACCATTCCAGGGTTTCATGCCTGGACGTGACAGGTCGCCGCTCACAACACAGCTTCGCATGCGATGACAGCCTTGCATCCTGGAACCCCAACAGTATCTTTTTCGAGGTTTCTCTCGTCTCCAACATCCTCTGTATTGATCGAGCTGGCAGGTGCGGCAAGAGGTTCGGGTGTCGCTGCGAGCGCCGTCTGCAGGGCTACCTTCTTGTCACTTACAAGCAGGGTCTTGCTTGTCTAAAGCCTTAGCAGGCTTGTCCGCGCGGTCTCTAGCAAAGAGGCCCAGAAATTTGTTGGCTTGTGGCTTGGCGACTTGCCTGCCCGCTGGGCCCCAGGATCAGCCTGTTCTGGTACGCCTCGGGGACTCGATCGAATTCGGCAACAAGCCTCGTGAGCTGTCATATTTGTTGCATTTCAATTCAAGGCCTGCTATATGGCCGCAGCTGATTATTGGCGTGTCGAGAATCCAGACCGTCACGTTGTATTGTTGAGCAACGTAGATTGGACCCCATGCCTGCCCAGGGCAATGGCTCCGGGCCCCCAGCAGTACCGAGCCCGTCGCAATCCAGGGTTCAAGCAGTGATCGGTGATCTCTTTCGGCCAAGCTCTTGCCAGACCCTGGCCTGGAGTGAAACGGGGACCCGACCGGCTGGAGCAACGGGCGCTGGGCTGGGCTGGACTCTTGCCTCGTCGGAGACTGTGCGCGGGATGCTGGCTGCTGCTCGAGCTAGAGGCGGATAGACCATCTAAGCGCGTTTTACGAGCGAGGTTCTGCTAGCTGGGAGCATGATTCAGCGCGCACTCGACGATTTGGCGTGGGGGTGAGTTCAGCCGCGCGTGACGCTGGAGCCTCTATGTCCACGATCTTGGGGGTCCAGTAACAACATGAATATAGCAGGGACGGCTGTGTGGGTTTGTAGCCCAGGCACGCCACCCGTCGCAGTTGTGAGCTAGTGAGCCCTGCTGCAAAAGACGTCCCACTCCCACAAGTGTGATCCGTGCTCGCAAGGCGACACACATACTGCGCACCATGGGTAAGGCCGCCGGCTTCACACTATCCTTTCACCTGACCCAGCTAGTGGCGTGGAGTTTCTATTGTACTGCTCAACGGCATCGGTGGTGCAGCGTGAGCGTCTGAATTAGGCCCAGAGACACGCATGATGCGGGTCGTTGAAAGCGCACTGCGTTGTGTAGCATAGTGTCCTGTGGCTGGCATTTTTTGGAAGCTCAGTGCGGGATCGGCGGCCGGTAGGTAGACCATGAAGCCTGTGCACCGACATGTGCAGGCTGACGGCAGCTCATAACCTGCACGCTCATCTGCAACTGAAGATGAGGGCATGAAGCTCACTGGGTAGTTGCATGCCCGACGTCTCCGGCTCGCATATAGCCCAAAGCCACTAAAGCCATTGGGACCTGCTCGCTGGAGAAAAAGGTTCCTCAACTTCAGCGGTTGTTCAGTCCCTAGTACCAATCGTGAGGGCAGAGTCGATGAGCCCCGAGTGCTGTATCGACAATGGCACAAGATGGGCTGCAAGAATTCTTCGAGAAGTACATGAGCATTCAATGTGCTGCAAATCTGACACACGTGATCATTTCCAGCTGCGTGATGCGAGACTCGAGTGGGCGGGTTGACCCAGCCTTGGAGCAGTGGGGAAGAAAGACATTCGAGGATGGTCAGACCGTCGTGGTCGAGTGTGGCAGGCATGTGGCAGGCCGGAGAATTGCAGATGACCGCACCTGTTCCATGAGACGGTGATTGACAAGTCCTCCATTCCGGGCAGCAGCTCGAAACTCAGATGCAATTTGCATGTCAACACGTCTTCCGATATACCATCTCGGCAGAGATCTGGGAATGGAAGCCCAGGCCGTATGGAATCACGCATTCGAACTGCTCAAGACGGGCATTCGGCCATGGGCTGGCCGGTGGGCTGGGGGATGGCTAGCGCCTGAGCAGTCCAATTTAAGCGTGGGATGGCTCTTTGTACCCCTGCACATGAGCAGACACCAGATTTGACCTGACCCCACACTCAACCAACCTTTGGCACCATGACCGGCTGCACTGCAATCTGGGCAGGCATCTGTTTCTGAAGCGGGCACTGTTCCCTACAATGAATCTGCTCTCGACTCTCTCTCTGCCCGTGTCGTCGATTGATTGCAACTTGACTTTATGCGCAGGTGGATTGCAGGACTCTTCAACATTACCTTCTTACCTGCTACTGTTCGCCACAGATCACCCTGCACAGTAACTGTGGCCCAACCTCTTGCCTCCCGCCTCGCACCGCCTTCCGCCCACAATGCCTCCCAAAAAGGCCCACGACGACTCTGAACCGAAGTCGACCCACCCGAAAGAAAAGAACGGCCACGGCCATGCCAATGGGAAAATGCGCCGTGTCGCCAGTTCCACCGGGTCAAACTTGAAGGAGGTTACGAACGCCGCGAACATGCCGTCACCTCCCACCGAGGTGACAGCAACAAATGCACCAGCTTCCAACCCAAGTGTGAGTCTACCCATGGCCAGAGTCAAGAACCCCGTTGTCCCTCGTGACGCAATCGCTTACGCCGAGCGTCGCGCCCAACAGATCCAATGGACCAGTTTCGACCGGGACTTTCTTCATCGATACCGCCGCGAGCACCACCTCACAACTCCGACCGCCTACGCAAGCGACTACCGCTCGTGGGTCTTGACCAAGCCCGGAAGCATTGGCCTCTACTCCCCAACACTAGCAAGAAAGCAAGCCTTCCGGCGCCAGACGAAGGGCCAGCTGGCAAATACGGTGCGGAAACACTTCAGCAGTCAGGCTGTCCAGGAGAATGATGCCGTCGTGGATTTTGTCCACCGCGTCAGGCGAGGCCGGCTGACCAAAACGAGCACCTTGCCCAGGGCAGGGAAGAAGATGACGGAACCCGACAGAATATAAATGTTGCTCCAAATGTTATAGTTTTCGGGTAAAGGCATATCTCATGGCTGGCGTTGACGGTGGGCTTCACGGTGCTTGCGAGCGCTCGTTTCTTGGAGCCTATGCATAGTTTTTCTTTTGACAGGGAAGGGGTTCTGACGAAGCGTCAGACTGGCGTTGAGCTTTCACGGGTTACGGCTGAAGATACTCATTACTGGATTTAAATTATTATTACTATTAGACCAATCGATTTCGCATTCTATGTCTACGGCTCCAGAGTGGTGCCGAGCGCGATGCCAGTGTCTTCAACTGCGGGCCCTGTGCCAGAGAAGCACGCAGATGAAGAGGGCCTGGAATCGCGCGACCTCGGCGATAAGGCGTTACTCCACTCTCTCCAAGGCCCCTTATCGGCGCTGAGCTGTGGAATGCTGATGACGCACTGGCCCATGCCTCAGGCAGGCAGTCGGCAAGAGGCTGCTGCCAATGACCGCTCCCGTAATGGACATTCTGCTCACCAGGGGTGCAGCACAAGCTCTCAACCCGCCGGCAGTCTGTGGGGCGGCCACCGTCGGCCCTGTCCAAGCATCGGCTTTCTAGATTTTTCTAAGATCTTCTCTGCAGACAAAACAACCTCTCTCCGAATAGCTACACCACCGCCAATTCTTGAAACGTGTCTGCTCCCTCAATGCATCTGTTGGTGCTCGCTGAAACATGCAACCAAGCATTGTAGTTCGAGCCGCGGCTCCTGCCCGGCCGCTCACACCGGCGCAAATATGCAGACGGAAGCTCACCATCTCGTCGTGCTCTGCGCAAGCACGGAAGCTTCATACCGTCGCTCCTAGACCAACACAGGCGAAACGGCATCAGCCACGGAAATGTGGCCTGCAGTCAGTTCCAAAGAGGGTAAGTCTGTTCGTTCTGAACCTTGAACCAGCCAGATCATGGAGATGCGTAAATATCCCACCTGCAGTCCAGTGAGCTCATTGCAGACCACCACAATAGGCTTTCCACGCAACATCTACAGCGTGCGCCCCGATAAAAGACCCGTATAAAGCCCTAGGCGTCAGCAAGAGCGCGTCATCATCCGATATCAAGAAGGCCTACTACGGCCTCGCGAAAAAGTTTCATCCTGATACAAACAAAGACCCGAAAGCCAAAGACCAGTTCGCCGAAGTACAGTCCGCCTACGAGATCCTTTCCGACCCAAAGAAGAAGGAGCAGTACGATCAGTTTGGCGCTTCCGCCTTCGATCCCAATGCTGGGCCAGGCGGTCCGGGCGGCGACCCATTCGGAGGAGCCGGCGGTCCATTCTCGGGTTTCGGAGGCTTCGGCGGAGGGGCAGGTGGTTTTGGCGGGCAGGGCTTCAACTTTGACGACATCTTCAGCCAGGCTTTCGGAGGCGGCGCTAGAAGGGGCGGGAGGAACCCCTTCCAGCAGGAGACAGCTGTGGTTGGTGACAACATCGAGGTGCAGACAACCGTATCCTTTGTCGAGGCCGCCAAGGGCACGAGCAAGACCATTACCGTCACGCCGTTGGTGTCATGCGGCACCTGCGGTGGCAACGGATTGAAGGAGGGCGCAAAGCGCACTGCATGCCAAAGCTGCGGTGGCAGTGGCACGAGGGTACATTTTATGTCGGGCGGCTTCCAGATGGCCTCGACATGTGGGGCCTGCGGTGGATCTGGAACGACGGTCCCCAAGGGCTCACAATGCAAGCCTTGCAAGGGTGACGGCGTGGTGAGAGAGCGGAAGACGCTGACGGTGGATATCCCCGGTGGCATTGAAGATGGTATGAGATTACGCGTGGACGGCCAGGGCGATGCACCTGCCATGGGAGCAGCAGACCCAAGCGCAAGGGGCATCAAGGGCGATCTGTTTGTGTTTGTCCGTGTCGCGCCAGACCAGAAGTTCAGCAGAGCCGGCTCCGATATCCTCTACACAGCCACATTACCCTTCACGACAGCATTGTTAGGTGGAGAGGTCACGGTGCCTACCCTTGACGGCCAAGTCAACGTCAAGGTTGCGACTGGCACGTCGACGGGTGACAAGATGACCTTGGCAGGCATGGGAATGAAGAAGCTGAGCGGCCGCCGTGTGGGCTCCGGTGATCTGAAGGTGGAGTTCAAGGTGAACATGCCCAAGTATCTGACAGCCAACCAGCGGACGCTCGTGGAGATGCTGGCGGATGAGGTAGGAGACAAGACGGCAAAACGCGTCATGATCAAGCCCTCTGCCGGGTCACAGGCAACATCGTAAGTTGCGAGCTCAATGGTAATGTGGGAAGACAGTTTGACTGATACTCGAGCGCAGCAACAGCGATGCATCAAAGACGGCGGAGGACCACCAGAACGAAGGGTTTCTGAAGTCAATATGGCATAACCTGACCAATCACCCAGCTCACCGGCAGGGCAATGAGTCCGAGGGCAAGACCGATAACAAAGCAGATTCGAACAAGACAGATGGTGAAAAGAAGGAGTAGATGCAGAGTTTGCAAGGTTTCAAGGTTGTATATCATGTTCCATATTGTCCCCAGCGACGATATGTACAAAAACGAGAGGTTGTATCTACTCACTATACCTAGATAGACGGATATCTGCATGGGCGGTGTTCATTGAAGTGATCACACTGGCGTTTTATGAGAGGGGGAAGCAAGAGCAGGCCAGAATCATGATAATGTCGTATACCTGTACTAACAAAATAAGACCACTCCTACCAAGAGAAGACGGTACGGCAACTCAGGAGCTCTTTTCGTGTTCTGTTTCCAAGCTCACTAAATTGTTATGGTTCTGGCTGGATATAGCCATCATCCGACATCTGGGGCTGCGAATGTCCTGCGTTACGGTCTGAGGCGTGGCGTCCATTGCGCCGAAGCACTGCGCACATTCTCTGTGGCGCTCTAGTCCAGTCCCGCCCTTGCAGATTTCAAGAGAGATCCCTCGCGCCACCCTCGCGTCTACTACATCCAAATCAGCTGTTTCCATATGGCGGGATCGATTCGGACACGACGCGGACCGCTATAATATAGACGCTCAATCTCTATCCAATTACTTGTCTTTGAAGTTTGGCGTGACCTAGGGTCTAATTGGCTTTGAACTTGCCCGTGCCCTCGGTCATTACAGAAGCTGAGAGCTCGTGGGTGGTTTCTATCTCGACGATATGATATGCGCGTGACTACCCAAGAACATCAAAGCACTCCCACGGCGTGCTGATTTAAACTCCGCTGCGGTCGGTGCCTCCAGCGGCGGCGGAGTCCTTACAGGCAGTTTATTGTCCGGCGCCGAGTGTCTAGATGCAACACCACGTGCGATTCTATATTTGGACGCCTTCTAGCAGATGTCTTTCTGTCGCCGGATCATGACATGGTACATTGAAGAGCTAAACCCTACATTGCAAGTGATTAGAGGTGTTTCCCACGCACTCTGTGTGTTAAGTAATGAGCGTGCTTTCAACGTGATGTCAGGAACAGAGTGATTCAATGCAGATATACCGGAGGAGAGTATCTGCACACGAGACGATGCACAGCAGAACCTGTGCCGGATGTAGATTTCTTGACATCACATACACTGATGGAGCAATACTGCCCAATATGAGAAAATGCAAAAACATCAGTGCGGAGTCTTGTGTAACTTGCTTGCTTCCCCATGGAGGGTCATCCTACAGGAAATTATCCCACAGGACTTTATTCCACAAGACGCTACCCGATTTATCCATGGCTAATTATCTGACAGCGGGTTGTGTTATGAGAGATTGTTTTATTTCTTTATGATTCCCCACTTTTTTAATACTTATTTGTCACATAGATACTGTGGTCACGAATCGGCCCCGAGCTTAAGCTCATTGATACCAAGACGGCGTGCCGTCTGACGGGCTTGACATGTGTGTTTGCAGGAATTGAGTCCCCAAGCCCACGTCTGCGTTTAAATAAGCTCTTCTCCTACAAGATTATGTGGTCGAATAGACACCAACTTCAAGAGAGCTGCCTCCCAGCCCCTCAGCACTAACCAGCACACAGTCCGGCCCCCCGTCCGGTCTGGACGTGGGGAATTTCCGTCCGTGCTCGTATTCTCGGAAAGCTGACATGGCTGTCACCTCGTCTCGATCGGTCAAGATCCGGAACGCCATCGTCGCGAGGCCAATGGAAGGGGACGGATCGACTGGTGGCTTGAGCGTGGGCGCCATCCAAGCTGATGTGATGGGACGGGGTAGGGGGTGTTGTCAAACTCTCAAAGCACAGTCCACACCCTCGCTAGCCCGTCCCGGTTCCTCGGGTCAGAATAGAACCCACCCACCCCCACGATTTGTGTTGCGGGCCGCCCATCCTTGATCCCTGTGCACGGCCCGTTCCCCGGATTTGGGGGACACCAATGCCTACAATGGATTGTCTTCGGGATAATGCATCGGGTAGAGACAGGACGGTCAGAAATTTCCATGATCGAAGTCGAGTCCACCTGTCCCCCAAAATATCCCTTCCACAAAGGTAAAACTGGAGAAGCTATCGCGTGGAGTGTGAGCTGGACCCGGATGCGGATAGCTTTGCAAGGACCAGAAGATTTCAACCTTGGGGGTAGGGGTGGGGGAAAGCGTGTCAGCCTTTTTTTCAGCTCTCTGGAACCATATAGCGTGGCGGTGTTGGACTCCGAGAGGTGACTTCTATTGTACAAATTGCATACGTCGAGCATCACGTATGTATCGCCCCCCGCCCCCCGCCAAGGCCAGAGGACGCGGGAGAGATATTTATCTATATGTACACCATAGCCGAGGATATCAATTTGTAGGCTCACCTGCTACTTTGTGGCCAAGTCGAACAGCACACCCTTTTCCAGCCTTGCCCCCTTCTGAGGAATGCCCGCATAGCCATTGATATCCATGCTATAGCACGAGCCCGGTCTATGGTGCAGACATCCCAGGCTGTGAGAATGGGTCATATGTAGGGAAGGCTCCTCCCCATCCAGACACGGAGCTCCAATCCATGGCGCCAAAATCCATGTCGCTAGGCATGACCGCCGAGCTGAACATATGCGGGTTGATCCCCTCAAAGCCGCCGGCCGGAAACATCCCACCACCCATCGGCTCCATCCCGCCGGTGCCAGGTGCAGACACAATCGGCGGCGAGCTCCCTGCGCTTCGCATGTCCATTTCGGATTGGTGCTGTTGCTGCGGATGCTGTTGCTGCTGGTGGGCAACGTAATTACTCGGGCCACTTGATATGCTGACTCTGCTACCTGTCTCTGGTCCTGAGCTCTGTGACAACGCCGAGTTGTCTTTGCTGCTCGTATTCGTTGATTTGGCCCGGTCTCTGAGAATCCCAATCAGTCTCGGTTGCTGTGGCGGGGGCTTTCCCATCTGCGCTATGACTCCCTCGTGTGCATCCCACGCCTTGAGCAATGCGCCACCCAGGGCTGTGTGTATTGGGCTCCTCAGATTATTAGCCATTCCTCTCTTCTCGTAGTCCTCGAGTATGGCCGTCCATGCTCGCTCGCACATATCCCCACTAGTTATGTACCTTAACTCGCCGACCAGATACATATACACTGGTAGGGGAAAGTGCATAAAGGTATACCACCTGAAGCCCTGTAGCGATTCATGCCCCTGTATCATGATATCGTACTCGAGTACACGTACTCCTTCCTCGAATATTGACTCGCGCAGTGTGCGCTCGGGGCCTGCCGGTACGGTTTTGGGGTCTGGGTGTTGTTGGATGTGCCCACGACACAGGTAGTCAATGATGCGGAGCTTGGAAAGAGATTGCCGGGTCATCAATAGGGTGAAGAGATGTAAAGGGACCTTCGGATCACAATGTTTCAGGTATCTGTCTTCGATGTAGGTCATGTAGCTGTCCAAATCCGCCATAGGAAGGTTGTGATTGGCCGCGTTCGTGACTACGTCGGAGGAATTTGGCGACGGACTGTATTGAAACTTCGGTTTGGCACCGGTCGCCCCTAGGTTTGGTACAGGTCGGACGCCATCGACGTCTGCGGCAGCTGTTAATTCGAACCGTGTAAGACAAAACAACATCTCCGTTGGCCCAAGGTATGGTGCAATTCGATCCTTGGCATGAACGTGCAGGTCGGTATCATTTATGTTCAGGGGCCATTTGCAGTCCCCTTTGCTGGCTGACAAGGCTGTGATTGTCGAGCCAGTAATCTCGGCGATCCGTTTGTCGAAAATCACCAGCTGCCACCAAAGCCGACGCCTCAGCTCGACTTCGAATGGAGCCAAATGGAACTGCTCAGCATCTCGGTGCAGCCCCAGTCGTTGTGCAATGCGAACAGCAATCCCTATCAAACAAAACAAAGAGCGTGGGTCGGTGTATTGACGGATGCAAAGCTGATAGTGTTAGGCTTCGCACATCTTGAAATACTCTTATACAGAGGTGATAAGGCGCTACTTACCAAATACATCACGTAGGCTTGAAGTACGACAAGGTCCGGGCTCCTCATGAACCCGGCATTGATGAGGGCTTGCTGAGTCCCGTGATGGTATTTAGACATGAGTCGATTCTTGTCCTCTTTAAAAGTGTCTCTCACTTCATCGTCGGTCATGGATACGACGGCGATGAAATATATGCTGAACATCAGGGCCTCGAGTGGCTTCGCAATCTTGGACGGATTTGCAGCGGCCTCGATCAACGAGCCTTGTATCGTTGGCGTATGTGTCACTTTCAGTAATGGGTTGACGTTCTCCAGGTAGATCTGCCAGAGCTGGAATATTTGCACGCCTGAAGGGTGCAGGTTGGTAACAGATGATGTTGAACCGCCAATCACAAAAGGGAAACCATCTTGGCCGTCAAACATCTTGTCGAAAGCATGATGAATCATCGGACCATCAGAGCCATCGTCTGAAGAATCCCTGAACTGAGCATCCTGTGTCCGGAACTGCTCAAATGAAGAATCAGTACCTCTGTCTGTCAAGACATAGAGGGACGCAAGGGGAGAAAAGCCAACGATGTCCTGAACAGACACACTCCACATGAATGTGAGGCATGACCGAGTCAAGGTAGTGGGACCAACTAATTATTGCTACAACAGAGTAAAGGGACTGTGGGTGAAGTTTGGAAGAGAGCTTTGGGCGCCATGATCAACAGAGAGGGTCACCCAAGAAGCGAAAGTCTTGTTGAACTGAGAAAAACATGATGAGACATGTAGAACTTACATCTTTGTAATATGGGAACCACTTGAAGGGTGGCCTTTATAACTTCGCGTCAGCACGGTAAGACCGGGGACTGAGATCTGGGCCTTACTTGTCGCTAGAGACGCCATCTTGCCCTGTTGAAGAAGGAGACGTCTTCAAGCCCTCGATTCCATGCTCTATCTCGTCGACCTCATCAACGGCTAGGTCGGAGGACTTGAGATGCTGACCAATGGGCTCGAAGTCGACGCCATGTTGAGATAGCAGGGCCTCGTACTTCTTGAGGCGGTCGACGAGCTCTCTCTCCTGTGGCTTCTTCTTGCGCCGACGAGGAGGCTGAGGAGGGACGACTTTGCAATCGACGCCAGCCTTGACACAGTTGGCGCAAGGCTTGTTCTTATCGCAGCGGACTTTACGTTGTTGACAGAGAACGCATGAGTGGCCTCTGGTCAATTTCATGACCGAGGATTCGGGGGGTACGACGCCATGACCCGATGCAGGCAAGGGGTAGGATGTCATGTCAGGGGAAGGGCCCGCCATTGTGCATCTCTTGTCTTGGGACGGTGCAGAGAGGGTGGCATGAGCAGAGACTGGAGGTTCCGGTCAGCTGGAACAGAACCTCGGATCCGAAAGGCAAATCCAAACAGCCAAGGGCCGAGCAGGAATGGGGAAGAATATCTTACACGGCCGCCGGGGACGCGCGCGTAGCTAGGTAGATGCCCGTCCCTGCACGGATCGGTCGGGAAAGGGCAAGGCGAGTCGAGTAGGCGCGCGGACGGCGATTATCTCATGGTGTCGATAGAGCAGACTCAGTCCCCGTTCGGCGGAGACGACTAAGCGAGCAAGCAGTCAAATGCAGGCCTAGCGTCAGAGCAGCAGGCAGTAAGTCTTGTCTCGGGCTGTCTGCCGGCCACGAGGCGTTGTCTTTGTAGCCGAGCACAGGTGGTCGACGTGGTGGCGTGCTCGTCACAGTGCAGAAGTTCAATATTACCCAATATGACAGCAGGATAAAAGGCCAGGGCCAGCTCACGTTAATCGTTCTGGTCTGGTCGTGCAAACAGCAGGTCCTAGCTCTCGTCTAGAGCACAGAAGCAAGCATGGACATGGGAGCGTGAACATGGGATGAGTGCAATGGGGAGGGCAGGCACGTGTCTGCGGAAGAGCTCTCTCGTCGCGTTGCAAGGCCCACAGGCAACGATTGTCTGTATGTTCGGCTTGGGCTATTCTTGCTGTGACCGACTTCAGCCTCACTGTGGATGAGATGAGACGGGGACTGGGATTGGGTCGTGAAGGAGGTTGCTTCCGCTTGACGGCCGCGAGCAGGATTCGGCCGTTTCTTCCCTTTCCCCCTCCTCCTATCTCTGGCTTGTTGGTTGGTCGGCTGGTCGGGCATCTCGGGAAAGTACCGCTGGGTGACGCTAGTGATAGAGCGAGACCTACAGATGGCACAATCTGTAATGTAAAAATATGTATTCTCTATCGCGCCGACCACATCACCACCTTGTACCTCGGGACCGAAGCCCGCCAGCTTCGCCTCATCTGACTAGCTTCGGCATTTTCGCAGTGACTAGTCAACGTCAACGGATCCGACATTGGGGAAACTCCAGGAGCACCAAAGCTTAACCACCGGCCTTCAGCTTCAAAATCTGCCAGTCCCGGCCTTCTGATCGTGTCCCTCACATCCATGACGACTGCGGTGCCATCACTCTTCTAGCTGAATCCACCGAGATGCACCGACTGCCTGAGGATTGGCCCCTTCGTGACATGGGGCTCCGTCAGCCAGAGCAGCAAGGTAAGCAGAGGTAATATGGCTACTTAAGTATATCACCCCTTCGAGTGCCGCATACACATCGTAGCACGGACACGCCATTGTTTCTCTGATCGTCTAAGGGCAGCAGGCTTTTCTCGGCCTTCTCCTCCTGCTTTTGCCGGTGCCCAATCTACCCGTGTACTTGATAGGTCCTTCTCCTTCTTCCTATGCCATTTCGTGTAACCTGTCTCTTGCTTCTCCACTGAACCCTGCCGCCCAACAATCTATTTGATTGCATGACCAGAGAGCAGACAAGTGGACTCCTAATACTACATAATGAATCGGTCTACCACATCGTTGGCTAGTAGCCATACCCATGTGGCTTCTTCCTTGAGGCCTTTCGGGGAAGACAACGAGAGCACTCTTGACATCGAGAAACAAGCCCACCACGGTCGATACCCAATGGGACATCCAGCAGATGATGTACCAACCCCAAAACAGGCACCAAATGAGGCACCAGATGAGGCACAAAAAACCATCTCTCAGGGACCTCCTGTGCCCGTAGGTCCAGGCGGCCCAGGAGGCCCAGGAGCCAACGCGTTATACAAGCCCAAGACTCTCCGCTTCTGGTTGACAATACTAGCAAACTTTCTGGCTGTTTTTCTTGTCGCCTTGGATCGCACCATTGTCGCAACCGCTATCCCTCAAATCACGGATGAATATCACAGTCTGGGTGACATTGGCTGGTACGGCTCCGCTTACATGCTGACAACATCGGCCTCGCAACTCCTCTTTGGCCGTCTGTTTAAATTCTACAACATGAAATGGTACGTCTTGATGAAACACCACGGTGAAGATTTAAGACTTCCTCGCTGACGAGCCTCGCTAGGGTGTTCCTGACTTCTGTAGTCATCTTTGAGGTCGGCTCTGCCATATGTGGAGCTGCCCCTACCTCGCCGGTCTTTATCTTCGGCCGGGCCATTGCCGGCTTCGGAAGTGCAGGCATCTTCTCAGGTGCCATGATGATCATGATCCCTATGGTGCCTCTCCCCAAGCGCCCCATGTTCCAGAGTCTATTTGGAATGGTCTTTGGGATCGCTTCGGTGATGGGTCCCTTGATCGGTGGTGCGTTCACTAGCACCTTGACCTGGAGGTAAATTCAGCCTACAATCTAAGTTGTGTTAATCAATACTAAGCTTCGTTGTCAGATGGTGCTTCTATATCAACCTTCCAATCGGAGGTTTCACACTGTAAGTTTAATTGCCATACTTTGCAGCCAAGATAGCCTTTCTGACAAGCTCGCTAGACTCTTCATGGTCTTTTTCTGGAACCCACCAGCACGCAAGACCGAGCCAGCTCCCGTCATCGATCACATCAAAAGGCTCGATCCACTTGGTACTTTTTTCTTCATCCCATGCGTGGTCTGTCTTCTGCTCGCGTTGCAGTGGGGTGGCTCGACGTATGCGTGGAGTAACTGGCGTACTATCCTGCTGTTCGTTCTCTTTGGCGTCCTCGGCCTGGCCTTTGCCGCTGTGCAAATTATCATGCCCAACACTGCCTCTATCCCACCAAGGATTATCAAGCAGCGCACCGTGCTTTTCGCGGTGTGCTTCACATTCTTCATCGCAGGCTCCATGCTGATGCTGGTTTATTACATGCCGATTTGGTGTAAGTATTATTGAATAATCGCTCCAGTGCACATAGATTGCTAATCCAAGTCTAGTCCAAACTGTGAGGCGTGTGAGTGCCCTCAACTCGGGTATCTACACGCTGCCGCTGGTTCTGTCCCTTGTGGCTTCAAGCTTGCTGAACGGAGTGGGCACCGCGAAAATCGGGTACTACGTTCCTTCCATGTTGCTGGCTCCATCCGTCATGGCGATCGGCGAAGGTCTGCTCAGTACCCTCACCCGTAATGCCCCTCAGAGCCACTGGGTCGGCTACCAGTTCCTGTCCGGCTTCGGCCTGGGCATGGGCATGCAAACGGGTGGCTTGGCCGTGCAGACTGTCCTGCCCATGGCCGATGTTTCCATGGGAATTGCCTGCATTTTCTTCGCTCAACAACTCGGCGGTGCCATCTTCACGACCGTTGGTCAAACCATCCTCAGCAACTTGCTCGTCTCAGAACTGGCTGGCGTCCCTGGGATCGACCCAGCCCAGATCGTGGCAAGTGGTGCGACGGAGCTGGCGGATATTGTACCAGCAGAGGAATTGAACGTTGTGCTTGATGCGTACAACTATTCTCTAACAAGGATTTTCTTAGCGGCCATGGGCCTTGCGTTCGCCGCCCTGCTTTCGGCCGCATGTATGGAGTGGAAGAGCATCAAGAAGCCTGGCGTAGGCGCTGTTGCGGAACCAGCGAAGGATGATTCTGACAGTCCATCAAGATCAGAAGAGACCGAGTTGGGAGTGATGGGAAGTAGAAGGGCGGGCCAAGCGGACAGTAATGGTGTCGCGAGGAATTAGGGATATCTTGCATGACTTTGTTGTCAAACAGGCAGATAGCACTGCGGGCATCACTAGAGCACGGCGTTTAGAAATTGAGTTAGAGGCACATTATTCCAAGTGCACTAAAGGTTACATGGGGCGGCACTTATTAGAGACTGTATAGTCAATTAGAATAATTGTCTTTATTACTATCTTACTCTCCCCGTTCCACGTTTGGAATACCAGAACAGTCAACCCTTCAAGGCTTTGGGAGACACTCTGCTGTGACATTGTACAAATGGATCCTGTGACATTGCATGGTAGGGCCAGTAACGTGTTTGACAATCAAGGCCAAAGGGTGAGTAGATACCCACATATACAGCACATAGCCTAGGTATGCAACTAATATCTAGTGGGCCGTATTGAGGGCACATAGCCTGATATCTAGACTACGAGGACATGCAGTCATCACTGCCTGCAATGTTGTTGCTGCGCCGCCCCTGAAGGAATGCTCCGATTAGTGCATCCAGTAGGCTGTGCTTCCGCAAGCATGATCCGTGCAGCTAGGCACTGGCTCCTTCTGAGGCCCGCCGATAACCTGACAGGTACCTGGGCGTTGCGGCTGACTGCATCACGCAAACATTGAAGTTGTTCGTCGACCTCCGCACGCGCTATCATTCTCAAGGGAAACTGGCCTCTTTTGGTTTCGATCTCTGGCTTTCTTTTCACGGTGCTCTTGTTTTCAGGGTGGTCACTTTGGGGCTTGGTGTCCCGCTTCTGCTCATCAGGTCGCCACGGACATCACACAGCATAGCCTGCACCGCCGGCCTGCACCACCGGCCTCGCTCATTCCATCTGATTTACCCCACGCCGTCTTGCACTCCCATCTTATTGTTTTTTCTTCATCGCAACTTCATTGAGGATACCCACTTAATAAATCGAGGACGATGGCTGAGACCGAGGAGCCACGTTTCAATTCCCTGGCCGAGAGAATCGCGGCACTGAATCAACAGAGAAACTTTACTACCCCCTCCTCCACAAAGCGGCCCCCTCCTCCTCCACCCAACAGACCACCATCGAGAACCCCCAGCCAGGTAAATTCTCCCCCTTTGGATGGCGCCTCGCAGAACGCAACGCCTGTCGTTCCAGCACGACCAGCGAAAAGAGCGCCTCCTGCTCTTCCTCAGAGGAGCAACACCGAACCTCAAAATGGGTTATCACCAAACCACAGCCTCGCCCCCCAAAGACAGCCGTCTGAGCAGATATCGCCTGCTTTGCCACCCAGGAGGCCTTCGACCCAGTCGCTGACCACACGCCGCAACTCAAATGAGTCTGTCAAGTCTCATGCCTCAAGCATTTCTGCGCTCTCTCTGAACCAGGCTGCTGGCTATAGGTCAAATGATGGCCGCAAATTACCACCGCCACTTGAGCAAGCTGATCTGCCACCGCTCCCGCCTACGAGACGTGAAAGAGAGGCAGCCATGGCCAAGGAGCACGAGGAAGCCAAAGCGGCAAGCACAGCAAGGATGGCGAAGCCGCCCCTGCTGCCCAAACGATCAATGCCCGCCCTACCCCAGGCGGACAACGCGAGACCGTCTCTACCGCCTCGACTGCCCAGCAGGCCAGCTCGGTCGCCTGGACTCAACGGCGCCGAGCCATCTCCTCCAGCCCAGCCCTCGCGGCGTCTTCCCCCACCCCCGGACAAGTTCATCAGGACGATCCCAGAGGTCAGCGGGAACACGTCGGGAGGGACACCAGCAGCCCCTTCGAATGATGTTCCGCCACCGGTCCCCATCGCGTCTCGGCCTAGTGCGGCCCAGATTGACGCGGCAGCAGCAAGTAGCGCGGCGCAACAGGCGGCATCATGCCTCGTTTGCCGTGATTTCTCGGTCCCGGATCAAGTTGCGGGACAGTATCCGGCGTCAACTCTTGACCGTCGTGATCCAGTTGGTCACCTTGCCAACGTACTGTGCGGCCCCTTCCCTTCGCCTACAGACAAGGCTCGAGCAATCTTCATCTGGTGCCATCATAATATTGCATATGTTTGTACCCTGCCCCTCTCTCAGTCTTTCCTATTTCATCCGTGCTCCCGTGCTCCCGTGTTCAGCGAGGCTTCAGGTTGCCGCTCAGGAGACTACCCCCATAACAAGTGCCGATATATGAATATTTATGAGGAGACACAACTCCTCAGTGGTTGGCCCCCTATGAGCAAGGAGCCACGGCGAGTGTCATATCTCATGTGCAATTGACTAACAAACCGTAGGATGTTCAAGGTTTCTTCGGCGGTTGTATTCAGAGGGGCACAGCAAGCGACACTATTTTCTCGGGAAAAGCAGTCTGCGAAGGCTATGCCCGCGTCTACGAAGCCATCGCGAAGAGGGCGGGGCTCGAGTGTATCGTCGTCGGCGGCCATGGCAAGGGCTTTGGGTTCTCTCCTCTCAAGGAAGGAGAACGGCCGCCTCCACGAAATGCCACAGGCCATGCTTGGAACGCGGTCAAGATCGACAACGGATACTGGAAACTCCTAGATGCCTGCTGGGGGGCCGGAAGTGTCGGTGGGCAGAGCTACAATAAGCACTTCTCGCCGCACCACTTCACAGCAAGCAACGAGATGTTTGGGTAAGTTTCCCCCGTCCATTTCAGAACACTTTCGGCTCTGCCAGGATTGATCAGAGTGCCGTGGCCGTCGTACACGGCTTTTGCGCTCACAAACGAGCACCTAAGTACTAGCCTGGTGCAGCGATTTCCTGGCTTTCTCATTGCAAAAACGAGATTCGTGGCTGACGAACCATGCAGAATGAGCCATTTCCCTGAGAACCCACGGCACTTTTTCCGGGACGACGGAAGGACTCCATCCTGGGAAGAGTATTTCTTAGGCGGTGCGACGGGTGAACGTACTCAATGGTTCTCGAACGCTATCGAGGAAGGGCTCAACGAGTGGTGCTCCTCCCCAACAGAGAAAAAGATACCCGTGTACAGTGGCGAGGTAGTGAGGTTCCAGTTTGCAAAAGTGTGCGAGCACTGGACAAGCGAGAGAAATGGACTGGGAAAGCCTAAACTTCTGATGATGCAGATTCACGGCGTCGACGGGCGGAAGGATGACACTGTCCCGTGTGAAAGTGATGGTTTCTGGTGGTGGTGTGACATACCAGCGAGGTGCGTACGTCACGAAGCAGACCTAGATTGTCAACTGACATATAATCACACAGAGACCTCGGGAGCCCTGGACAGAAGGTTCAGCTGATTGCTCTGAAGACTCTCGGCGAACACGACGGGAGGGGAGTTACGAAGGCCGACTTCCTGTCGAAGAAGGGCAGGTACGGGATGAGCTTCGATATATACGCCCAGTGGGAGCTGGTTTGAACGAGCCAGGGAAATCCGGCTTCGTAGGATACAATGCATAATTGGAGAACGTGTACCCGTACTGATGCTTGTGTTGACGTGTTGGGGTATGGGGCAACCACAGCCTCGTCGGCGGGAGAGGGCGGGACCTTCGGTCAAGGATGCAAGGAGTAACCCTATATCCGGACATCTCTGAGTGGACGTCTTTGATGCATCCCCATTGCCCTTTCCTGGAGCATTGAGGAGCTGGCCACCGATGAAACCGACGGTCTGCGATAGTATGCGGTCATCTATCGTTCCCGGACCCTCCCTACTCTTCTGCAGTAAGTGAGTCACCCACCCAAACCTGGCGCGGATGAAGGTGCTCGCCACTGTCCCTGCTCCCTTGGCCCTTTTCTTTCAAGTCTCTCAGATTCTGCCGTTGAGGCTCTCAATGAATGGCGCAGGGGGGCCCTGTGGGTGCAGGTACGGCCTCCAGGGATCACAGAGGCTTGCCAGGGAGCTACTGGCCTGGGTGGATTTGCGAAGAAAGGGACATAGAGCCTACCTAAACACAGCACATACTGTTTTAGAAGATTATCTATTATCCAGATGAAGTAATTCCACACGCAGAAGATCATCCCGTACGATGGTAGACTATCTGGAGAATATCCCACAAGCGTATATTGACCGGGACATGTTCGTGTCTCTAAGATCCCTGCGAGCTGCCCACGTAGACCTGCCAATGGCCTGCTTAAAGCCCAGGCCCTTTCTGGAGGCGTGCTGGGCAATGGAGGGCCCTGCGTGGGGTGATTGGCTGTTAGTGCTCGCCCCAACTTCCACGTCCCACGTCCCCCCGCCGCCCGCCTAGCGCTCAACCTGGGTGATCTAAGCCGATCTCCAGTAATCAGCCAAGCCAACCCTGCGTCCACGTCCAAAGTGAGTGGACCGTAATAGTAGACTATCTATTGATTGACTGTAACTCCAACGTCAAATTCACCCTTTCAACGTCTGATTCACTCGACGAGCGTCCTCACTCCTTTTCTTTGTGCGTCGTTTCCTTGAGCAACTCTCTTAGCACTGACTATTCCCGCGTGCGCCAAAGAGCAATTGCAGCCGCACTGTTTTCTTTTCTTTTGCGCATCAGTCTGGGCAGTCTACATTCCTGGCCTTGCCAAGGTACTACACCAGCAAGCGACAGCCGATTTATCTCTTCGCAATATCAGCCCTTCATCCCCAAGGCTTGCCGATCTCGCTGCGCTCTTCTGAGCGACCTCCCCCAGCTTCGCATGATGGCGTCGGACGTTGTCGCCCAACCTGCCTCGTCCTCTGCCGCCCTTCAATTCACAGACCTGCCTCAGGAGCTACAGAAGGAAATCATCAGTCATGTAAGCGCCGGCCGTGGACCCCTCCCTCATGCTTGTGCCCCAGCTCCATTCAGCCGATGCCAGACACCCCGCTGAACCATAGTTTCCAGTGCCATCAACCAGAACTTATCTGCCTGTCTCTCGTCTCTCGCCACTTCAGATCTCTGGCTGCGGCCGAGCTGTATCGAAATTTCCACATTGTATTTCCCGACGAAGATGATCCCGCCTTCGACTCTCCAATCGATGGACTGGCGGGCGGTCTGGAGACCTTTGTCACAAGCGACTATGACTACGCGAAACACCTCAGAGACATATCGCTTGATACCCTGAGCGCGGGCGACAAGGCTGAGACGGCGTACAAACCCTATCTGTACAGCGTCAGCTGCGGCAAGTTCCTCAATACTCTGCTCCTCCTGACCTTGCGCAAGGCACGAGCTCTAGAGACCCTGAGGTAAGGTCGCCATATGCCGGCGCCGTTCTTTTTTTTTTTTTTTTTTTTTTTTTTTTACATAGATCACATGTCCTGACTTGCCCCTCTATAGATGGAACATCCGTGTCGAGCTCAGTCGGCCGGTGTACAAGGCGCTACATAGCATCGATAGCCTCTCGCATCTTCACATACGTCTCCAGGCAGGACCATCGCTGTACGAGCATCCCCCACCATTACCTCTCTCCTCGCCCATTGCGACTCCAACCGCGTCTACGCACCACCTTCCACTCATTGACTCACAACTTCCACCGCCGACCTTTACGCTTCCGCCCCCGCCCCCGCCATTCTATATACCACCGCCTACCTCATCGCTACCGCCCTTGCAACCACCACCGAAACCTCCCTCCAGGGTCAAGACACTGAAGAGATCATCAACATCCAAAAACCCACCGACTCTGTCAGGTTTCAGGAATTTGAAAACCTTGTCCGTTCTGGATATCGACGACCTGGATGTGGTTACGGAGCTCAAGTCTTGCGTCAGGAACTCCCAGGCGACACTGTCCAAGCTCAAGCTATCATTCTCGCACAACATGGCCATGCGCGCACGGAAACCACCGCCAGATATCGACCCCGATGATTCGGATCCCGACGATGAGTTCCAAGTTGTACCGGTGGTAGCACCACCTCCTGTTACCCCATATGATGATGTCAGTGGACCAGCTAGAGCGTTTCGCGCGCAGGAGGAGAGGAAGACTCAAGAATCTGTCTTGGGCCGCATATTTGATGTGGAACCCTACTTGGTCAAGAAACCGACTCGAAAACCACGAGACAAGGAGAACGAGCCCCCAGCAGAAGAGAAGACATCAAATCCTGGCCAGTACTTCATCGACTCTCTCAAGGCTGTGTCAGAAAAGCTTATGAAGGATTTGGTCGGATCGGAGGATTTCGCAGCGGCCCAACAGGAAATTTTGGACACCATTGAGACAGCAGCTAGGACCTATGTCGCTGAATCGGAAGGCAAATCAGGTGTCTCCAAGGAGAACGGTGTCAATGGGGTCAATGGGGAGTCCAGCTCGAGCGGAGCTGACATGAATGGCGCAGCCGAGCCAGACGCTTCGAAGGGCGAGGATGCGCAACAGGCAGAACACAGCTTGTTTGAGCCCAAGACGACAAAGGGCAAGGAGTTCGAACAAGACGCCAATCCGGATGACATTAACATTGAGGAACCGGTGGAGGACAGTTTTGTGGAAGAGCCGTCGGAAATCGCCACACCTGAGCCGATCAATGGGACTGATGCGGTCTCTACCAAGGCATCTCCTTCCAAAGTCAATGGCGTCGAAATTTCCGCGGCAAATGGTGGCACTCTTCCAGTCCTGGGCTCAAACGAGTCCAATGCGGCTGTCAACCTCGAAGCACAAAGGCGGAACTTCAAGACGCTGGCTGAAAAGCTCGAGTTTTTTGAAATCCAGGCCGGAGAGTTGCGCAAGGAGATACGGGAACTTCCTACTAACCCGGGCCCAGAATCAGAAAAGCGCCTGAAGGACGCTGACTCACAGATGATCGAGCTCAGCAATAATATCAAGGAAATCCAGCGCGAGATGTCGGTTGTAGCAGCTGAGATTGAGGACGCAGAAAAGCAAAATCCTGCTGCCGCGCAGGCAGACGATGCAGAGGCCGTTCCGAGCCGCATCACAGAGTACACGCGGTCGACCAGAGGGTTGAGTCTCCAGACGCTCAGTATTTACCTCATTCCCGTCAAAGCCTCGGTGCTATCGCGAGCCATCGATCTGCGGGTGCTCAAGAGGATCACGTTGCTCAACGTTGGCACTCAGGCTCCAATCTGGGCTTTGTTTGCCAAGGAAAACAAAATCCAGCCGATTGCCTTGCGCAAGATCTTCACGGACAACGTCTCGGTGCCTTTTTTGACATTCGTGTCCCAGTTGGAAGAGCTCAATGAGCTGTTTATGCTTGAGAGGCCTGACAAATACAAGCCTGAGCCGTTTGGGCCGAAGACTGCTATCACGATGGACCAAATCAGACGTATGGTGCTGAAGAGGCACATGCCAACCCTGAAGCGACTCATGATCAAAAACCAACAAGACTCAACGTGGGATGTTGATGAGAAGACAATGTTGCTCATTTGCAGGCGGGGCAAGAATCTCGAAGAGCTGGCCGTCAGCATGGGGATTCGTGCAATTGTGAGCCCTTCTTCCATATATCTCTTGCGCGCAGCGATGACTGACCTGTTTTGTAGCACACGACTCTGCAGCACATATCCGGCCTCGCGAACCTGCGCGCTCTGCACATTATCAACCTCCGTAACGACGACACCTGTGTCTGGGTCATGCGCGAAACGAAGCGGTTTGTTATTGACAACTTGTCGCATTACCCCGAACTCAAGCTCGAGTGGCTCGCTATTGACGACGACGAGCGCGTTGAGCGCATTGTAAGGTGGAAGGAGACACCAAAGGAGAAGAAGAGCAAGTCTGCCAAATCGAAGGGCAAAGAGAAGGCTGTACCTTGGACGAGTCTACCTAATGGAGACCATTTCCCTGTTCTGTCCCTGGACAACCTCGACATAGGGAGCGAGAGCGACGAGGATGACGAAGAAGGCACCTCCGGCCCGGATGGCATGTCCAAAATCGAGACTATTGACAACATTCATTTCTACGACGTCTGGGGGGTCCGGATTTTCAAGAGGGAGGTCATCACTGGGCGGCTGTGAATGGAGCCGCCGCCGCGTAAGGGAGCGGTAACGATTTGACAGGACGGACGTCGGCACCTGTATATGTTATGACGTGATGGGAACAGGAAGACATTCGTTGGGGAGATTTCGGTGAACGAGATGCGGCGGGAAAAGACAGCCTGCGCGGTGGACATGATGAATAGCCGGCGTTGGGCGCTTGACTTCTATTCTGAGTTGCTTTTCTTATGCCCAAGTCTCCTTTCCGACTTGCCGACATGCATCAATATCCAGCAGACGAGTATAAATGGAGGCGCATGCACACCACCATTGGTCAGAATGAAGCTGCTCATGGCGCGGAACTAAGGCATCGAGTGGATATTTAGATCCTGAGTCTCTGTAGGCAGAGGGACGAATCAATGCGATACATTACTAGAAACGGTTGGCTCAATCCATGCTTCCCGACATGCCGGATTGTACCTCAACGTATTTATTGTGCGAAGTGACTAACAGGGAGTAGTATAGACTAGATAGCGATGGTGGCCGAATACAGCTGGACATAGCGACAGACGCATTACTACAGCCCCTGACGTTGAGGCATGCGAATCAACCGCAAGACTTCGCAAAGTATGACGCGGAGGGCTTTCCATGAATATGTCACCGGGGAATTCGCGTAAGCTAGTACTGTCATCGCGCAGAGCAGGAAGGCAAGGTGTGCTGTTGGTTCGGCCGGGCATGCTCCTGAGAGGAAACCGGAGCCGAGAAAAACAACGCTAGACAGGAGAATCCCAACAGACCCAGCCCAAAAGACCAAGCAAGCATCAGACCCCCCTCCCTCTCAGCCATTCCACCAAAGGCTCACCGAGAAGCTGACGCTTAGGCCCCTGACGTAGTGCCACCACCCGATGGGCACGTAGAGCGTGTCGCCGGGCTCGAGGATGCAGTCGACGAACGGCACCTCGCCAAACTGCTCCCTGCCGGCGTCGCGCCCGCCGGCGTCGCTGCCCTCTCCTCCTCCTCCTCCTCCTCCTCCGGCGCCGCCGCCGCTGCCGCCGGCGGCCGCCTCGTCCCACCCCTCGAGGGCGCCCACGTCCCAGGCGCTCGTGTTGTGCATCTCGACGCCGCCTTCCTTGCCGCGCGCGCGCATCCTGCCGCTCTCGAGGGGCGAGTACAGGCGCACGTACTTCCTGCCCACCACCTGGGCGAGCAAGTTGTGGTACGGGTCGGTGTGGAGGGGCGTGATGGTCCCCGGGGGCCCAAGCCAGGCGTTGAGGAGCGGGGTGTCGAGCTCTGGTTGGTCTTGCGAAGGGTCGGTGGGGTGGGGAGGGGGCGCGGTGTAGCAGTGGTCCGGGATGAGGATGTCGTTTCGCAGCTGCGGGAGCTGGAGGAACAGCTGGTGCTGTGCCAGGTAGGCTACTGCTGCTGGTGCTGCTGCTGGTGCTGCTGGGCGGCGCCCGGGAGGACCAGCAGCAGCAGCATCTGATCTGTCACCTGCCTGCTGCTCGGCCGCGGGCGTGCGTCGCCGTTCTTGGTACTGACCCGCTGGTGCAGGGGCGTCCTCCTCAGCGGCCACTGGGGTCGTCGGGTCGATATGATTCCTCAGAAATTCGCCAAACGTCACAAGCTTCTGCCCCCAGCCCTCGTCCACGTAGCTCCTGCCAATCTCCACGGGAACCAATCTTCGCCCCCCGAAGGTTCGCGATAGCAGGTACTTCGGGTTGTTCCATGGGCGGGTGCTCCTGGCTGGCCAGTGCTCTATTAGCCCGGTCAAGATCAGCGGCTCGGGGCCTCGATGCGGATCTGCGCAGTCGAGGTACCGCTGGAAGGCTGCCATGTCCATGACATCTGCAGAGACGCGGCGAATGGCATTCCGGACGGGTGGTGTGAAGGGCTCGAACGTAGAAAATGAACGCAACGCTGGCCTGGGCGCCGCTTCTTTGTGAGCTGACGGATCGAGCCTGGCCCTCTTTGCTGCGGGCAGCGTGGCAGTGGCAGTGGCAGTGGCAGTGGCAGCGGCAGCGGTCGTCATGGTTTGCCAACCATGACGGGAACCGCGTATTGCAGAAGTGACGGTATCATCGGCATTGGTGAAATCCCAAACGTTCTGAAAAAGGTCGAAGGCCGTGTCGATCCACTTCCTACCTCGCGAGAAACCACCTGCCCCAGCGAGTATCAGTGCCAAGTCCAAGGTCTTGACCATGAACTCTAATCGCTCGGCTGCGTCTCTCGCATCCTGGCTTGACCTGGTTGCGTCAACTCCACTCCGCTCTAGTCCCTGTGATTGCTGGGACGAGGATAGGAACAGATAGCTGAACTTGAGTATGCTGGCATCCGTGTAAAGCTGCCTCCAGCAAAGGGGCAGGTCCTTGTAGAGATATGCATAGAACTTGGAATACGCAATCGATATGATGTCGTCGAGCCTCTTCAGGATGAGATCGTCCCCGGCGGCGCTGCCGTGGCTTGCGTGACCGCCGTGGAGCTGCCGGGCCCCATGTACGGGTGAAGGTACAGCGCTGGACTGGCTGTCATGCTCGGCAGCCTTGGCCGGGCCGACGGCTACTGGCAACATGAGGGACGGGCTTGATGGCATGTCCGCCTCGTATAGAGCAACTAGTCGCGACGCTTGTCGTGAGAGCAGATGCACCAGCGGCTCGCCGCAGTCCGCTAGACTAAGCCTGGCCTCGCTGCCATTCGTCGCCGCCGTGGTGCTTTGATCACGATCGTCCGCGGCCGCATGCCCGCCCACCTCACCCAGACGACCCTCGCCCGCAGCACTGTCCTTGTCTTCTTGTCGGATGCTACCCTCGGCCACAAGAGCCTTCTGTAGGACGCCGTCGCACTCGTCCTTGATGCTCGCTGCGGCAGAGGCACAGAGGGTGCGTAGCCTCACAGCTGCATGCGCATTTGCATTTGCATGTGCAGCTGCGCCTGCCATGGCCACGTCGTCCCCTCCCCTCGGGCTCAGGGCGCGGACAGGTGTGGCGGGACCGGACATCTGCCGACGGTAATGGAGGGGAAAAGCTGAATGCTTTAGGTGCTGTTGCGTGACGGCTTACTGCAGCATGTGTGCGACATGTTCCTGTGGCTGCATCTCACGGATTGTGAGCTGCTGGGTCGTTGGGGGGGGGGGGAGAGGGGGTGTTGTTGTATTGGGCCGCGCCCTCCTGAGTACCGCTGCTCCCGCGGGCCACTGCGCGGGCCAGCCTGCTCTTATGCGTGTTGTTGACAGCTGAAAGTGTTGCTCTATGCACTGCGACTTTTCGTCGGGTCGGGGGTCGGTCGCAAGATATGCAAACGCCCTGGGGCACTCAAAGTAGAGCGTAGGATGCAGAATGCAGACAGGCTCCTCGCTATGTACGCAGTAGAAGTAAATCTCCAAGACTTGGGCCGAGGGCCCAGTCTTATTTTTTTGCTTCGTCGTTTCTTTCAGGGATCAAGCATCCACGCATTAAGGTTCCGTCTGATGGCCCCAGCCCCAGGCCCTGACAGGCATAAGCGAGACGGATAGAAGCGTAAGCGAGGTTCTAGCGGGGCATCATCGTGGAGCGGGTGGGACACTGAGACAGGGATCACACCACCCAGTCGAGTGTGAGTCGAGCTCCTCCTTCAAATCCTCAGGGCAGCCTTGACAGCGGCGCAAATACACACACACATCACGCACACATGTACTGTACACACACAGACAGCCAGCTGGACTGATTGTTCCAAATCAAATATTGAATTGCATCTTGATGGCGCCTATCGACCTACATGCAATGCTTCTCCTGCAGAGGTCCGGTAAAAGCCATGGCCTTGCCGTTATGGGGCAAACCCGTGGCAAATTCAACGTTGAGATTGAGCCGTCAGAACACACTCTTTGAACTGTCCGTAAATCATAAACCATGCTCGCTTACTTGCAGCAAAAAATCCTCCCGTGCCACCCTGGGTATGTGAAGAAAGCAAAATTCGAAGGGAAGGGAAGAAACGAGGCCATCGTGTATGTCCATAGCGGGGTAGTCCTACGTCCTCCCAGCCAGCGTGCCGTAGACCGCAATCTGTTCTATGTGCTATTCTTGATCTCCTCAGATGCGGGTTACCTTGACCCACAGTTCTGATTGGATAAAGATGCCAGCACTGAATGAGTTCCACGGGGAAGGTGGGTTGAGCAGCCCGAAATCGTACCGACGCAGAAGCTATCATCGCAGAGTCAGCAAAATGCATCATAACTCAACAGGGACAGGGACAGGCAGGGACAGGGACAGTCGTCAGAGCTGAGGAAATCAGGGTGTTTGCTGCTCAGCCGCAGACTCTGCGGACGGCGGCAGCCGGTTGGCTGGCAAGTAGGCTGAGAGAGGTAAGGACAGGACAACTCACCTCAACAAAGATCTTGTTCAGCTCAAGCAGGGCGACGGACCTTCCCAAGCACTGCCACTTGCCGTACTTGAACACAAGCTCCCATGTGTTGGTCATCTCCTGGAGCACCTGGTCGTCCTTGACCTCGAGCCAGCGCTCCGGCCGGAATGTCTCTGCGTCAGGGCCATACACCCCCTTGTTGTGCTGCACACCAAACGCCGACCAACCAATCTCCGTACCCTCGGGCACAGGGATACCACGGATGACATCGCCACCGGGAGGCACAACTGTCGGCATCAAGCCCGTCACGGGAGGGAACACGCGCATCCCTTCTTTGATGACTGCCTGCAGGTACGGGAGAGTACGTGCTTCCGTATCCGTGATAGGGCTAGAGATCTCGCCTTTCGCGGCTGCTGTGCGGATTTCGTGCGCGAGCTTCCGGTAGGCCTGGGGAGAGCTCATCAGGTAGAGCATGGTGGTCCGGATAGCAGTGGCAGTTGTATCAGAACCCGCGATTATGTTGACGAGAGCTTCTCCCTCTGCTTCCTCACGGGTCAGGCCGTGTTTGAGGAAGGATCCAAGCATGTCCTTGCGCTTAGATCCCTTAGGGCCAAGGCGCTCGGCTACCACACTCTTTGCGACACTGTTCCCCAGACACCAAGAAAATGTCAGCAGTATGCCTCATATAGTCGCAGTCACAGACAACACGACGCGTTGTATGTGTTCGCTTCCTCTTCCACGTACCCGATGAACTTTCCAAATCCGTGAGGATCTTTTTCTGAAGGCATGAATCGACGGAGGAGCGGGGACTGCATCAGCCTCGCCAGGACCGGCAGGACGCTAACAATCATCATGGCGGGCATACTGGCCTCGGTTCTCTTGATATACTCGTGGACGTCGTCATCTTGGCTGAGGTGGCCGAAGTCTGAGCCGAAGGCAATATCGCCGATGATATCCAGGGTCAGGTACTGAGCCTTTCTGGCCAGATCCATGGGGCGGTAGATGGCACCCTCGGATACATAGTTGCGCTCGATCAGAGCGATGAATGCCATGATGCCCTTGTCGATTCCGAGCTCGAGTCCCTCGTTCTCCTTCCCGGCGTACTGCAGGTAGGCAAGTTTTAGCGGGCTAGTGTCCAAACAGGAATGGGACCGGGTACACAACTGCTTACTCCTGCAGCCATTTTCGCCCGCAGCTCATTGTGCCGCTCATCATCCCTTAGAGAAAGGATGTTGTCACGGGTGGGGTCGAAACGAACGGCATCGTAGAAGTCGCCTTTCTTGTACCTGGAACGGACGGCCCACATGCGCCTCACAACTTCCGGATCATCCGTTACGAGTGTGTTGGGCCCGACTCGGGCGACATGGCCTGCACACAATTACCAGTCAGCAACGTGCTCGGATTCTGGCCAACAGCCTGTCTTCTCGCCACCGTGCTCTTGACGTTCGCAGTTGTCTCAGACTGACGCGCGAGAACAGCGTCTGCATGTCTCGTTTGGTGTTGACGAGAAAGGGATCCGGAAACTTGGAGACGTGGGGTCTGGCTGAACGCCTCTTACCATACTTATCGCAAGCTGCCTTAAGAGCCAGATGCATGTTCCCACCAAGGGTGTTACGCAGCATCCACCACTTGCTGAGACCAGCCGACGGCGGTCCAGGAACGTATTTGAGACGCCGCCATGTGGTGTAGGTCGAGGCCGAAAGGCATCCGAGCAGGCCCAGGACAATAAGAACGACCAGGTTGGCAAAGGAGAAGGCATTGGTCAGCGGCTCCCCAGAGGGAGTGAAAATGCGGTCGAGCACCGCCATTGCTCGGAAAAAAACTCGATTTTGGAGTGAGGTGATAACGTCTCGGGATATATGGCATCCAAGGTCGAAAGGAGGTCAACAGGAGAGTGAGGTAATCGAGGTTAAGCGAGGATCTGAAAAAGTCATGTCGAGCAGGGAATCAAGCCTCGCTTATCTAGGTTTGTGGCATGTGGTATTGGCAGTACGTGAATGGATCCGACAGTCTGGAGACGAAACGGGAATGGATAGGTAGAATGAGAAGGGGGTGGCCCCCTATTGACCTTGTCCATGAGAGTGACATGGCGACGGGGACGCTAGTGAAGAGGTGAGTGGGCATCGGCGCAGGCTAGTGACTGCATCGAAAAGACTTGGTTGTCAATTCCATTGCCACTTTTCGACAGGAAAGGGGAAAGAAGCGGCAGGGTGTCGCGCAAGGAGGGTGGTGAGTAGCAGCACATCAAACGAAGCAGCCAACCTGGAACCACAATCTCAGGTGTGTTTGGCATGACCGAGACCAAACAAGCAAGGAGAGTGAGGACAGATACCGTACCCATTTCGCACCACGACGATGGCGGGGAGCACAACGCATGGGTAAGCTTAAAGGGCCACATGGGCATGGGTTGGTGAACACGCTGAGGTTTATTCATCCGCCTCCGTGTCAAGCAGGCCCGCCCCCTTCCCGTACAGGGATACCAGGTCCATCACTTCGATGTTGAGCCCGTGTAGGCGCAGAGGACTATCAAGGAGGCACAGGCCCGGCTGGCATACTGCGTAACACGCCACACAACGTGCGGGACAGAGACCTTCGTGAGCAGGTATGACGGTCCAGCCAATGCACCGAGTAGACGAGGTAGGAACGCGTAGGCGCTCAAGGGTCGGCCGGCTTGAGGCCGTGAGGAGATGCCGTGCCAGAGCAGTATCAGCACACTCACCGGGACATGTCAATGGATGCTACGCAATCTTCGGCTCGTCGTTCAAGCCAATAGTCCTCGGGGGGTAGGCCCGCATGCAGGACCAAAGCGGATACGATTTAGTGGTGACGGACCGAAGACCGCAATCAGTCTGTGATTGACAAACATTAGCCTAACAAAGCAACGGCACCCTCCGTTTCGGTATGTACAGTAGTCTGGGAAGAGCAAGGAAGAGGAGTCGTTGTGGATTCGGTCAGAGGGAGTTGGCTGCCGCAGGGAGGCGCCCCACGTTGAGCCATGTTGTTCGTCCTGATGATGGCTGGGCGGTCCAAAGCACAGACTTCATATCGGACTACCCTGTCAGTGAGCTGAGGCGGCACGCCCACCGTTACCAACACGCGATATTCCCTGTCCAGGCCAGCGTCGGCCGGCTATCCAGGCCCTCTGGCAACTCAATCGCAGACACTTCTTCTTCCATTGCCACACAATCCGTCATTCTGGTGTCCAACAGTGAGACGTGTCAAAGAATTGTCCGCGGTACCCACGGGAAGGGTACTGGTATCAGATACGTCTTCGTAGTGGACAGGTTTTGGTGTGTTGCAATGAGCCGTGCATAAAGAGCTGGTACGACATGCAGGCCGCAGATGGATACTCAAAGGATCGGGCACCGTGGTTGGTTCCGGTGAAACGCACGACACCGAGAGTCGCTGTTTTTACTCGAAATGGCCACCAGCAGTCTGCCGTCTGGAGGCAACGGAGGCTATTGGGTAGGGCATGGAGGTTGGCAGACTGGCAGGACTGGGTAGATAGTAGACTAAATGGCACGGGTGTGAGCACGTCCGGTGAAGGCTGCATGAGCTCCGTATCCGCATACCGCCATAGGCGGAACAGACGGCTAGAGACGAGTGTTGACCTTGCTCACCAGCAAAGCCCTGGAAGGAAAATGATGAGCAATGATCGTCGTGTGGATGGGCCGAGGTCAAGGACGGATATGACAGGCGCATCTGTCTGACCTGGCACGCCTAGATGACTGGATGGCAGGGTCATCTGGGACTAGCGAAAGGTTAATGGTACTGTGTATGCAGCATAAAAACTAGTCTCGACGTGGCCATGTCAACGGCTCAATGCTGCAGAAGCATGTCGGAGACGGGCACAAACGATGGCACAAACGAATTGAGGCCACCAAGAGAAAAGCAGATGCGCGATTATCCTGCAAGGTTGATAGAGGAAGAAGCCGCATCATGTGAATATGCGCGTGGTAGGTACGAGTAGTTGAGAGGGGGGAGGAGACGACAATGTGAGTACCTAGGTAATGAGTAGAGAGATGGAGTCATTGGACTGGCTGACTGGGTAGGAGTGAGCCAGGATCGGGGGATTGCTGTCTTGGGTTAGGTACCTAAATGCCTACCTAGCACGCCTAGGTATTGTAAGCTGCTCGAACAGGCTGGCGTCTTGGACTTTTACATAGCAACGAGATTAATCCAGAGGGGACTGGTACGGTGAGTCGGTGTGAGACGGTAGGAGTGGGGAAAGAACGTTGCGTGCCGTTCCGCCAACAACCAACCTTCCTACCTTCCCACCCTCTTTGGCCTCTCCCAGCGACTATAACGCACGGGTGTTCAGGTATCTGCCTAGGTACTCTGACAGGTATTTAGGCAAACAAAGCTAGGTGCAGTCCCAGACTGAGGTACCTGCAAGGCCTGAGGGAGATCTTCTCCAGGGGTGGAAGGGAAGGGACAGCGGGCAGAGTCTGGCCACGCTCGGCCCACCTTCCACCTTTCCTGCCTGAGAAGGTGCGCGGCAGGTCCCCCTCCCCCCTTCTGTGGGCATTGCTTCCCGTGGTCTGCATTGCACAGTCTGCACAGTCTGCACAGTCTGCCCACCCACCGACAGGTCTGGCAAACAAACAGCCTTCACCGTGGTCCCCTTTCTGCTCCCGTCGGGTCCTGACCTGTCCTGACCTGACCTTTCATGACCTATCTTCTGCATCTGCCGACCTGCCGGCCTGCGTACCAAAGAGGCAGTAACATGAATTGTGGCACCACTCGGATCAACTGGCACGAGTCTTGACTCCCAGACATGGCCCAGGTTCCAATCAGAAGGGGCCTGCCGCCGTCTGTCCCCATCTGCTGCTGCGGGTCCGCTCCCCTTCGGGAGGCACCTGCGACGAGATTCAGAGTTGGGTCTTGTCTCCGTCGACAGAGTGGCCCGGCTGGCCCGGCTGCGCCCCCAGACAATCAACGTCTGCCGACACCGATCTACTGTCCCCTCCGGATCTACGGCTCCCTGGAGCTTCCGCCCTCTCGGGCCCGCCTCCGTGCGCTTGCCTTCGGTCCGGAGCCCACAGGCCCGGCCCCCTGGTCTCCAACCAACCCTGCATGTTGAGGCCCACACCACACGCAGGACTGTGTAGATGCAGGATGCACAGGTGCACAAGTGGACACTGGATGGCTGGGTGGCTCTGGGGGACTCATTCCCGTCATCTCATCCCTCTCTGCGCTTCACTCGCCGCTGTTGCTGTTGCTGTTGCAGTCGCTGTTGCAGTCGCAGTTTGGCGTGGGGGTCGTAGTCAAACGTAAAACTTGAGATGCGACCTGGGCGACCCCAATCACGCCGGCGCGCCAGCGCCCTCGGCACAGCCCTAAGTGGCTATCTGCTTCTGGTATAGGTAGGGTAGAACGGGCACTCTCGGTCATTTCCAGGCCACTTCGCGCGCCACCGTGACTTTCTCCGGTCTCAGGCCCTAGCTGGCACCGTCTGGTCTGATATGCTGGTCCTCAGCCTTATTTCTCTGAGCCTCGCAAAGCAACTCCAGCGGCACGGAACGGCACGGCATGGCGCCCACCTCGTCTCCTACCGCCTCCCGTACGAACGTACGTACGTACGTACCGTGACCGTGCTGTGCGACAAGACCTACACAAGGGCGAAGACGAGTGTGCTCTGCCTTCGTTGCAGCAGGCACTCAACGGTTTCTGCGCTTCGGCCCCTCCTCCATGGGAGGCCCCAGGCTCTTCTTCTTCTTCTCCTCCCTTGGTGGCAGCGGAATCACCGAGCTACTACTCTCGCTTAAGCAGCTATACGCAAACTCTCTCTGCTGATACGCTCGTCTATTTGTCCCTCCGTGTTACAGGCCGATTCATCTGCGTCAAGGCCTATCAATTTGCAGAGATCAACGGAAGTCTTCGGCACCCTGCTTCGGCACCCTGCTACGCAGCACAGTCCTCCTCTTCAGCAACCGACTGCTCCTCTCCTCGCCTTAGCATTCTTCAAGCTGGTCGCCCCCGCGCTCGCGAGCCACCCGGCCGCTGTCTACTCGAGGAACAGGTCACTCCGTTGGCTGCTCGAGGCCAATTAGTCCTCCTCGGTTAGTTGGTTAGTTGGTTACGCTCGGCTCGCTCGCTCGCGGCAAGCCAGCCGTGCGACACAACGGGTGCAATCACACATCGCACTACACCGACCGATACGCTCTCGTGGTCAAGATTTACCACCAACACCAATCCAACCCACCTCTACGCATCTGTCCACACACTCTCTCATGCCGATTCCTTCGGCGCCATCAAATCCCGGCTCTTCTTTTGACAGATTTGACATCTGCAGCCACCAGCTTTCCCCGTGCCGCTCCCTGGCCAGACCACGCCCCTCCCTCTTGGCCGCTTTATAATGAAATATCCCCTGCCACACCCGGCTGTTTCTAATCCCAACTGTCCCTGATTCTTGGATCGCTCACCTTCCCCAATAGCCTCTTGGGAACTTCCAGGTTCCTCTTGTAAAGGAGCTCGAGCCCATCTCTCGTTTCCATCGGTCCCTCCCGGCGCGCAAGACCGGTGCCGTTGTTCTGCCTGGGCCAGACCGCCTCAACCCGGAACGATCTATCGGCTCCGCCAGACTTCATTTCTGGAATCATGGAGAACACTGGAGATCAACCAGCCATGGGCGTGGGCCATCTGGAGCCAGACACCAGCAGCGATGACTTTGCCGAAGATGTATGTTGAAATAACACTCGTGACGAAGACGCGGTGATCGTCTTATGCGCTTGCTGACGTCCATACTAGGACAGGCAATCTTTATTCTCGGATCAGGACTCGGCCCTCGGATCTGCAAGTGCCCTAGAAGACATCGATAAGCCCTCAGCGCAGTACTAACATGTTGATTGGCTCAGGACATGTCCCTCTTCTCATCGACGGCTTCTCTAAGATCTTCTATTCTGAGGAGCATAGAGGAGAACGGTCGCAAATACCACGGTTACAAGGACGGAAAATATGTTCTTCCAGACGACGAGGTAACACACTCCACCAGTCTCCGCCGTTGCAGGCACTGCAGTCTCACTAACACTGAGCAGCAAGAACTCGACAGGCAAAGTATGTTTCTTTCTTCCTCTGTTGACGTGCTCTACTGATTTGCTTGATAGTATTCCAATATGACTTATGTCTGCTAACATTCGACCACAATTTATCATTCGCACCCTTCACCAAGTTGAATAGGGTCTTAGACGTCGGTTGCGGCGTCGGTGAGTGTGGTCGCACATCATCTACTTGGCGTTGCATTGGAGCTGACAATTCCTACAGGCTATTGGGCATTAGATTTTGGTGAGTCCTTGGACACATTCAGCCACCTATTCAGCCCTATACTAATCTGCACCGATTTTCCAGCCGAGATGCATCCGGAGGCTCAGGTAATTATTGACTGGATTAATTTTTACAAATCGTGGACGCTGAGTTGTTGCAGGTCATTGGCGTCGATCTGTCACCAGTACAACCAGCCTAGTGAGAGCTTCTTCGTCCCTGTGTTCTTTGCGGATGCTAACCAATCATCAGCGTGGTAAGCCTTGGCACTTTGACCAAATCACGAAGGGAGGTCATTGACTTGAGCGCCTAGCCACCCAACGTACAATTTGAGATCGATGACTTGGAGGAGTCGTGGAACTTCAGCTACCCTTTCGACTACATACATGCCTTGATGATGACCGGCGCATTCCGAGATTGGCCAAACTTCTACCGACAGGCTTTCGAGTAAGTCTTACATCTAGGCTGCCTATGCTAATACTCTACAACCAAATCCGACCACCTCCGAGACCCACTTCAAGTATGCTTGCAATGCTAAACGTCGATGAATTAGAAATCTTACCGCCAATGGCTGGGTAGAGAACCAAGACATTCACTTCCCATTGTTTTGCGACGACGACACCATGCGTCCGGACGGAGCTATTAAGCGGTGGAGCGATCTGATGGTAGAAGCTGGAGAGAAGTCCGGCTTCAATCTCTCCGTATGCGGGCGCGCTGGCGACATGATGCACGAGGCGGGCTTCGTTGATATTGTGCGTATTCCGTACAAGTGGCCTATTAACGAGTGGCCGCGAGAGCCCAAGTGGAAGGAGGTGGGGCGCAGGACGGCCATCAACTTCAGTGAGGGCATGTCGGCGATCATGATGGCTCTTTTCACGCGTTTTATGGGCTGGACCAAAGAGCAGGTTGAGGAGTTCAGTGCCCAGGTGGACAAGGAGTGGCAGGACACAAGGGTGCATGCGTACTTCTGTATATGGGTCACTTACGGGAGGAAACCGTGACTTTGTTGAAGTCAAATGATTTGTGCAATGATGTTAATGTAATGAGTCTGGTCGGTGGCAATGCAGGTCGAGGATGGCGGCACAGAGGAAAGCCTGCGGAGACGACCAAATACGTTTGATGAAAGCATATATAATGAGCACATACCCACTTCGCATTCGACTTGTTTGCAGCGACCAATCTCAAGAACATGAGCTGCGACTTATTCATGGTGATCACCGCCAATTGCTGCGCTGGCGCGTTGAATTCCCGCCAATGTACTGAAAGCGGATATTCATACGCCCATCTCTACCTAGTCTTCATATAGTATGATACATTTATCATGAGCATTGCTGAAGTAAAAGAATTGTATCTGGATATGTGACCACTATAATCCATGACATGTTACGGCAGGTCCTGTTACGACTAGCATCAAGCATTATTGTCTTCGTGAGTCAGATGACACCAGCAATAGTGCTTTGCATCTGTTTGCATCTATTTGCATCTGTGCGCGACCTTGGAGGCCGCGGCATACTTCACCCAGGCTGGATCTCGGCAAAACGTCAAATTTGATTGGGAACATCAGCCGGCTGACGGGCGTGCTGACCGCATGGTGGATCTGTCTCGTGACCGTTCACCTCACACTCTCTCGAATTGGGATAGATCGACCTTGAGCAAGCCATCGTGTGTGTAAGATAGATTGCTTTGGCTTCGTTAGAGGTGAACCCATTTTCAGACCTTGTCTCACAATATATTGGGCTTGACTTAGAACTGAGCAAGCATACAATTAAGCTTTGCTATTTTGTGGTCTCACCATCTTTGGAGATTCAAACCCCGCCTCCTTGCCCGTATATGAAGGCTTTGAGATGTGAATTCCTTTGGGGTTTTCATCCTCATGAAAGCTGACCGTGCGACCCAGACGTGGAGTAAATGCCCGCTGCTCAGCAGGGCTCATACTCGGGGGCGACAACGCAAGAACCAGGAATATACACAACCAGATCTGTGACCTGGAATCTGGACTCAAAACCGAACTCTCGAGATTTGACAAAGAAGAAACTAGAGAGTCGGGGATTCCCGCGAACGAAGCGCATGCAGCACCGAGTCTGAGCTTCTTGGGCTCTCGCCGATGGCCGATATGAATACGTGAACCTCCACTTTCACTGAGACCGAGTTATCAAACTGAGACCTCAAATAAGTGACCCAAAGCTTGACCTCGGGGCCTGGACATGCGTTTGTGGTTATTGGCAGCCAGTGACTTCGAATCCGTGAACGGAGGGTCACCGGCGCTGGCTGCGATTGGAAGTAATTGGGGACTACAAAGATGTGCATAGTAGATAGGCAGTGACACATGTCATCGCTTGAGTGAAACTAGCGGACATATGCGCTCCTAAGCGGCCTCCTGTGAGATACGCCCTTGAATAAGTGACAATGTTCTTGGAGTTCAAGCCCTGTGACACTTGATTAGAACCCGAGAAATTTTTTTTTTCGCAGTAAAATAGAGCCCAGGCAATTGAAAAGTCTACCATGACTGTGTGGTTGCCTTCTCGGTCAAGGAAATCATGTTCAACGTAAACGCGAGGAAATAGAGACATTCAGAGGTCTGGCTACATCGCCGCAGACGCCAGATTTCTCGCTCTGAATGTCAACTTGTCGTTGCCGCAGCGGCAGCTCGAAACAGTACCACAGCGCAAACAGTACTCCGGTTTCACTAAATATCCCTCCCGAGTTGTAACACATTCGGGTGGTACCGGAGACTTCGATGTGTCACGGAAGAGGACCCCATTTGCACCCTAGAAGCTCTCGTACTGCCAACGCGGCCGCTTCCGAACTCTTGAGTACTCTGAAGAGTCTGTCATGTGGGAACAAACATTTTCGCAAAAGCAGCGCATGGACCGGAGAGTGGGATACTCCCGTGATGGCTTCGGACTGAAGATCTGCATCTCACATGTGGTAGTCCTTAAGCAATTAGTCCGGGAAAATTAATGCGCAGCACAGGAACAAAAAGCTCTTATAGTTTTTGTATAACCCGAATGTACATCGAATCAGAGGTATTGAATCAGTACTTGAGGACTCTGCTTACCGATACCCTTTCAACCGCCAGGGTTGGTCCGAGATGGAAATGATTCCTAGAAATTGTCTTCACTGCGTTTCATGTCCGGAACTTTGACAGTGATGACGGTATGTACGCAATTGATATCAATGACCAGTGTGTGAGTCTCTGTTAGAACCTTTTGAAGGGATCTTATACAGTTGCCCGCACCTACCGTCGGGACTACTCAGTTCTGCGAGTTCCGTGGAACCCCGGCTAAGAACATTCCTCGCCAACTGCTAAACTTTTTCCCCAACTTTTTTTTAGCGGGGAGAAGGGTTTATATTGATTCTTGGGGCGTTTGTGAGGAGTTTTAAGCTGGGTAGCAAGGCTCACAAAGAAGTGATGAGAGTGTTGCTGTGTGCCTGCTTTATTGCAATCTTTAATGCCGGTCGACAATGTATTGTTCGGGAATATCAGCTGTCAGCTGCCCAATGAAATCGTCACAGCTTAATTGCATTGGTATCTACAATTTGAAGACGGAAAGGTTATCGAAAGTGTAATATGAGAATATGACCTGCTCACCCAGTGGCGAAGTGGGGCTCAACGAGATATATACAGGAAACGGACAGCTAAAGCACATTCTGGTTGAGATCGACAGCCTGAAAACAAAGGAGGGTCTGCTCGTGACAAACTCATCGTCTTCCAACTATGTGTTTGACATTGCGTCTAAAGCCAGCCCCGGGACTGGAATAAATGAAGCATGTGTGCATATATCTTGGACCCCACACACCATTTTTATCAACTTCACAGTGGAACTGAGCGTCAAGACAAAAGGTGTCGTGTGGGATGCGGCTGAAAATCCCGGCTTATGTCTTGATATAGCTGATAGCTAAATGCTAGTGTTCTTCGTAGTGCTTATATCTCGAGAGCAGGAGGGCACCCAACAAGCGAATTGTCCAGAAACCCCACGCAAGATTCGCCCCTAGCCATCATATGGACCGTTCTGAAATAGAAGCCTGGCTCAAGCTGGATGCGAATTGCCAACGTAACTGCACCTACAGTAAGGCCAGGAAAGGAAGACATGCAGGTGGATGGCTTTGTCCCGTCCTTTAAGTAACCATGAATGTAAGTCCTGCAATTTGTTGCATGAGAACGAACGAACGAACGACCATCAAATACACTACGGGACAGTTGAGATACAAGGAGACAGAGATGCCTCAATGTAATACACATGATTTATCCAAGTCAATCATCTCGAAGTAATTGCCCTTCGATTAGCAGGTACTGAATACATACTATCCCCTCACATTCGGCCATGAATTACTATGTATTTTGATGATATCCATCCGGCCGATTCTGTCACTGTGGCTCTGGCTCAGAATCTGGGACTTGAACTTTTGAGCAGTTTCAAGGAAATTTCTAAGCCAGCGATTGGCGTAACAGGTCATGACCAGACTCACAGTCGCTCAAATTATATCTAGGTGGTGTTGATTTGGGAGAGAAGGAGGATGAAGGAAATCGACGCTAGCGTGTTGGCCGGGCCTCCAGAGCTGACGGACTGTCGGCTCGGCTTCTGGCAGGGGTCCCGAGTGCCTGGTACAACGGCTGTGGGTACGTGCTCACGAGCAACTACTAGTGACGTCCCAGGGGATGAGCTGACAGGCCTGGGCCACCAGAGAAAACGCGTCTCGCAGCGGACCGCGTCTTAGCCCACGGCCACCCACCGCACGAGTAAACAGCTCCCAGTTCCGCCCCACCATTCTCTACGGCAACTTCTCCTGTGAGTTTTGGTCTTGGTCCTGGTCTGGTCCGGTCTGTTCTTTGCGCGAGGCATACATAGATCACACGCTTTTTTGACAGTATCAAGACATCCTTTCGCCAGCATCTTACAGTACTCGAGTTGGCCGCGCCTTGAGTCGCGTCACGTCGGTTCCATTCAATTCCTCCCACGCGCATCCGGTCCAAATCCATCAGTCTACAAACCATATATCCCCTCGCCTGGCTCGACAAACTTGCGATTGGGGAGTCGGTCGTCACCCGTGACGATCACTTTTACGTCCCATCTTCTCTCCAATCTGTCCTGCCGGAACGACAATTCTATGAAGCTGCAATGCAATTCAACAGACGCGTTCAGCTTCATTAATTAGCCATGTATCTACCGCGTTCCCTCATCTCGAAGCTGTACTTGCATCTGCAGAGCACATGTCACCCGCTCTCGCCGCCCGTCCTCATTCTCGTCGCCCTCGAGCCCGATGCCCTCTGCGGCTGCAGGATCCTCACGCGACTCCTGAAGAATGACTATATCCCACACAAGATCCAGCCTGTCGCCGGCTATGGAGACCTGGAGCGCATTGGCAGGGAACATGTGAGCCCACTCATGTCACAGAACGGCGGGGCCGGAGGAGTCGTCGTGTGCCTTGGGGTTGGGGGCATGGTCGACCTGGGTGCTGTGCTTGGCCTCGAGCCGGAGGGCGACGAGACAACATTCGGTGGTGTTGAGGTCTGGGTCCTCGACTCACGCCGCCCTTGGAACCTGGGCAACGTGTTTGGCGGCTTCCCGCTCGAACCTGACGTTGAAGGCGCGTCTAGTTACCAGACTCGAACGCCGATCGGCGTAACGGCGGGTCGAATCGACCGCGCATATAAACCTGGCAAGGGAGGGGTGGTGGTTTTTGACGACGGCGACATTGAGGACGAACTTGGCCCACAGAGAGACGCGTACATGGCGCTTATGGAGATGCCTGACGTGGATGACAACGGTGAGGATCTGGGTGACAGTGATGAGGAAAGCGAGGAAGAGGAGGACGAGGACTCCTTCCAGTCAGCACCACGAGCTGGTCAGAAGCGGAAATCTTGGTCTGATCCAGACGAGGATGATGACAGCGATGAAGAAGATAGACCACGGCAGAGGAGGAGAAGCAATTCTGTGAGTACAGGCTTGGGCAGTCCAAAGTGGTCCTGAGAGCAGTGACTGACCCATCGAACAGTCAACTCCCATACCAGAGTCTCCGCAGCGACCAACACAGCGCGGATTACTGTCCTTACGCGACCAGGCCATCATGTCGGATGGTCTGGACGAAGATCCGCCCTCTGCTGCACAGCCCCTAAAAGCGCCCTCGGCTCGCACACTCAGAAGGCGTCTCCTTCGTTTGAGGCGGGAACATGAGACGGTCTTGCGAGACTACTACCGCATTGGAGCGTCGTACTCGGAGCCGATTTCGTCAATGGTCTATTCATTGGCGTCGGAGCTGGGCCGCGAAGACAACGACATACTTTGGCTGGCAATTGTCGGCGTCACATCCATGGAGCTGTACGGGCGGTCATCCGCTGGCGTCGCAGTACCCATGAGGAACTCGGAATCTAAGACCACGTCGGGATGGCTGGGCATGCGCGGCGCCCGAATACGGCAACTCCTGCGTGACGAAGTCCGCCGACTCAACCCGCCTGCGCTCGAAAGCGCAAGCGGCAGGGTCGCCCCAGAGGCCACAGGGGTCATACCCACAACGGCACGGAGCCCTGAAGACATGAGCATTCGTTTGTCCCCCGAGCCGAGATTCCTCTTGATAAGACACTGGAGCCTCTACGACAGCATGCTACACTCACCCTACATGTTCTCCCGGCTGAAGACGTACAGCGAAAATGGGTTGAAACGTCTGCATAAGCTGCTCGCCAAGATGGGCGTCAGCCTGATACAATGCAAGCAAAGTTACACACACATGGACATGATGCTGAAGCGGGAATTGCGTTCCAAGCTGCTCAAATATGCCTCCATGTACAATCTTGACGACATGGTGCCTACTGTGGAGTCAGACGGTAAGGATCGTGGTGGCGCGAAAGACGGCTGGGGCTTCGTCCGGAGCTGGGGCTGGCGCGCGACTCTAAGTGCGCAGGACATCGGTGTGGTCATCGGAGCTCTTCTGGAGGTTGGCAGGCATGCCGCTCTGCCCAGCTCCGTCTCTCAGGATGGACTATCTCAGCAAAGCGTCGACGACAGCGCCGATCAAGCCACCGCACAGGGCGAGGAATGGGTCTCAAGGTTCTGGGACGCGTACGATGCGCTTGAAGAGTAAGTCATCGGCCAACACCGGAACACTATCTGAGCGCAAATAGCTAACATATCGCAGCGTCGAAGCACTCAAGGCAGGTCTTCCGACAGCCCAGTACCTACACAAGGCCATCTTCAACACGGGCACTGCGGTCTTGAAGAAGAAACAGATATCGCACCTGCGGGCTTTCCGTATGTGCATTGTCAAGGACAGCGCAGAAGCATCGATATTTAACCACCCTGGGGCGCTCACCAAACTCTCCCTTTGGATCGGCGAGGCACTCTCGGAGCAGGAGAAAGATTCTACTGGGAAACTCGCCCACGCCGGACGTGGCACCCCTCTGGTGGTGGCCAGCCTGAACGAGAAGCGAGGCGTCTACATTGTCGTCGGCACCGGCGGCGGCGGCGGCCCGGACATGGCGTTCCTAGACAGAGAGGCGGCCAAGAAGAAGGAGCAGCTCAAGCAGGAGAAGGCCAAGGCAAAGGAGCAGAGCAGGCGGAACAAGCAAAAGATTCGCGAGCAGCAGAGAGCGGCCAGGCGGGCGAATGGGCACGATGACGAAGACGACGATGATCCAGACGACGAGACCGAGTCGGAGGGCTCTGATGCGTCGGACTCCGATTCTGATGATGACGACGAGGACGACGAGTCCCGCGGCAAGGGCTTCGGGCTGAACCGATTCGGTGTTGCGTTCCAGGATGTCGTCGCCGAGACCAACGCGCGCGTCCGGATCGACAGCTTTGAGCATTGTGTCGTGGAGGTGAGGAAGGAGGATCTTTCTGGGTTCCTGGAGAGTTTGTCCTCGAAGGCGGTGGTTGGCTAGACGGGCCTACTTTAGCTTCTACTCTTTTTCGCTTTATCTATCACCAAGAGCTGGGCGGTAATCGGCATCGGCATCAGGAGCCAGGCGTTGATGGTCTTTCTTGCACAGTCATGATGCAGCAGGATGGGGGCAGGTCTTACTGTCGTCTGTTGATAGACAGTAGACAGCATGTGGCTTTGAGGGTGGCGGGATTCATTGAGCGGGCGGGGTGCATACGAGGGGAAAGCATATAAGTATATATGGCGGTCTGACTGAGATATCACCACACCACGGTTTGGCTTAGCTGTTAATGAGAATTGTCTTGTATAAAGTCATTACCCCTAGTGTGCAGAGGAAGGCGGCCAGGGGCCTCGACCTGGCATCTCAGGGGTGTCATACCGACTCCAAGGGACTGATAGCAGAGCCTTCTAGTCCACGGGAACAACCTTGTTCATTACGCACATATCCACATGATTGCGAAGGCTGTTATTGAACAATGACGAAGCAGAAGAACGGAGGACAGCCCGTCCCGTCGAGGCGCAGTGGCACCACGAGTGCGACTTACACAGTAGTGACCCAGGCTAGAGAATGAAGATGACGGCAGCAAGTGGAAAAGAAAGCATTGGAAATCACTGGACCCATATGAGCTGAGCGGTATGGGTGCTTGGGTGTTTGTACAGTACATTACAGTAGACTGCATACGTAATATGATTCAAGGGCTCTGCGGCGCACCGATGCTGGGCAGAAAGCTTGTCTGACAGCTGGGCGCGACTGGGCAAGTGACCCTGAAAGTGGGATGGAGCTGGCCACGGAGAGGAAAGAGGTGGCACAAGGCGAGGCGCAAGATCAGGTACGCCAACCTTAAAAAAACCAATCCTAGAGGCCAACGATGACCTGCCTCGGCTGCCTCGTCGCCCACTTGGTCACGAATGTGCACTGCCGGGCGGGCTCCCTCATAATCAACCCAACAGCGGGCTGGCGTGCGGTCTCGTCTCGACTCGATCTAGAACTCAGAATCCACACGAGCGCGCACACAGGCACACAGGCACACATACGCCCGTTGTGGCCGCCCTGGGCCTCCCAGACCGATGTTGGATGGGTCGGCGCTAAGGGTCGTCAAGGCCAGCGCAACTGCTATTTTGGCCACGAGAGAGGGGCACTGACGTACCCCTTAATCCCGTGCACCGGCTGCTGCACCATCCCACCAGCCCACCAGCCCACCAGCCTGGCTCGAGCCTGGCCCGGTCACCCTGCAGACACCCAGGCTGGAAGGGACACCACCAGAGCCCCTCGCCCCTCGCCCCTCGCGCCCCTAACAGTAGTGTACAATACCTGGGTAGTGCTGGGAGGAGGTTGAGGATGGATGTACATCCAGGCCCAGGCCCAGGCCCAGGTAGTGGTGGATCTGGCTGCCCTGGGTGGTGGTGGATGGCCTTGGCAGGTAAGCTTGACCATTCCCCTTCCTTACCAAGCATATCTCACCACCTAGACTACCTTACCTGCATTGCCTCCAACGGTCCATCCCATCCCATCCCATCCCAGCCCAGCCCACCTACCCATCGTCTACCCCCCCATCCCCATCCCCATCCCGCACAACGCGCCGCAACTGTTCCTACCACTCCGGCCGCATCCTCTCCCCTCTCACCAACTCCTACAAACAAGTTACTCCCCCAGAAGACGTCTTGTAAGAGAAAGAACAGAAACACCCAACCTCACCACCTTGTTCTGATTTCTCCAGCCTCCAGAGCCTCGAGCCTCGACCTTGCACCCAGTCTCCTGGCACGTAACCCCCCTCCGGTACGCAGGTACCCACGTTCCAGGGTCCCTCCAGCAAGTCACAGCACGACGACATAAGGTAGTCTTGCCTACAGCACATACAGCACATACAGTCAGTACCTTGCCTGGACTACATCAGCGAGCGCACCCTCGCAGCCTCGTCGCAGAACCCCTCGCACCCGCAACCGACACCACACGACACAGACACCACTGACTGCCATCCGTCAGCGCTGCCAGTGCTGCTGACGACCTCAGGATATGGGCAAATCGTAAGTTGCCATTCCCTTGGGGTTGGTCTTGTTTCCCGCCACACGTCCACATTGCATGCAGTGTCGAGCTCGAGGTCCGCGGCTCGGAAACAATGCGATTCAACGCGGCGTTTCCTTTTTAAACACCGCACCGCACCGCAAGCATGGGCATCGACGCTCGACAGCACGCAGGGATACACCACATCACTTGGATTGCCCCTCCCCATTGACGCAATGGCCTCTTTTGGCACTCACGACGACGGCCAGATCGCCGCCATCATGCCTCGCTCTTCTGTGCCGATCTGCGTCCATTCATCCAGGCTGACCAAGCATGCGCAAACAGACAGTCCAAGCTCTCGCAAGAGCAGCTGGCCGAACTGCAAAAGTCCACACACTTTGACAAGAAGGAGCTGCAACAATGGTATAAGGGTGCGCACAATCTCCCTTTCCCTTGGCGCCGCCGTTATCGTGCGCAGCAATGATCGTTGCGCTTCTTCCTCATCCTCATCCTCATCCTCGATCCTGAATTTCTCCCCGGTATCCCCACTCCGGCCGGGTTTCTGGGTGTCTCAGGAGCTAGACCGAGAACCCCCCGAAGCCGTGTGACATGCGCAACCCCACGCCACAGCACACCACATTGGGAGCATCCCACTATGACTCCGGGCGACCAGCGACAGAATGCTTGGCTAACATACGCGGGTGCGCGCGCTAATGTGCAGGGTTCCTCAAGGACTGCCCCTCGGGCATGCTCACCAAGGACGAGTTCCAAAAGATCTACCGGCAATTCTTCCCCTTTGGCGACCCCTCGAGTTTCGCCGATTATGTATTCAACGTGTTTGACAGCGACAAGTCCGGCACCATCGACTTCAAGGAGTTCATCTGCGCGCTGAGCGTCACATCCCGGGGCAAGATGGAGGACAAGCTCGACTGGGCATTCCAGCTCTATGACATTGACGGCGACGGCAAGATCAGCTACGACGAGATGCTCAAGATCGTGGAGGCTATTTACAAGATGGTAGGCAACGCCCTCATTCGATCAAGTTCCAGAGAACCAGTCTCCGCACCACACAGGGGGAGGTGGCGCGCCAAAGAAGGGGGCTGACGGGCTAACGGACATGACAGGTCGGCTCTATGGTTAAGCTGCCGGAAGACGAGGACACACCCGAGAAGCGAGTGAAAAAGATCTTCCGGATGATGGACAAGGACGAGAACGGGAGCCTCGACATGGAGGAGTTCAAGGAGGGCAGCAAACGCGACGAGACTATCGTATCTGCCTTGTCGCTATATGACGGCCTAGTCTAGCCACGCCGCGCGTGGGCGGGCGGACAGACGATCCAAAGGACCAGGAGAGGAAATGAGGAGATGAGATGGAAGCCAGGAGTGCAGAGGGGAGGAACAGGACTTTTTTCTCTTTTTTTGAATCACGCTCTCAGAAACTTCCCTAGCTTGGGTCAATCGTAGCAAATACATGTTTTTTATGGTTCATCGCAATCACACTGCTACAATGGGCTGTTCATGTACAAGTAGAGCTAGTCGCCTATACGCCTGTCCAAAGGGATGAGGCTCCTATATCTCACGTCTGCTCCTCCAAATGCACTTGCTTCGGCTACCGCCTGGTCTGGGAGACGACGGGCTTAGTGAGCAAGGGAAACGGAAATGAAGTATTCACCAGTCCCTTTTTTTTTTTGCCTAGCCTGAGAGTCATGTTGGATATTACTGCGTATTACATGGTAGAGGGCCCCATTGCGAAGAGAAATAAACACCCTGCTGAATCACCGTCCTTGCAAACCTAATCATCCAAAAAAACAGACGTCCCTCGCGAGGCCAAAAAACCCCAGTAGTAATCATGCACAACGCGCAACAAGAAAGAACCGACAAGCCGATCAGCTGGACGAGCCATAGGCCTGGTTGATCTCCTTCTGGTACTTCTTCACGATCCCCTTCCGGTTCAGCTTCTGCGCCGCGGTTACGAGACCCTGGCGCGAGAGTGTTAGCATCGTTTTCTTGGGAAGACTGAACCTAAAGTGGGCTGTAAACATATATACTCACGTTCTGCGGCGTCCACTCCTCGTCGCTGAGGACCACGCCCTCGATGATCTCAATGCCCGCCAGGCCGCCCGCTCGGCCGGCGTTCTGCAGCTCCTTCAGCACGGCGCTGTTCAGCTTCTTGGAGTGCACGAGCTCCTCGAGCACCGACCCCTCCACCCCGTTGTCGGCCGCCAGCTTCTTTAGCGCCGGCTCCGCGGGCACGATGATGGCGATGGGCTTGGCCTTGGAGTCGTCCGCGAAGACGCAGATGTTGGCGACCACGTGGGCGGAGCGGTAGACGGACTCGAGCTTCTCAAGCGCGATGTACTCGCCGTTGAGCGTCTTGATCAGGTTCTTCTTCCGGTCGATCAGCTTGAGGTGCCCGTTGGAGTCCCACTCGCCGATGTCGCCAGTCTTGAACCAGCCGTCTGATGTCATGGCCTCTGCGGTCTCCTTGTCGTTCTGATAGTAGCCCTCCATAATACTGGGGCCGCGCAGCCAGACCTCACCCTGCGGGTGAGGCTTGTTGGTGGCGTGGTACCCGGCATCCGGGAAATCGACAAGCTTGGCCTCGACGGACGCAGGCATGGCGCCGATACTCTCTGACGTCCACTCCAAGGGGTTCTGAAGGGTTCCCATAGCTGTGGTCTCGGTCAGGCCATAGCCGATGATCATGGGGCAAATGGCCATGGAGATGAAGCGTTGTGTGTCTTTCGCGACAGGGCCACCTCCATTCAGACACAATTTTAGGCGCCCACCCGTAGCCTCCTTGATCTTCTTGAAGACCACCGCATCCAAGATACCGGAGCCCGGCAGGCCGTAGCTCATGAGGGTGCTCTTTGCCCATAATGCGCCCCAAAATAGGTTCTTTACAATCGGGCTCCCACCGTTCACCTTGCCAATGATGCCCTTCTTGACGTTCTCCCAAACAGCAGGCACACCGACCAAGACGCTGGGCTTGAACTCTCGGATGTCACCATTGCACTTGCGCACGGAAGCGTCAGAGAGGGTCTTCGGGTTTCCGTAGCCCAACGTTGTGCCCCAATGCAGGGCAGCATTCTCAAACACAAACTCCAGAATATGCGCCAGTGGGAGGTAGGTCAAGAGGCCGTCGCCCGGGCCGATGAAGGGTTGTACGACCACTGAGACTCCAGCAACGGCGGCAATCACGTTCCTGTGCTTGAGAGGAACGCCCTTGGGTGTGCCGGTAGATCCTGAGGTGTACATAATGCAGCAGAGGTCCTCAGCCTCAGGCGGTACTGGATCTGTGGGGTTCTCCTCGCCCGACTTCCTCAGGTCTTCAAAACTTAGGACCTGGATATTCGGGTACGCTGCTTTGAGCTTCTCAACATGGTCCTTCTTGACCTCGTTCTGGCTGTTCCAAATGACATGTCTGATTTCTGTAGCGTCCTTGAGCACGTTTGTCAGGGTCGGCAGCAGGTGTGGATCGAGGAAAATGGCCTTGGCTTTGGTGGCAACCATGGAGTGGCGTAGACCCTCCTCTCCCAGGGTGTCGTATGCGGTGACAATGGGGATTGACTGAGAAGCAGCGCCGTGCGACATGGCCAGCCAGTATGAGCTCGTGGCAGCAAAGATGTGGACTCTGTCGCCCTTCTCAAGGCCCAGCTTCCGCAGGCCCGAGCCGACCTGGAGCATGAGCTTCTCATACTCGGTGTAGGTCTGGTACTCATAGCCGCTGAGCTCGAAATAGGTCCATTGCTTGTCGACTTCGCGCTCCTCTCCGTCCACCATCTTCTTGACCTTCTTGGTTTCCTGATGGGTGCGGACGAGTTTCCGCGAGCCCATACACTTTGCGTTTCCATATTTCTCGACGGATGCGCGGACGAGCTCGTAGATGGTGGAGATGTTTGGGCCGGGCTTTGCGACAAGATCGGGGATGGAGCCTGGCAGGCGACGGATGGGAGTCTCGCCCTCGACAGGCTTCTGGCCCGGCACCTCGGCTGAGTAGGGCGCCTTCGCCTGCAGGCGTGGCTCAATGTTGACCATGATGGCTGGGTATCACAGAGAAGTAGAATAGGGGCGAAGGGGGCCAATGGAGCGCTATCTCAAGACGTGGGCAACAGAAGGTAGAAAACAGGAAAATAGGGGCGAGGAGAGGAGGAGGAGGAGGAGGAGGAGGATTGGGGGGGAATGAATTCAGATTCCAAGTCTGCCAAGAGGTTGAGTGAAAGCAAAAGGCAAATAGTCCAGGATCGCAATTGGGCCGAGCAGAGACAAGAAAGACGAGACGTCAAGAGGAGAGCTCCAGGACTCCAGGACTCCAGGACCAGGGTTGGCTCGAGCTCCCGCCGGCCAGAGGTCGAAATGACGTCCGCGTGCTGTGCTTGGGCTGCTAGTTCGGGTCTAGTGTCTAGCCTATGTACATGTACTACGGGACCTTCCCCAACCCCAACCAGCCCTGCCAGACTCCAGGGCCAGGTGCAGGTGCCCAGGTGCGGGTGCAGGTGCCCAGGTGCCGCAGTGACGAGTTTCATGCAGCAGATTGTCAGATTGTCTGGCTACGTGGTGGACAGCTATCCAGATTCCAGATTCCAGATTTCAGATTGGCAGCAGGGATTGAGCTGCCGGTGCCCAGGTGGGCCCCCATCATTCACAAATGCTGGAAGGAGTTGCTGAGTGGCGATCATCATCGACGTGCCCAGTATCTGTCAGGACTACGTGGTCTACTGACCTTACTCTGTCTGACCATACTCTATTATCCCTATACAGGTTAAATCGTCCAGTATTGCCACAATACGTGCATGTATACATTGAATCTGCTAGCTTGGGCTGAGGCACAGCACACCAGGTAGGCTACAGTACCTGGGTAGATACCGAGGGAATGCTCACGCCTCCCTCCTCTTGTGCCGTCTCAGAACCTCGGCCAGAGGCGACACTCGGATCCTGTGACGACTGAACAATGCAGAGTACGACCTCAACAAATTCTCCTGCGCCTCCAACGTCTTGCCCCCTTGCCCCTGGCCATACACACATGTGCCCTGCCGAAGCGTGCAGATGAGATGGAAGGCCTGGCTTGGCCGACCTACGCACTGGGATGGTAAGCGTCTGGACCTTGTGTGCACGGCAGTAGATTATTCTACGAGTGCACGCACCCGTTTGCTTGCCCGCTGGACTGGTCTGCCACGAGGTGCTTAGAGACGGGCCAAAGTGCACAGCTGGCCAAGACTACCCCTAGTAGGTATGGGTCCTCTTCAGTGAGCCAAATTGCTGGGATTTTGTGTGGGTACCGTGCTGCTTTGTCTTCCCCTTCACCCTCACAATATATATCACGGTTTATGCATGTCAAAACGCCAATCCTTGGCATCAACTTTCACCTGCCCGTCCGACAACACTCTTTGAAAGCTGAGGCACAACTCCTCTCCAGCCCCTTCCAAGACCTCTCACAAGATCTCAGCCACAGCCCAGGCAAGCCCGCCAAGCCAGCGCTGAATGGCTGAAGCCGTCGACAGCCTGCTTGGCCATCTCGGCCCAGAAATTCAAGACCCGGAAGAAGGCTAGTACGCACACACGGGCCGAGGAGGCAGAGGAACGGTGTCAAATGACACCAGATAAAAGGCCAATGACAACCAGAGATCCGGTGTTCTGACTATCGAAACCTTGCCCTCCTTACAGAAGCCTTCCTGCTCTTCTCCCAGAGCATCCCCTCCCAGAATGAGCTCGGCATCATCGACCCGAAAGCCCCGACCCTGGAGCTCACCGTCAACGGCCATGACCTGACCATAACCCAATCCCCCAGTGTCCTGTCCTCCAACAGGGCTGGCGGGACAACAGGGGCAGGTATGTCCAGCCGCCTGCCAACAAAAAAAAAGGGGGCTCCCTCATGCATCCGCGAAGACGTGCTGACGCAAACCGCAGTTGTGTGGAAGGTGACGCCCATGTTCGCCGAATGGCTGGCCTCGCCGACAAACATCTTCGCCCGGGCGGGCGTGCTCTCCACGTCGTCGACGGTCCTCGAGCTCGGCTGCGGCGTCTCGGCCCTGGTCGGCCTCGCCCTCGGGCCGCTGGTGGCGCGCTACGTCCTGTCGGACCAGCCCTACGTCGCGAGGTTCGTGGAGCAGAACCTGGGCCAGAACCGGAGGGCAGCAGGAGGAGGGGGCCGGCCGGTGGCCAGGCCGTCCGGCAAGCGCGGAAGGGGCAGGGGCAGGCCCCACCCGGGCGCCTTGTCGCCGTCATCGTCATCATCATCGCCAGGTGCTGCTGCTGCAGCAGCAGCAGGCGGGGCGGCCGGGAGCGTCGCCTTCCACCCCCTGGACTGGGAGGCCGACACCCCGACGCACACGCTCACGGGCCGCGAGGACGCGCGGTCCTTCGACCTCGTCCTGGGCTGCGACTGCGTCTACAATGAGGCGCTGATCCCGCCCTTCGTGCAGACGTGCCTGGACGTGTGCGAGCTGCGGTCCGCTGAAGGCAGCCTCGAGGCGGCGCCGGCGGGGCGGCCGCCGTGCTTGTGCGTGGTCGCGCAGCAGCTTCGGGACCCGGAGATCTTCGAGGCCTGGCTGAGGGAGTTCTGCGCAAGGGGGTTCCGGGCCTGGAGGATTTCGGACACGGAGCTGCCGGAGGGGTTGAGGAGCAGCGATGGGTTTGTAATCCATGTTGGTGTTCTGCAGTGAGGAAACAGGAGTGTGCGAAGGTTATTAGGGACATGGTCACATGAGGCCAGGTGCAGTGAAGAACCCGAGGCTGGCATACGGTGCGAAGAGAGGCAAAATCATACGCTCCAGCCTGTGATAGAAACGTTTACGCCGATCGGGACCATGATCTCGACCTGTAGGTACCACGTTCTACGACCGTAGCAGACGAAGAAGAGCACAACAAGGGGCGACGCTGCAGCCCTGCTGGAAACATGATATGGTAATTACTGTCACTCATGAGTCCGGACCATCAGGCCACAAGAGAAGCATACAACATTGAGGCTCTTTACAATTATCACTGCAGAATCCAAATGTAATAGGCATCGAACGTATTCTTCATTCCTCATTTCCAAGAGGTCGCTTAAGTAACTTTTTGTATTGTCCCCACACAAAGCCAGCACCAGGATTTTTGGCCCTGGGGTCTTTCCAAGAAATGGCCAATTGGCCCGCCAGAGAAAAATTCCACCGCATGTGGTTCCAAACATGCAACGCCCAAGCAAAACAAACTCCGTGACTTCACCACTCCAGTGGCTCCTTCTTTGTCTCACCCCGATTTGTGGTTGGGACGGGCACGGCCTTCGCCGCCAGCTTGCCACCCTGGCCCTTTCTCTTCAAGTACGCAGTGCCATCCAACCATGGCGTCTCGCGAGTCATCTTCTTCTCGAACTCGGAAATCTTGTCCTCCATCTGCAATGTCAACCCGATATCATCCAGACCGTTGACCAGGCAGTGTTTCCTGAACTCCTCAACATCGAAACTGCAGATCGTGTTGCCAGCAGCGTCCTTAATGAGCTGATTCGGCAAGTCGACCTCAACCTCTCTGCCGGCGTGTGCCTCGGCGGCAATGGCGTCGAGGTGGCCTTGGTCCTTTATCGGAATGGGAAGCATGCCGTTCTTGAAGGTGTTGTTGAAGAAAATGTCGGCGAATGAGGGCGCGATGACACACCTGATGCCAAAGTCGTTCAAGGCCCACGGGGCGTGCTCTCGCGAGCTACCACACCCGAAGTTAGGTCCAGTAACGACAAGGATTTTGGCATTACGGTAGGGTTCCTTGTTGAGAACAAAGTCGGCGTTCTCTTTTCCATCTGGGTGGAAGCGCAACTCATAGAACAGAGCAGTCCCAAGGCCGGTTCGCTTAATTGTTTTCAGGAATTGCTTGGGAATGATGGCGTCAGTGTCAACATTGGACCGTTCCAGAGGCGCGGCAATGCCCTTCAGGTTGGTGAACTTGGGCAGACCGGCAGAGGTGCCAGCAGATGTATTGGTGTGAGGCCCATTGTCGTCCTTGGGAATGTCTGCGATTTGGTCCTTGTCCGACTCGTCACCGGATATATTCTCGTCCACATGAGGCGGCTCTGGGGCTGCCTTAAACGCCTCGATGTGAGGGCTGGTCTGGTACTCGGTCAATTTCCTCACGTCAGCCAGCTTGCCAACGATGGCGGCGGCGGCAGCCATGACCGGGGACATGAGGTGTGTTCGTCCTTGAGCACCCTGTCGGCCTTCAAAGTTACGGTTGCTGGTACTTGCACACCGCTCCTTGGGGGAAAGAATGTCGGGGTTCATGCCAAGGCACATGCTGCAACCAGCTTCACGCCACTCGAATCCTGCGTCAGTAAAGATCTTGTCGAGTCCCTCCTCCTCTGCTTGGTCCTTCACAACTCCAGATCCCGGCACAATCATGGCCCTCTTGATGTTGCTGGCGATTTTCTTGCCCTTGACAACAGAGGCCGCGGCGCGCAGATCCTCGATTCTCGAATTTGTGCATGAGCCAATGAAGACTTTGTCGACGACGACATCCTGTATGGGTGTGCCGGCAGTAAGGCCCATATACTCCAGCATCCGGCGCGCGGCCGCCTTCTTAGAATCAGAGGAGAAGCTTTCGGGGTCAGGGACGGTGCCGGTGATGGGCACCACATCCTCAGGACTGGTACCCCAGGTCACCGTGGGAACGACGTCCTTCGCATCGATGAAGACGTCGATGTCGTACTTTGCGCCGGGGTCGGACTGCAGGCTCTTCCAGTAGGCAACAGCCCGGTGCCACTCTGGAGAGTTGTACTTGGGTGCCAAGGGTCGGCCCTTGAGGTACTCAAAAGTGATGTCATCGGGAGCGACCATGCCGGCCCTCGCACCACCCTCGATAGACATGTTGCAGATGGACATGCGAGCCTCCATGCTGAGACTTCGGATAGCAGAGCCACAGAATTCGATAACGGCGCCGGTGCCACCAGCTGTTCCTATCTTGCCGATGGCGTGGAGGATGATGTCCTTGGAGCTGACGCCTGGGGCCAGCTCCCCGTCGACTTGTATCCTCATGTTCTTGCTTCGTTTGGTGATCAAGCACTGAGTTGCGAGCACGTGCTCAACCTCACTGGTACCGATGCCGAAGGCGAGGGCTCCAAAGGCACCGTGGGTTGAGGTGTGGCTGTCACCACAGACGACGGTGGTGCCGGGAAGAGTGAAACCCTGCTCAGGGCCAATAACGTGGACGATTCCTTGCCTCCTGTCGCTCAGTCCAAAGTACGTAAGTCCAAACTTCTTAACGTTCTCCTCGAGGGTAACGCATTGTACCCTTGAGTCGTCCTCCGCGATAAAGCTGGCAATGTCCTTCAGGGCTTTCCGGGTGGTGGTGGGAACATTCTGGGATCTTCGTCAGCTCACATCCCAACAGTGTCAATCTCGAGGCCACACAGGTGGATTCTACGCACGTGGTCAGTGGTTGCCAAGGTGCAGTCAGGTCTGCGGACCTTGCGCGAGGCGTTCTCGAGCCCCTCAAAGGCTTGAGGGGATGTCACTTCGTGAACAAGATGTCTGTCTGTCAGGATGCATGTCAGAATTTGCGGCACAGTTCTTCGGGTGTAAATGAGACCCACCGATGTAGAGTAGAACTGTGCCATCCAGCTTCTCATCCACGACATGTGCCTGCAGCACCTTATCGTAGAGAGTCTGCGGCGCTCCCTCTGCTCCAGGCATGATGGATCAATTGGGTGTTGGATTGCGGTGTGGCGGTTGCACGGGTTGCGGGATGCTTGGGCAGCTTCCGGAGGTACCTCAGCTCCTGAGAGCTTCGTGTAAGTGATGAGCACGGGATACGGCAGTGCGGTGGGTTGACGGGGGGGTTTTTGGTGAAAAAAGAGGGATTTGCGAGAGGAGGAGGAGTCAATGACGGGACAGGCGGGTGAGATTCAGAGGTAATTCAGCTGGAAGGCAGAGAGGCAACTCAAATACCATTTGGGGCAGGGACTCTTAAAGGAGGCTTGCGGCAAGTACCTGCGATTGAACATTGTACAGTAGCCGCAGGCCCGATGATCGGAGGCTCACCAGCAGCTCCGGTTCACGGAACGCGGGGAGGGACCTCGGGGGGATCAAATTGGAAACTGGCGTCAAGGCATTGGCTCACACTCAGGTTTGGGCAGGGACTGCCCTGGGGCGAGGGCCCACAATGGCGGGGTCGGTGATGCCTCAGTGGTGCCTCCCCTTTTTGGGCTAGACGCCTGGGACGATCTCCTGAAGGCGACCACTGGCAGATTTGTGTGCGGAACTACCCAGGTACCGTGGCCCACCAACACATTCAACTATTCAAGCATCCTGTCACCTGCAGTACATGGCGACATAGGTACAACGAGAGTTGCTCCGTTTCGGCAAATTGGAAGGCCCCTTGCCCCTACATAAAAGACAACAGAAACGGCTACTTGGTGACTCGTGTACTGAGGATATTCACGGAAAAATCTGGGGTGGCAGTCATGATGCTGCAGCTGAAGCTGAATCCGAAGAACCTTAGCGAGACCGACGAGCGGACAGCGGAGAGCGAAGCAAGTTGCATCGCATCTCTTATGAAGAGCCGGGTTGAACTCTATCTGGCGGGATGTGGCGGATATATGATAAGCCCAAGGGGGCTCATGCTGTCTCCTTAGTTTCTTGGTAAACTCTCTTTTCATTTGCATCGGCCAGTAGAGTCTCATGGTATAATAAACACACCGATCAAGTGACTCCCGGAAGATGCGGTTGCCAGGATCACTCACATGCGGGTATATCGTATTGGATACGACCGTGAACCTGTCCAAGCACTTGCACACAGTAGAAAAACCCCTCTTGACATTCCATCCTCTTACAAAGCATCGTATCCGTGGGACGAAGAAAAGATCCATCGTGGATAAAATTCTCAGATTTTTCACAAGGTTTTACTGGGCCCTCCGATTCCGTAAGTGCGTGCACTCACTGACGTCAGCCTTTTGATCTGAGCTGTCGGCTTCTTGAGCTTCCCACGAGCCCGTCAATACCTTGCGCCTCAGACCTAAGGCAAAGCGAATGTTCAATTAGTAGTGGCCCCATATAGTAATAACCTTTCTTGACGTTGCTCTAATTACGACACTGGGTTCAACGGATGCGAGTAACTTTCCCAACAACCACACCCTGGGGACCACCATCTGTATTGACACAGTAAGGATCTCAATGCGACCAGGCAGATAATCTATATGCAAGGCGGGCTCGGCCCGGCGCGCTCGCTAAGCCCACCTCCAGATTCTCAGAGACCCTGGGACATGGTGACAAATACACTCGACTCACAGTTACACATTGGCAAGTCACAATTTTGAAGCCCCTGAGAGCAAGCAACAAGGTTTTCTGGTTTATGCCTTTTGACCACCTTGTTTGGGTCGTTGATTTATACTCTAGTAACAAATGCGTGTCCGGCCAGTCCTGAGCAACTATCCTTCTATGAAATACCGACGGTTTGTGTTACGTGAGGGAGGCCTTCTCGCCTCGGCCAGGCCCTCAACATCGCTTTCATCAGGGAAAGCAGCCATCCTGCGATTCTCATCCGCTTTCTGAAGTGGCACCCGCTCTCTTGACGACCGGAGGTTTGGCATGGACTGAAGTGCCACGGAGTCCGACAGGATCCAGTAATGGTGGTGATGCGTGTGGAGACAGACCTTGCCGCCGGTATTCTTCCTGGCCTCTTTGTAGGAACTCCCGCCGATGGTGATTCCATCACTTCTAGTTTTCCTGCGACTTTTTCGATTTTCGAGCGCTGAAGACGCGGTTCTCGATTCGGAAGCCCTTGAATACGATGACCTCGGAGGTTGCCCGCGAGGCTCGCTCTTCTGGCTGCCTTGCTGGTCCGCATAGTACCCGTAGGTCATCGAACCGGGCTTGGAAGGGTCGAGATCCGACTCCGGCGTGGACCTTGACCTGATATGGAGTGCTGAAGAAGCTGATCGCTGCCGGCTTGTCACTGTTCCTGAGTCATCGTATCGCCGCTGGAAAGGTACATTCCGAGGCTCCTCGTGCCCTGTGCCACGACCCGAGCGTGTACCATAGGATCCCGCTCTGTCCCGCAAAGCACCAGTGACAGATACTGAATCAGAGGGAGAGATCTCAGTCGGTAGACGTCCGTGACCAGGCTGCTAACCCTCTGGCTTGGGTCCGACTCTGGGAGGTCTCGGAGACATCTCGCCTGGGAATTCCGATTCAACGGGGATAAGGTCGCTGTAGCTGCGTTGTGAGGACAAAGTGCGGGCTTGCGCATTTTGAAGAACTGGTTTGCGCCTCAACCCGCTTGTGACACCATTGTTCAAGGACTGCCCAGGTGTGGTACCGGTGGTACGAGAGTGCTCAGGGTCGTCTTGGGAGGCATGTCTCACAGATGGTGTTCGCACAACCGTGCCCGTCGACTCCTCATCCCGCGGTGTTGTGGTCGCACTGCTCTGCGCAATGGGGCTCAGGGCCGGCTCGATCGCTGAGCTCCACCCTGACCTGTTCTTCATCCACCTCACGTTGTTCCGATGCTCGGCCTTGATAGCCTCCTTGTCCCTCTCCCACTTGCGCATCTTTTCCGCTTGCAGCTTTCTCCTTGCCGTCTCGTATGCACTCCTCTTGTCTGCCACCGTCTGGGCGAGGGACGCAAATTCACTTGCAGAGCTGGTCGTTGGTGTGAGCACGTCGAGTTCCCCAGTTACCGGATTGATGCCCTGGACTCCAAGATAGTCGCCAGACTCCCTGAGGCTGCGGCGGAGGCGACGCTTCTCGCGGTGCGCGAGGTAGAGTTGCTGTGAGCGTGTGCTAGGGGACGTATTTGAGCTGGGCTCAATGGCTGTATTCCAGCGGACTATTCTGTCTGCTGACTCGTTCCTGGAATCAGAGACAGGTGTTTCTGATTTCTTGAATGGCTCTGCGCCATCTTGAAGTGATTCAGAGAGGCCGATTGTGCGCGCGCGTCTCGCGTGGCCTTTCTCAGGTCTATTGATGGGGAGGAGTTTCCTGAGGCTGCTCGCGAAAGACATGTTGTAGGTAATATGTGCATGATGCAGCGAGGGCCTAGAATGGCTGAGGCCAAAGAAAGATCGCGGACCTGACTATCAATAAATGAGACGAAATTCAGGTGGGAAAGAACGACCGGTCGGGCATTCCTCGGGTAAACCTTGACACCCTCCTCCACTCACATCATCCATGCCCGGCTTTTCTCTTTTCAAGCAGTAAATTCTGCCGTAAATTTTGGTCGCTTCCGATGGAGGATCATTTCCAAAGGTTGAGGTTGTGGGCGACTGGTTTCCGTGCATGATTACTCACGGGTAGGGACTGATTTATCGATCCACTGACATACAAGAGAAACGACCGTTATCGCTTGAACAGAAAGAACTTGAGCAATAACAAACCAAATCGTGTTCACTACCTACGTAGTTCTTGATGGATCTGCCAGCCGCCTGGAACAGCAGCAGCGAAACGTTAAGAAAAGAAAGAAAGTGAAAGGACAATGGTACCAACGCCCGAACCGAAATGTCCCTGTTCTGCATAAAACGCCTTCAAATGCAAGTAGATAATGCCCTGTTCAATTAGGTCTCCAAAGTCACCAAGTTGCCAGCCGACAACCCCTCCGGTCTTAGCACTTCTCCCCGTTTAACCGTAGGCCGTCCGTCCAGTTTCATCAAGGGGAACTGAAAGAATGGCGTAGTTGAGGTGCGTGCTGGACCACTGACACTCACTCAACCGGAACTTGCAGATACCACCAGGAGTCTTCTGACCTCACGTCGGCAAAGATTATCTTCGCCGGTCTTCCAAGTGCACAAACACATCGACACAGTCACCTACCATCTAGAGGGAAATCTCTCATAGCGACCGCGGTGTTGTCCCATCTTAGCAAATGGGTTGGGGCTGGACTCGGGTTCCTCATCCGCTTGCCCATCAAAGTGCATACTCGAAGCCAAGCCACTGCGGCGATTCTCCTTGGCCGGGCTGCTCCTTCGGATCATCCTTTCGGCCTGGTCCCTTTGCTCCAGAGCAGCCAGCTCTCGCGAGTTGCGAGGTGAAAAGGTATTGCCGCCCCCTCGAATGTCGCTGATACTAGCGGCTTTCTTCAGAGGCGATTCAGAGTGGCTGTACACACCCAGACTGCCCCCGTAGTTTGTGCCTGTGCTGGTACCTGCGTTGGTCACCGCAGACTTCTCCGGAGAAAGCCTCGGTGTCCTAGAAGCTGACAAACCTTGCCGCAGCGGCGATGGGCGTGGCTTGAGTACGGACTGGAACAAATCAGTCTGTTTAGGTCTGTTGTTGACCGGAGTAGATACTGCAGGGCTGAGTGAGCGGCTGGGAGGTGCGTATCCCGAGCCGTCCGGGTCAAAATGCTTGACATAATTTTGGTTCGGATGTGTCTGAAAGCGGCGCCGAATCAGGGTTGTTGGCGTCCCTACTTGGATATCTTCCCACTCATTTCCATCATCATCCTCTCCGCATTGGGTACCTACGTCTCTGACCACCGGGGGTTGGAGACGTTGGTGAACATATTTGTTGTCGTACTCTCTCATTACCTCCTTTTGGACAAGCGCGGTGTCCTTTTTCTGCCGAGCAAACGCAGACTCGAGGGCCAGCAGCAGAGCGGATATTGCAACCTGCTCGAACAGACACTTGAAGACTGTCACACTAGGTTGTGGATCGAGGGGCTTCAGTGGTAGAGCCATCATGTATACCAGCACATGTAAAGGGCTGAAAAGGCAGACCAGCTGCAGGCATGCTGGCACTGGATCCCATAGTCGCAACTCCCACACATCTCGGGTCCTGTCAGGGTGGGCACGGGATTCGGCGCTGTCACCGACGAGATCGCTGATAAGTCGCAAAGGGGATGAAGAGGCTGGTGAGGACTGCACTCGTACCCGTTGCGCGGAAGGTGTGCTAACGGGTTGTTCGACATCGGCCTCGAAGAATCGGTATGCGCGTGATCGCCAGAACGTGTAGAAGAGGTTACATATTGAGAGTGCAGTCAGCTCCCAGGTTACAGACCATGCCTATTGATAGCACAAGTCAGTACGATCGCAGCTGCGATGCGAATGCTATACTTGAACTCACGAAATAACCAAGCCACCCTGACGTGTCAGAGTAGGAATCACTGAAAATGTCGTCGTCGCTGCCTGTCGAATTCGTTCCATATACGCGCGCAAGTATGAAGGCAAAGTTGAGCGCTAGGCCAAGCTGGTTCCCTACAGACTTGGAGCCGTAGTCTCTGGTCTCGATCTCTTCAGATAACCAGAGGAAGAAATCCCACGGGTCTAGGGCGGAGATGATGCGCTCCTTGAGCGGGCGGCGGCGGACGAGACGGGGAGGCATCGTTTCGACGAGTTCAAGAATTAAATCTTATGATATCGCATTGGGTTCGACCGTGTCGCACACGCGCACGCTGCCCGTTCCTCCTTTCTGGTTGCTGAGCGCTTGCTGGTTGTTGGTTGCTGGTCTCTGTTGGCAGTTGTGCAAGCTCAGACAGAGATGGATGGGATTTGTTTACATTGCGCTTGGGCAACGTGGAAATTCGCCGGGCCCGGGAGCGGCAGGCTCCACTGATGATTGTCTGCTGTCGTTTGTGACCGGAAGATGCAGAAATGGCTCGTGGGATTACCTGCCGTGCGGTGTCCTGCTATTGGAAACCCCGCTGTTGGATGAGCTCTTGTGGAATATCCCTTCCTGCAGGATAACCTTGCAGGATAACCTCTTATGTATCGTAGAGCTGTCTATCCGTAAAGCTTCAGGAACAACGAGCTCGCTGCCGCTTGCGGCCCTCCGCTGCAACAGGCAGCGGAACAAAGCGCTAGACGCCGGCAGGCGTGGGCTTGCCTGATGCCAAAATTAGCGGGCGGGCAGGCAGTGGGATCCCATGGTCAGAGCTTCGAGCCGAGCACCTATTGCCCCAGGCGTCATCACACAGCACCAAGCTTGGGTGCCAGGCTAGACATCAGTGACCGCCTCGCCTGTCTCAACTCCAACCGTCTTCTCCCGCGACAGAGCTGAGCAACATGTCGGCCTCACAAGCAGACTACAGGGACAGGCAATTTCTTGCCGTGATCGGTGATGAGGTACGATTGCCTTAGCTGACTTGGTGGATCAGCCCCTCGCTAACCGTCTTCCAGGACTCAGTGACCGGTTTACTCCTCGCCGGCATTGGTGTAAGTCTTTTGGGACGTTATGTACGAATTAATACCTGACATTCAGACAGCATGTCACGGCAGCCCCAGACTCGCAAAAGAACTTCCTGGTGGTGGACAGCAAGACAGACAATGCCACCATCGAATCCACGTTCGACAAGCTCATTGAGCGCAAGGACATTGGCATTGTCCTGATCAATCAACATGCAAGTTGCATCTCTGTATCCCATGAAACTATAGCATGTGCCTGACTCTTCCTTCTCGACCAGATCGCCGACCGTATACGCCATCGCATCGATACCTACACCGCTGCCTTCCCAACCATCCTGGAAATACCAAGCAAAGACCACCCCTACGATCCTGAGAAGGACAGCGTCTTGAGGCGGGTGCGCCGGCTGTTTGGAGAATAAAGCGTGGGCAGTGCGAGACAGGTGAAAGCACCCAATAACGGACCGATGGGACGAAGTGTTGTCCACCACAGAGGCATCACGTTTTGGGACTCGATTGTCTATGACCGTACATGTGGAGGCCAAGCATATCGTTCTCATTTTACAACGAGGCGGGTAAAGGTGGCTCATAGAATGACCTTCCGAGGCATATTGAAAGCGACTACTGATGATTCGAAACGTTGAGCATTTAAGGATACTCATTGCTGTTCTTCCTGATATGTATGGTGTATGTGCTATGATTGACTCAAACTCATGACGATGGGGTTGGCATGCGCCTTCTTCACCCAGAAAGAACTACAGGAACACAACATAAAGAACCTCAGTATTCGCGAACTGTGGTATTAGGAAACGTGACAAGAACGCCAACCCATAGTGTTTCATATCAGTTAATGCAATCCCAAATCAGGCGTTCTCCTTTCCTACGGCTCGAAAATTGCTATCGTATAGTCACACGCCTCATGAAAGTAATGCATCGTGCCATGGTCGACCTCTACAGCTCGATCTCAGCAGCCTTGTCAGAGCTGAAGACGACAGTGGCGGTCAGGCAAGTGATCGGCTTGTCGTCCTTTGTGTACACATCGGCGAGTACAGTGTATTTGCCCTGCCGCAATGATTAGCCAGCTTTCATGGGTAGATAGGGCGACAATATGCTCACGTTGGGGATCTCCTTAGGAAGCTCGACGGTCTTGGTCAGGGTGAGATCGCCAGCCTCGATTGGGCACTCGAGATCGACGTTCTTGACTTGCTCGCAGAGGTCGGCCTTGGTGCTGATAAGACGGATCAAGCCGTACTTGACTTGCAAAGCGACATATGCGCCCTCCTCGATGGGCTCGGAGACTGTGCCAGAGGCCTTGATGACAAGGTCCTGTCCACTGTTGCGACAAGCGCCAAGGTTAGCCAGGAGCTCTGAGTTGTCTGTGGGTCCTTGTTGGCCACCAAGCCGGGTGTACGCACGCCTTTGGGGGGTTTGGCACCAGGTCGACCTTGTCGATGGTGATGATGTCCTCGTCGTGTGCCTTGGGGCACAGCTCGAGAGGCGAGTTGCCGGGGATCTTGAGGTCCTCGTTCACAGTGACCTGGTTGCCCCCGAAGTTGAGACCGAAGCCGGCATGGGCAAGGCCGGCAGAGAGCGCGACAAGCGCGGCGGACAGCCTCATGGCGAAGGCTGTGGTCGAGAAGACGGCGGTCTGTGGTTTTGATTGCTCGGCGCCTGCTCTAGTGACAGTAAAAGTGCAGAGATCGAATATCGCGCAGCACACACAAGGAGTGATGATGTTCTTTCAGGATGCTTTGATGTAAAGGAAGGTTAGGTTACGTTTCGTTGGGGTTGGACGGTGGCGTGCACGGGGGACTTCAGCAGCCAACGGCGGCTATCTGTGGAGGGAGCGGGCTGGACGTCATGGGGTCGGCCCCATGACTGAGTGAAGTGCTGGTTAAGAGCCGATCTGCTGCTGGCACGATCGCCGTCAGCCACTAGCGATCCGTGCCTGCCCCCAGCCTCCTGAGGGCCCCCGAAAATGGTCGCAACAAAGACCGCCAGCGAGCAGTGCGCGGCCGCAGAGTCAGCCAGCCATGTGCCTGACCCGCTACGGTCACAGAGAGGGTTTCATTCGCGTCATCACGTCCCAGGCGAGCTTGTCCTGCAACGCCTTCACTCGCATAACCGTGGCAAATGCGATGGCGACGAAACTGAAAACGAGTGATACACATCGTCTTCTCATGAGTCCAGGCAGACAACTTATCATTTTCATCGCTCATAAAACAATTTAGCAGCAGCTATATTCTGAGCAGAAATTGCTTTTGTTCAAAAGGTTGGGTGGCGAGGTGTCTTGGACACACAATTATGGTTCGCGGTTGACCGCGCCCAGGCTTCAGAGCCCATCAACCTTGGAACACTGGCCTCAGCAGTGTGCCCAATTAGCAGAAGTCGGACGAGCCACCGCTTCTCATGCTTGAACATTTCCTCTTCACCTTGTCTTAAATCAAGCCCGGTGGAATCTAACAGGCGAGGCTGCAGATGCTTGCAGTGCTGGCACAATGCTCACATATAGGAACGATAGCTGAGATCGTTGTCGTCTCGATTTAATGATCACCTATATGTGCTGACTTGCTGACCTCACTGTGACTCACTTGCACTCAGGAAAAATCACGGAAATGTTAGGCATGCTCCCCATATCGTTGGACTTCCACGGTTGATATCGATGTATATAGCTTGGTTCTTTGACGACGTTCTTGAGGCTTGACAGGGGTAGCTCCTCCAGGTGCAGCACGGATCAAGTTTGAGTCCCACCAGCTAGTTCGCTGTGCTACTGTGCTGTATAGCATACACGCAGACAAGACTAACGTACACGACTCCCAACAAGGATATGAGCTCTCAAGCACCATGACGTGCGTGGTGTTCGTGAACCCTGATTTCATCCCTCACCATCATCGTCACCCTCACCCCTCCCCTTCTCAGCCCTCCCCTACATAACAGCGGTCTATCAATTTCTTTCTTAGGATCCTACCAAGCCTCGGTTATATCCACTTTTCAGATCCTGTGCATGTTCCACAGCCCTACAGCCTCTACAACCCAGCAGTATGGCGACCTTGCGGAGCTTGTACAGGTCGGATCATGCAGATCGACCTGAGTTCAATACTAACTTCAAGTCAGTCAAGAGCTTTGGCACAACACGATTTTGTACTGGCTGACTGACAATCTGTAGTGTTGACTACGTGGTTCACTACAATATCCCAACCGAAGGTAAGCCTCGTGTCCAGGACCCGGCAGCACCGTGTGGAAGCCTACGCTGACATGTGAATAGATTCGACCAAAGCAGAAGCTGCCTTCGTGCAACTCATTGAGGCCCTCTCCAGCGTGGGACTCGCCACTGAAGTCCGCCGTGGTGTTGACTCGTCCGTCCTGATCTTCGTCAAGGTCGCCTCCGACGACCTGCTCAAGCAGCATGCGTACCGATACAGGGTCCAGGACTGGCTGTATGGCGTTCGCACTTCAGCACCCGGCAAGGATTTGGCCTCGTACTTTGAGAAGCAGCCTATTTCAGAGGCCGAGAAGCTGAGGCTCGTGTACCTCTTGATCACGAAGCCGCGGAACGAGGGTGGTGCAGGCGTGACGCCCAACATCGGCCAGTGGAAATCCGTCAAGTCAATCTTCCCGCTCCACAATCACGCGTTCAACAGGCAGTGGATCAAGAAGTTGAGCACCAAGTATTTCATCGAGGAGGATGACATTGTCCAGATACGCGACAAGTTTGGAGAGCAGATCGCCTTTTACTTCGCATTCATGCAGGCCTACTTCTCATTTCTCATATTCCCTGCCGCCTTCGGTTTCGGCGCGTGGCTCATTCTGGGTCAATTCTCATGGTTCTATGCCATAGTGAACTGCCTATGGTCTGTGGTGTTCTTCGAGTACTGGAAGAAGAAGGAGGTGGATCTTGCTGTCCAGTGGGGCGTCCGAAGTGTCTCTCGCATCCAGCATCCTCGAACACAGTTCCAATTCGAACGCGAGGCCCAAGATCCTGTCACGGGCGAGATCATAAAGGTCTACTCTCCCATGAAGAGGCTCCAGCGCCAACTGCTCCAGCTACCCTTTGCCATCACCTGCTTGCTTGTTCTTGGGAGTCTCATAATTTCTTGCTTCTCGATTGAGATCTTTATCTCGGAAGTCTACAACGGCCCATTCAAGCAGTACCTCGTGAGTCTCTAAGACAGCCTCTACTCGTGCGCTATAAACTAAGATGTAACAGGTGTTTCTACCCACCCTGCTTTTATCAGTGTTCATGCCGGCACTGACCACCATTCTGACGAACCTGGCGGAGAAGCTGACCCACCTAGAGAACTACGAGACACAGGACTGTAAGTTCTCAAATCGCCCTTCTGACCATGAGAGATGCTAATATGGAGTCTAGCGCACCAAGCTGCCTTTGTCCAAAAGATTTTCGTTATCAACTTCATCGTCTCTTACTTGCCGATCATCCTGACAGCATTTGTCTATGTACCCTTTGGCAAAATCCTTGTGCCATATCTTGATGTATTCCATGTCACTGCCCAGAAGTTTACCACTGACGGGAAAGTGGAGACCCAGGCCTTTGAAATCAACCCAGATCGGCTCAAGAAGCAGATTATTTATTTCACGGTGACGGCGCAGGTTGTCAACCTCCTTCTGGAGACCGTAGTGCCGTTGATCAAGCGGAAGGTCTTCAAGGCAGTCAAGGAAGTGCAAACTGCAAAAAGTGGCGCGCCCCAACATGAAGACCCGGAGGAAGAGGCAGCATTTCTCGAACGCGTTCGGAACGAGGCGGAGCTGGACAAATATGACGTGACAGTGGATTATCGCGAAATGGTGGTTCAATTTGGTATGTCATATGCTGGTCTTTACGTTTCCGAAACCCAACCAACTGACCAAAACTAGGTTATTTGTCACTTTTCTCTGTGATCTGGCCCCTGACTGCCTGCTCGTTCCTCGTCAACAACTGGATCGAAGCGCGATCCGACGCGATGAAGATCGCTATTGGCAGCCAGAGACCGGTACCATGGAGATCTGATTCCATCGGTCCTTGGTTGACCTCGCTGGGATTTCTGTCATGGCTGGGAAGTCTGACAAGCGCCGCAATTGTCTACTTGTTCAACAGCGATCCATATGGTCCTGATGGTGTGCCGTCCAACGTCAAGGGTTGGGCGTTACTTCTCACCATCCTGTTCGCTGAGCATCTCTATCTGGTCGTCCAGTTCGTTGTTCGCTATGTGATTGGCAACATGGACAGCCCTGGACTGCAGAAAGAGCGTGCCGAGCGGTTTGCAATGCGTAAACTCCACCTCCAAGAGACATTGGGCGAAGATTTCGCGGAGAATGCAGTTGCAGCGAATTTGGGTGCGGGCGAGAAAATCACCCGCGAGGCTCTTGAGGAAGAGGCTCGCAGGGCTTCGGTCTCCGGCTCGGGAACGCCCGAGCAGCTTTTCTGGCAGCGTCAGCGCGGCGCAGCAGAGACCATCCAGATTGGGCGAGGACTGATCTCCGAAGCTGCGGCTGCAAACAAGACAAAGGCGCAGTAGATAACAGATGGTTTTGGTCATTCACGTTCGCAAGCGTGAATTGGTTGCGCGAGGAAAACTTGTAACGATTTTGTCTCATTTTACTCATTCGCGTTGCTCGGCGTTCAAGGTGGGAAATCATTCCGCTTCCCTTGCTGCATCGGGCGTCAATCGAATCAGATAAAGGTATGAGCCATAACGTAAAATCAAGCTTTTGTCAAAGGCACATCGCGAGGCTCGCATACTATGTGCCAAGCAGTCTGTTCGGTGGGCATTTCCGGGATAGCCCCGAATCGAGTTTATCAACCCAGGATGAAAACTAGTGCCCAATAGAGAGATATTGAGCATCGAGCAAGTCCCTCGGGAGCGCAATGTGCCTTACGCAGGCTGAGCACTCTTGGAGGGTCGGCTTAGTCCTAGCTGAGCCTGTTGCCTAAGGGCTGGGCTAGATACACATGCAGTGCTCCCAGATACAGCCTCGATTCGAACCTTATGTGACTTGGGTAGTAAGCGCAGCGTTGCGAGATGATCAAGCATTTCATCGAGGGCCAGGGTTTGGGTGCAAATGTCACAACAGCCTCCACTCCCCTGCTTACTGTCGCTTCATCCCATTTACGCCTCACATGGACGAGTTACAAGTCGCTCGATCGTGTTGCGTATGTGAGAATGTCCTTGATTACAGTGACGAATCCGCTGGTGACACAGCGTTATCACTAGCATCCCACCACAGCCACGTCGGATCAGCTTGAACAGCTATCCAGCCTCACCTGAGACGGCTCTCATAACGTTCCAACTGGTCACTTCGGTACGCAAAACCAGGACGCACCTTGGTCCATCCAGAAAAGGAGTTTGAAAACAGAAAGTGCTCGAAGTCTACGGTATGGATGGAACGATTAGCGATCTGGTTCTAGCTCCTTTCAAGGATATTGTGGCACAAGGGAATACAGCCATCAACAACGCAGTGGACAGTGGAGATGACGACATGCTCAGAGCTGCCCAAGTCCTTGTGAGAGAGGGAGAGCGAGCTCTCAAAAAGATAGAGCCGGTATGTCAGAAAAGCTACGAAGAATATGGCCCAAACTTTGTGAATGCGTTGATGGACGATGGTATGAGATGCTGCCCACCTTTTCAAGATCCGTTGTATTGACTATTCGGTAGGGAATATATCTGAGCTGACTGAAGAGCTCAATGATATTCTTTATGACTTCGAAGATTTTGTGGAAGCCGACAGGTTCGACGCGGATAGGTTCTCGGAGTTGTACGTGCTGTCAAGGAAAGCCGCACCACGAATTATTCATATCATCAGTCGCATGAAGCTAGAATCATCTCCAATTCAGAACCAGACAACGTCTCCGGTCAATGAGACAATATCACAGCATGCAACGTCATCTTTGCCATACCCTGAGGGCCCCGAAGCGGACGATCAGATACAGGATGCAATGCGCTATGTGCCCAAGCTGGACATGAGTTTGGAAGAAACGCAAGAGGCATTCAGACCATCTTCCGTGGAAACACCACCACCTCTTCCTGCTAAAGACCCATGGTCACGAACCTTCCACGTTTCAAAGCATGGACTAGATCGAACAACCCAACGCCCAGGAGCCACTTCGTCCTCATCTGGCTTCGCTCCTGGGTCTGATATCCAGCTCGTATACAATCTATCTCCGACCACAGCACAGGCAAGCCTATCGCTACCTGTTGTGCCACCTCGGAGCCCAGCTCGACGCTCGACCAGTTACAATAACAATGACCAGCTCATGCCTCCAACGGACCTTTCTGCAGCGATGGCCAGATACCGGGGGACAGAAGGTATTATAGGATCATCACCTAGGCTCAATACCCGACCCTCCACCGGAAGCTCCACAGTTGTCTCCAGCCAGAGCTCCATATCGGAATACCACCGTGGAAGAGACTCGTACCTTGATGTTGTTAGCCCTGTTTCAGCTGTGAATAGAGACTCGACTTCTGCCGAGAGAGATGGACAATTTCTGCAAGTACAGCCTCTGTTCGCGCGTCCGACCGCTGAATCCTCGAGTTTGTCAACCAATAATGGCTTGGACATTGTGGCAAATTCCGTGCAATATGTGCCTGACGGGTTGATTCCGGTGGAAGACGAAATCATTGAGTCTGCGCCTGTACCAGCAGACAGCAGTATCGCCCTGAATAGCTCGTTCTACCACTTCAGGGGATTTTGCCAGGGTTCGATGGAGATAATGCAAGGCGGCCTGGGGATCAGGAAAATAAAGAAGCAGGTGAGCCTACACACACTCGCAGCGCCTCTAAGCGCCGTGCTCACAAAGCTCCAGGGCCTATCCGGAGGATTTAAAGAGGTCGCCAAGTGCAAGTCGTGCCCCTTCGAACTTGAATGGGGAGCTGTGGAGAGAGATCTCAATAAAGAGCGTCAGTATTACCACCAGAACCACCCATTCAAAGGTAATGACGGAACAAAATCTGATTTTTGGCGTAGCGAGCGAGAACTTCAAGTCAGCTGGGATCGGCTTCCGCCTCCGTTTTCTCTCCAAAAGCCACATTTCTGCGAAGCACGTCGGCGATCAGATCTACGGCTGCCTGTTCTGCATCCAGCTTGGGCGTACAACTCACCCTAGCGATGCCACGGTGTTCTTCAGCCAGAAGCAGATATTCAACCATCTTGCGCGACATCCTCGGCCCTTACCTCATGTCCCGGGCCTGACGGTTGTCGAGACCGCTGACATAGGACCTCATGCAAACAGCTATGACCTACATTTCCTAAATCCGCCACTGAAGTCGCACCTTGCAACCATCATGCGTGATCTGGCCGCCCTGCCAAGTGCCACCGCCCTGCAGACCTATAGGTCCACACCAACGAGCAGTGTGAAGAGGCCAACCGATGGTCAAGAAGTTGTGAATTTCGCTTCTGGTGCGAGGATACTTGGCATCATATTTCCAGAGAAATATCACGGAGAATGGTGTCTTGGATGGTACTACATTCTTATTCATTATTTCGCTATCTGAGACGATCCTATGTCTCCTGATCTGCTACCTGTCACGCTCGTTATTTCTAATATCGTCAACTGACAAAATAAACAGGTCAGACCACCAATACGCAGCGTTTCCAGCGGATACTATCAAGCTCGAAGAGCCTAGAAAGAGTGAGATAAGACTGCAGGGGTCGAGCAGCATGCGTGCGGTGTCAAGGTGGAAGTTTTCGGTCAGGGATAAGTCAAGCGAGTGGCTCTCATTCAGCAAGGGAGAGATCATCACAAACATCGGCTGTAAGTTAAACATTTGAGCTGCCAAGTGCTCATGCCGGATACACACAGGTCTGATCTAAGGACTGTGCTGATGATCAAGCTAAAGGGTCTCACAAGGAGCACTGGTGCTGGAGCGGAACAAACTCAAAGGGAAAGACAGGAATTTTCCCAAGGTCTCATATTGAACCTGGTTCACTTTTTGAGGCCACGATGATTACAGATCGTTCGAGTTTCGTGAGCCATGAGAAGAAGGCCGGGGTGTTCTCGCGAATATCTATACGGCACCGGAGTGGTGGCTCAGGAGGTGGTGGCCTGTCGCCACAACAGTCGATCTATTGAGAAGAATATTGAAACATTGGGGGCATGTACAAATTGAGCTCATCCTGCCACCTCAAGATGCTATGGCCGACAGTTGACCCCTGATTCCCAACATATGTATCCGCGCAACTTTCTTGGGATCTACTTCGCAGCTTCCAGTGGTATCTGGGAGCGAGTAGCCCTCCTCCTTCTTCGGCTGAGTGACATTTAATGGCAAGCAGACTCGTTCTTTCCAGTGTCTGATCTGGTCTCTCCTCACACCCCTTCCACACATGATTGTTGTCTCGCACCTTCCTTGGGACGACCTGCCTCTGGTTTCCCTCATCTCGAGTCCTGTTGTCCGAGGAACAACAGGACACATTCCCTAAATCATGCTCTTCATCACCTGAATCCTGCTGTTAAATCTCGCTTTCGCTCCTTTTGCAGATACACCTCTTGCGGTAAGAATTATCGAACATATCATCTTGACAATACAGCAAAACCTGGAGATGGCGTCCTTCGTCCTCCTCCTTGGCCTGTGCTATATCGCCGTCGCCAACCCATTAGCCAGCATCACAGCCGACGTCGAGGCCAACGACCTTGTCACCACCAACGCTCCAGCAGTCAGCGACTATATCGGCTGCTACCACGAGGGCACCATGGGTCGCGCTCTTACTCGTTCGGCCCTTACTCACCCACTCTTGACTGTAGGCGTCTGCCGCGACTTTTGCAGGGGCTACCGATTTTGTAAGTCAAGACTCGGCATCTTTTTCCGCCTTTGGTGGCTTCTTGCTGTGTCTGACATCATCTGCTCTATAGACGGCCTTGAATATGGAGACGAGTGTTACTGTGGATACCAGCTCCTCAACTCAGCATATCAAGTCCCAGAGAGCAGTTGTACTGTCCCTTGCGTTGGCGACCCAACTGAGACCTGCGGCGGAGGCAATCTGCTTAGTACGTAGTAAATTGATCCGCTACGGTTACACATCCTTCTTTTCACAGAACTTCCCAAAATGCATCGCTTCAGGCTCCGTAGCAGGTGACTGATGCATAACAGGTCTCTACAAATCCAACTTTACGCTCCAGGTGCCCGAGGTCAACTACACTGCACAGGGCTGCTACGCCGAGCCTCAAAATTCGAGAGCTCTTCACACGGTCCTAAGCTCAGCCAAGGTATGCCTTACGTCTTCTGATCTCTTTATCGTTGCGAGATAGCATGACTGACGAGTTATCCCAAGATGACGAGCAACAAGTGTCTAGTCCTCTGCAGCTACAACGGTAACCAGTACGCCGGTCTGCAGTTCGGCACTGAGTGCTGGTGCGGCGACACCCTCGATCCCGAGGCAAGGCCGACGGACCAGGCCCGGTGCTCATTTCCTTGTGCCGGGAACTCGTCGGAAACCTGTGGAGGATCTCTCGCCTTACAGTTGTTTGAGCGGGACTATGACTGAGCCGAGTTAGCTTGAGGAGGTAGGAAGTGTCGTCGGGAAGCAAAGAAACGCGACAGACCCCAGATATCCTGTCTTCTATTTTTTCTTGGGTACAGAATGATTTGCCAACAGTCCAAGGTATTCGACGTTACAGATCAACACCGTTCACCTGAATTACAGTCACAATATCGACCCTTCTTCGGGCAACCTTATCGTGGGCTATCTTTTACCCCGGCCTTGGCATGTAGATCAGGGTGCTCCGTATAAAACGCTGTGAAGTACCACAGTTGTGGAGAAGATTTCCCCGCGCTTCTTTCACCCGAGGCGAGCAGGGGTCTAGTCTGGACGGCCCAACGGCTCGGCATGTATTAATAAGGGCATCCGTGGCCGCCAGTCGCTAGGGTTGCTGCTAAGAGCAGATGCCATTGACTTTCCGGGACTCCAAATCCAGGCGCCACATCCATCCTGTCGGTGACGGCATTCATTTTCAAGAGTTCCGGTACTGCGGTCGAGCTAGCTACGCTCGCTCGGATGCTGATTCAGAATCTCTGGTACTGAAATTCGCCATCCAATATCTAACCCACTCACCCTCCCAGTCGGCCTGATCAAGATTGTCCCCGGTCTTGCAACTGCGCCGTGATCATTACCGTATCGCGGAACCATCCCCTCTGTAAATCCTTCTCATTTTTGACTTGGCATCCGTGGGCTACTCATAATTCCAAACATGCCTTTGACGGGGCAAGAGGTCGCCAAGCACAGCACCCAGGAGGACTGCTGGGTGGTTGTGCACGGCAAAGCGTATGATGTGACCGAATTCCTTCCAGAGCACCCCGGTGGAATGAAGATTATCCTGAAATATGCCGTAAGCCCCTCCCTCCACAACTGTCCGCTCCTCGTCCAGCACGAATGGCTGACACTCATATTTTAGGGTAAAGATGCTACAGAAGAGTTTGAGCCCATTCACCCTCCAGATACTCTAGACAAGTATCTGGACAAGTCTAAACACTTGGGTGATGTGGACATGAACACGGTTGCCAAGGAGGAGAAGGAGGTGACCCCCGAGGAGAAGGAGCGCCTCAAGCTCATCGAGACAAAACCGCTTCTCGACCAGTGCTACAACCTGATGGACTTCGAGGCAGTCGCCCGGAGGATCATGAAGAAGACTGCGTGGGGCTACTACTCCAGTGCAGCCGACGACGAGATCGTGAGCAACACATACTTACCTGATTGGGGATGACAATATGCCCAATGTATTAACACAAAACTCAGACACTTCGCGAGAATCACGCTGCGTTCCACCGGATATGGTTTAGGCCGCAGATTCTGGTCGATGTTGAGAAAGTCGACTTCTCGACCACGATGCTGGGCACCAAAGTGGACGTTCCGTTCTACGTCACAGCCACAGCGCTCGGAAAGCTGGGCAACCCGGAGGGCGAGGTGCTGCTGACGCGGGCGGCCAAGAAGCACAACGTGGTGCAGATGATCCCGACGCTGGCGTCGTGCTCATTCGACGAGATCATGGACGCGGCGGAGGGCGACCAGGTGCAGTGGATGCAGCTGTACGTCAACAAGGACCGGGAGATCACGCGAAAGATCGTGCAGCACGCCGAGGGCCGCGGGTGCAAGGCGCTCTTCATCACGGTGGACGCGCCGCAGCTGGGGCGGCGGGAGAAGGACATGCGCAGCAAGTTCGACGACCAGGGCAGCAACGTGCAGAGCGGGCAGCAGACGGACAACTCGCAGGGTGCGGCGCGGGCCATCTCGTCCTTCATCGACCCGGCGCTGTCGTGGAAGGACATCCCGTGGTTCAAGAGCATCACCAAGATGCCCATCATCCTCAAGGGTGTGCAGCGGGTGGAGGACGTGCTGCGGGCCATCGACGCGGGCGTGCAGGGGGTGGTGCTGTCGAACCACGGCGGGCGGCAGCTGGACTTTGCGCGGTCCGGGGTGGAGGTGCTGGCCGAGACGATGCCGCGGCTGCGCGAGCTGGGGCTGCAGGACCGCATCGAGGTGTTTGTGGACGGTGGCATCCGGCGGGCGACGGACATCATCAAGGCGCTGTGCCTGGGGGCCAAGGGTGTGGGCATCGGGCGGCCGTTCCTGTACGCCATGTCGGCGTACGGCTTCGAGGGCGTGGACCGGGCCATGCAGCTGCTGCGCGACGAGATGGAGATGAACATGCGGCTGATCGGCTGCACGAGTGTGGACCAGCTCAACCCGTCGCTCATCGACACCAGGAGCCTGTTCAACCACGGCAACGGCACGCCGTCGGACAACCTGTCGTGGTCAACCTACGACCCGCTGGCCAACCCGCCGCAGAGGCCGAAGTTGTAGATACAGGACGAGAAATGCCTCTTTTACTTTATTTCCATTGTTTTTATTGTAAGAGATTACACAAGACAATTAAAGACAACTACAAAGTGGCAAACAGACAGAAGGATGGATGGATGCTTGGTTACATAGTGGTGGTGGTGGTGGTCACGGGCCTAAGCACCCGCGCTGTCAGGTTGGTCGCGCAGTAAGCATCCAAACATCACAAGATCACCCCCGAATTGTCATCTTTGTGTGAGAAAGACGAGGCGGTCATTTGTCCAGACCGCTCACCTATGTCCTGACCCAACCAACATGAGAATTGCTAGGGGAACATTATTTCGCACGTCCAGCTAGGAAAAGGTGAGGCAATCACGACAAAGACGAGGAATGAAGACAAGGGTGCGATGAAACTCGGCTTGCTTCTTTTGTAAAGTACCGCATGAAGCGGCTCAACACACATGCGCAAGTAAGCAGGTTCGGTCTACGGCTGATGCGAGAAAGGGATGCGAGATGCAGAGGGTACATTAGCTCCAGCTTGCAACCGTTGGCGGGCAGGCGGGTGATGGACCATCACACCCTGCCCACCCCCCCTCCCCTGTGGGACATCCTCAAGGGTGATAACCTAGTGTATCCTGTAGGTTAATCTTTCTGCAAGGCATCATGTTGTGGGACCAACCTGCATACCATCCTACTGCAGAGGTATATCTATCTATCTATCTTTCTTTGCTCCATCTTTATAGCAGAATAGAGTAGCTATCTACTGCATCATACCGAGTAGACTAGAATGCATGCGCTACTGCAGGCCTTGGGACCCCCTGCGAGCTGTATCATTATCCCCATGCAACTTTCCCTGCGGCAGACAGGCTGCCATGCGATCGCCCGCTGGGCACACACAGGCTCACAGCCAGACGGACCAGACGGACCAGACGGACTGAACTGACATGTTTGCTAGCAGGGGGACTCGGTCAGCTGGTACAACTTGCGGCGCCGTCACCTACCCTTCGTCTCTGTTGATCTCATCTCCCGACACGCTTCGCCTCTTTTCTTTTTTTTTTTCCTTCCTTCTTCTTCCTCCTGTCCTTTCCTGACCTCTATCCTATTTCTTCAATTTCCATTTTCGTCAAACGCCCAGTTCAGTTCCATTTTCAGTGTAACGCATCGTCTCTGTCGTCATCCAGGTCCCACCGCTGCGGCGCAGATCATCAGGGCTTCATATGGCCATGACGCCGTCCTAAGAACCCAATTCCCGAGCACGCCAAGCTGCCACCGGCGCCTCCGTTCATTCCATTCCCGACAGACAGAGATAAGCAACAGCATTAGCATCACCAGTGGTTGGGTGCAGACCTTTCATATCTTCCAGCTATAAGACGCCGGGGACCACCTCGCGCGGTCGCAAGTTATCACTCCAGGGTCCATCTACCGCGACACGAACCCCGCGCGCACCCAAAGACGCCACCATGTCGTCGGCCCTCGAGGCCAAGATAGTCGTGCTGGGCTCACAGGGGGTCGGCAAGACCTCTCTGGTCATGCGGTATTGCAAGGGAGCCTTCCAGCCCTCGCAGTTGACCTCCACCGTCGGCGCAAGCTTCATGACCAAGCGCGTCGTCGATAGCGACACCGACACCGTTGTGCGACTGCAGATCTGGGACACAGGCAAGTCAAAAATCCGAGTCAAGCCGCCTCTTCCCAGTTCGCGACTGTCTCACTTCTTTTAGCTCTGCCGTGGGCGTCCCCAATGCTGACCACCTCCTCTTGCACCACTTACAGCCGGCCAGGAGAGGTTCCGCTCTATCTCGCGCCTCTACTACCGAGGCGCTAACGCCTGCATCCTGTGCTACTCCATCACCGACGCCCAGAGCTTCGCCGACATGGGCGCCTGGCTGACCGAGCTCCGCCGCAACTTGCCCCACGACATCGTCCTCCACGTGGTCGGCACCAAGTCCGACGTGGTCGCCCGCGAGCCCGCCAAGCGCGAGGTTCCCTTCGAACGTTGCATTGTAAGCAGCTCCTAGAGAGACTTCATTCTGTTCCTGAGAGCGGGTTCCTGCCGTGTTCGCGGGTTGTCTCGCTCTTTGACAGAGTCCTCTATGGGACAACTGTGGATTGCGAGACCATCAAGGGAGAACAGCTCTCTATACTACCCCAAGCGCTTGAAGCATTATCCATGGTGTTCTGCTGGCTGATTCCGGATAATGTAGGCTTACGTCGCCGAGAACCTCGCCCCAGGGCTGAGCTCCACGCCGCCGCCGACCGCGACACCGGGCGGACACCTGAACGCGCCCGGCGGCGGGAGCCTCAGCGGAAGCGGCGGCTTCTTCTCGAGCAGCGACTGCACGTCCGCCGAGCCCCGCAGTCCCACCTCGAAACGGTCGTCGGGGTTCTGGGGCCAGGAAGTGGGCTGGGACGCCTGCCACGAGATCAGCGCCGAGTCGGGCGAGGGCGTCGAGGAGGTGTTCCGGGTCGTCACCCGGAAGCTCGTCGAGCAGAACCGCAAGATGCAGGCCGCCCTGCAGGCCGCCACCGCGACGCCTGGCCTCACCCCGGGCCTGGACGGGGGCGGCGTCAACGAGGGCGCCGGGGGCTACTTCGACGGGGCGAACCCCAGGGGCAGCTTCAGGGTGGGGAGGGACAGGCGGTCGTGGTTCTCGCCGAACTTCTCTCCGGCTGTGACCATCGAGCGCGGCGCCGGCGCGCAGCAGCAGGACGGGGAGCAAGACCGGCCTGATTTTGAGGCTCGCAGGGGAAAGAAGTGCTGTTGAGGGCACGATCCCGAGAACGACTTTCGGCCTCTATTTCGACGCTGCTTACCGCGCTGCGGACGATCTCAGACGGAGTCTTTTCCTTCAGAGTTAATCGCCTACGGAGTCCGCGATCAAGTGCCCGGGAGGAGACATGGTGGACAAGGAATAAGGGGAAACGAGAAAACAAATACGACGGATACGGGACCTCGACGGTCTCACGCCACGATACCCGGTTGACGAATTTCCTTTTGCGACACGTTCACTATCATCTGCTGCTTTGGTCGGTCAGGAGCTACGGTCAGGTCGGGCTGGGAAGGGTGGGTGCGGTTTTACGGGGCAAGCATTGCATGGGGGATCTGGCATGTGCATGTGAATCGCCTCAGCATTTTTGCTTTCTGCATCAGTTTCTGCATCTTTCTGCATAGGGGTCTTTTCGGCTTCGTCCGGCCCTGGGCGTTCAGGACACATTCTATATATGGTAGCGCCCACGCATTTCAGTCTCTGTTAGGGTATCATGGCTCTAAGGAAGCATCTCATAATATCAAGGGCCAGGCGGCGAGTGGCCTTGCATTGATGATTATCTGCTGTCCCCAACCAGGGATCAGTCATTTCTGTTGTGATTATGTGGCTATGCGCCCATCCAGCCACGAGTGTTCAGCCAAGAGAGCTGTCTTGGCATGTAGCAAGTCTTAACTCCCATGCAGATGGGGTATCATGAAATTCTCCCCCGAGGCAAAATGAGCCCGTATGACGCCCATCAGAATCCTCCCCGTGCCATGATGGAGGACCAAAACGCCTAAAACAACCCAGCTCTTGAAGCCGGCCGAGGTCCACTTTTGAGATTTTGAAAAACACACAACGCATTCAGCTGAAGCTTCTTTCCCCCACACCGTCTTAAATCCCAGACTCGACTCTAGAAAAACTCCATATCATCGTCGTCATCAGCCTGTGCGCTCTTGCGAGGTCTCCCGCGCTTCCGCACCTGGGACGAAGAGCGCGGCCTCTTCTTCCGGCCGCTGCCAGGAGTCGAATTGGACTTTCGCTTTCGGCCCCGACCAATGTCCGGGCCCTCGTCATCCTCGTCGCCGCTCGGGGTGACCGGGCCATCGCCGTTCGCGTCCTCGTCCTCGTCCGCAACCTTGAACTCCCTGTCGACATTGAGGAGGTCCACAAAGGACCGGCACTGGTGCATCATGCGCTCTTGTGAGGAGAGTGAGCCCATTATCGAGGCTATGTCCTCCCATAACTTGTCGCCGGTGACCGTCTGCACTTTGACTGGCTTGGTGGTGTCCTTCTCCTTGTTGCTAGTCTTTGATTTGCCATCACGCCGGCCCGTTCCAAGGTTATACTGTCGCCGAAGGTACGATCGCGCCTCCCACATTGACTGCAGAATCATGGAACCAGCTGTCAGTTGCCGAAGGCGCTTGACATCAACCGCAGGTGGAGGTGGAGCAAACACCGGCTCGTTCTGTCCATCAGGAGCAGTCTGAGAGTTGGTCACTGCATCCATTGTAACCTGGAAAATCTCCGCCTCGATCGCCTGAGCCACACTAGCTCCTGTGCTGGTAACGAGTTTCTCCATGGATGTAACTGTCCCAAGTAACTCGCTGACGGTGGCGTAGTCAAAAAATGCCAGGTTCTCTACAATGAATTGTGATAGCTGGACGTGCCCGGGCATGCGCTCCGACGCATCTAGTTTCGCAGGTTCAAAGTCAACCTGTCCGCACAATTTGTCGAGGAATTTCGTTCGGTTCTTGGCCTTGCTGGATTTGAGCACCTCCATCATCAGATGTAGCTTGGAGGTGAACGGTTCCGTGGTGGCACCGCGAGGGTCGCGAGCAATGTCACGCTGATAAGCGAACGCGGACTGCACTGCCTTCGCATATTCTCGCTCGAGAACGGTCTCATATTTGTCGTGCAAAGCGCGATGCTCATGGAAAGCGAGCTCTGAGATTTTACTGACCGAGGAAGTCTCCAACGTGATCAAGGTGACGCCGGTCTCCTTGGGGTGAACCAAACCTTGGCGGTTGATGCTCGCCAGGACTTCAACAGCCAGAAACGCATGCTCGTCCTGGGTAGCGAGCGCTATCCGTGTGATGTCGGCAAGGAAACGTTGTGTCGTGGCGCTGGAGACATCATCGTACGTAGTTCCTCCCATGACTTTGAGATTCAGCTTCTCTCCCTTCTCGTCTTTCGCAGTGCCCTCCGCAGCTGCCAATTCAGAGCGCTGCTCCTCTGTGAAGAGGAACTCCTTCATAGACCCCAGTATCATTGTTTCAAGTACGGGGACTTGCTCGTCAAATACTTGCTGGAATGTCGTGTACACGTTCGCGGAAACATAATTTCTTGGCCACGATTGACATATGAGGCCAACAGCGTCAAGTGCAGACTTCCTCACGTCTAGAGGCTGGGATTGGCTGGCGAGAGGAATGACCACGTCCACCATGAGCTTCGATACTGTGCCACCTTTGAAAGCCGGGAACACAGCCTTGAATGAGGCCAGTTTGCTCTCAAGGTCGCAATGCTTCCCCACCATCCCCACGATGAGCGAATACCGATCGAATGTCCGCATCGTCTTGTCGTCGAGGGGCCGGCCCTGTGTCGCGGTTCGGATCTTCTGGATCCCCTGTAGGGCGGAAAGCGCTAGTCGTGACAGCTTCTCTATGCTCCCAAGCAAGCCGCTGATGATCCACAGGCACCCAACCACATCGTCGAGTAGTGCTCGGGTCACTTTGGGTACGGCTTGCATCAACGGATTCAATATGTCGGTGAGGAACGACTCATGAACGTTGGAGAGCTGAGGTAGGACGCGACGGTAGATCACAACCACGGCCCGAGAAATAGCCAGGTCTTCATTGGTAGCAATGCTTGCAACCGTCGACTGCAGGATCTTGATCTGCTCAAATGTAAAGAGCTTCGCGTCAGCCTTGGCGAAGATCATCAGAAGCTGCAATGCTTCTCTTTCCGAGTCGGAATGGTGGAACAGTTCAAAAATGCTGCCGACAAGTATTTGTCCGACTTTGAAGTTGGTTTCTTTGGACCCCAGAATTGATTGAAAGACCTTGTCTAGGACTGGAGTCACATTTCCTTGCTTCACTGTCTGCATCATGAGGGAGACATGGTCCGTGAGAGACGTCTTATAAGCTGCTGACCCCTCTGCGGACGAGTAGGGAGCGATCCAAATTTCTTCGATCATCTGGCGCGCAACCTCCCGAACACCTTCGTCGGGATCCTGTACACGATGGAGAAGGCCATTCGCGATATTGCTGCGGATGTTTCTGTCTGGGTTGCGCAGATAGATCTCTCTGGCGAGCTTCATCGCGCGCTTTCGAACTCCGACGCCAGAGTCTATGAAACGTTCGACAACAGTCGGAATCAGCTTCTCCTCCAGAGCTGGCCTCATTTCGATGCATTTTCCGATCAGACCAAGGGCTGAATCCCGGACCTGAGGTGATGAATCACTCGAACACTGAAGAATTAATTGGATGAAAGTTGAGTCTCCGTCGAGTATAGTAGGGTCTGTCTCCAAAACGTCATTTACACTCTTGAGACTCTTGCTGCGGACCGTGGCTTGATCGGTCGTCATGAAGCGAAGCAGGATGTTGAGTATGTGCCTATATGACTCGCAGAACTGAGATCGAATAAGGATGATTTGGTATGAGAGCTTTGCAAGAATTGGAGAGACTTGCGCGAAGCTGTACTCGGTAGACAGCCAACGGCGGTCCTCGCTCATCATTCGCAGGCGGTAGGCGAGTCTTCCAAATTCAGGAAGCCGCTCATCGTCACTCACTTCATTCAAGATGTCGTAAGTGGCATCCACCTTGCTCGCCCAGTCTGTGATCAGGAAAGATACCGCGCTGGAAAGGTGTGGGTCTTCGGAGCATCGCTGGTCAAGATACTCTAGGCTGGCTCGATAAGGTCCAGACCATGACAGCAGTTGCTCTGGGCGTGATCGGAGCTCGAGAGCCGAGGCGGCAAGTTCTGAGAGGTAGATTCCTAGTTCAGTAGCTTCCGCAGCGTCCAAGGAATTGGCAGTCCTTCGAACAAGCGACCTTAGCTTCGAGATCGCAGCTCCCATAGAGCCGAGAACTTCCAAGGCCATGTTCTTCGCCGGAGCTGCAGTCCTTTCGCCATCCACGAGATTCATCATCCTGCCCATCAATAATCGGAGAAGAAGCTCAGAAGCAGGCCAGTCTGCGGAGTCCAGGCAAATGACGAGATCCTCGACGAAGTTCTCAAGGATTCTGCGAAAAGGCGATTCGCCGGTCTTCGTGGATGTTTGTGCCCGATGGACCATATATTGAATGACGTGTGATGCACTAGCCCTCGTTGTCTCCGCCAGTGGTGCTGATATTCCATGAAGCTCCACGGCAGACCGCCCGTGCTGAGAAGCCGCTTGATCTTCGCTCTGGATGGATGAGTTCCGCACCGCAGGCGGAGGCGGTTCTTCCCCATCGAGTTGTTCGCGATTGTCTTCCAGTGATTGGAGCAGCTTGCTCCGTGCAGACTTCACATCAGTGGCCTTGCCAGCGCTGGTCTGAATCAAACGGAGAATGAGGGCCGATACTGGCTGAATGCTTCTGCCATCACTAAGCTTAAATTGACGAGCTTTTTGTTTCGTTTGAGGCACTTTCTCTATTTGAGAGAGGACGTCGTCAATGATGCCGTTTCGACTCTGCGGGTTCTTCAGAAAGATCTGCGATAGCATGTCCATTGCCACCAAGCGAATGCCGTCAAATTTCTGGGTTCCGACGATCGAGTCGCGGTCAGTGTAGGCGTTCTCGACAAATATGAGGGTGGACGAGATGGTCTCCAATGCTGTGACAACAGACTCGGATAAGTCTATGCTAGCGACCAAGGTCGTAAGAACAGAGTACAGCCTGGTGAAGCTAGTGAATATGGTCTGAGCGATTTTTTTGTGCGGGAGCAGTTTCTCGAAGAGATCTTTGCTACTGTCCTTTCCCCCAGCTTTACTTCCCTGCTTTTCTTCTTTCGTGATGCCGTAGCGGCGGACCTTTTCTGTCAGCGGTACGATGATACTATCTGTGACTTCCCGGAAGAGGTTCAGGCAATCACGTATGAGGTCCTCTGAGTAAAGCTGCTTGTCCTCTCTGCCAGCAGACATTATTCTCAGGGCTGTTCGAGCGGCCCTGAGCGCAGTGTCGACATCTTGTAGATGATGAGCCCAGATCTGTGCGTCTGACTCCCCCCAGCTTTCGTCGAGCTTGAAGTCCAAGTCTTGGGTTTGCTTTAGTGCGCCATCGCTAAGGCGCTGCACGCGCAGGATCTCGTCCACAGGGATATGAACAAAAGACCCTAGAGATATGGCATTCTGCAAAAGAGGCTGTACTTTTTGGTGGGCTGTTGTAGTCATTCCAGGCTCCTGATGGGAGTTCAAGCAGACAAGTGGATTTGACTCTGACTGAGTAGCTGTGACGCTATCTTCCGCCTCGAAAATCTCCGCAAAGCAACGGCGTAGTTGATGATAGGCCGACTCACCCCTCTGCTTCTGGTCACGACTTGCCCCGTAAACATCTTGACCATCCTGGTATTCATCTTGTCTTTGTTTCCGTGTTGATAAGTTTGAGGGCTCATCAGGTTCATCTTTGACCACCTGATACTCCTGTTTGTTGAATGACGGGGCAGGAGGTAGCTCAATCGAAAAAGTCCCAGCTTTCTGCGAGTTATCGAAAGATTGAGGCGCCGCCTGAGGTGGTAGTTCAGCGATTTCGTCCCTGTCACCTGGAAGTGACGGCTGTGGAGAGGGCGATGGTGGTGTTTTGACGCGAGCGCTGCTCACAGGCGTGGCGGCTGCCGCCGCAGCTTCGTACTGCTTCTTAGTCGGTATGAAGACTGCGAATCGAGACTCATTATTCCCAGGGGCCTGACTGCTTGGCGCAGGTTTGCTTTCTCGCTTATGTGGTCTAGCCGAGCTGGAGGTCGTGGACGGGTGGTGCCCGTTGGAAACTGCCACGTGTGGTGCTTCCGTCGTTGGGCATGTATAGGAAACCGATGTCTTTTCGAACACCATTCTCGAGAAAGGAGACAGATTCAAAGAGAGACTGCTCATGGGGCCGTTAGGTGTAGCGACTTTGGGGCAGGTCATGAAATTGCTAACAGCCCTTGATTAGCACATCGCCTGGACATGCACAAGGACCATACTCACAACTGCGCCATTCTATTCGGTTTCAACAGGTTTTGCACATGCTCTAGACTCTGCTCTAGGCGCCTCGACGTAGAAGACGAGTTTGCGGCGTCCCGGTTCAAATTATCGAAGTCATGTCGCGGGACGAGATCGGCGAGACGGGACGAAGACGGGCCAGCACCCAGGTTCGGAGTCGGTATTATATCTGTTAGTTGATTAGAGAATCGAACATTGGATTTGAGAACGGCGCCAACAGCCACATACCCGACTCGAATGGAATGACCGAAGTGAAAGGGGAGTACGGAAGGGCCTCCTGCAGCGTGAATGGGCGCGAGAACCTGGGTTGGTGCCCAGACGACTGCGCAGACGACCCGACCCCATTCTGCGCACCGTTGGTATCCAACGGCCTTGGATGCGCCATATCGAAAGTCATCCGAGCCTCATGTCAATAGCCATGCATGAAAAGCCCTCGAGAGCATCAGCCAGACAAGAGGAAGTCTCCAGTTTGGACCAGAACAGCCTGGCCGTGGTCGAGAGGAATCGCCGCTCTCACATCCGTATTGGTCTGCGCTGCGCCGAGAACGATTCCGAAGGACGAAAGTGTGAGTTTCGATGGCGAATGGCCTAATTGTTGCCGTGAACGTGAGCCTGAGAACCGGATGGAGGTTAGGAAGTGCACCCTTGGACGGTTACGGGCAGGTATGATGGCAGACGAGGGTCCACAGCTGCCTGCCACAGCATACTGTGCAGGGTGGGTGGGTACTTGGGTACCTAAGTACCGGGTCTCGCTTATCGATTAGACCCAAAATTAGTTGGGTCAAGCTCTGGCCGAGATCTTGTAGGGCGAAAAAAAATGAGACCAAGACGAAAGGTCCTTGCTGCAGTCTCATCTCAGCCATTTGAGTCTGAAGACACAAGAGACAAACATATCTCAGCTCTAAGACAGAAGGTTTTACAGTTTTGAAAAATACTGAGCGATCAATATGGCTGCCATTGGATCCCTCGTCTTTTGCACTGACTGCGGAAACCTCTTGCCGGCTTCCAAAGGTAGCTCAAAGAATATCCTGCAGTGCGAGTGTTGCGGTGCTGAGAATCAAGGTGAGTGTTTTGGGATCAGAGACAATGACAAATCGAAGTTTGCATCGGCTAACATGGCTTATAGACACTGCTTCAAACACCATTGTAACAAAATCCAAACCTTCTGATTTTCCCTCATATCTACGCCAGAAGCTGTCTACCACCCAGACTATCAAGCGTCATGAGGTGAATACGGAGGCAACTACAGCTCAGACGTGTCCCAAGTGTGCAAGAACCGAGGTCAGGTTCTCGGCTGTTCAGCTTCGCAGCGCTGATGAGGGATCAACCATCTTCTACACATGTGATTGTGGCTACAAGTACGTCAATCAATTCTCAGCGCCTCGTGGGACCTCTATGCTGACAATCGCTAGATGGAGCGAGAACAACTGAGCTCTCAAGGCTGAAGTTGAGGTCAACTTTATGTACAGTCTAAGATCGTGGATCACCAATGAGATCCAGTTATAGTGAGCATCTACCTCGCACACATCAGAAGCCTGACCGTTGCTCTTGCTAACGTCTGTTACGAAGAAAAGCCACGTCGATACCACTGACGAACCTGCCGTCTCGGGCCTCATGGTTATTACCAAGATTCCATGGTTGTTTTCCAAGCCCGGGCGCCGCAATATGACCTCGCTCACGGGGACGAAAACTAGGCTAAGCTGGGGTGCTTTCCGGTATAAGCGCATATTCCGCCTGCTCTCCCTTCTCATATTCGGCCATATCCAAGGCTACCATGACACTCTCCCGGACAACGCGCTCCGGGTCATTGAGGAAGCCTTTCAAGATGTCTTCGACCCCGTCCTCGTCCCCAAGACTCCCGAGAGCTTCAGCAGCTTCGTGTCTAACCATACCGGCCTCCTTCTGATTGCTAAGCGCAGATGTAAGGGCAGGAATAGACGCTGGGTGGGATAGTTGGCCGAACACGAAGGCGATCTCGTGGCGGAAGAGGTCGGAAGGGTCGTCAAATCCCCGCGCAAGAGCATGTACGGCGGGGACAGCGGTTGGGAGGTCGGGGGGTGATGCGAGATCTCGGAGCGCAAACATTGCTCGGTAGCGCATGAACAGGGGAATCTTTGTGTCCATTAATTCATTCCCAAGCTCCTCGACGGTCTTCTTAGATTCCGGCATGGGTGGTGCAGGGTCGATGGAGGCAAAGTCACTATAACAATGTTAAGTAAGGCACGTCTTTGACCCTAGTCGATAGCACGGGCAGCTTTACCTTTGGCGCAACTTCTCTTGCTTCCTCTCTTCCGAGTTCTCCCACTCGATTCGGTCAAGGGCAATCTCGCAAGTCTCCACAACTGCCACGTTCTCTCCTTTCCGGTCCCTGAACTCGCAGAGTATGTCCTTGTTGCTGGCATGCCCAATCGCACCGAGCGCCTCGGCGGCCTCGTGTCGGACCATGGGGTCTTCGTCGAGATCGGCTAGGCATTCGCGCAGAGGCGGGACAGCATAGAGGTTGCGGGTCTGACCGAGGCAGTAGGCCAGTTCGTGCTTGAGCAGGGCGGAAGGCGAGGCGAAAGCCGCCGCAATCGCATCCATAGCAGCCTCGGCACTGGCATCTTGCGACTGGGTGGCCAGGTGCTTCAGAGAGAAGAGAGCCCGAAACCGCACGGGTAGTGGGGTGGCCTCGGAACAAAGCGACTCTCGTAAGGCTTTGATTGTGGGATCAACGGTATCTGCTATGGGCGCCATGTTGACCAAGTACGAGATCAATTTTCAGAAAACGAAGGAAAGAAACAGATAAAAAGTCGACTCGTTGGGTGGTGATGTTCTCGACCGACTGCGACGCGATCGGCGCAGCTACTTTTTCAGAGGGGCACTACTCGACAGGGATCATTCCTTACTTGGATGGTGGGGTTGAGTTGACACTTAAACGAAGGCCAGACCCTTGCCCGCGGTAGGTGACTGGCAAAGGCGAAAATTTGCTCGGCAACGGCAGGTCCAGACCAAGAAGAATGCAGAAATGGGCCTGGTAGGATGATAAAGCTCTGCGGTGTAACTTGCTCTAGCAACGTCCTGTAGGATGCCCTCCTTTGGTAGACTAGATTCTCTGGGATGCCCTCTGGTTTCGGCATCTTATGGCATGATCTCCCCTATAATACAATTGTAGGATAACCTGTCACATAGTACAGAATCATCTTCTAAATGCTGTGGGACGACCTTCATTGTCTACATGATCTTGGTTTTTAGGCTGTATTTATTATTGGGTACCTGGCAACTGCAACTCTTTGGCTTCCTTGGGGATCTGTCTGTCTACCTACCTAGATAGCTACGGCAGTGCCATGTCCTGCACCGTGGTACATGGTGTACACTTGCATGGACGGCTCAATGAGGCTGACTTCGACAAGCAGCCTGCTCTAGGCTGGGCATGCCTGTGGCTGTCCTCGTGGTTGTTTTGAACGTTTCGTGCCACCTTCATGCGTAGCTACTTACGGTACACAATCACAATGCAGCGTGAAGCATCACTGGACAGCTTCTATGCAAGTCGAGAGGCTGGAGCGAAGCTCGGGAGGCAATAGATCGAACGTGCAAGTCTCACGAGGGCCCCCAGTTGCTTTTCGGTCGGCGGCCCTGCTGCAGCTGGCAGTACCAAGCAAAGGGCGAGAAATTGCCATGCCAGTGTTAAGAGCAGGCAGGTACCTGTGCAAATACGTGTAGCCGCCTGCCGGCCCACGCAGTTTAAGCTGTAGCGGCCCAACTGTTACCCCTGTCGCACCGCGCACCCGTAGCTCAGTGCCAATTAGAGGCCTGGCAAAGAGCGGACACCCTGGGGAGAGAGGGGCGAGACCTCCTATTTTCACCTCCCTTGTATTGTGGCTTCCCCTCCACTCGAAAAATCTAGCTCCGCTTGTTCTTCTTGTCCGCCACAAAACCATTTCCTTTCCACGCTTCCTTCTTGCCGCTGTCGCATCCATTCCCCTCTATCCTCTATCCCATCAGGCAGCCTCACCCGTCAAAATTCATCAAGATGGCCGACGACGCTCAGGTAAGCAAGCAGCCCATTTGACGCCCTTCTTTGCCAATGTTGTGGCGGGCGCGGGGAGGCACCCCGCTTCGCACCCACGTACGACGGCCATGATACCCTCGCCTGTCGACCGTGGTCACAACCTCTCTGTCTCTCTGTCTCGCCTCGCAAGCTGACAATGCGCCCCAGCATGAACACACCTTCGACTCGGCTGACGCCGGTGCGTCGCTGACGTTCCCCATGCAATGCTCTTCCCTCCGGAAGAACGGCTTCGTTGTCATCAAGGGCCGTCCTTGCAAGATCGTCGACATGTCCACCTCCAAGACTGGCAAGCACGGTCACGCCAAGGTCCACTTGGTCGCCCTCGACATCTTCACTGGCAAGAAGCTCGAAGAGCTCTGCCCCTCCACCCACAACATGGACGTCCCCAACGTCTCCCGTCGCGAGTACCAGCTTGTAAGTCTATTTCCAATCCGCCGTGGGGCACGTGGGCTCCCTTTTCTAACACATATCTACCTAGCTCGACATCTCTGACGATGACTACCTTTCCCTCATGACCGATGACGGTGACACCAAGGATGATGTCAAGGTTCCCGATGGAGAGGTTGGCGAGAAGATCATCCGCCTTTTCAAGACCGAGGAGAAGGACACCAGTAAGTCTGACCCAGGATGGACACCGCAGACATATGCTGACAGCTCCAACCAGACGTTGTCATCTTGACTGCCATGGGTGAGGAGGCTGCTGTTGAGGCTAAGGAGGCTCCCAAGGGTGCCTAAGTGCATCCGCTTCAAAGGCGATGACGACCACGGGAAACGACCGGATTCTGAACAGTAGCGCTTACGATCGGTTGCGGCAAAGCTCATGTTGAGGATACCTCGTCTTGACATATTGTGGGCCTGCCTCTCATTTCCTCTGATCGATGGACTTGATAGTTTTATTTGATAGCACGTGAAAGACGGGCTCGCGCGAAATCCAATCTGCGGTTTTCCCATCTAATTGGTATGCGACGAACATTCCTATTTGGGGGAGAAGATGGTGTGTTCATGGGAATAAGACCCCACCTGAAATGAGACTATGTCGAGGATGCGCACAGGACATATGAATGCTGGTGATTCGTAACTGTGACTTGTCCCCGCGGCTGACATACCGACCGACCTGCTGGTTATGCCCACTCAGATAAGAGAGTTCCACATCCAATTATATTGTCCATTTTGATGGATTCTCGTAGCATATCGACCACTGTAAAAAGTTCCTGTGGTTGTGACTTTGCACTGTTGTGACTGCGCTATGGATGGGCAAGTGGCCAGCTCTTTTGAAGCACACTGCTTCCGACTCGCACCTGTCAAATAACTTTTATCCGTGTCTTGTAGCTTTCGACGACCATTTCTAGTGAAAATTGGGTTTGCTTGCCAATAAAATAGCATTTTCCCGCTGTGACAACTCGCGGTATGCCAGACACGCGAGCAAGGAGCAGCATGCGGGAGCTTGCGGGAGTGCCCGTGCATGACTTCTGGTGACAATAACACAGCTGACAAGTTCCGTCTGCCTCCACACATTTTCACAATAGGGCCAGAAGACAATGACTGGGCGTAGAAGAGGCCAAGAACTTCACCGCTTCCCTGCCGGTGAACGGTGCGACGAATGCCGAGCGAAAAGATGGTACGCAGAAAGTGGGCTCAGATACTGCCAAAACGGCCATCGCATAGAGGTAAGAGTGATCAGCGGCAACGTTTCTGTAGGCCCCCTGTCTTGCTAATACCAGACGTCCAGGGCTACGTCGAATTCGACATCGATGAGGAGGACAATTTTGGGCAGCAGGGGAAGGTCACGCGCAAGGGACGAGAATCCCGAGAGAAAGCAACGCGACATCTCTCTGGCAATGCAGCGCGAGAGCTCTACCTGGAATGCCTTCAGCTTGTCCTCCGCAAGCAGATCTGGTGGCTGGTTCACAACAAAGGGCTCCCAGATGAGCTAGAAACCGTCATTCGCGACCTCTGGGATTTGCGCATTCGGAACTTTGCGGGTCTTAGGAGGGCTGCGGACGAGACTGATGCTGAGTCGGGGTTGGAGTCGGGTGTCGATTCTGGGACCGAGTTATTCAGCTCACAGGCCGGCAGCGAGAGCGATGCCTCCACCGCCACGACCAGGACTTCGGTCAGCCGCGGTAGGAGCTGGACCTCGGAGCCCGGTCAGGATTGGAATCTTCCGGGGCTGTTCCACTGCCTCGCGCTTTGCTATCTGGGGTGCCTGTCTCTGAGCCTGCCAGTACGCGTCGGGCACGTCTACAACTGGGCGAAGAACAACCAGTTGCTCTTCCTCGAAGCCTTCGATGAGCTTCCCGACAAGATGACGGACAGACTGCCTGGTGCATATAATAGGGCTCTCAAGGTGTCGCACACCTCATTTCGGGGTGGGGAGCTGCACCAGGCGGTGCTGGAACTCGTTCTTGAGTATCACTTGAATTACGAGATGGTGTTTCCTCCGCTGAATACGCCCCTGCTTCTACTGCATTATCTACGAGAACTGGCACTACCGGGTATGTTTACGACCTTTCGTAGCCCATATGCCAGACAGCTGACATCCTTCCAGCAGAGGTATACGTTCATGTCCGAGCAATGACAAGACTGTTACATCTGGAGTCCACCTTCAACATGCAAAGGAAACGATTCAAGCTGCTCGACCACCCAGACATATTGTTGGTCTCCTGCGTTGTGTTCTCAACAAAGTTACTCTATCCATTCGATGGTCAAGAGCGACCTCCGGTCAGCTACCGAGACCCATCATCCCTACAGCTCGACTGGGACAAGTGGCGAGTGCTCATGAGGGACGCGGAATTCGAGGGCTTGGAGAGGCGCACGATCAATCAGTTAAAACCCGATGATGCCTGGACCATGAGCGACAGGAAGATTGATGACTATCTCGACTGGTACGAGGAGACACAGATCAAGTCGGGCGCGGAGACGCAGGAACTCATGGAGTTGTTTCCCCTGGCGAACAGGCGACGCCAGAACCCCAGACCCGAGCTGACGGAAGAAGAGATAGACGAGCGGCTCAGGACATCACAGAGCTACATAACATCGGTGCCGCCAGAGAAGGGCGGCTGGGTGAAGAGGGCTGGCGAGGATCACGCTGTGTACCGCTCCGTCGAGGACTTGCCTGATGTTGCGAAGGCGTTCTACGAGAAGGCGGCGGACTTGTCCGGCCTGTCTGTTGGAAAGCTCTTGAAGGCTGTGCATACTTTGGAGCTGAGAGTTCACCGATGGAGCACCCGGGAGCAGAAAGTTGACCTAGAAGCGAACCAGTCTGAGGGTTCTGAATAATGACATTTGCATGGACCTCCTGGGTATCCAGATCGATGGCTCGGCAGCCAGAAACAATCACGCTTCACATAAAACACACCAGATTTAAAGCAGTCTCAGAATCGAGCAATAATTGGCTATAGAGATATTTTGGCTGTATCTGTAATGCATCTTTGTTTTGCTGCCCTCTTCTCCCCATACATTGGTCGCTGTGTGCTGCGATCCTCGAGGGTCAAATTTGCAACATTACCTCAATGAATTGGAATGGACAGATTTACTTTGCTCCAGCGCAAGTATGTGATTATCGGAGTGCGTCGCGCAGAAATTCGCAAAGTCGTTAAGGGAAGAAGGAGTCGTCTCATTTACGTGAAGACTTCAGTAGACTCCAAAGTACCGTCCGCCGGGGTCACGTGCTGGTGACAAAGGAAAAGTGGGGCGGTAGGGCAATTGAGCACCTTGGAATTTTCGTGGTTCGTACTCCACCCATCTTTCCCGTCAGAGGGAACCCGACCTTTCAGGAACCGTCACCTCCCAAACCACAGCAAACGCCAACCCCCACGAGGACGAAGCATTCAAGAGTAAGTACATGCCGTATTTTTGTCTCATCGTGTCCTTAAATGCCTTGATGTTGTGGTACTGACAGAAATGAACTCACAGTGCAGATGTAAGCGTTTTTCCCGACCCGATGCGAAACTCGACCGATTTGCCGCCCCTACTGACCCATCGACCAACAGCTTCGTGAAGACCCTGACGGGCAAGACTATCACCCTCGAGGTGGAGTCCTCCGACACCATCGACAACGTCAAGTCCAAGATCCAGGACAAGGAGGGCATTCCCCCAGACCAGCAGCGATTGATCTTCGCCGGCAAGCAGCTTGAGGATGGCCGCACTCTTTCCGACTACAACATCCAGAAGGTCAGTGGGAACAACGCAACCCCGATGGCCCTAGCGAAAGTCTCGGCCTCTGTCACCGACGGATGATTGCTGGACGACATGCGAAGGCGAATGCGAGCGAGCGCGTGGGCACGAAGGCTGACAACTCATTACAGGAGTCCACTCTCCACCTGGTCCTCCGTCTCCGTGGTGGTCTGATCGAGCCCTCCCTGAAGGCCCTGGCTTCCAAGTTCAACTGCGACAAGATGATCTGCCGCAAGTGCTACGTATGTACAAGCAAGGTTTTCTGGCGTCATCACAATGCAAATACTGACTCTGATTTAGGCCCGTCTCCCTCCCCGAGCCACCAACTGCAGGAAGCGCAAGTGCGGACACACCAACCAGCTGCGTCCCAAGAAGAAGCTCAAGGTTCGTCTACTTTCTCGTCTGTTCTTGCAAATGGGAAAAAGATATGCTGACCAATCACTAGTAAACGATTCTCATGTCTGGCGTCTGGGTGGTTCTGGTATCACGAGTGGGTGGCAAGGGAAAGCAATGCTGCAGCAGTCACTTGTGTTCTTACATAGCACGTCAATAGAGATTCGTGCTTACGGAATCAAATGGGATGAACATAAAAAAAATGACTTGGTTCGTGAGATGGTGACAGACGTGAAGACGGCCAAAGCGGATCGAGAGCCATGAGATGATGGACAGTAGCTGAGGACGAGCCGGGACATGACGAGAGAATTAATGTCGGCCTGTTGAGCCGATCGACTTGATAGGAAAAGGGACTCAGCGGCTCAATTCAAAGTCGAAAACTGTGCACATGCTCAACAGTATAGTGATGTGAACTGACATCACGAGACAAGTCAATGCCAAAGATTGTACCCTTTGATATCTCATATATTGTCGTGCCCAAAGGACAATAGGGTCTCTCTTAAGGGCAGTCCAATTCAGGCACGGAAGGGCATCTTAGAAGATTGAGCTGGTTCAATTTATGCCCTGACCAGAAACACTGGCAAACTGCACAGGAAATGACGCCCTCGTGGAGCAATTGGCAGGACACTCAGGTTGTCGCATGTTTAAGATATGTGGCGCTCAACATTTGTTCAAACCCCTACTTGTTGAATTATCGATCATTCACTATTAAAATTCTAATATGTACAAGTGCAGTTTTATCCTACAGCAAAAGAGTTGCCTGTGATCATCATTTATAGCGGCCGGTTAAGGAGGATCTTGTGCCACGCTCGGGAGGTACGTACCTCTCCAGGCTCACATCCTTGTCGCAATTAACCTCCAACTTGCAAGCTGGCGACAGCTGCAGAAGGGAGCTTAACTGTACAATCCAGTCTCTCAGACCTCCCAACTACATTTTCACACAACTCCAATCCATAATCACGACATCTCATATGATATCCTGACAGACTGCTCCGAAATCGAAAAGCCAGTCTTCAAAGGACATACAGTAGTGATTGCGCACAATGTCAGGAGCCGGCTACGATGCTGTGGTAGATGTGGATGACGAGGTAAGCCGCCGACCTGGGACAACGCCGCGTGCCCACCCCTTCTAACGAAGCTATGCGCAGGGCGACCTCGGCCACACCGACCTCCAAGACGATCTCGAATTCCACAACTCCAACTTCTCAGAGTCGACACCTGCGGTCCGCAAGGCACCTGGCTCGTCGGGCCTGCCGCTGCCGGCGACGGCCTCGTCCTCGGGCAAGCGCTACCTCTGGTCGATACATTTCTACGCGCAGTTCTTTGACGTTGACACGTCCGCGGTCCTGCAGAGGTGCTGGGCGGCGCTTTTCCCGCGTGCCAACTTCCTCGACGTGCTTGAGGGGAACCCGGACCTCTACGGCCCGTTTTGGATAGCTACGACGGTGGTCTTCATCCTGTTCCTGGGCGGTACTATAAGTCAGTACCTCGCCACGACGGGACAAGAGCCATTTGTATATGATTTCAAGCTTCTTAGCGGTATGTTCCCACTGTCCCTCTACACAGACTTTAGGGAAAGTGTCCGTTTGCTGATGTTACGACGCGCACAGGCGCCGCCGGCCTCATATATGGCTACACTCTCTTCATCCCCATGGCGCTGTACCTTGCCCTGCGATACTTCGGATCCGAGTCCGCGAACCTTCTCGAGTGCTGGGCGCTCTATGGCTACTCCAACCTGATCTGGGTGCCAGTGGCCATGATCAGCTGGAGCCAGATCAGCATTCTCAACTGGGTGTTTGTCGGCGTCGGGTTCGGCCTGTCCGTGGCCTTCCTCCTGCGCAACCTGTACCCGGTCCTGAGCGCCACCGACAAGCAGACGAGCAAGGTCCTGCTGATCTTGGTCCTGGTTCTGCACCTGGCCCTGGCTGTCGCTATCAAGATGCTGTTCTTTGCGCACGGTAGCCTGATCCCCAATGAGCAGCCGGGTAGCGGTGTCGGAGGTGGTGATGAAGGGAAGGCTCCTGAACAGCCTCCGCCAACGTTCTAGGGCGGGAAAAGGCGACTTCGGATAAGCACATTACGCTCGGGCATGGAGCTGCGGGTTCGGGGGCGTTATGTTGTTAATGATTGCATGTACCATAGGCCGATTAGACGGCCGGTCTGTTTTGCTAGCCCGGGAAAGCATCTATCAAAGGGATATCCATTTTCACAGCAACAGGTCCAAGTAGCATTGCTGCCACACTGTCCGTCCAATGTCCGTCCCGATGTCTTCTCCCCGTATCCCCGTGTGCCGGAGTTCCACTGGGGTGTACCTCCGCCAGGACCTCTCCCATGCAACCGTATAAGCTCAGTTTCTGACATTACCTTTCCACCTCGCCCCCCTTCTCAGCCCAATCCAGCCAACTGCCGGGGTACTCGCCGACCTTGGACCAGCCAGCCTCCTTGGCCAGCCCCGCTGCCGCGCGGCTGCGCACGCCGGCCTTGCAGTAGAACACGACCTCCTCGTCCTTGCCCGGGCGCGGGTACCCGAAGCGGTCCTCGAACTCCTCCTCTGTGATGTGGAAGCTGTCGGGCTGCGAGGTGACGGGGATGTTGATCGCGCCCGGCACGTGGCCGGTCGACTTGAGCTCGCCTGGCTCTCGGACATCTGTGGGACAGGGCGGCGGCACTTGGGGTCAGCCAGGCGTGTTCATCTGCTTTTCACTCTTCTTGCTTTCTGCGTTTTGGGCCTATTTATAGAGGGGGAGGGGGAAGGAGGAGAGAGAGAGAGAGAGGGCGTGTTCTCGACCTGGAGGGGACGGGAAAGAGGGGGCTCGTGTATGTCGTACCGACTACTACCACGCTGGGTTTCGAGTCTCGCATGAGTTTCTGGATCTGTGTGTGCCGTAATCGGTAGCTTGTCAGCCTGTTCTGTCTGCCTGTCCATCTCGCTCGCCATCTCCAACGCTCTCCGCGAGTTTCTGTCCCCGTCCTGGCCCGGGGATGGCCAATGCGCGACCTACGTCTTCAAAGCTCCATATCTTGCTCTCGCCCGGCGTCTGCTGGGAGTATCTCCGGATGCCCGCGGGGAACGCTGCTGCAGCGTGCCGTGGCAGCGGGGCCGTCTGTCTGGCTGCTCGCGCCGTGATGCTGCGGAGGAGGGGTCTCGAGCTAGTCACGCCGGTCCGGTAGGCGCCCTGGCGCAAGGCGCTTGTAGCGGTCTGCAGTGTCCGCGTGGATACCATCTTTGCAGCTTCGTTCGAGCAGGTGCCGACACAAGTGAGGGGTCGGGGAGAGGTGCGTTGTTTGACCTGGGTAGGGCGTAGGTTTCGGCAGAAATTGAGCTTTCGGTAAAGCTCTTTGGAGGCGGCGGGCGGTTTCTGCTGATGTCACCCTCGGGCACAAGCTTCGCAAAGGTCAAGGAGACCAGGGGTTCAAGTAGTTTAGGATGGAAGGGGCCCTGGATCTTGTGCAGATCTATGCCGGCTGTTCTGCATCCCAACCCTTTGACAGCTCAAGTGTGACGGGTCGCGCCGCAATGATAAACTCTATATCGACCAATCGCCCATGAAACGGCGACCAAGCTTCTCGAGGGGGATTGGTCCAGATAGAGTTTAGAGATCAGATAAAGTTGCTGTCATCGTACCTTTCACAGTCGCAAGGGTACCGCCCATGTATCAATGTCAATGATTGTTATCATAAATGGATTTTTCCATCAGCAGTGCGTCATGAGCGGTCTGCCGATGTGAACGAGTGAAGTTTCTATCGCATTGCTCTGAAGCGACACTACACATCATGAAACCTAAGCCATCGATCCATTTCTCTCAAGCTCATCTGGAAGAATTATGTACAGTATTACAAGTAAGTATTAAGCTGTGTCGTAACACGTCTAAAACCATGCGGTCATGCTGATAGGTCCGTAATACCAGCCGACGTCCCATCGCGAGCAATGCACTGGCTCCTGGATTGCTCTGCGTTTTCTACCGCCTCACTCTACCACTTCCTGTCCTCAAAGGTCAAGGGACAATCGTCCTGGATTTGCTTAGCACACACTTTCCACAAGCTTGGGAGAGATAATTATTGGTGGGGGGGGGGGGGGGGGGCAGTCGTACCATGGGAAAGATGGTAGCAAACACCTTGATCTCCTCGGATTTTGGTGTTGGGTGGTGCTTCCAGTCCATCAGGAGTGATGCCTTGCCAATCATGAGGGCAAGGTTGAACATTGCGTAATGCTGTCCAAGGCAGTAGTGAGGACCAGTGCCGAAGACCAGCCAGTTCTTTGCGCCCTTCTCCTCGGCATCGCCCGTGTAATACCGCTCAGGGTTGAAGTCGTCGGGGTTCTCATACACTTCAGGATCCCGCAGAGAGAGGTATGTCGAAGGGATGACCATAGCGCCCTTGGGAACGGTGTAGTTTTCTGTGATGGGGAATGCCTTCTTCGCGAGGTAAGGCACCATAAGCACGGGAGGGCGGTACCGCAGCAGCTCACGGACAACAGCACGGGTGTACTTCATCGACTCGAGTTGGTCCAAGGTCAGGGGCGCGTGAATGTCACCGTTGCGGGTCTGGTAGTTTTCCTCTCTGATTCGGTCGAGCACGTCGGGCCGCTGGGCCATGATCTGAAACAGCCATGTAGCAGCGCTGCTGGTGGCATCCTGAGATGCGAAGAGGAAGGTAAAGACAGTTTGGGCAATCTCGTAGTCGGTGAAGTCTCGCAGCAAAGGAGTCGGCTTCTCGGTCTTCTCGCCCCTGGCTTCGGCCTCACGCCATCTGCGGGAGTCCACCATGCTCTTGATCCAACCGTCCATGATACACGAGACCTCGCCTCCGGCGGCCATGCGGATCTTGCTCTTGGCAGCTGCCTTTGAAAATTCTGCCAGGACCATGTCTGCAGCCTTCTTTCCGTACCAGGTCTTGCTGAAGGGGATGATGAAGGGGAAATTGACCAATTCCAAGGCTTCAGTGATCAGGTAGTAGTCGTCCGCAATCCTCTTGACACCCTCATCAGAGATGTAGTGGCCGCAGAATGTTCGCAGGGACACAGCTGTAATGATCTCTCGGAACTCGGACATCCAAGGCACGGGTTTGCCGCCAGCGTCCTTGGTGATCTTGACGAATCTCTTGAAATAGCGGTTGTACACATCCTCTTGCCCGGGCAGGTAGCATTCAAGAGCCTGGCGCGTAAACAGCCCATTGAGGCCCTTCCGAAAGTCGACGTGGGGCTTGCCGTCCAGGAACACCCAGTTGTCGGCTCCCAGGAGCTTGGGCGCGACATCGACGACGCAAGGCTTGACGAAGGTCGGTGAGTTGAAGACTTTGCGGGACATGTCGCGAGTCGAAGCAATGATGACGAACCTGTTACAAGAACCGTTAGCCCCTTTGAAATTCTTGACGAGTCTAGATACTTGGAACTCACTTGTGGAAAATAGAAACACAGCTAAGATCGCCGCTCAGCCATTTCCCATAGTACTCGGAGAACTTGGGGTTCATGGACTGCAAAAAGGGACCAATGAAGGGCGCTTTCCATGATGGGCCCACGATTGAGCCCTTCTGGCGGAGGTAACTGACTGCAGATGTGGCAATTAGCTGTTGGGCTCTATTTGGAGGTCTGCTCGTTTCTGGCCAAACAACCGTTCCCCTCCCCCCATCTTATTTCTTTCTTTCTTTTATTTTCATCTTCCATTCTCTGTCCTTAACGTGAATTCTTGGCAAAACATACTTTGATCATAAGCCACTGCGAGAGCCACACAAGTCCACAGGACGGTCCACAGGCTGGCGTGAGAGATGGCGTCGACAACATATTCGAGCTGAAGTGGTATGTTGACGTTGCCGTTTAGTGGACTCGCCAGAGGCGAGGTGAAGCTGGTAGAGTTGGTGTCCATGCCGGGCAACCCAGGTCACTGCAAGGGACGCAATGCGGAGAAGCTGCGCCTTTCCGGATTGGAGAATTGCCTTTTTTGCGTCTGTCCAACAAACAACAAAGGCAGACAACACAGAGCAAAAAAAGGTTGAAGCTCGGGGCTCCCAAGCAAGCTCTCGTTGGTCGCGAGGGGCAAGCAAAAAAATGGTCGCGAAGCTTGCAGGTCGGTTCTCCGAGCCGTTTCCTCTTTTGAAGGCACTGCCTCTGGAATGTTGGGAGGCCTTCGAGGTGTTGGGTCGGCTACAGCGCGATGGGGGGCGGTAGAGGAGAGAAAATACAGAGGGAGGTTGCAGTCGCCAGATCGACCTGGGCAGCCTCTGTAATTAATAATAATGACCAGATTCCAAAGCAGGGCAAGGCTGGGTACGGCCAGGGTAGACAGGAGCGAGGAAGGGTCGTTTTGCTGGGTCTTCTGGAGATAAAAAGTGCGGGAACAGGAGATTGCACTACCAATGGGATTTCCCACCGTCGGATGCGACAATTGCGATTCAACAGTGCAGGTGCAGGGGTCTTTGCCCGGCTAGCGCGTGCCAGGTCTGCTTCTTGTTGCTTCTTACTTCTTAGTCGTGTCTCTTTTGAGCAGTATGGGCGTGCGTGCAGAGTCAAGAGGCGGACGAGACTGACCGACTGACTGACAGGCCGATTGACTAAGGGAGCTGATCTCTGACCTAAGCTTCATGTTCCTCCTACCTGGGTGCCTGGGTAGAGTACATGCAGTACAGTCAGTACATTGCAGCATCACGGGCCCTGCTACGCTGCCTGGGCTACCCTATCCGTCCGATGATGAGCACGGCAGGGCACTTGGGTTCCGTGCCTGGCACGACCTGGGTACCAAGGTGATATCCATGATCAACCGGTCTCGGTGGGGAGCTATGGCCAATGGCAGCTGCCAATTCCCCCTCCCCCCCAGTAAGCATACGCGGGAAAGCCCAGATCCGCATCAGCTGAGGGCCCTCGTTGTCCGTCTCACCTCACAGACGATGTGCAGGATGTGATAGGCTGTCCTACTTTTTTTTTTTTCCCGCACGAGGTGGAGGATCTCCGGGGCTTTAGGACCGATGAGGACTGCCCGGGTTTAATTGTCACTGTCTAACTGTCAGGCTGTCTTACTGCCCGTCTCCCCAAACTGCAATTGATCGTCTATCAAATCAATCACATCACGCACACCTCCACACACCCTATCACAATTTGGGTTAATTACACATTGTAGGAACCCTCTCGGTCCACTGGTCTCTCCGCGCTGCCACACGCATGTTGTGATCCGCCTCACTGTACTGTAGTGACGGGATACTGTACCTCCCCCCATGCCCGTCCGTACACCTGCAACTGCTGCTGTGCCGTAGCGATGCGTCGGATTCCCAAGGCCGTCAGGGGCAGCAATTGACGTAATTTGTGGTGTGGCCCCGCTCAATACAACCCTCGTCACACATGCTGGGCATTTGGCTGCGTATATATGTGTCTGGCGACGACACATCGTATGGTTGGGCATCCCACGATCCTCTAGTCTGGGCGATGTGGTTACATGCTGGGCTGAGGTGTGGATCCCCACTCGTTCTCGAAAGTCGAGGAAGCTCGCAGCTCGTTCGCCGGTGTTGCCCTTCTGGCCCAGCAGTCTGGGACCTTCTGGGACGCCCCTGGATACGGCGCAACGATACCTAGGAATCTTGAATACGCCGCTAATCTATTGGTCAATCTCACCTTCGACATCCGGATACGAGTACGAATAAGGCCGTTTGCAATCATAACGTCCCCAGAAACATCGCCAAAAACTACACTGAGCTCGCGACATCGCGACGCGAGACATACATGCAATATGATCTCAGCCGACGGCCGACCTGTCTCTCCAATAGGATTCGTCAGCATCTGAACTAGTGGACTAGGCTATACGCAAACGAGCAGTCCAATACGATTTCCGCAGCTCCCGTACGATGCTGGTCGGTTCCTACGGCGCCTTCCACTCGGCCATCACATGCGCCGACTCTCCGCCTCTGTGTCGATTCCAACAATGGTCCGAACCCGTCCTCCCTCCGACATAGGCATTCCGAATACTCGGGCAGACTTGTCCGACACCCCGTCACCCCGTCACCACGCTGCACACTATCGAGAGACTGTCGTTGAGCCTCATTATACCATGCACCCCGTGTTTCCAACCACAAGCTTATGAGCTTAATCTCAGAGTGCCCCGTAGAGACTGGTCGAATCCTTTTTATATATTTGGTCGTAGAAATGGAGGCAAGACAGTGGCCGGTCCAACCCGTCTGCAAATTTTGATCGTAAGCCTTGACAGGACTTTGAGATCCTTCTGCCTGCTCGATCATGCGCCGCGTCTACTTCCCCTCCAGCCCTGAGCTCGGCATGTGCTTGTCCCATCAGCAGCACCATCAGCACTCGTGCCTCGAACCGTGAGCAGCCGGAAGACGATACACTCCGGCGCTAGGGAAACGTGCTGACTGATTCATCATATCAAAAAAAAAATCTCTACTTTGATCACACGTGTCTCAAGCGTTGAGCTTAATTGAAGTCGAGCCGATGGCAGGCAGAGAGTCAGACTCCTCTACGTCATTGAACCCAATATACATGACGCTGTGTGTACTGACTTGGTGACCCGGAACCGGCGAGAGGGCCATCCTCGTCAAAGAGGCGAGTTGCTCCGACGGTAAAGAGGGCAGTCCAAGTAAGGGCAGAACCCGCCTGCCTGGGATGTTTTCGCAAGCACACTAGAGTCGAGCATGGCGGTGCCGTAAGCGGTCCTCGGGCTATTCAGAAGGTCCGAGATAGCGCAGATGCCATGAGAAGGATGTTCTGCTTGATGACTGTTTCGCTGTTGATGCCGGCTCTGCATCGTCACGAAAGCATGGACAACACATACCTGAGAGGTCAATACAAAACAGTGGCCCCTTCTCTTGGAAATGTCAGAGACCTCAACGAGCACGTTAGCAAACAAATAGCTTCGATACGACGGTCTTATGGGCAAATTTACAGCTTTCAATGGAGGTGTCATCACAGAGCTTTGGTAAATCGTCACAATTGCAACACATGATTTTCTCAAGGGTGTGTAGGACTGTTGAAGTCATCGCTGAGTCCGATCACCAGGAAAGAATTGACAATGATGTACTTCACTCTCCGTTCAATTTCTGTTAGTTGATTGTATTGCCTCCCCATTTATTGTTGCAGACGAGGAAGAAGCCATTTCATGTTTCAAAGCAGATGAATGAATACATTTCCACGTTGAATCGTGGCGTTAATCCCGAAGTTTTAGTCTTGTCCTGCAGGAGACCTCGTCTATAGAATCAGACTACAATTCCAGTATCATATGAGTATCTTTTGCACCGCAGTCTGCGCAAAGGACTCTCTACCACTTAGACTGAGAGCTTTGAAGAGAACAACTGGTATAGGCTAACTAGTTCCGCGCGAGTTCTTGGACCTCAACAATACACAGCCTGGAGCGATGTCTAGGTAGCAGCCCGATAGATGTTCTGGTATACTGGTTAACAGATATGAAAGCTGGGCACATCTGTGTCGCTCCCGCATTACTTCAGCTCGGAACTGCTCATCCCATTGCATGCAACTCTATATCAGAGTGCGATGCTTTGGCATCAGCAAATTTACCCTGGGCATTAACATACAATTGCTCAATGGTAACGCGACACCACTTCCTTGATAATGAGGCACTGTTCAGTCCTTCTTTCAATCCACTACGGCAATAGCAACTCATGAACGGAAGACGTAACAGACGTCTAAATTTATCGAAGCGGTGCTCCAACGAGACCCGCTCGGCAATAGGACAATGATTCACGACGAAGCTAAACCATGGGGGGACAGAAAATATAATACTAGGTCATGGACAGCATCGATTTCAGTCGAGAATCCATCGATTCGCATACTCAAAGCTACCGTTTGCAATGCTCCCCTAGAAAGTGTCGTCCGAGATATTTGCATTCATCTTGACGATTGTTGGGCTGTATTCAGACGAATCCTCAGGTTCCATCCCGGCCGTCAGGAGGATGTCATCGACAATCCGCTTGCTTGCCTCTCGAGCTACACAAGCAGTTAGCGAATTCTGGGCTACTGCCGGCGAAGGCTATGATGACGTACCTGGTGTTTGCAGAAGCTTCGAAGGGGGCAGCGCGAACTGGATCGTCTTGGGTGGACTCATCCCACCATAGAGGCCGTCCTCATCCTCATCACTCTCCCACGTGATCTCGTCCGTCTGCCTACCTCTCTTCCCCTCATCTGCGTAGACATCCTTTGTTTTCTTTGCAGTCGCGGGTGTCTGAACGCTGACGCCGGGAGTTCGCGGTGCACCAGACGCACCACTAGGACGTCTGCCGCGCCCGCCGCCGTACTTCACCGGTGACATGAACGCGGCGCTGCGGAGTGTCGGGATGGCCATCTCGGGAGAGGACTGTGGAGAGTCATCCTGCCATGCTGGCTGCTTGCCCTTGTCTCTCTCCTGAAGCTGAAGCTTCTCCGTGACCTTCCATTTGATGGGCGAGACACCTGTGGGCTTGTGTGGAGTTGCTTGGATACGGTAGTTCTTGTCCAGGACCCGGTGAAGTAGAGGATCCTTGTTCTTGTGCGCGGTGGAAAAAATGTCATCATCTCGTAATCCCTCGTCGGCGCCCAATGAAGATCTTGGGGTCATGGACATGTCAGGCAGTCTGGTGGTGTGTTGATGAGGTACGATATCGGTATCAGAGTCGTCACCTGAGGCCTGAGTATCGACACCCTTCATTTCGCGCTTCAGCTCTTCATAAGGAGAGCCAAGCTTGGCGAACTGTGGCCGGGGCTTGTTCGCCGGTGCGCGAGGCGTGCTCCCAGTAAGATCTCCGTCTCCGCCATCCAGCAGTGAGTCATCCGGTGCTTGGTAGGAGACATCCTGATGGGATTCTGCTCCCTCCGGACGTGGCGTATAGTCCGCTGATGTCTCATCATTCTCAGTCGTCTCATCATGGGCCGTTGTGTCCTCATCGGCCGCTAGTTCCTCGTAGCCTGACAACGATACGTTTGCCGATGCCTCGAAAAATTGCTTCCAGAACTTTGACGCCTCCCAAACAGCCTTTGAGTGCTCTCCATACTGCTCCACAAGAGGCAGGATGCTCGTCGTAACAATGCGATGTGCTCTGCTGAAATTCGAGTCGATCTCTGCGCCATGTCAGTGCCCTGAGTGATCTGGATGCGTATGAGGTGATAAGTACCTTGCAGGGTGAGCGTGATGGATTGCTCAAGCCTTTCTAGCTCTTCTGTGAGAGTCAGATTTCTTGCTGCTGAAGAACCTGCCCGAGACATCTTGATTTCGCTATGTACTTGACGTGCTTCAAGATTGGGTCGAAATCGCGTCTGACGTTCAACTGGACGCGTTGCGGGGCAGAACGTTGATGCTTGGTGTGTGGGGTGTCGCTTTGCAGGGGTCGCTCCAGGAGCATGCATGGAGTGACGCAGGTACCGCTAAAGTATCCTCGTACTGGTCCTCTCAGCCCGAGAATAGCCTTCACATTCAGCTCGAACAGGTCTCTCCGCTTCAGCTTTCTCATGCCAATTCATTATCTTCATAGTAATACAGGGTATATCCAGCATGCAAGCACTTCTTATCCCCAATGCAGTCGCTTTTCCTTTATGGGCAGGAGTGTAAATCGCGCCCTCGATACAGGCCGAATGGCCCTCCATTTACCGGTCACCATCTTCAGAAATTTCCGTCCCTCAGGCGATGCGCCGGCCTTGAAGTCTTCACCCGCCTCGGCGTCCACGTCCCCTCCCACGGCCTCGACCTCGCTTCCTTCCCCTTCCTGGTCCACCTCTTGTGGACCTGGCCGCTGGAGCTTCTTGTTCCTGCTGCTCCTCCTCCTCCGTCTCCTGCTCCGCCTCCTGCTCCTCCTGTTCTTCTTCTTGCTCCTCCTCACTCTCGTTATCGTCATCCTCCTCTGCCGCCTCCTCCTCTTCAGGGGACTCTTCATCTCCATCTCCGCCCTCGCCCTCGTTAGCCTCTGCTTCCTTGTCTTCCTCAGTCTTGGCCTTGGCCTTCGAAGCTGCCCGTTTCGAGCTGCGTGTACTCCGTGCGCTCCGCGCCGACTTCACTGCCGGACTAGACTGAGCCTCTTCAGCATCTCCATCGTTCTCGGCTTCCGAGTCCTCAACTGTGCTAGAGCGAGTTTTGGGCCCTTCGCCGGCACCACCGCGCTTGCGCTTCCTCGTTGAGGCAGGAGACTTTTCTGCAGTCGAAGGTGACGATGGCGCCTCGCTTGGGTCTGCCAGTGCTCGTTGCATAATGAGGTCTCCGTAGTCTTCCCACGGCAGATCGAAGTCTTTGAATCGATCGTCGAAATGAGGGTCCTCCACTAAGTCCATGGTATTCTCTCGCTCATCTATTAGGGGCATGTTGTAGAACTCGTTAAGCTTCTTCCAAATTCCTGGTATGCGGATGTGGGTGTAAACAGCGGGGTCGTAGCCATTGGTTCGAAGATGCTCGGATATAGCGAGCATTCGGAAATGTTTGTGCATTCCTAATTGCGAAGATGTTAGCAGCGGTCCAACAGCTCATTGCTTTGGACGGAGGCATCGACAGCGCACCTGCTGGCTTCCAACGCACCACTGCCTTGAATAGCATGGAGACCTGGTCATCTGTCCACGGTGAAGCTAGATCGACAGTATGAGCTACATTCGTGGTAGCTGCAGTCGGGGTATCTGCGGCTTGTGGGGTGTCGACTTCCATCGCGTCGTCGTTGCTCACGGGCGTGGCCGTGGTCGACGCGCGAGCCTTCTTTTTGGGAGGCATCGTGCTTGTTAGGCGTCTGAGAAGCTGTCGCACTAATAGTATAGACTGTTTCGATTCGACTGAGACTAGAGAAGACACAGTTTGGGCAGCAATTGACCACTCAGCGGGAGTAGGAACTTGAGCAGGCGTGATGCGATGTTCACGCCGTTGCATAAATCCAAATCCATCTAGCTACCTGCAGCAGAAGCTCTCTGGGCACACACATCTGGGCTGGCGGTACATCGGCAGTACGTTGAGCGATAAAGAAACGTGCGATAAGGGGTAGGGTTAAGTTCACCCCGACGCGTTCCAGGAGTTCAGAGTGCCCAGCATGCATACACACCCAGTAAGATACTCGAGTACCGTAGGTAAATCAATTTCTCTGAAGGCCTGCATGCAGTAGTTATGACTGCTCTACGACGGCGCTTGACTCTCACACTCCATAAAACCAGCTCCAAGGCATGAAGCTGCTGAAATATGGCTTCATTTGCAACGGAGGATGAGAGCGTCGCCGACCTGTTCATCCAGCCGGACTTCTGGAAGTCGTCTATGCTGTTAGACTCACCCACGCCCATTGCTAAGGACTTTTTTGATCTATCTGACACAAGTGAGTGAGTGAGCGGGTTTCGCGATCGGCACGAAGTCTAATCAGTCCTTAGGAAAAATCGAGCCCGTCGTGAACGGTGCACTGGGCGTTCCAAATGATGGTTATTTTAAGCTCCCTCCAGATCTCAACACTGGATTCAGCCCAGAGCAGCAATCGGCTGAACCGCCAGCAAACAACGATAATGAGGCTTTGAGTAGCCCCGCCCCCGAATCTGAGGTGGACCCGTGGCTGTTCCAGCAAGCTACGCCAAAGACTGCGAATCTTAAAACATGGGATAGCTTTGATGTCCCTGAAGCTGGTCTAAAGTCGAGAGGATTCATCACAGAAGCTGGAACAGGAGCATACGATCTTTTCCTGGCCTCGAAGGAGAACCCGTGTGGTGTCCCATCTCACGACTCTTATGAGACGCTGGAGCCTCACAGTTATTCTGCCTGTCTTCTTGCCATGTCACTTGGCCGCGACTCGGTCTTATTCTCATGGGACACAGTGAAGAAGGCCTTTCAGCCTTCGCTTAGTTTGACCAAAGTACCCGGATACTCCGGAGAGTCGCTCATTGCCATGCTGCCGCTTTGCAATTCTTGTGGTCAAGCCTATCGGCGTCTGCGCTCATTCATAGACAGGACATACTCTTCGAGTGCAAGTCCGCCCCGCGTCGCGCTTGCCAACGCCCTGGATAGTTTGCTACTCGTCATCCAAGATGAGCTTGGACGTCGTGGTCTGAGGACTATCTCGATTCTCCAGCTGCAGTCACTTGTTCGCCCAGTCTATCGCCTTCTCTCATATTTCCACAGACTTGTTATGAAGATTAAAAGATCGACGAGTGACGCGGATCTAGTCTCTCTCATCTACAATGAAGCACAGTCAGCTGAAATGAGCGAACCAGTCCTCAGGGACACTATGGGTCAAATTCTTCGAATCGTCTCGACGCCATGGACTGAATTCGTTGGGGAATGGATTGGCTTGAAACCGGAAGAGGGCATGCGTATCAGTAAAAATGGCCCAGGGAAAGGCTTCGTCAAGGTTGAGAACAGTGTGTGGATAGACGACCAAGGCTTTGAGCTGGAAGAACCGGATTACTTCTTGGACTTGGACAACATGCCTAGTTTTGTCCCTGACGATGTTGCTCAGGCAATATTCGAGACCGGGCGAAACCTTCGCTTTTTACAAGAGAATCATCCGAAGCACCCAATGGCGTCCACCGATATCGTTGGCTCGGCTAATATACCGAGACTCGAATGGCAATACGATTGGGAGTCCATCACAAGGGTTGAGCAGAAGGCGCTTGAGTATCAACGTGCTGTACTGGAGATGCTCCAGCAGAGGCGGGATGACCGTGAAGACATTGATCAACATTCATGCAATGATGCCATGGTAGAAGACAACAGACTGCTCCAAGTCTTTGGCAAAGACGAGCAAGACCTTCAACGAACAGTACTAGACTCGATTGCGAACCTAGATCGACCGATCGAGAAGAAGGAGACATGGAATCAATTGTCCAGAATTCTCAGAGAGCATCTCTTCGACAGCCAAATGAAACAGGAGTCAGCTGACGCCGAGTTCAGCCCTCACTGGTCATTATTGCCATTGCTATCCTTCGGCCCTCCGGTATACGCTCAGGCTCGACTTATCAACCGCGAGTGCCTCCGGTTGTTGTTTAGTGAGCACAGCCTACGCGAGCACCTCGGACTCCAGAGAGCGTTCCAACTCCTTGGCAACGGCATGTTCTCGAGCCGCCTGGCAAATGCGCTGTTCAATCCTGATATGGACACGACTGAGAGGCGATCAGGTGTTTCCAGATCTGGCATTACCATGGGTTTGCGCTTGTCGAGTCGTGACAACTGGCCACCAGCGAGTTCAGAGCTGCGACTTGCGCTCATGGGAGTGCTTACAGAGAGCTACCAGCAAGAGAGCGGCGCCGACAGGCGTAAGCCCCCGTCATCCACTGAGCATCACGACGGGTTGCCGGGAGACCTCAGTTTTGCAATTCGGGATCTGTCGACTGAAGAAATGGAAAGATGCATGGACCAGGGATCTCTTGAGGCTCTCGACTTTCTGCGGATGTCCTACAAGCCTCCACAAGCGCTGGTACCAGTCATCACGCCCGCGTCACTTCTAAAGTATGATCGAATTTTCAAGCTCATGCTTCGCGTTCTGCGCATGCTCTTTGTGGTGGACCAGCTTTTCCGTGATACAATTTTAAGACAATCACACTGGGCCAACCTTGACGATGCGTGTATACGTTTCCGTGTGGAAGCTCACCATTTCGTCACCAATGTTGCTCGCTACTTCTTCGACACAGGCATCGACCGACCGTGGCATCGTTTTCAGACGTGGCTCGGCAAGATTGAGAAGGGGCTTCAGGACAGCGGCCTTGTCCAGAGCTCGACAATCGTGAGTCCAAGGCGGCTAGGGGAGGAGCACGAGCGGACTCTCGATGACATCGCGCAGGCGTTGCTTCTGAGGAAGCGGCAGCAGCCAGTTCTCAAGTTACTGGAAGAGATTTTTACGCAAATCCTACGCTTCGCCAAACATTCTCGGCTGCGCACACCCAGTGACCACGACTCGGAGGAAATTAGAAAGTTGTACAAGGCCTTCCGTGAGAAGATCGAGGTCTTCATCACTGTTTGTAGGGGACTGGGCGAGAAGGCCGGGTCAAAGAACGATAAAGACAATGGTGGACGCTCGGAGAATCCACTTGCAATTCTCGTGCTCCTGTTGGATATGTCGAACTACTATACGAAGCGCTAGGCTTAGCATAGCTCGAATGGAGATCTTGACTTCATACACTCAGTAGCCTCTAATACGAGTCCAGCAGCCTCTCTGTGCCTTTAGCAGATACGACTTTATACGACCTCATCGTTTTGCCTGCAACCTCCTAGGTTCCTAGGTGTTTAGTTATACCACACACCACGAGATACCGATACGGCCCATTGCAACGCAGCAGCTTTCGGGTTTGCTGGGCGAAAGGGACCCGAATCCAAACTTGATACAAAGAGCTTCAGATATCCCTCTTCAGCATAACATGTGATTCGCCTCATCGACTGAAATAAGGCCAAGACATTGCAACACAAGTTCGAGGCTTACAAGCTGCAGATACCCCAGACCTTGCCGTGTACCTGCACTACGTTGGCCTGTATCATTGCTGTGGATATCCTCCCTGGCCTAGAAGCACAAATTACATGGTCGCATTGCGGGAGAAGCTCTTGTAGGTCTGTTTGACTCCTTGTCTATAAAACTCCCAGGTTCCCGTGCTAGCGTACAGGATCCCTGTGGCATGTAGACTCACGAGCTACGAACTATGTACAATGTCTACTGTAATATCGATGCTAGATTGTCGCTCCTGGCATCACGGGTTACTGTAAATGGCATAAGTGTACACATTGTTTGTTTCGAAGTGTACATCGGCAACCTAGCGGTCACAATGCCCAGGCGAGAAGCTCACGAACAGCTTGACCGCACGGTTGATTTACCCTCATCAATGACATGGATTCGATATCGGTCTCGGTGACCTGGCCACGACACAAGCGAGCCCAAGCAGGAGCAGACGTGGCGAGTATTGGAGACAGGCTGTCAAAACATACACACGTAGATACACACTGTCCAGAGCCCGACCCCTGACAGGCCTGCCATGTATGCGAGTCTCCTGACGATCGTCAGATGCGAGCTCAACCCGGGTGGCTTTTTATTACGAAGTGTTTTCAGCGCTTAGCGGGTTGTATTTTCTCATTGGCAGATAGGACCGCTGCACGAGCAGCGCAAGCGGCCACGCAGCCACGCAACGTGCAGAGCCCTCGACGAGGCCGGGTGGACCTTCTTGAAAGGCATGTTGGCTCAGTCAACCTTGAGGTTGTTCGAGACCCTGCAGATCTGCTCCTATGTCGTGCACTCCGCGTTTTGATAGGAAACACCGCTTTTGAGCAGCCAGTAAGGTGCACGCGGTACCGAGGTAAATAATCTCTCAAGCTCTCAGGGATTTGAAACGCGCAAAGACAATACCAGACACACCGACAGACACACGATCAGGTCAGAGGACAACAATAACAACAAGCACAGTCCAAAACGCGTGACGCGTTCTGGCGATCCCACGGTACGCGGCAAAATGCGGCTTCGGTTCTTTCTATCCTTCCTTGGGCCCACCTTTACTTCTACAGCACTACCCAGCCCGTCCTCGCGACATCCGTAGGTAGCTTTGCACAGAAGTCTCTTCCGTAGCGGTCACGATGGGTGCATCTCCGGCGGCGCACCGAGGCTCGAAGGCACCATGTGCTGGACGTGCATGAACTCGCTGTCTCGCCCCACTGGCCTGTTCGTGGCCCCTGGTGAGGGCCTCGTCCACTCTGTGCACACTGCGCAGGACAAAGACACTGTACCTGCTCACGAAGTAACTCCTGCGAGATCGGTGGGGCGCATTTGGGTACATAGCCGGGGAGAGGACCACACCGCCCGTTGAGCTTGAATGATGCCTGCGCGTGTCAGGGGGAAAGGTCAAGGGTAGCTTGGGAAGGGTCCTGCAAGCCCGCAGGCGGGAATCTCCATTGTTTCGACGTGGTCACCAGTTTTTAACCTCATGGAACCAACGGTGGGCGCATGTACAGTACTGCGCAGAAGGGGTCCAGCCACAGAATGGGTATGGTCCGCTCCCCTTTTTGTGTGGTTTCTCAGATTCGAAAGATGCGGCGGAGTTGCTGCGTATGATCTCGTCCCACGACTGCCGGGCCCCAGAATTTATTGCTTGTCTTCACGTCAGACGCGAGATCTGGCGGGACTTACAAAGCTCAGTACGCTGTAGGGTGGAATCCAAAGCTTCCCCAAGAGGTGTTTCCGCCGCGCACCAGTGAGTGGTTGGGCACCGGGAGAGAAGGATGCTGCAATGAAGCCCGACCCTAAACAGACCATACAGACACAGTCGAGATGACAGGACCTTTTGCCTAGCGCCATGTTATTAACATGCGTTGGTTGAGAATGACCTTTCTCGGCCAAATTCCAGCCGACTCTTGTCATGCAGACGCTGCCAATGGTGGTGGTTGACTCGCTTGTCAGGTTCGGATATAGAAGGATGTTGAGCTCGCTCCTGAGATAATCACGGGCAACAATCCATGAGAGCTCGCGTGTTCCGTTCAAACCCGCGAGATATCGTACGCCCGCCCTACGAACTTCGGTCCTTTTTTTGAGCTCTGCACAGTGAAGTGACGTAACACACGAGATTGCTCGGGACATACGATGCAGAGGCGAGGCACAGCGGCCTCATCGTCCTGTCCATTATTCAGACATCTGTAACCGGGCCGTAGCACTGACTTATGGTGGGCCCGGATATCGTCCGAGAGATGGGCGTGCAGCGACTCAAACACCACACTGTCAAGTCGGGCCTGCTGACAAGTCAAGTCGTCTTGCTGGCTTGCGGCTCCGGAAATGCTTTCCTCACTTCCGTCGTCCTTCATCAGGAGGCCGGCGACAGTGTGCGGGTGATGCGCTGGGAACTTGGAAACCAATGACTCGTGGTATCGTGAGAATCGCCAGGCTGCGGAAGTCGCTGGACGATCCGTCTGATTATGGCTGGTCAACGCCAAGACATTTCTATTTCGATTGCTGTGAGCTCGACGAAAGCCTGGAAGTCGCTGTATTCCGAGTCGTTCTGCTGAAATGTGCTCATCGTGCCTCGTCACTCGCCATTTCGCCCAGAACCCCTTGAATCTCGGGATGGTCGCCTGCGCTCTTTCGTAATTATGTCGCATGCAAATCGATGCAGAATACAGAATTGTTGACTCGAGGAAGAGCTTTCTCCATGTATCTGGTACATACACATTGGTCGCCCTGCTTGCTGTGACGAGGCGTGGTAAGATGCGCACGGCATCACAACGTAATGTGTGGACGGCGTGGGGTTCCGTCCATGCCACGAGGCTTTGCTTCCTGTCTGTATCCATTCTTCATGCATCTGGAGCAGCAGTATTCCATATCACACCGCAGCAGATTCTTGACCAGAGTGGCTGGCCTCAAAGGGACAGCATGCCAACTGGCCTCAAAAATTAGGATTGGTAGTGGTCTCCCACCTCCCGATCTTTCATGATAGCCTCAATAGTAGTCGCTCTGAGCACTTGCTTGAACAAAACAACTCTCCTGGCCGTGCAGGAACACACGGTAGACGCCGAGTCCCAGTCTCGATCCTGAGGTTGTACGGATATTCTGAAGGACATCGACGTCCTTGCGATCCTGTAGCTAGCATCTGAACGGACTGCCCTTCTAGGAAGGGCCGCCGGCGATATTGCAGGCCGGCAAGCCACACTTGCAGGGTCCTGGGCGGTAAAAATTGCCTGCCCATAGGTGATAGCCCTTGCAGACATCCGACGGTATCGATGGATCGGACGGAAAGCTCCTTCGTCGTCCACGCCGTCGTAACGATCGCTAACTTGCATCCGACGAACACACGTGCTTTTCGCGGGTCTCATAGCAAGCCTCGGATTCACTTTCCGCATTCATCCACGCGTGGAATGCCAAGTCCAAGGCCAACGACAGCGCTAAGTACATATGTAGGTAGCAGCTACTGCAGCGCGTTTCGCGAGTGAGCTGAGGTTGGGTTTCAAACTTCCGCCGCTCAATTCTCAATTTCCAAATCGAGGCCTTGTCCGACGGATATCCTTGTTGAGCAGTGCGCAGTGCCGCGTGCTGCAGCCAAGCACGACAGGTAACAAACCTGACCTTTGCAAACCACACGTGAGTACTGTATGTGTGAACTCAATCAGACGTTTCCTCTTGACTCTTTGTCTGGGACTATGCGAATGAGGCTCAATAGCATTCGTGTGTCCAGTCAATGTCACGCTGCCCGCAAGAATTTCCTCGCATTCGCATCAAGTTCAGATAATTTCGGTGAGGCACCCGGACGTTCGTCGTTGCCGAGTTTCGACAAGTCTCCGGCAAAACCCCGGCCAAGAAAGGCGGTCAGCTCCAAGAGCCGCGCATGATGTAAAAATCGTGCAACCGAGTAGCGAGGTCAGGACAGGGACTTTGACACCGGCTAGGATGCCGCTAGGTGTGATGGCAAATTCCGAAGGGCCTTGACTCGTCTGTCCCGCGGAATAATTCAGAACCTCGATGGAAGCAGGTCTGTTCCTGGCCTGCATGTGTGGTGTTGAGAAGGCCAGACACTTTTGCGCATTGTCATACACCTAGTATAGATGGATTCCGTAGATCAGAAGAGGGTCATGATAGTGCCAGATCTCTCAGATGGATGTTCTCCAGTTTCCAGTCTCTTCGTGATCCGTTCTGGGCCACAAAACAAAGCTCATGGTGTTCCACGACGGCTACCCACCGGTTCGTCGTCCATACGTGCAATGTACATGGTGGTAGTGGTGTGCATAGAGTTATCCCGACGTGGTTAGATCGCCATTGCTGAGGATCTTTTAAAGGCTCAAAAGGGAAACCAAAGTCGTGGCCGAATGGCCGACGGTCCCTAACAACTGGACAACGCATGGTGGACAACGGCCTGGCACACAGCGGGCCCAATAGCAGTACCGACTGATGGGCGCTGTTACCGTCCATCGCTCCACTGGCTGTCCCATGCCTTTGGCACGCTGTTCCTTTTGGCACCGTGCTCCACTACTGACGGCAGACAGGCAGGTGGCCAGGGTGGGTGCAACCGCACGATCTTGTGTGCTCGCTAACCGGCACGCCGCCACAAACCGGGGTCTGCGAGATGCCACCAACCAATCACTAAGTCAGTTGCGCCTTCATTTCACGTATCGGAAATGCCGGAT